TCCCAGTGCTGGTATGAGTAGCATCAATGTCCATGGCGTGAGGGTCGGCAGGGGTAATGTGAGCGGTGTGTGCGGGAGCGTGTCCGGTGTTTCGGCCGGTCATGGTGGGATCATGCAGGTAGACATCCACCGATATGGCTCGTTTGATTGCCTCTTTCAAAGTCGGAGCGATTCCTTGGGCGATGTTTACGATGATAAGGTGTTGTCGGATCTCCGGAAGTAAGGCGGTGAAGAAGCGTTCCCGTAAATCAATATCAGACATTTCAGTCCGATCTCCGATATCCTTGAACTTCTGGGCAAATTCTGCAACTGTCTGCCCTTTACTTTGTCTGAGGTTCTTGATCTCGCTACGGGCTTCCATACCTGGGTCCATTGGTTCAAACCGCTGGCTAAATTCCTTCAAGAACGTATCCCAGTTTCCTCCGAAAGGGGGATTCTCTGCACTGAAGTGTAACAGATGGGGAGTTGCCCAATCTCCAGCACTTTCTGTGAAGAAGCCCAGGGCGGACTTGATAAGTTTAACTTGGCTCTTGGCGAGATCCGGTTGTTCTGACGCCCAATTTTGGAACTGAGCCATGAAGCGACGAGCTTCAGCACCATCTTTACCCTTGAAGACCTCGGGTTTGTTCATGCTTGACTTGGATGATGAGCGTTCCTCCATCGCTGTAGCAAGGCTGGCTACTTGTCTGATGAGCTGAGCCATGAGATCCTCAGCAGAGGTATTTGGGGCAGGCGGGACAGGAGTCGACATGATGGGAGTAGGCAATCGGGGTTGGGGAATTGGCAGGAAGGTTATATTGCTCACAGTGAGTGGCTCTCGGATCGAGTTCGAAAGGGCGTTGGGGCAAGGTTGAGACTGGCAATCGCGCCAAGTATCGTTGTTGTTGTGGGTGTGAGCTTGGTCTCTGGGGTCAAGTGCGTGCGGGAGTGCGGAGCAGTCTATACTGGCAGCAGGTGTTTCAGAATCGGGCGGGACTGGGGAAGACGTGGTGTCTACGGATCCTGCAAGGACAACCTTATCGGTAGGCTGTCAGTGCAGTAATGGATCTTGACCTAATGTCACGAAGCGGCAGAGGCGGAGTGACTAGCGGAGCAGGAAGCGGGGTGACTAAGCCAGGCAGAGAGGCGGAGCGACTAAGCAGGTGAGTGAGGCGGAGCGACTAAGCGGAGCGGAGGCGAACTGGTCCCAGATAATGACAGAGATATATTGAGTATCGTAGTCATAGGTAATAATAAGTAAGCACATACCTGGTCCCAGATAATGACAGAGAGGTCAAGATAAGGGACCAGGCTGTGGAGGGTTGGCTATATATACATAATCTAGTCTGCGAGAAACAACGATGTAATACTGTACAGTTCAGGGGCAAGGAAGGAGGCGGAAGCCGATAGAAAGAGAAGGTGGGTCAGGTGGATCAGTAATAGATAGATCAGTAATCGATGGAGATTGACAGCGATGGGATGATGTATTGTACAAGTAAAGGCGTCGAGACGGTGAGAAAGGGAAAATGATAGGGGCTGCGTACTTTATGACATGCACCCAGCTTTTACTAACAATCACAGAAATAAGAGTCTCATTAAACAGACAATCTCCCTCAAACTATTAATGTGATTGTTGCTATTCAGGTACATAGAATATCTCACAAATACCAATCACTCACATCTGAAGATTATGAAGCAGATAAGCTTCAGAATATCTGCTCAATCATATCTTTGCTCTCAATTGTTGAATCATTGTCAGTAAGACACCAGAATAGATAGTTTAGTTAGTAATCCAGTGATACTGAACAAACTCAAGTATTAGATAAAATTTCAGGATAGGAATATTAAATTGGACCTGTAGAAATATCATTGTCTGGAACTAATTGAGAAAGCAATATGACTATGTAGCAGGATTTTGTACACAATGTTGTATATTTACAGATTGCACAGAACTGCATAAAGTTGCGCGGAACTGCGTGGGACTGGTGCTGCACGGGTTACGGCAAAAGTTCTGTGCCCATTTAATTCGACTCACATATCACCGCAATCTTAGAGCCTGACACCCAAGGAAGCAGAAGGCTGCTGAGAATTATTGAGATTTATGGGTGAACTTTGGGGCAGGGAAAGCAGATAACAATACGGCTACTGGCGTTGATGCTGCCGGAAGTTCTAAGCGCGGAGCAGAGTAGCAGCGGAATCTGGAGCTCGAAATGTAGAGTGGATCTCCTCCACTTATTTAACTTACCTGAAGCCCAGAGTCGTGATCAGTAGATACCTAGATTCCGATACAGCGAGCAAGGGTAATGTCGCGGTCCCTTTGTGATTCCTTTCGTCGGGTTGGATTTTCAACGTTTTGACAATCTTGCTATCGAAGGGATATTACGTGGCTTCTTCACAGGTGTGTCCAGTCATTCTCTTGTTCAATCACTAGGATCCGACTTAAAACTCTCTTTCTAGCACAATGCCCTCCTGAAAATCTGCCATTTAGCCCTCAAACCACCAACCAACCTCAGCATTCATTTCCTCCAATCAAATCCCTCAAGCAGCTTCCCTCCCCAAACTATTCATTCTCATATTCTACATGCACCACTGGACTTGGGTTTACTATTGTTGATTTTAATCCAGCATTCCGTTGCACATTTCAACATCCGGAATGAAGAGGTGGTGGTCATTGAAAGTCCCCACTGAGATGTGGATGATATGACCCATCTACTCACCGGATTTTACTATGTCAACGATAACGAGACACATTATTGAAGTGAGTAGTGAATCATCGATGACCTAGTAGTAACTTACTAATACTAACATAGTGAAGCATTTTTACATTCACTTCTTGCACACTTTGAGTGGATGTATACCGAAAAACGCTGATATGGGAGCCGGATCGTACTTTTGAAATCCGCCTGATCAATGCGACCTCTTCTTGTTCTTCAAACTATCTGTCTCCCTTCGTTCCCCTTTTTTGCCGTGTTTTGATTATATATATCCATTCCGACCATCAATTCAAGCCGGCGGTGTCTATGACATTATCCCTCAACATGAATGATGGGTTGTTGCTGAAGAACAGAGTAAGGAACCATTATTCATCGCTATCTCTGCGGTAAGGTCAAGAAGAGGACGAGTGGTGCTGTTGGATGATGGTGTATAGTAGTATGCAGATACTTCCTCATCTCGCCCCTTCAGCAGTCCTAAGTTCTACCCATCCAACGCAACCTAATTGGAAACTACCGGAATCCATGGTGAAATGCAAGACAACGGAAGCCTTAGCTCTCAAATTGGCGCATTTCTGGACTCTTCCGAGACCAACCATATCAGACAGACCGCTTAGTTAGCCTCCGTCGGCTCCATTACATATATATCGTATTTTATCTATTTATCTATCTATGTACATAAACCGAACCTGTTGATTCGAAAACTGCTTCTCTCTCCACCCACTTCTCATTCCAGGGCGCTGGTTCGGTCAGTGTTTCTCCTACACTCAAATAATCTTGCAACCCCCCCCCCCGCTGATGGCACCTGGGCGACGACAGCTTATCATTCAGATCTTCTCAGTTTGTTTCAGTTCTGTAGTTTGCTGGCAAACAAAAAAAAAAAAAAAATTAGGATTGAGTCTTACTGGAAAATTCGTAGTATGTTAACAATTCTTCGCCCCTTCCAGTGCCTACCTAAAAAATCATTTCTTTTTTTTTTTTGTTGCCAAACTTGTGTGTCTGGGTGTCCTGGGTTGTCCTTCCTCGATCGACTGTATCTTGTTCTCGAGCAGCTGGATGTTCTTCCAAACTCCTGCATCGCGTTTGATGTGCACTCTGTTCTGCCTCTGGGTGAATATCCTTGCGATTGTTGCATCGCCTTTGCCCTATGGAAATGGAAGTAAAGCGACCCCGCCAGGCCAATTCGGGGCCCCCCTTTGCCACGTACGTGGACGTTTCGAAAAACCCTACCTCGCTCTAGCCTCTTACCGCTACTCACCTACGCCTACAGCTCCCCGCCCGAATCCGAGATCTCAGAATCCTGACCAGTTCCTTGGAGTTTCGGATATCGCTGTTATTCACCACCAACTTCAACAACAACAACAACTCCCCAGCTGAACAGGAACAACACGAACACGAACTTCCAGCATCCACAGACTCGGATACCCTCCAGCGAGGCACAGCGAATCCATCCACTAAGTCCAAGGAAACACGAAAAAGAAACGTATATATGTAAATAGGACGGATCTAGAACTGCGCAATGAGTTGGGGTAGTAGATGGATGGTGGATGTGGATGGGAGGTGAGAGTGTTTTTGGTTTACGAGGATAACACCGATTTCGCATGATACCGTGACGACGTTATCGCAGTCAGGTGGGTGGGTACGCTGAACAGCTTGGGCAGAGGAGAAGAAGAAGGTTGGTGGTGGTGGTGATATCGAGTTCGATTGGTGAGAGTGTTCGAAAGATGAAAGAGAGGGAGGTCTTCATCTTCTTCTTCCTCCGAGTCGTCGTTATCCCAACCCTCAACCCTCAACTCTTCTACTTCTTCGAAAATTCCCTCTCCTCCTCCCTCGTCCTATCCATTCATCCCATCTAGTGATTTCATCAACATTGAACATTTCCGAACCAAAACCCGTTCCGACAATACCCGACCCCGCCGCGCGAAATTTCGGGTGGATCCTCCTTTCTGTGCTGTGGGTGAACCGTCCGTCCTCTTCGACGCGACTGCTAAGGGAAGCCAAAGCTGGCGTGGTGATAGATATGCTGATAAGCTTCTGGCGCTTGGAGGTTGATGAACAGACAGATAGATAGACAGACAGAGGGGGGGGTGACTGTGGAGGGGGGGGTGTTGGAGGCAGAAGATTTTGCTGTGGCCATGATCTGCGGGAGTTGCGGGAGGTGATATGATGAATGCAAGGAAGGTGTACGGGGTGGAAGTGGTAAGGAAGAAGGAAAGCCAAAGGGGAGTGTGAGAACTGAATATAGCGAGTACCAGGTATACAGTACCTCTACTCCCTGGTAAAAAAAAAAACAAGTTTCGTGTACGGAAATTCCTCCTAGCCGACTTGAACGACTGACCTCGTCATATACCAGGCGTACTAGTGACGCGCTCTACCAACTGAGCTAAGGAGGAGACGAGAGAGGGAAACGCTGGGCGTCTAACATTGAGTGGGAGTATGTATGACGTCAAAAGTCATAGTTGACGTACCTGACGTCAAGTATGAGGGAAGGATCATATAAGGTGAAAAGACGTACGCGCCACGGCTTTCCTCTAAACCACAATGATATCATTCCCTCGTCTGGCGACGAGCGTTGCTCGTACGACGTTTACCCGCTCAGCGAGATTTCCTAGTCATGTCCATATCCATACTCCAAAGGTCATTGCATCACTTTCCACGAAACCCCGTTCAACGATCTTCGTTCGTTCAGTCGCATCGACAGTCTCCAACAAACCCGCTTCCCAGACATTCGACCACGCAGCGTTGAATATCCGAGAAGAAGCTGGGAACACCGCAGCGGATGTAGCCAAATCCATCGCAGGAGGAAGTCATATCCCTGCCTCGGATCATTCCTTTGTGACGATAACGTCTTCCATGGCGTCGACTGTCCCGAAACCCGTGATGGTGTTTGGGTTACTCGGGACTATACCGTATGTTGGAGCTGGTGCGACGACGGTGTACCTCGCGAGTGTCGCTGGTGCTGCGGCAGCAGGCCACCCAACATCCATCGACCCAGGTGTAGCCTTAACGATGCTCGACCAATCCCTCAACATCCAAGTCACCTACGGCGCAATCATGTTATCCTTCCTCGGTGCTCTCCACTGGGGAATGGAATTCGCCACTCCCCGCCCTACCCAATCCCAATCCATCCGTCGTCTCCTCCTCGGTGCCGCACCCCTCTTCCTCGCGTGGCCGACACTAGGGTTACAGCCGATGACTGCGTTAGTCGTGCAGTGGGTGGGGTTCACCGGATTGTGGTGGGCCGACGCGACGGTGTGTGGGATGGGGTGGACTCCACCGTGGTATTCCCAGTATCGGTTCTATCTCTCCGTGCTGGTGGGGGCGTGTATTATTGGTTCGCTCGCGGGGACGTCGTATTATGGGCCTGTGGCGGGGCATGGGTTTATTTCGAGGGATCTCGAACTCACGAGGGAGATGAGGAGGGAGGTTAAAGGGGAGAGGGAGGGGACAGTGCCTGGGGTGGTCGAGGCGGTCGAGGCGGGCCCAAAAGACGGGGCGTATGTCGTGTTGAGGAAGAGGGATTTGACGAAGGAGGTGCAGCAGCAGCAGGAGAAGGAGAGGGAGGAATCCGTCAAAGAGGGCGTGGAGGAGGTTAAGAAGGCGAAGAGGGAGCAGAAGTAATAATCAAAGGACTTGAAACATTGTAATTGTATCCCTTGCATGTATTCCAATCCAGCACCAGTTTAGTTGTACAACACCGATACGTAAAGTGTAATTCCATCTATGGCTCGAATCATGCGCGCTTGCTGACTCTGTATCGGTGTGGAGGTATCCTGCCGCCACCCAGTGAGTTGACGAACATCCTCGTGACACAACCCACCGTTCCTCTCCCTCATCCACCCACCCATCTCTCATCCACCCACCCATCTCTCATTCCCCCCCCCCCCCCCCCCCCCCCACCTGTCCGATGCTGAGGAAAACGCCAGTACACTTACAGAAAGAGGTTTGGTTTGCTTCTCGATTAGGTGCCGCCTATTCCAATTACGTGCCGGCTACCTATTCCGAATTACATGCCGCCTATTCCGATTTCCGAATTACGCACCGCCATTCCCTCATCCACCCACCATTCCTCTCCCTCATCCACCCGCCATTCCTCTCTACATCGAGTTCGAGTTCGAGTTCGAAAGAAAACAAGACGAGCGCGCACACGCGTGACGCGGTGTCTATTGATGGATAATACTGATACGTTGGTCCACTGCTGTATACACCCAAGGTCATCTGCAGTATACACCCAAGGTCATCTGCGGTATACACCCAAAGTCATCTGCGGTATACACCCAAAGTCAATGGACTTTGTGTTGAAACCTCCATCGTCATCGCCTCCATGATTACCGCCTCCATCATGATCGCCTCCATCATGATCGCCTCCACGCAGATCAGGAAACGTACGAAATAAAAGGGCTGTTGATTTACAACCCCCCCATTTCGTGGGCACCCCCCCCTTGCATTCATCATATCACCCTCCCATAACTCCGACGCAGATGATGGGCCACCGAATCGTCTGCCTCCACAGGCACCCTCTGTCTGTTCATCGACTCCAAGCGCCAGAAGCTGATATATCTGTCAAGCATCTGCGGCACCGTGCCAGCTTTGGCTTTCCTTATCAGTCGTCGAAAGGGACGGTTCACCCACAGAAAGGATCAATTCGAATTTCGCGCGGGTCGGTTCAAGTTTTGGTTCGGAAATGTTAATGAAATCACCAGATGGGATGAATGGATAGGACGAGGGAGGAGGAGAGGGAATTTTCGAAGAAGAAGAAGAGTTGAGGGTTGGGATAACGACTCGGAGGAAGAAGATGATGGAATGTGAACGAGGGGGAGTCGGCGACTCCCCCTCTCGACTCTCAAAAAACCGCAGAACCTGTATATATTCCAAAAGCGCCCAGCGGCGGCGTCGTCGTATAGAGCTTGCACACCCGCTTTGAGCATGTGCAGGAGCGAAGGGGCTGTAGGGAGCGTTTGCGACAAGTCTGTGTGTGTGTGCGGGAGGGATGATACAACTTGGGTATGCGCGAAGGAAGGGTGGAAGGTCCCGAGATAAAAGAAGGATGGCGAGTTATCGTTATCCTCAAATATCAGTGTGGGGAATTCTATAAATGCGAAGTATGTGAGGTATGCGAGGTATGTAGAAGAAGAAGACGAGAACCTGTTCGACGATAATCCCAGTCCCGGTGAGTGAAGACAGGATACAAACGACATTCGGAGTGTCCGCTGTATCCACCGTTTCCCGTAGATTTGACCGTTTCCGTAGTTTCAACCGTGCTCAACGAATGAGAGGGATGATGTGAGAAGGGGGGGGGGCTTAACGAGGTCTGGTGAAAGAGGCTTCGTGAGAGGTCGTTTTTCTTTTTCGCTAAGTGTGACGATGAGTGATTGCCGTATGTTGTTGGAGTGGATGATTGCAAATCTACTCCTTCCGGTGAAGGATGTTAACCGACACCAGACCCATGGCCAGATGACTGTTTCCTCTTCTTCCCTTTACCTCCTCTCAGTACTCTCCTAGGTTTACTACATCTTACCACCACCGAAGACGGATCAGAATTCGACCAGTCACCAAACTCGATATCCACTCCCGAGTCGACTTCCGAGAACTCTGACACCTCCGACCCTTCTCCTTCGCGTTCCGAGAACTTTAAGAAATCTGAGGGGTCTACAACCCCATCCGTTCCTTCCCCGGAGTATCATCGACTTCCTGAATCAACGATCCTACACTTCCGTTCCTTCCCCAACCTTTGTACACTAATCCGTTCACCTGTGCTGGGGCGTTAATCCCAATCCTGAGCTCGCTCATGTCGATTTCTCATTCTCGTTCATTCATTCACATTCTTATTTTCATTCGCATCTTGCAGGGCACAACGTACGGTGGTACCCTCACATAGTCGGACCACAGATTCTCGATTCGCATTGGCAGCGTAGTTGTCCATTTGGGTTCATTTGACGGGTGTGTACTCCAAATCACGAACGATTGATCCATATCCATATCCATATCCCACTATGCTGACCCCTCCTCCTCCACTACCACCACCGCCTCCTCCCCCACCACACACGCCATAACCACCCCAATACACCCCAACACCCAAACCACACACCCCAATACACACCAGAACCCTCAAAACCACAAAACCCCGCTGCTACTGTCATCCAACAGATCAATTTCGAGGATTCAAAATCGAATGTGAATGAATGATCAGGAAGGATGGAGATTGTCAGTGGATTTAAGTAGGGGACCTACTATGTAAACGGACGGCGGGTACTAGGTCCCCTACTTGAATCCAATAATCCCCATCCTGAGCTCGCTTTCTCATTCTCATTCGCATTTTGCAGGACACAACGGATGACGATAACGATAAATGATTACACCTTTCCTCTTTCCTTTCTACAGCGTTTCCTTCCCCAACTCGACTGTTCCTAGAGGATTCTCCCATTCTCCCATTCGCCTAACTTCCGGGATAAACGAACGAACGCCTTTGTATTGGTGCATTCACCTGCCCTGGGGCGTTTCATGAACAATCGAACGACTTTGTACTGGTACTGGTGCTGGTGCGTGAGCGTTTCCCATCTGCATCCATCCCGTCCGTCCAAAAGAGCTTGAGTTCGGAGTGGGATTTAAGCTTGAGCTTGCAAGTTAAGGGATGTCGATGTCGGTGTTACTGGGGGTTACTTCTGTTTGTTTTAGTTTTGTGTTAGTCCAGAGTCCTCCTCCGGTGAGTGGATCTACCTCGATTCTTGGTGCGTTTGTCTGTAGTTGTGCGTTTGGCCGTTTGATGAGGAAGTTGTAAACCCGATGAGGAGACTTGACGAGTCGCGATTGATTGTTATACAAATCCATATCCGTATCCTTCACTTCTATCAACTTGTTCTTTCCCCTCCTCCGCCACCACCACCTCTACTGGACACTAGAGACAACCACCAAAATACACACCAATACACACCCCAACACCGAAACCACCACACCCAATACACACACTAGAACCACAAAACCTCCTCGCTGCTACTGTGGTGATCCAGCGGATCGAATTCGAGTAACAAATCGGTTAGTTGATGACCGACTATAGTTATTCTCCATTTTCCTGTTGAAGAAGTCGGGAAGGTGGGTACTCGAGGTGGGGACGGTGGGGACGGTTTGGATAGAGCTGGATAGAGGTGGACGGAGTTGGACAGAGCTTCACACAGTCGGACAGAGCTAGAGAACTTCTCACAGTTATCACAGTTATCACTGTACACAGACCGAATCCAGAGAAAAAAGCAAAAGAAAAACAAAGACAAAAAAGAAGACAAACGAGGCATGAACTGACTCGCCCCGGACATGACGAGAATACTGGAACCATAAACGTGACGTTTGGGTTGTTGGGAGGTCATACCAAAGGAAGGTCATACCAAAATACCAAGGAGGGTCATACCAAACGAGGCCTACAGATATCAACGACCCTCCCTAGCACCCGCCGTCCGTCGTCCGTTCACATAGTAGGTCCCCTACTTGATTTCGATAATCCCCATCCTTCCTGATCATTCACTCTCGTTCACATTCAAATTCTCGTTCTTATTCTCATTCTCAATTCTCATCTTGCAGGACACAACGATAAACGATAAACGATAAACGATAAACGATAAACGATAGTAACACCGAGAGCCTGCGCATGTCGATTTCTCTTATACTGACATTCGGAAAGCGTGTACGGTACGGTGGTACCCTCACATAGTCGGACGGACACAGGTTCTCAATTCTCATTCGCAAATGCAAACGTGATGTCATGCATATGTTTGACGCCTCTACGCATTTACGCATTTACGCATTCACGCATTGTAACTTGCCAACTTGCCAACTTGTATTATGCAAGAAGGAAAGAAAACAAGAGAAGGAAACACCCATCCATCACGTCAAAGGTTCTCCACCGTGTTTGAAAAAGTCTTGCGGTTGGGTTGTAAATCATCCGAGTCGTGGGGTAGTACCCAAAATCTTTGGTACTTGCCCTCGCTCGTTCCGCTCTTTAGTAACCCTCGTTCCGCTCGAGATCCAGAGGGGTGAATCATACGCTATCATACAACGGTCGGTTTCCTCAATCTATCAACGTCGGTCGGTCAAGTCATCGCTATCATTGGTCGGTCAAGTCATCGCTCGTTGTTCTTCCTCCCTGCTTCCTCCTGCTGACGATGATGATGACGGGGTGATGATGATGATGATGGGACTCTGGGATGATGATGGGACTCTGGGATCGAATCCGTCGTCCGATCTCACAGATTGTTCACGTTGACGGCGGAATAAAGGTGATGTACATATTGACTCTAGTTATGTATTGACTTTGGTCAATGTATGTACATTAATATCAATCAGCCTAGTGTATTATCATCATGCTCACGCAAAGTTCCCTCCCGCGACAGAGACATACACCACTACCACCCGTGGGTCGAAAGCTGGAGGACGCCAGCTATCCTATGTACATAGGCTTACCCCATTTGAGCAAGTCCCGCACGAAGATCAGAAGATTTTAACTAACACGGGCTTTTTTGGGGTTTATAGACTAGGGGCGCTGCTTCAAGCCATCGAACGAAGATACAGATAGATGTCCCCTCGCCGTTGTATTGTCCAAGTGTTACCAGATCGCAGTAATCCGGATTCAATCAATAAAGCGGTGGAAGGTCAGTTTCCCGCTATATTCTGGTCTCGCTATATTCTTAGACACACGTTAAACATATCCAATAATAATGCATATTCACACACTCCCTTTGCGGTTTTTTTTCTTCCTTCGATACTCCACCGCCCCCTTCACCCAAAACCAAAAACCAAAACCACAATCACACATACACCGAGTCCATTCCCACCAAGTACAAATCCAGACAACTCCCTCCAAATTCTTGAGTCTCCGTGCACCCTTTCCATCTCCATACGAGTCTTTTCCTTCCCCAACCCGACTTTTCATACGTATTCTCCTATTCTTAATGCCTTTGCACTGGTGCTTGTGCTGGGGCGTGTGCGTTTCCCAACCGCATCCATCCCTCCATTCAAATGCGGCTTCCTTGAGAACTGGATACGGAGGATTAAACCTCAGACCTTCGAGTGGGATCAATCAGGTGGTTAGTTTAGTAACGTACAGTTTTGTTTTTGGTCCAGAGTCCCTCCGGTGAGTAGATCCAACTCGGGTTCTTCCGTGCATGCGTTCATTCGTGCGTTTGTCCGTAGTTGTCCGTTTGCGTGTTTATCCATTTGTCACAAGGAAGTTGTGGACCCGATGAGGGTGACTTGGTGACGAGTCGCTATACAAATCCATATCCCCACTATACTGCCCCCCCCGGCTTTCCCTCCTCCTCCACTCCCACCACCACCCCTAGTGGACACCAGAGACAACCACCCAAATACACACCAGAACCAGAAGACAACACCCGAATTTAAACGGGTAGTCGATGGGCCGACTATAGTTACTCTCAGTGATCCTGTCGAAAAGGTGCGGACAGAGTCGAACAGAGCTGGACAACTTATCACAGTCATCAGGGAAAACATGAGATCTATGTGTATAACTAAGGAGTCTATGTAGCCAGAGTACTTCGGTACACATCCCCCCCTGTATGAACAGTACAGTATTAGTAAGTATAGCAAGGACACCAAGGGCTGGACTAGGACCAATGAATCAGGGATCAAGAATTGTATGCCATTGAGGACATTACACTACACTACACTACATACTTTCTATTTTCTAGTAATACACTTTGGTTTAGTAGCCTCTAGGAGGTACCGCTGAAACAACAGGACGTTTCAGCATTGCATTTGGGTCTCTGATTTGTCTTTCGTAGACTTTCGTTGTCTGGTATCTCATCGACGGGCTCGGTCCCTTGCATCACATTAATAGCGCGGCAGAATGAGTGGGTACTCAAGAGGTGGGGACAGTCTGAACAGAGTTGGACAGAGCTGGATAGAGTTGGACAGAGATGAACAGAGTTCAATAGAATTGGGTAAGAGTCGGACAGAACAGAGCTCAACAGAGTTGGACATAGAGCTGATCTCATATCCTTCATACTCAATGGTTAAGGAAACCATTGAAGAATTCAAGGAGACTTGGATAAGAAGATACTTGTTTCACAACAAGTGACACCATCAGCAGCAGTGGACCCTTACCGACCAACAACAACCCGGTTGAATTTGGATGAATGAATCATTGTTTTTTAACTCTCGAGAGTGTGGTTTTCGGTGTAAATGTAATCACCCCCCCTTTCAACTGGATTCAACCATGTTTAATGTCATTAACGGTGGCACTTCCTTTCTCCTCCAGAGACAAGGAGCTATATGCCAGTGTGGTCACCATTCCTCCGACTCCCCACGGTGGACTTCTATCAAGTTTCTTGGCATAGCCTGAGACTTATGTGGACGTTGGTTAGTCCTAGTAGGTACTGTGGAACTGATGGTATGTACACTACTCTACTATGTAGTATGGTTGTAAGAGATTGTGTAGTCACTGATTCGAGCGACTCTCGTGAGGAAAGGGGCTTCTCGAAGACATGTAATTGAGAATTCTATACATGCATTGACTCGAAAGTCATGAATTTTTCATGTAATGTACATGCATAAAGTACACCAGCCTCACAGGGACTCGGGAGTAAAGAAGCGGAACTGTATAGCAAATGTAATACAACCGCATGTATACGCATACATGATCATGATGAATATAAACTTCCCGGTCCTTGCATGCAGTGTGGTAGACCTGTATCCTGTGTGAGGATCTGTTGTGAGGATTCATGAAAGACATTCCCTGGACTGTTACTAGTACAAGTGGCAAGTGGTAGCATTAGTATTAGGAAAGATGGTGGGCTAAGCAGTAGGATTAGATCCTTGATCCAATTTCAATCGAAGATTTCACATATCCATTGGCCACTCACTCTAGGCCATTATGCTGTCCCATTGTTATTGTACACAATTTTTAATGGAATGGGATATATTTTCTGCCAGTGGAGGATTGTCTAGTATCTACATTTACATACACTGACATCATTATTGAAGTAAACTGCAGTGCTGCAGGGAGTACTGCAAGTGCTACTGGCCCAAACCAACATGAGGAAGAATTTCAAACACATTACAATATAACTTTGTACATTCATTTCCCAATAGGAAGCAGTCCTTCTTGCTTCCAGTATGCAATCCAAGCAGTAACTTGTCTCTCTCCAATCATCTCGTCGGCATCATCAAGCAATTTGCGCATTGTCCTACTTTGCCCCACACTTTTCTTACTTGAAAGCCATGGCCACCCGCCGCATTCCCTAACTCTCCCAGTGCCATCGTCGTCCGTCCCAATTGGGCTTTTAGCACCAAAGTCACGGATACGATCTAAAAGAGCAAAAGCCGGCTGCTCAAAAAAGAGGACCAGAACAAATGTACCATGAGTCAGTATTTTTTTTTTCCTGTGTTTTGAAAAAAAGGGTCACGATATAATGGATCTCACATAGTTCTCACTCATTTCAGTCCCATTCCCATCAACAGCTTCCAATAACCCCACCCACTCCATGTATGGTTTCATCTTCATTGTTTCTCCAGTGTTTTTCAAGGGAAGAAGATCCTTGAGCACAATCTCCATAATCGATGTCCAAGTCACTGGTCTAGGATGAACAATATTCAGGACCGGCGGTGGTGGGGAACTTGTAGGATCCAAAGTAATGTCAATCACAATGGATGCCACTTTATCTATAGGTATCCATGACACAATCTGTTTGTGATAATATAAGTCAAACCCTGCATTAATATCTTCATAAAAATTTAATATTACCCCTCCCATGTTTGGAACCGCATTCAATGATAAAGAGGTCCTTGTGAGTTTGGGAATCCATTCTTTAATTGTCCAGGAGCCCGATTCCGAAGCTCCACAAAGCTGCCCGACACGGTAGACTGAAGCTTGCAGACCACTCATAGAGACCAGCTGAGATATCAAAAGATTCAATTCAAAGGAAAAAGGCAACCAAGCTCTAAAAAAAAATTTCACCTTTTCAGCCACATATTTGCTCTCTCCATATCCAAACATTGCCGCCTGCTTTGAATTTTCCAGAATTTCCTCTGGTACCTCTTCATGGCCACCTGTTTCAGAAATCCAGTTCTGAGCAGAGGCAATGCTTGAAATAAATGTATATCGAATACTCGAGACCCTGGATGATGAATATGCCAGGTCAATCAAGTTCCTAGTAGATGCGATATTTGAGATGAAATTTCTCAGGGGTGCATTCAAATCCAGCTGCCACGCATTGTCAATGATCACTGTTATTTCTTCCCGGAGGTCCTCATATGTTGTTGGATCCAGTCCTAAATCTATCTGAGAAGCATCTCCTTCGATGAAAACAAGTTTGGGTGCGTCCAAAAGAGTAAGATCTAGGTTGTGGTTGGAAAACACAGCATGTTGCCGTTCCCGGATAGTTAAAGCATCAGAGGGACGGTTGAAGGCATATATCTTCTTGACACCTGCACTCTTCACAAGCTGCACTAGGATATATGATCCAAGAGCACCAGTTGTTCCAGTAATCAAAACAACAGAGTCATGAATAAATGGGCCTGAGAGCTTGAGACCATTAGGGTCAAATCCCAAAGAGTATTTAGATATAAGCACATCCATCTCTTGAGCTGCTTCTTCAGTGTTCCGGGTATGCGGCTGTTCATCTGATTTATGTATAGACTGCTTTGAGGTTTCCATGAGCTGGGCCCTTGCAATAAGGTCTGCTACTGTCATGTCACTTAGAAGTTGCATCTGTGACACGACCAGATAGGGTTTTAAGCCATAAGCCAGGCGGCCAGCTTCAATTGAGGAAAGGCCATACGAGGTAAGAGGTACCTCATTTGAAAGTTCATCAGAAGGAATGTCAATGAACTGGGTGACCAGGGAGCGGATAAGGTCATGAATATCAACCACCTGGGAGGTGGACTCCTTGGGAAGGGTGTTTAATGAGCAGAGATGGGCATATATGTTGGACGGCCCAATGGTTTTGGAAACGGTGTCAAAATTATACGGGGGCACATAAACATCAAAGTGCTTCTCTGCAAGCTTCAGTATGCCATCTTCGATCCAATTACACAGTTCTGTCATTGTAATGTTATTCAGTTTGAAAATTGATATTGCATGGGAAATCCCAGACCCCACCTGAAGCTGAGCATGCAGTAAAACTCAGGTGAGAAGCTTGAGTTTCATCTACTCCCCTAATCATTGAGGAGGTATCATTAATAGCAGGTGCTGCAATGGAAAAGGCATTTCTATATTGTCTTAATCTGCCATCTAAAGCAGTATTGGCACTGGAAAGAAGTTTTTGTTAACTTTGAAAATAAGATATTTATGCATGAACTTTCAATCACCTAGTGTAATTTGTTTGTCCTGAGTTTCCCCAAATTGTCATGCTTGAAAGTGACACAAGGAAGTCAAGCTTCTTGATATCTATGACTTTCTCTAAGGCATCTAAAGTCCCAATCTTTGACTGAAAGCTTTTTCTAAAGCTCTCTGTATCTTGGTCAAAGAACAGTCGATCATCAAAGGAAGCTGAAAGTAAAAAAACACCCGCTAATTTCCCTTGCATTGGTGCAACCAACTTACCCATGGCAGTACTATCTGAGCCGTCAACTGCCTCCATAGCAAGTGTAAGCTGTGCCCTTCCTTCGAGATATTCAAGGATTCGAGAGGGAAGGCAGTCTGACATTCTGTCTATGCTTTGGCGTCCTGAGCGTGAAGTTAACACAATGTGCCGTGCACCTTTCTACAAAAGACAAGCATGGTCTGTTCTTGTCATAGGTAGCTCAAGAATAGGAAACACAGACCTCATACATCCACAGTGCTGCAAAGGGACCAAAGCTACCCAAACCACCTATCAAAAGATAGATTTTATTAGGATCTAGATTGAGCTTGGTATTTTCGAGCTTGGTATTTTCAATATCATAAGGCTGGGCCATTTTCAAATCCAGATTAGAATCTGGAAATTGTAAGGGCAGTGAAGCTTCAGACAATGATCTAGTGAGGAGCTCCAACATGTAACCTGCAAAATGAGAATGCCTTCTGAGATGTGTCAGAAGATGTTTGGTGGTAGTCCAGTAAGTGACTTGAGTTTCCTCTGGCAGGTAGCTCTCAAGCAGCTCATTGTGGAGCTCGAGTCCAGAGATTACGATGTCTTCACACTGAATCTGGGCATTGAAGAGTGTGATGGGAGTAATGAGGGATGGTAGACATTTAATGAACTGGGCTAGGCCAAATATCTTCAGCAACTCTACAGCAACTGTTCCAGTGAATGTATCACTATGAGTAACAATGATCCTGGCACGGAAATGAGTGGGATCATTCAAAGCATTGATTCCAACAGCAAGTCCGACAATCATTGCTATCGGAGCAATTCGGGCCAGCAGAAAGGAATCAAAGTCAACACCAGATCTGGTGAAGAATCCATCTATCAATGACACTCTCCCACCAGATGGCTCACACAGAGCAATACCCACAACCCTTGCACCCTCTAAAGATGATCGATGCCCCTCTGTCACAGTGCCTACAACTCCCCATAGTCCATCATAAAATGGAGAGGAAGCACTGACTTCAATCATCACATCTGCAGAACAAGGGAGGTAGGATTGGGATGACGTCCTTGCACTGAGCCCAGTCATTGGAATGATTCTTGGAACAGAGATATGAAGATTTTCCCCAATATAAAACTCATTCTCTGGCCCAACTGGTGGCAAGTATTTGTGGATGATGAATTGGCGAATAGAGCTAGAGTAGTAGCAAGGAGAAAATGATGCACCCCGCAGGTTGAAATTAGGGAACTCTCGGATAAGTGTTCGGAAGAGGCCAGAAAAGGCATCTGCATCTGGCCCTTCTGATGTCACAATCCAAATTGGAGATAAGTCTTCTTCCTTGATTGTTTTGAGGTGTTGTTGAAGGATCATTTCCCTCCCAATACCATATTCAATTATGAGAGGGAGCTCGAAAAAAGGCAGTGATATCTCAGGTGGGATGATTGGTACAATGAATGGTCTTCTAGCCTCCAATATCCCCACATTTTCTGCCACCACCGGTACAAATCTTGGTTCAAAATTCAATACCATGAGCTGTTCCAAGAGTGAGTTGAAGTCCTTTTCATAGAGGGGTGTGATCAACATTTTCAAGACTATTGATCCACCAGGGACTAAATGGAGAATAAGAGCTTGTAGCAGCCCTTCATTTATATTTGGGACCTCCAGTAGAGTGTTAGTGGTGATCAGATCAACAGAGTAGGGTAGCCTATCCATGTCTGTTAGCGAAAACTGATATGCAATCACATTGCTCAGTGTTGGTAGGATGTCACTTGAAGCAGCAAAGTGGGCTCCTGAAGTTGCTGAAGTAGCAAGAGTGTACAAAGGTTGAAGTCCACCAGCCTTGAGTACCATATTGGTTAGGGTCTCTCCAAAAGGTTTAAAAGCTATAAAACATTGAGACACAACATTTGTTTCAAATACAACTGATACTCACCCAAATGATGAATTTCAACTATATGAAGACATTTCCGGTCACATTTGTTGATTGTGTAGTTGAACAGCTTTTTACAATATTCCAGAACTGGGATGCTTGAGAAATTAGCATTTTGCAACTCTCCCTGATCTAAGTCAAGATCAGGATCTCTCTAAATGTTGATCCATAAGCTATGCTCCATACACTGGTGAATAAACTCACAGAAATTCCGTATGTTTGATATTGCAACTCAAAACGCATATGTACGGCCTCAGGAGGAATATGAAAATATTGCTGAACTATAAAACCTTGTATTGTGCAAAATAGCAGTCCATCAGGAGCAATAAGCTCAATATCATAGACGAGGTTATCTGTTTCTGGTAATGAGTCTAGTAATGTAATGAAAAACTTACACTCACCAGGATTCCATTGCTTCAATTTAATGTGGGCAAAAAAGTGTTCTGCAGATAGCACTGAATGATTGAACTTGTCGGAGAGACTTATGCAATTCACAACAGATGGGAGATAGTATATGTTTGGATCAGTTGCCTTAGTCAGTAATGGATGAACACAAGCATGGAAGCAGGAGTCAAGAATTGCTGGATGGAGGATGTATTTCCCATCACTAGGACCCCTCCATTAATCATGTTCACATAATCCAAGTTCATCTGCTTACCCAGATAGAGATTCATCAAGACTCTTGACCCGTACAAGTGCCTCACGTCCATAAATGAAAATTTGGTCTATCCTTTTGAAGCTGTTTCCATACTGAGCAAAGGAACTGAGGTGTTGATAAAAATCTAAGCATGTTCGATTAAGTATAGGAGGTCTGTTGAAATTAAGCAATGTCACCATTTTTATTGTAGGCTGTGAAGTATTCCATCAGTTCTGAGAGCTGTACAGTAGTTGGTGAACTGCAGTCCACAGGATTGTTGGAGAAATAACCCTCTGCATGTATTTTCCATTCATTGACCTACATTGCACAATTATTAGCAAGCTGCATTGGGTGCGTGGTGCGGAATTGTGGAAAGATATACATTATGATGGAAGAACAAAGGTGAAGAAGGAGCCATGCATGATCTGACTTCATATCTTGACCCCTCAACTTCAATAGCCACTAAAGGAGGGGTCAATGATGTAAGTGGTAATATCGAGTGAAACTTGATTTTCCACAAGGTCCTAACTCCTAGCTCAAATCCCTATAATTTCTGTTAGTGTCACAGTCTACCATGTGATGAGTGGAAAGCCCTGTACCATTTCTATGAATCCTGCAGCTGGCATAATAGGCTGTGAGTTGATTATATGTCCAGCAAGCTCTGGGTGAGTGTGAACATTAATGCGTAAATCGGGGTAGTTCAGTGGCCCATTTCTGGGACTTATTTGTCGAGACATGATTCTTGAGACCTCAGGCCAGTACTCGATATGTTTCTTCACAAACGGGTAAGCGGGGGTCTTGACCCGGGCAACCCGATCTGAACAGGGGTATATAGCGGAGAAATTGACAAAATTGTATCCAGCAACTATTATGCTTCCAAGGGCAGTCAACACCGCATACTCTTCCATGTCTGCTATGATATTTTTTGAACGACGCATTGGGCAGACATACGAAGATGCCAGGACACCTGCTTCCTGGACATATGCTGCCAGAACTGGATGTGGGCCCATCTCAACAACATATACTCCAGGATTCGATGCAATGAGGGCATCCATTGTCTGAGTAAACAGAACTGGATTTCGAGTGTTTGTCCAAAAGTAGTTTGCATCGAAGTCCTCGATAATCCTTCCGGTGCAGGTAGAATATGTTTTTTTCCTTGGTTTATGGCTCCCTGGATAGCGAGAGAAGACTTCTTGAATGGCACTGCGGTACTGTGCTTCACAAAGCTCCATAGCTCGAGAATGTACTGGGACTTTAGTCGTTATTTTTTTTGCCAGAAATCCCCCTTGTTGGGCAAGGAGGATAGCCTCATCAATGAGCTTGGAATGGCCAGAAATTGCCACAGCATTAAGGCTGTTGTAGCATGCAACTTCCAAAACAAACTGGGGCTGCGAACGAGCTGTGATACTCCGCACAATGCGATGAGCATCTTCTCTGGAACATGATATTGCTGCCATGGTCCCATCTACATTGTCTTCCACAATCTTCATTGCCTGTCCACGGGCTATGGCAATTTCAAATGCCATTTCTTTGGTGCCTGCACCAGAAGCATACTATACAACTACTTAGCACAATCAATCCATAGATCATATAGGGATAGTGCTTACTATAAGTGCTACTTCCCCAGCTGAATGTCCAATAAAAATATCTGGATCCACACCAAAGCTGACCATCAGATCGAATAGAGCAATATGTAGCATGGTGAGAGAGGGAATGACTATCGAGATAGGCCAGATTGGAGGAAGGATTTCTGCATCCAGTGATTCACCAAACAAACCATATTGGTGGATCATAGACTTCCCTGTGTGAGCTTGATATATCACATCTAGATCCAATATTGACTGATGGAATATAGCATAACTTTGGAAGAGCTGACGGCCCACTGGTATGAAGAGTTCAATGAAGTTATACTCCTTATTAATGAACAAGACATACTATTGAGATGCTGTGGGCCTTGACCAGAAAACAAGAAGGCAAGTGGTGGTTTAGTGCGAGAAGTCAAAAGAGGTTGTGAAAATATGAAGTTGCCACTGCCTGGTTTGCCAATCATAAAGCTTCTCCAAGTCATCTGCCGCACCCTTCTCCCGTAAACTAAAGAGTAACCAATGGCAAGGTTGGGGTTCAATGTCAGTGTGGCTTTGATATCCTCAGCAACAGCTGCACAGGATCGAGGTGACAAGCCACCAGCAAGTAAAAGAAAGGGACCTTGGAACTCATTTTCAGAAGAAAGGTTTTGTAATGGTGGACTTTCCAGAACAGCGTGTGCATTCACTCCGCCAATGCCTGCACTGCACATTGAGATTAGTAATTTTCCTGATTGGTTCTTTGGTACAAGTGTCTCTTCTGCCATTGGAACACACAGACGCCAGTGATCCCAGTGAATAGCATTGTTCCTTGTTTTCAAATTTACCTGAGGGGGAACTTGTTTGGTTTCGAGAATTGAAAGAACTTTGGACAGTGAGGCCAGGAAAGATGCAATCTCCATATGACTATAAATAAATTAAGGCATGAGTATGATTAATCATTAGTAACAAGAAACATATATACCCAATGTTCCCCTTAACACTACCAATTAATAGACTACCATTGCGTGAAAATTTTTCTCCAACCCAGTTTGCCTCAACAGGATCACCAACAGCGGTACCTATAACTCTATGATTACATGATCCATTTTCGAAAATAGTCTCATACACTTACCAGTACCATGGACCTCAACATAATCAACATCGACTGGACTTCTGTCAATCCCATCATATGCCCGTTCCATGGCATCTGCTTGAGACTCTGCAACGGGAGCATTCACTGGTGCAAGAGATCCACATGCAGAAACGCCTGTCCCTAGGATCTGGGAACTGTTTCAACTATGTTCATGCTAACATGAGTGAACAATGAACTTACTGTCCCATAGATATAGTCTCTGTCATCAATAGCCTGTTGCAGTGGCTTCAATACAATAGCAGCAGCACCTTCAGCACGTGCAAATCTTTGATTATTTGAAGATGCTTTCTGTAATACCAAGAACAAGTTGGGAAGAGCTTACCCATTTCCATCTGCATCAAATGGTTTGCATGTACCATCTGGTGACAAAATTGATGCTTGAGTGTAGAGTGCAAAGTCAGATGCACTAGACATACAATTAATTATCAGTGTAATTTGGTAGTGATCATATTGGATGACATACCGTAAATTAAGTTGACATCCTGCAACTAATGCAACCTTACACTCGCCATTTCTGATTGCTTGAACAGCTAGGTGAGTGGCAACTGCAGTGGAGCTACATGCAGTATCAACAGGAATAGATGGTCCCCTCAAATCCAAGTGATAGGAGATCTTGTTTGCAATCATGCAGGGCAGCCCAGCAACAGATCCTTTTGGTTCGAATTCGTCCTAACGCAGAGCGGTCAGATATTTTCAACGGAGTTTTACTTAGGTCCTACCGGTTCCGCCACAGATTGTAGGTCAAATGCAGTTCCAGATGCATAGCATCCTACATTCTGACCACGATAATCTATCCCGGCATCCAAAAAAGCCAAAAAACTGAGTTCAATAAGTCGACGAGTGCTTACGCTCATGGCACGAGCATCTTTACTCCCAATGCCGAACTCAGCAGGATCAAACAATCCAATGTCCTTCAAAAATGACCCCTGAGAGGCAATGATTTTTCCTAACCCCTTGCCATGCCATCTATAAAATAAGGAATGTGGTGCATATTATGAGTGTTTTACAGTAGATATAATTAATTCATACTCTTTGATATTTAGGCGCTCTAGAGGAATGTCTTCATAGGACTGCTTCTTCGATTTAAGAAAATCATAGAAGTTGTCATGGTCAAGGTTGGTGGATGAATGTTTACCACTTGGGATTTCTGCTGCAATCCCTATCTGTTAGATCAAATTGCAATGTGAGAAACATTCAGTCATTTGACAAGGAGCATACAATAGCAACTGGTTCTTTGGGCATAGTTTGAGTGTCAGAACTGTGGTTTAGTGAAATGTTCTAGTTCCTCACTTCATTTATGTATGTTTGCAAACCACCAACGTTACTTGAATAAGCAAACCTTGACGTTATGTCTGTTCTGAAGCCGGGAATGCAACAAAGAAGGCAAGCATGAGAAAAACTACAAAGTGCTCTCACACCAGAGATGTAAATTGATTTCAATCCAATCATCAGTGTAACAGTACATTGAAAACTTTCGACAGAATGCTGATCATCACACAGATGACAGACAAAATTCTGTTCAACAGAAAGATTGATAGATTGAGGGATTTTGTGATTCCGCATTTCTGTTAATCATCATGTATAGCGATGCTCCTTACAGCGGGTTCGGAAAATGATGACAATTGCGGAACTTTTATTAGCCCATAAAATAAAATCAAAAGATATGCATCGGCTACCAAAGAAAATTTGCCCAAATGAGGAAGCAGTTGATGTTGTACTGAATGCTATCGAAAACTACCCAATACCTAATGGTTACATACAAGTAAAGGTTGTTCCTAAAGCTTCAGAAATAACCCCTAGGATGAGCTGAAGTGGCTCCACTAGACACTCCACACCCCTCCTGGATCTTTGTGCTATAATTGCAGATTCCCTGCTCAGCATCTTTCCCTGGCTGATCAGGTAAAAATCTCATACAAATGTGCGGTATCTGCTGGTATCCGACGCAAAAGCTCGAGTACCTTTTTATTTTATTTTATTTTTTGAGCAGAAAAAAAAATCGCGTCTGTCATCATTTTCCGAACATGCTGTAATCAGATTATTTATGGAATGCCTTTCATATCCAATGACACACACCTGAATTCTACTGAGCTAAAATTTTCAAGTAATCTATCAGGCGATGATTCGATGGATGATGCTGCATGAAATTTGACAGTTGGAGCCTCTTTTAGTTCCCGGCAGTGATGCAGGAGCGATAGCTTGGACCATGAGTCAATGTGGGATTGTAAGTTGCTTTTAGTGGAGAAATCAATTGGACTTAATGAGTCTGTTGATTCGGTCTCCATTGAGATTATGGAGGTGAGATAGGCAGTGGTTCCCTGAGAGGTGGGTAATAGCGTAGTCCATATCCGAGAGCCAACATGGGAAGCCTGAGTTGCGGAGATTGTTGTTCTCCTTGAGGGCTAGTGATGAGTAATTGCTGCGAGCTACTTTGAACTCCTACAAAAAAGTACAGGTTTTCCGGATGAAGGACTGAGGCTACATAATATCCATATAGATTCTGGAATCTCATTTGGCCGCTCCAACCCCCGGGAACAAGCAGAAAATATCCTCGTACTCTGATTAGAAATTCCCGTTTAACAGAACCCACCAACTTTTGTTACATCATGATCCTACTCCAACCAACAGAATGGGCAGACAAATGCTTCGCAGTCTGATGAAACTCTGATTATTTCATAATGATACGGGTGGCAACTAATGAATTGAAAAGATTTTGCACCCCGTTCCATCAACCAATCGAAAACTACACCTTGCTTCTCGGAATATCTTGTTATACTAATATGAGTAATGAAATTGAGATGGGAGACATCCGTAAACTTCGAGATTGAGAAGCTTTCATATATTCATCTTTCCAACTGAGCACGTAATACCAACCTGAGACACAAAGCGTAAGAACTATCCTAGTATTGTGCTGCTCTTAGACCAAGTTTAGTCCACATAGAACTGACAAAGTATAGTTCAAGATCGATCAACTAATAATTTTTGATCGTGAGTAATTACTTCTTGCTTAAGATAAACACCTTTGAGAAAACTTTCACTCGCCAGTACTATCCGCGGCTTTGTAGCAAAATGATTGATATGTAGGGAATTGAGCCTAGTTTCAGGGTTTGATTTAACAAATACACATTTCATTATTCAGTTGTCTAAATGAATCTGCGGAGACATATAATACTTGTGTCCGAGAAATTTCATCCCCCAGCAATCATGAACAACACTGTAAATGCTTCCCTTCCTAACCCTGTGGTATATCTCAACTATCTCCCCCCAACAACCGCTGCACAGTTTGAGGTTGCTCGAAACCTATACCTTGCAACATTAGGAGTACTGAACTTGTGTATGGCAAAAACATGAATCTAATGTGTGTAACAGGCCTTCATATGGGATATGTTATCATCGATTCCCCAAGACTTAGTTTTGATCAAGAACATGAATTTTAATGTCTTGGTCTACATTGTTTCCCGGTATGCAATGTCGTGTATGCTCTTACTAATCAACCATCTCACATTTCTGTTGGCAGACTCTCAGCCTTGGCATATGTATTACTATCTGTGGTTGCAAAAAGTAGGACCACCTTCCATTTTCTCAGAACAGCCATTGACTTCGATATCAGCCACTCCCATCAGCAATTGCACCGCAATAGAGCTGGGTGTGACATGCAATTGGGTGGTATCTACTACATTTAGTTCCTTCCTCTTTCTTCGGCGTGTCAATGCCGTATATTCAAATTCTGCCATTGTTTGTTACTTTTTCACATTTCTTTGGGTTGCAAACATAGGAATTTCGATCCTTACTCCATTGGGTGCTCATGCTGGAGCACTGTCTAATAGTGGGTATTGCCTCAATAGTGGTGTCAAGCACTATGTTGTTGGTGCTACTGCATTTCCACTAGTCTTTGACTCATTTGTATTTCTGGCTATTTCATATCGGCTGATGGTCATCAACAAGGATGATCCTCATGGCACAGCACAAAATTGGGGTCCTTTCTTGAAGGGTAAAACCCTTCCACGTTTATCCAGAGCCGTTCTGCAAGGTGGACAACAGTATTATCTGTAAGTTGCCAGTAATTTTTAATCATTCAATCTGAAATCAATGCATATGAATTAGGATTACTGTTGGCATGAACATTCTCATCACTGTCCTCATTGCTACACCATCTGTCCCTCCTGTTTATGAGGCGGCATTCACTATTCCTGATGTTGCACTTACAAGTTCAATGGCATGCAGGGTATATAGAAATCTGTACCTTGAGGCCCGTGGACTTCTGCACCATCCTTCAACAACTGTTGATGGCCCACTACACTTTGCAAGGACAACAATTCCCAATCTCAACAAAGAAACACATGGGTTAGAGCTAGAGGTGATCCACAACCACAAGAATTCATCATTAGGAAAGATTGCTCCAATAAATGAAGCCAGGGTCAATCTGGATTATGGAGGGCAGGGTATTTCAATTGACAGTGTATCAGGCCAAGGTACATCATCATCATTCAAGTAGTATCTCTATTTGGAGCCCTGTATCTTCCATTCCAGTTACTACTAGCCTCTACTCCATCCTACATTGATTATTGTCAGAAGTTCTGCCCCATCATGATTCCAATTCACTTGTATATCATGTGTCACATGGTACTTTAGTATTTATTCCAATTTTCAGCTCCCTCAGTGGTTGATCCCTTTGTTGGCTCACATCTGAGCGTGGGTTTTTCATTTCTCTATATCTATGCTTACTAAATATGTAGATCCTGTGTGCTTTGTCTTGTATAGCTATACTATACTCGAATTGACCTTCTTCCATTGTTTCAGCTAGTGTCAAATTGACTGGCATGGGCTATCACGGGATGCTGTCTGACACTGGCTCACTGCATATGCAACTTTATGTAAATTTGTTGGTTTTTCTCTCTGTGCTCGAAGTAACTAATAACATTCAGCATGCACCTGTAAGGTGCCACAGTAATGCATTTCTCTTTCTTGAAATCACATAATACTCTATGACACCAAAAAAGACACAGAGTATTTACCATATACACTAGTGCAATGGCATGCAATCACATGTCAACTTCAAAGAATGTACACTGAATTTTCTCTTGCAGTACTGCAAGCCTTCTCCTAGTTCTAGTTCATGTAGAAGTGTGGAATAGTCACAGTAGTATATATTCGAACCTGCTAGTGCAAAACCTGTATTTTAATTGTGGTTTTGGTCCGGTCAGATATCTACTCAATCAAACTGTCAATGAAGTGCGAAATCAAGCTTAGTTACTGTCTGGATTGGCAAAACCGCATTGATTTCACATGCAGCTTTCCTGTAATCTCTCCATCTGTTCCTGCTGCTTTTCTATTTTCTCTTCTGACTAACTAAGACTGCAAAGGAATTCAGCAGCCTCATTGAGTTTAAACATTGTTCATGTGTTGTACTAAGCAAGAGAAATAGGTTGTGAAGTATGAGCAACTGGTGGATACATCCCGAAAGCCAGATCATTAGCCTTCTCCATCCAAGCACTCTCTATCTGCTCAGGTGAAGCATTGGCAAGAACCCCACCAGGAAGAAGTTCAGCACTGACATAAACCCAAAGTACATGTAATTGCAGGCCACCACCGTGCATAGCAAAAATATCCAAATGAGGAGAAACTCCCACCATAGAAGGAAATTGAATTTGCATGGAATATTTTACATAAAATGGAGAGTTCCGTAAACTACAGCCTCGGAACTTGGGCACTCTTAAGAAAATTTATAAGAAAATCCTTCAAATGAGGAAGATCAGGTGCATATTTTTGGGTCATTCCCAAGCGCGTCCATCAAGTGAACCCATGTCAGCTGATTGGTCCAATCAGACATATCCTGCATGTTTATATGATGCTTAATATAAATGTTCTGGTCACTGTCCTATGTCATGTACAAGGGTTGGATCTATCAATGTATCGATGTGGTCAATTACACATTGATGGAGAGGCCCGAGCCTGAGCACATTATCTTCAGCAGCATGTGGTCCTCTTATCTTCCCCAAGTAGTAGACACTGACAGGGATCCAGTAGTCATTTTTCTGGATTCCTTGTTCTGCTGCATGTATGTGAGGAACTCAATGGATTGATCCAAATAGGTAATGATCACAGCACAAGCTTTTGCATGGGACTGGAAATGCGTGTTAGATGTGTCTGGGAAGGATATATTGAAACCGAGCTTATGTTCAAAGAAGAATCACAACGTGTTCTGATGCCCTCATGTTCTATGATTGTGTCAAAAAATTGCCCAACCAGACTGCCTACTTGTATAGCTCCTTCTTCTGAACATTCAAGGACTCGGTCAACTGCCTCAGTCCCTGCAGCTTTACTGATAGTGGCAACATTATCACAATTTGGTAAGAGCTTTGGTGGATCAATACTAACTGGATCTTGCTAGTGTGGCCTACAGCCATCTTCAACCCATGGAAGATTTGGAGCTTCGTGTCAGCTTGGATAAGTGTTACATGTTTAGTCTTGTAGATTTCATTCTTGTGACTTATTTTCCTCCTCCCTTGGCAATACTGTTGCTTTCCCCTTCCAGTACCACTTCAACAAATAATAGATATTATGTTTTTTTAGACAAAATGAGTTGAATTATGTGTTAGATGTTGATAGCCAGTTGGAAATGCTGATGCAAGCCGATACTGCCAATCAAATCAATTGCAAGCATAGTCCGTGTTGAGCATATCTTTTTCTTATCTCGTGGTTTCTCTGACAAATGGATCATTCAACTCATCAGCATCGAAGGTTGAAAATTGTTCCGCACTCGGCGCTTGCTGCCATTCACTCAGTCATCCATTGATCATGAACAGTTGGTCTGTCAGTCATGTAATTAATCACGGTCAATAAGTCAATAAAGGTGATAATGATGCAACAGCAGGCAGTGGCCAAACCCGAGGTCGCCGAGAATGGCCGGAGATGACTAGACACATGACTTCAATTACGTGGGGGATAAAAGTGAAGAACGAACTTTTACTCTCATCATCCAACATGCCAATGTTCAGTGCGTATTCCCTTGCACTTTGCGCCACCGTATTTGTGAGTGAGAATGCCCAAATATAAATGATCACCTATCCTTACCAAGTTCAAGGCTACTCATTTATGGTTCAAGGCTCATGAACCCAAGTCCATGTTGCCTTTTCTCGCCACAATTCTCATAATTCCTACTTTTCCAGCATATGTCTTGAGCTGTAGCCAGATTTCGCCGATTCTTGCCTGCTGCCTGGCATATCCTAGCTTTTACATGCTCCTCTTCATTTCCATTGGATCATACCGGTTGTCACCCTTTCATCCGCTTTCAAATTACCCTGGTCCCACCATAGCCAAAATCTCTAAGGTTTGGACTGTACACAAATCAATGGATGGGAAGCTTGCACATTATTACAAAATGCTCCATGACCAATATGGACCAATTGTCCGTGTAGGTACGTAGCAACATTATTGACAAGATCTTTCTATATAAGCTCATCTGATCTTAGGACCCAATGAGATTTCGGTTGCTGAGAAGGATCTATTGCCTTTTATTATTGGTACCCAAGGAATGCCCAAAGGTCCACGTAAGGTTTTGATTGTTGTTGGATTCTAATACCTAATGTTCAATATTGTTTGACGCTTCAGTTTGGGAAGGGCGAGCCATCACACCCAAAAAAAATCGTAACCAATCAAATTACAGTCTCATTGGTGTGCGAGATCTCACGCATCATTCACATCTTCGCAAAACCTGGAATCGTGCATTTTCCGAGGAACCATTGCAAGATTATCAAGATATTCTTATTCAGAATGCGAATAACCTAGTTGAGGTCCTTGAAAAGCGGTTCATGGAAGGATCTGTTGAATTAGATATTGCGAATGTCATCAACCTCTTTTCGTAAGTCCTTCATTCTGAAGTTCGCACATTATGTTTACATATGTCCTCAGTTTTGATTTCATGGGAGATTTAGCGTAGGATCCTTGATTAGCTCGAAAGAATTCATGGCTGAAATGGCTCTAGCTTTGCTGCGAATTTCGATGCGCTACGCAATAATGATGCAAATCACTTTCAGAAAAATATGGAGAGAGCTCTACTGTATTACCCTTTTGCCCTTCTCAGTTACTTTCATTGATACTCCCCTAGTACTCCTGCACTCACAATGCAAATCCCCTGGTCTGTAGCCATTGTCCAGGCATTTCCGTGGCTCAGTACGTCGCTCCGGAGTTTTGGAGCTTTTGCTGTTTCACAAGCAAAGTTGCGAGCTTCAAATGAATCTCGCAAGGATCTATTCTATTATCTTGTGAGTCATAATCTCAATGATAGTTGACAAACTCAAGCTATTAAAATTTGATAGAGGTCCTACTCTGATGTTCCGCAGGACTCATTATTTGCTTTCATTGTTTCGAATGCAGTGCTCGCTATTATCGCCGGTTCTGACACAACTGCATCAGCCTTGTGTAATGCAATTTATTACCTTGTAGCAAATCCAAAGGATATGCAAACCCTTCAGCAGGAGATTGAAGAAGCATTCCCGGACAGTGGCACAAATATTGACATCCAAAAACTCGATAAAATGCCGTGGCTTAATGCGGTGATGTATGTTTGAGTTCCAAGGAAATGATATTCTACTAATCATCATTCTTTAATATTGTCATTTCTAGCAACGAAACTCTTCGACTTCAACCTCCAGTTCCCAGTGGTTTACAAAGAGCACCAGCAGTCGGAAGTAAAGGTAAACTTGTTGGATCTCAGTAAGCTGATTTGGCTCTTTCCCTGATTGTACAAACTAAAGTCATCATACAATCAAGTTATATCAAGGAAGGCACTTCAGTGCTGGTTTCACCTTACGTCCTTCATCGGGACCCACGTTACTTCTTTCCTCACCCCGACAAATACTGGCCTGCACGATGGCTACCGGAGAATGCAGATAGTGTCACTTTAGACACATCGGCGTTTATACCCTTCTCACAGGGGCCTGCTAATTGCGTAGGGAGGCGTCTGGCAATTTTCGAACTGAGATACGTCTTGGTCCTTCTCTTCAGTCGATATGAGTTTTCTTTTCTCTCTGGATGGGATGCAGCCAATTGGGAAAGAGGTTTGAAAGACCAATTTGTACTTGCAAAGGATGTACTCAAGGTTACATTGACCCATAGAACAAGGAAAAACTAGTAGCTAGTAGCATATATTATATTGCAGTGATCCAGATTCCAGAACCTCTGTCATGAACTTGATACCCTAAGTTATCAAGATCATTTATGCTGTCTAAATTGACAATCTACTTTCAAGTTGGACAATGAATTTAGTGAGAATTACAGAATTATCATGGGTTGAAATTCACGAAATCACCTGTAACTGGTAATATACAAGGTCATACTTCTAGGACTTGATAAGCATCCTGCTATAGCCTAGTATTTTAATATCACATCCTTTACCATCTAACCGGGAAAATTATCTTCGCTGAGTGACTCGTATACAGCTCATTCATGCCTGTCATCATTTTCTGAACACTGTAAGGATGAAAGAATCATAGGGCCCTGGTAATACACATAAAATCTCATAGTTCAACTAAGACACTAGGGTCTAGTGTTCAAACATGATATGGATTGCAAATAAGAGAAAACAATATTTGAGGACTCCCTCCATAACCTTTCCGGCATAATATGTCTAGTCAAACCATGAATCCCCCCGAAACACCACTTGCAGTCTTGCAGACCCTGAACTGAACTTGAATACAACTCATACCACAGCTTTCATATACGAACCAGCGTAGTACCCAAAAATGTCGAAACACTCTGTCAGTTGGTTAATTGTACCGGATATTGGTATCACAAATAATGCGCTGGTAGCACCAACGAGGCAAATGCATGTCTAAACAGATCACAAGAAAACAATATTCAATCTGGACAATGGAATGAGGAAGAACGGCATACACCGAGAACCACCAACCAAACCCATTTCTTCAAATCCATGTTCTGCTAGAACTATTGCCTCTACCACCTGCTTCTCACTAAATTACTTCCTTCTTCAAGTTTGCATCCTACCAGTGAGCTCGACCATCTCTTGAGTGTGACTTTGTTGGCTCGTAGGATCATAGTAACTTTTGAGGTCTCCTGGTGGAAGGTGGTCATCACCATCCTCACTTGGCTCTTCAGGTACAGTCCACAACAAGTTCCAAAAAATGAACCAGAAGAGTATGCGTGGTAAAGGATTAGGGAGGAAGGAAAATAAGGTTACCGTTTACCCCGACATGCCTATAGTCACACTGTATATAGATAGCCTTTCTTCAAGGGTCTGACCTCCATCTACCTGTAAGTTACTGATTTGAGGGTCTCGCAAGGAAGAGGAATGACTCGGAAGTCATGAAGTTTCATGTATTTAGATAGAGGTGTAGTGTACATACATAAGGCCAAACACTCCATATACTCCAGCAAAACTCCAACGCCCAGACAGGCGGACGGGAGTTCTCCTGTGCTTACACGAAGTCCTAGATTCTAACAATCGTCCGTACGTCTGTACTTCAGTGCTTCAGTACCGAGTTAGTTGTCGAGCCTTGTCGAACCCAAATTCATCCAAGCCCATGTTCGAGTGATTAGTCCGAGTATTTCGATCGATATCAGCGGTTTGGCGATTCTGCAATCATTCAACGGGTGAATACTTGAGGTCGCAATTGATTGACATACTTATTGAATTACCTGTATCAACCACCCGCCTCTCTATCCGCCACCGCCACCAGTGGCAGCAACACCCGGACACGGATACGTCCCTGCTGATGTTAAACAGAGGAACAAACGCGATAACGAACCCGGGGTTGCCCTCCGCCTCCTCCGCCACCAGTGAAGGCAACAAGTCGCTGCTGCTGCGATTGTGTTCAGAACAGAGCAGGAGCGAAAGATAGACTCGGAGAACGCACAGCTTGCCTGAATAAGCCCTTTCAACTTTCAATGTCACGGTGCACTTCCTTAGGGTTCCTTACCCCTGCAGAGAAAGTAATCGCGATCGTTCCAAACGTTGACTAGTGATACCTCTGTAACTTGACTGTAACTTGATTAGCTTGATTCACTTGATTCTTGAGCTGATTTTACCCTACGGAGTAACTGAGTACTGTGCTAGATAGAGGTGTAGAGTACATACCTAAGGCCAAAACACACCCTCTTCACTAGTCACTCCCTGCACACTCCATCCACTCCCTCCACCCCAACACCCTTCAACGGGCGGACAGGCGGGGGTTCTTCTGATACAACATGAAACTCTAGCTTCTATCAAACGTCCGTAGGTCCATACTGAGTCACTCGTCGAGCCCAAGTTCGGGTGGTTACTTCAAGTGCTTCGAGTGGTTCAATCGATATCAGCGGTTCGGCGGTTCAGTGGTGGGTTTTCTGATTCTTTTTGGTTAGTGTTACCACGGAGATGGGGGCACATTAGGACGGGGGGGGATGGGGGTTGGTGCACTGAAATGGACCTCTTTCATTCGACATTCGACATTCGACCTTCGAGCGAGGATGGATGGATGATTCATCGTTTTTCGAGAGTGCGTGTTTTCGTGGGTTCGGGGACGAGGTGTTGAGGTGTTGATTTGAAATATTATTCTTTAGTACAACAGGTAAGGAAAGAGCTTCGAACGCACCGAAATTGAACAATATCTCTCTTCTTCTTCGGTGAGGTGTTGATTACGTTGTGGAAGAAGAATATGAAGTTTTCCACAATAGGACTTACGAATTCTCGACTCCACTATCGTGGGACAGGACAAGTCTGTTCCCGTGGCTGCACACACTCACCGTACTCACCTCACATCTCCACACACCATTCATCATTCATCGTCTTTCAAAAGGTCCAAACCCAAAACAAATCGAGCCAAATTCCCTATTCTCCCAACTTCCTAAATCAACGATCCTAACTTCCTGAATGAACGAACGCCTTTGTGCTTGTGCATCTGGTATACCATCTGGATCCACCACGTCCGTCCAAACCAAACATTCAAATCCTCCAAATGTTCAAATGTCCAAAATGTCCAAAATATTACCTACGTCGAAACGCCGGGCTTTCCTGAGTTGGATTTTATGCGTGAGCTTGATTTGGAGGAAATGGGATGGTTAGAGCTTAGAGCATTAGCTAAAGGATCCGGAGACTTTGAGACTTTGAGGTTCTTGCCTGATATCAACCCTTTCAACTATGTTCAATGTACGCTTCCTTAGACTTTCCTACCTCTGCAGAGAAAATTACTTATATGTAGTCACGGTTCCTCCGATTCCCAATCGAGGGCTTCTATCAAGTCCGTTGCACAGACTTATGTAGGCCAAAGGCTAATGTTGTTTAACCCTACTACGTACTGTGGTACTGATGGTATGTATATCATAGTTATCACCCTATGCTTACAAAAGGTTGTAAGTTACTAATTCGAGCAACCTGTGAGGAAGGGGAACGGATACAAATATAGTTCAATGTCTATCCATGCATGATGAATAATTGATTCTAACATTCACAAGTGTAGAGTAAATGAGGCTAAAAGACTCCATACATTCCAGCACCCTCCAACGGGCCGACGGTTGACGAGGGATCTCCTGTAGCCACGCAAAATTCTAGCTTCTAACAGACGTCCGTACGTCTGTACTTCAGTGTTTCCGTACCGAGTCGGTTGTCGAGCCCAGGTTCGAGCCCAAATACATTCAAGCCAATGTTCGAGTGTTTCAAGTGGTTCAATCGATATCAGTCGTGGTGGTTCGGCGGTTTAGAGGTGCCAGGGTTTCTCAAAGAAGTTCCCTGAAGAAGAGAAGGAAGAAAAAAAGGAAGAAAGAAGAGAGAACAGCGGTTCCACATAATTCACCCTCCCAGACCCCTTCCGCGCTGTTTCGGTACGCCTAGAAAAAGATAAGTGCAAGTGACAGGCTCCGCCGCTCACCCTTGATCGCACTGGACTCACCCTTGCTTCGCTGGGGTCTACAAGGGTCTACACAGCTTACACTGGCCGACAGCGAGCAATGCAGGGCTTAAATTTCTCAGGCAACAAGCTTCAAAAGGCGTTAATTTTTGTTCGATTCATCCTACCCTTTCATACTACTACCCTCGCGCTGGTTCGGTACGCATCGGCCTCCGTTTGCTCTTCGTCGTCTGGCTGACTTGGTGTTGCGAAAGCTCTCGCCCTCCCTTTATTTGTCGTACCACTTAGGATTACTGGCCAACTCCTACAAAATTTTCTAATTCTTGGTACGTTTTCAAACTCTCTTTCCTTGTTTTTTGGTACTCATATACTAATCCTTCATACACTAGGAACGACCCTTATTCTTGCTCCTTTGATTTCATCGACTTCGCCACTGTAGAAATTCCCTTTCGACTTGTCTCGCAGACTCCGTTTGTCAAAAATTTCGGACCTCGATGTTACTACCCCGAAGCGCCTCCTCGCACGTTTCAGCTTTGCCATGCCTTTGGGTGGCTACCCTGGCAGTCTTTGTATCCCCTTTGCCTACTGGCAATCACAACGAGATCGGTCCAGTATTAGGAGCTTCCCGACCCCCCGGAGTCCAAGTAGATCTTCAGGTCATATTTGCCAACAGTGGTGACTCCCTGCAAGAACATCCGGTCTTGGCCATCGGACAAGCAGTCCTTCATGCCATCATGCCAGAGGACACCAGAGGAAACACCCCAAAAGTATGGCCCACAGCAGATACCCTTCTCGTCCCAAGCAGGGATGACTGGATCTTGGAAACTCTGACCGGGCGGGATCACCGCACGGAGAACATTGGTAAAGCGTCTTTTGTGAGTGAAGAAGATCAAGAGAAATTAATCGAGGAGATGCTTGCTTTGAAAATGCCCCGCTTTAATCAAAAAGGCACTTGTCGGGATTATATCACGATGGTGTTGAAGCGGTTGAGGGATGGTGGATGTATCGATGATTCAGTGCAGAAAGCATATGAGAAGATTTACAAGGAGAGGTCCAACTATACATAGAAGTAATACAATGCACTGACACCTGACCAGCGCAAGGAAAACAATATTGGATTTTTCCTCATAGATACTCTTACTATATAAGATACAGAACATTAATCTACAGTCATGAATTATGTTGGAAGAAGAATGCTAGAACCGTTATGGGTATCGGTGCTCCTCGCCTAATACTGTATTGCGCTGGGTTACATAATGACGAGTTTGAACTTGAGTTCGGGGTGTGTTTTTTTCAGGCAGGTCGTGTTTCGACGCGATGCTCCTTTACCTGCATCTCCTCTCTCTCTTTCTGTCTCCCCTCCTCAAACACCCCTTTCCTTACTGGCTTCACCCTCGGATAATCAACACTTCCCCTCTATACCTTCACATCACACACTCCCTTCAAGTTCTTCTTATTTTTCCCTGGATACCTCACCGCCCCCTTCCAAGTCACCAAAACCGAAAAATATCCATTCCCGCCGAGTCCTTAAATCTCCGTACACCCCAGTCGAAATGGGTGCTTTCCCGAGTTGGATATGTATATGATGCCTGATTTGAAGGTAATGCCAGGGTTGGAAGAGCGTTGGAAGGAGACCAACCGGGTGTTAGTTTAGTCCGCAGCGTGAATTTGTCCCGTGCGAATCATTCATCGACTCGAAGGAGGTGTGTGGTCCCAATGAGTAAATCCCAGTGTTTGGTTGTTGAGGGGTGTTATATCTAATTGTTTGGCGGGTGAGTCGCGATTGATACACATATCCACTTACCCGCACTAACTGCGCCTTTCCCTCCTCCTCTTCCTCCTCCACTAGCAACAGCAACACCCAAAAACATCCGAAAACGCCCCTGCTACCGCTGCTGTTGTCCACAAACAGAACTTCACAACTAGGTAACCCGAGAATGAAAGTATCTCCCTGTCCGTATCCCAGAAACGTCGATAATTCACCGTAATTGTTTTATTGCGAATCACTGAGTAAGTAATCGCGTTCAGAAGAGGTGGGGACACAGAGCAGGATACGCTAGACAAGACACTGCTAAACACTACTAGACAGAGCGGAAGACACCAATAAAGAAAGAAAGCAAGAGCAATGCTCGCAATCGATGCGATATTCAATGCCATACGAGCTCGATAGGTTTCAGGAGATCGAGGGCAAAAACCCTTCTGGGTAGCGAGAGGGGGTTGGCAGTGCAAAAATTATTCACGCAGGCAGTCCTAACGACGACGACGACGGAGATCCGTTTGGGTTTCGTGCAATGCCAGAAGAACTGCCATGCTCTCCCCTGCCCCCCCCAGACTCTCCCTCGACCCCAAATCTTGAAATTGAATCATGAATTTAAAACCTACATAAATAACGACAATAATCGGCTTCAAATATCGTATGTATGTCGCTTGCTCGCCGAATCAAGTCCTAACGATGCCTGGCGCTTGACGCCGAGAGTCGTCGTCCTACTACCATCTGGGAACCCGGGAAGCCGAAAGAGAGATCTAGACGAGAGAACCTAGACGATAAAATGACCGGTGGTGGTTAGAGATGTAAGAAAAGATGAGTGAAAGAATTACCAATAAAAATTTGAGGAACTCAGTGGAAGTCGTGCCATGTCCCAAACTCGAACCCGGTAAGCTTGCCTGTTATATCCACCACATCCACATCCATATCCAGACGTCTCCGTAATCACCCTCTGCTAACGCTCGACTCTAAGTGCTAGGAAGCACTAGAAGCTTCAAAACTTATGAAGCATCTGTTGAACGACCTAGAGCACCACGGTATCCTTGGGATTTGATAACAGTCGAGACTCGGAAGGACGAGGGATAACATCGATGACAACAAGGTCGTGTTGGAGCAGGTGATGAATGTGAATATAGGTAATACGTGTGGGGGCACGAAAGAAGGAGGGGGAAGGTCTCGAGATCATAATCATCAATATCGATGTGGAGTACGTGGACGTGGACGTGTATCGAGCGCTGAGCGCTTGAACCCGCCACCCGCGGCTTCGACTCACGCAAAAAATGGACCGCGCTATCGAGGGTGTCTGGTGTTGGTTCCTCGATGTCGTTAAATGTCAGATCAGACGACGCGAGCTCGGTTGTCGGTTCGTCTTGTCGCCACCTCCGATATCGATAAATTCCTTGGCCTTGCAGAAACACTGTCTGGATGATTAATACGGATTAAGATCATAGATATTCTACGTTACCTTTTTGTAGCCCAAGCGGTTTCTCCGTTCCCTTTTCTCCTTCCCTTTGCCCTTCCCAAGTTCTCTTTGGGTTTCTTCCCTTGCGCGGAGGGAGCTTCTTGGTTATACTCCCCGCTTTTTCCCACTTGTGCTGGTCGACTGCGCTCTGTTGTCCATCGTGACGCTAGAAGTCCAAGGGTCCGAGTACTGAGTGTTTGTCGATATCCTGAGATATGAACGGGTGGTAAGAGAGTATGTATACATAGACAATTAACTAGACGAGTTGAACAATGAACGTTGAACGTGGAAGTTATTCAGACCCGTGACTTTGACACACCGAAAACAGCACGAACATTTCTTACCAGCAAAAACTGCACCGGAATGTGAAACAAACTGAGGGATGAATGATAAGCTCTCGTGGTCAGTGCATCGGCAGGTTGCAGATTGTTGAGTGTAGGAGAAACACTGCCCGGATTTTGAAGCAGTTTTGAATTTTCGAATCGACAGGTTCGATTTATGTACATATGTAATGGAGCCGACGGAGGCTACTAAGGTCTGTGTGATATGGTTGGTCTCGGAAAGAGTCCAGAAATGCGCCATTTGAGAGCTAAGACTTCCGTTGTTTGCATTTCACCATGGTTTCCGGTAGTTTCCATTCGGTTTCGTTGCATCGATAGAACTTAAGACTGCTGAAGGGGCGAGATGAGGAAGTCTTTGTATCTGCATACTACTATACACCACCATCCAACAGCACCACTCGTCCTCTTCCTAACCTTACCGCAGAGATAGCGATGAATAATGGTTCCTTACTCTGTTCTTCAGCAATGACCCGTCATTCATGTTGAGGGATAATGTCATAGACACCGCCAGTTTTAATTGATGGTCGAAATGGATATAATAAAGACACGGCAGGAAACGGGGAACGAAGGGAGACAAATAGTTTGAAGAACGAGAAGAGGTCGCATTGATCAGGCGGATTTCAAAAGTACGATCCGCTCCCATATCAGCATTTTTCGGTATACATCCACTCAAAATGTGCAGGAAGTGAATAAAAACTGCTTTACCATGTTATTAGTAAGTTACTACCAGCTCATCGATGATTCACTACTCCCTTCAATGATGTGTCTCGTTATCGTTGACATAAAATCCGGTGAGTAGATGGGTCATATCATCTACATCTGAGTGGGGACCTTCAATGACCACCACCTCTTCGTTCCTGATGTTGAAATGTGCAGTGGAATGCTGGATTAAAATCAACAATAGTAAACCCAAGTCCAACACTCGAAAAAAAAAACATTATACCTCACTGATGTATAGATGCTGGTTATTCCAAAATTCCACATGCATCTCGGACTGAGGGACTACGAAAGCATTGGCCTTGAGGTGCCCCGTGCCTAGAAGTGAGGAACCACTGTGAACTTGGAAATTGACCCCGTTAGGGCCTATCCGTACACGTTCAGACGGAACCCTAATGCTGGACCCAGACAACCCCAGCTGCGGCAAGTTTCGAAAAGCATATTCCAGGCCCTTTTCCAAGAACATACTCACGCTCTGCCTAGCCTGAGAGTTACGATCTGGTTCAATTGTTACGTCGACGATTAGAGCCCTCCTGTCCACGGTGTTGCTCTGAAGATTAAAGCCCCAAGTGAGTGTTTACCTCTACTCGTCATTAGAAAATCCAGAATTGGACACTTACAGAAAGAGGCATTGTCCAAGCCATTGCAAGGAAACCCATGGTCAGGCCAAGCGTGAGGTAGATGGTATTCAGATGCATGATGAGCAAAACAGAATGACAAAGAGTGGTGCAACTGTGAATTGTGTGGCAGGCGGCGTGAATGCGGAGATCGAGTCCTCGAGGTTGGTATGAAGAGTAGCAGATGAGTGAGCAAAAAGTTTCCTTGGCCAGCAAGAACTTTTTGCAGAACGACTTGAAGGAGATTGTGGGGGCTACTGTATAATCTTTGCGGCCAGTGGGTCGTGGGTCATCTTATACGTTTGTTTTCAGCCACGCTTTGTTGACCCTCAGATTGCGGTGCTATTTCTCTGTTCCGACGGACGAGAGAAAAAAAACCACGCTGGTAAAGAGTGCATTGCAATTGCAAATGTCGGATTGCACCTGATTACACTCGCATACACGGCTCCGAGCTCGACGTAACGTGTTTGGTATAGAGAAGTAGAAGTTTGCGAAGATTCGTAGTCAACAGTTCAGGGTGAGTGCCGCTAATGAGAGGAGAGATAGAGAGGGTTAATTTAGCCACCGCAGGCCACCATTGCGGAGCCAAGAGCGGCTGAGTCGAGGAGGGATATCAAGAGAAGTTGTTCAAGGCTCGACAGCGCTTTTTGAGGGGGACAGGTTCAGATTGAAAAGATAACGAGTGACAACGAGAGAAAAGACGTATATCAGCAACCAATATCAAATGCTTAACCGTAGCAGCTCGCCACAGCTCGATTCCTGGAATTCTCCTTACTCAAAACACTCTCTGCCACCCAATCCGCAATTCTATTGCTCGTCTGAATCACATACACAACATTATCCATTCCATCTCCAGGGCGCCGACGCCTTCTCTAGCACGCTGCAGACACTCCATTGAGCGTATCCTTCGAGATAACATGGATTGCAGCAACATTAGTGGTCGAGCAACTTCGAGTGGTTCGATATCAGTAAGTTTCAGCCTTTTGGCTGAAGAAAGCACGGAGACGCGATTGAGTAGTTTCCCAAAAAAAGAGGAAAGAAGAGAAAAAGACGGACCCGCAGAAGAAGAGCCCATATTTGCCATGCTCGATAAGTTTGAGGAAATTGAGGAAAAACCTTGGTAAGATAGGTGCAGGACAGGAGACGTTTGGGCAGCTTTGACAAAGATTCGCTTGGTTTCACCAGATTCTTGCTGTGCGAGATATGTCAAGCAAACCCAAAAGTGAGCCATACAGACGGGGAGTACAAAAAGCCGGATTACCCACCACCCTCTCAATCAACGCCAACAACGACCGCGATGCGATAACGAACTTGAGCTACGTCCTCCGACAACACGAATTCTTTCATTCAAGCGAGGACGTACAAATCATTCTTTTTCGAGGATGTCTTCGTCGGTGAGCATTGGTTTGAATGTATTTATGACGCTGTTGTAAACAAAACGATTAGTTTTTCGCAACAAGAAAGAGTTTTCACGCACCGAAACTGAACAATATTCCTCTTCCTACTCGTCCATTGCCTCAACTGCAATGTGGCGGGACCAGGGGGAGGCTGTAAGAGAACTCTGACACCTCCGAACCTTCTCCTTCGCTTTCGCGTTCCGAGAACTCTGAGAAATCTGAGGGGTCTACAACAACAATGGTATTATCATTTGAGCCAAACCCCATTTTTTTGAAAGGAAGGACTGACCGGCATCCCCAACCCTGAATTTGTCGGTTCGAATGCAACTGTGAGACGTTTTTTGCCGAGGGAAAGCAGGGTCGGGTTTAGGTTCAGTTTGAGGACCATCGGGGCGAGGTCGATGTTGGAAGTGAGATTCAAGTTGATCTGTCGTCGTTAGATGGATAGTCAATAAAGATGAGTTGAGGGAGCAACGAAAAAACAAAACACACTTACGTATAATTCGTCCTCGTTTAACCTATCCAACTTATCCAACACCTTCTGCACCTCCACTCCAAACGCACCGATCGCTCGTCCAAGCTCCATTGCGTCTCCCCGGATGCGCTCAATCGTGCTTTCCGGACTGACGTTTGCGGAATCGTACCTAAGCAGAAATAAATTGTCAGAGAAAGAACGAAGGAAAGGACAAGTGAAAAAGATAGAGAACGAAAAAAAGAAACCCAAGGCGAAACAAACAACCAACAAGCGCACATACCTTATCGCTCGCGCAGACAACACCTACCTCGAAAGGGTTGCTGTTAACCTGCGCCGGGAGGGTTTTAACGGGTTGGATTGAGAACGGGAGTCGGTGCGAGTGTGGATGCGTAAGGGGAGGCGGCGGAAGCGTCAAGGCAACGGTAGCGGCAAGTATTTCAACCATGATTTTCGGAACCAGAGCTTCCAATCCACCTCCTCCCCCAGCTGCAATAACCCCATTTTCTCTTGACCCACCTGCACTTCCACCCGTTGTGCTCGGCCCGGCGCCACAGACATACAACAGCCCCCTCACACTTGCAACCACATCCTCAATAAGCGTATCCAGATCCGCCATCGCAGATGTATTTTCTTCTCTTCCGCCTCCCATTGAACCTGTGCTCATTTCTTGGTTCGGACTCGTTTCACCCAAGATCCAGCCCACCTAAATTCAACCTGACGTTTACCCGCTCGACAGCCTCCCTCGCGCGATGCACCATGTCTAGCGGGTCTTCTGGCGGAGGTGGGTATAACGCCGATTGGAGCTGAGCAGCGAGGAGGAGGGCTTGTTGGGAGTCGGAGGACACTGAAATCGGAGTTGGTTGACGTTGCAAAAGAGAAGTTAGTTGTTTGTGAGGAGGATCGGGTCCTTGAGAGAAATTATGGGAATTGGTTGAAGAGAGTGGGAGATTATGAGCATTGGAATTGGCTAGTGTACCCGTGAATGTACCTCCAGAAGACGTCGTTAAATGGGAATGTCCAGATCCAGAAGCAATAGCTGTCTCTATAGTTCCTGTGGTCACAATAGTGTTGATAGACCCGAAATTTGCATGGCCTCTCAATATTTGTTTCCCTTTTCCTTTCGCATCATCCACTTCATCGGCAAGGGATACATCCACATCGCTCGAGTTACTGTACACATTATGCCCACCACCGGTCAGGCTATTCACACTATCCGACCTCGCTCTCCTGTGTAGAGGTAACGGGACAGCCGTCGTCGGCGTCTCCGGTAATCCTGAACCGCAGGAGGTCAAAAACTCCTCGGATTTACTATGTACAATTTTATCATTCAGGGGGGCAACATCTACATTGAAGATCATTCTATAAGAGAGCGCCATAATATTGTGGCAATATGGTAGGTATTCTATGTGATTTCAATGATTATAGCTAGTGACAATGCCTACTAGTAGCCTCCGTGATTTAGTGATGATGCGGTCGAGTCCGAGAAAATGAGGTTCACGGGGAGAGGTCGGAATTGTTGCATGGTGGCAATGAAGGTTGAGCATAGAGAGATGATACTCGGCAGTGAAGGGCATCGGAAGAGGATGTGGTGCTGCAGGGTCTCCAGCTGATGACGAGAAGGAAAACGCCAAAATCGGGGCCTAAAGTACGCTAATTCGGATGGGGGCTGGTAGGAGCTATCGGGGTCCTGCAAGACACCTTCGCAGTCTTAAGGCGAAGAACTTCGATGGGCTTGGATTCTTTGATATCCCGCCCATAGTGAAATGTATAGTAGTCACTAAGAGTTAAAAGACTACATTCAGAGGGAAAGGGTTTGACAGAGACAAGACAGAAAGTGTTGTGATTTTGTGAACCTGTCCCTGTAAAATAGGCAGGAAGCCCTGACGCTGAGAGAATGTCTATGGCGGCACTCTCATCTACTCTCCTCTCAATCGTTGTTGGAGTGAAGGCTCCCGGGATGAGTTTCCCCACTTCTGGCCCATGACAGTCTCCAAAATAAATTCTGATATCAAAGTCAAGGTCTTGTCGAATCAACACCCTGTGAGCTGTGACTGGAATGAAGGTACTGGAGAAGGCAGAGAGGGCAGAAAAACCCATAAGGAAAAGAGATAAGCTTTTCATGAATCGGTAACAGGGATTTTACTAGTACAAGATATGGCAGGATTAGTATTACGGTGTGTCCGAAAAACACAAGATTTTTAGCAAACGTACAAAGATTTGTCGGAAGACAATGTCTAGGGGTTTGCGAGACAGTCGAGAAGAAAATTTCACAGGCAGGTGGTGAAGTTAGCGGAACTGAAGGTAAAGAACGACAGATTGTGGAAAACGTACCAAAAATTGTCGAAGAAAAAACCTGTAGGAATTGGCCAGCAATCCTAGTGGTAGGCAGATAGAAGTTTTGTACTAGTACCAGGTTAATCAGTTGATAAAGAGCGGATTTAAAAGTGCATACCTAACCAGCGCAGAGGATGCAGTAACTATGAAAGGTGGGTATGAAAGATAACGGGTTGAACAAAAAGTGACATCTTGAGGCTTTTTATGCGTTTATGAGATTATTATTTGCCTGGCTTGATCTAGATCCGATGGCGATGAATGAGCTTGAAAGAGAGGGCCGGAGGGGTAGAGAGGGATAGTTATTGAAAGTTCATTATCATCTATACCCACTACAGAAAGGGCTCCTGACGATACCTGCTGATAACTGAGGCAATAAAGATTGCTGCTGTCCAGATTCGCGCAAGCTGGATCTGAAACTGTATATGTGTACGAGCGAAACTGCGCGCGCATTCATAACGTCTCTAAAATAATATTGATTCGAACCACCAACACAAATACAACGATCTAAATGATGGAAGGGACCTGGGAAACATAGTGACTCGTGAGTGAGGTCTGCAGTCTGGTCTAATGAGGTTTGCGGAAAAGCCTCAGTAAGTACGTTGGGGTACTACGGAAGCGAAGGGAAAAGATTCGGGGTCGGCAAACGTTGTTGCAAAGGACCTCAAAGGACCCGCGAAAGACCGCCGGATCCGAACAACAACTTGAACAAGGAGACCAAGGGAAGGCTAGGGAAAACCACGATCGTGCGGGCTCACAGAGGCACAGGGTCTAGTTCGCTAACGAAGGAAGATGCTGGGAAGATGTTCCCCACAACTGTATATAAAAGGGACGTGCGGACGCAGCAATGCTGAGCACCGGCACACATTTTCGCGCTAGTTCGGTATGTATTCCTCCATTTCTTCTTGCTCTCCTTGCTGAGTTATATGATAGCTGTTACACTGTAATTGCTGGTCAATTCACTGTACCACAAGAAAAGAACAGTCTCTCTTTTCCTACACTGCTCCTATCTCAATGCTCCTAGCCCGCTTATCAGCCCTAATTTTTTCACTCTGTATGACTTGCGTCGCGGTGGCCGCATCGCCCTTGCTCACCGGCCATAATTCCCAAGCCGTCGAGCGTCGTGGCCCCGAACTAGGTCAGTGGATTTGAGTAAATGAAGTAAGTTGTGCATGTTCTCACTAGCTCAATACAGCTGCAAGACATGGATTCGAGGTACAACTCATCCTTGGCATCATCGGCGAAGGGACCAAAAGTGAACACTGGGTCCTGGTCTTTGGTGAAACCTATATTCACGCCGTAGTCGACCCGTCCGTGGATCCAGGACATCTGTCTGTCCAAGGAGGATTTGAAAGTTGGAACCCTCATGATTTTCATCCTGTTGCTAAAGAGATTCACCTGGGCAACGCCGTTTTCCGGGATGAACACGAGCAGTGGGAAGTTATCAAGAATATGCTATACACGAAGGATCCCTTGAAACTGGTTGTTCCTAGACTTGCCGAAGGTACTACGCAAGTCTTGCAGATGCCCATTCCTGTGAAGGAGAAGGGAGGAAACTGCATGGACTTCCTCAAACGTGCAGTAGAGTATATGGCTGAAGGACACGGTTTGGACGGAAACGCGGAAGCTAAGAGGAAGTTCCTGGAAGCGTTTAATGCCAGGTATCACGATGTAGCAAAGGTTGCCTTCAATGTAGATATCCAACCGTAGGTCGAGAGGAAAAATTATTCAAAAATATACGCTGTAGATTTCTTGCTGATAAGCGCCCACAAGCTCGTTCTGAAACATCACCTTCTCATCCCTTTCAACTCTGAGCACATCCGGATCCCTTATCTTGCAGCCTATGTAACTCATCCTTCGCGAACGGCCGATGGTGTAATCAATCGTGGAACGCGACCATGGAGACAGCGGCTCCGATAACAACAATGACCCAACCACAACGTACCCACCGTCGGGTACATCTGTGCTTCGATATCTGGATCAGCCATGCCGTTGCCATTCTCATTGGCGTCGAACCAAACTGCGACGATAAGTTTATCGGGTTATGTTGGTAGGAATGTGCAGATGATAAAATGTGTTGTATCCCACTGTTCCAGACTGTTCCTCCTGGTAACCTTTTGATTCCAGAAGACTGATACGAGCTCACCCTGCGCGGACGGAATTTAGCGCTCCGGCGCCAAGAACGAGACCCCAGTGCTCCACGTCTGTACCCCGATCGACAATAGCGACCGTAAGGTCGACCACAACTCCATAAATGTATATGTTTAGCTTTTCGGGAGACCTTAGGAGGACAAGTAACTCACTCGTATCATGAGCGCGTCTATAATACTGGGAAGCTCTGATACCTTCCATACCGGCAGGCAAGGGTGATGCACAACTTGTTAGCAAAATTGTCCACATGTACAGTAAAGCGAACAAGCGCGAGATCATGATTTGGGATAAAATTTTTGGAATCGTTCGAAGGATTTCGTGAGCAAGCAATGAAGATCGTGTAGGTTGAGTGAGTGTCTCGTTCGTAAACTGTAAATTTCCGCAATTGGTGAGAGTAAGATCAAGTGTAAGCAGTTTGAAGATGTACCTTGTCAACAAAAATCGACCAGGAATTCCTACCACTGCCACCAGGAATAAGATGAAAAGCTATCGAAGTATATTATGAGAAAGCGAAAAAGGAGCATACATAGGTAGTGGAACGTCGTACCGAACCAGCGCGAGGTGTATCTTAAGATGGTGAGTTAAAGGGGTTTGAGAGAGGTGGCATGAGACGGTATTTATGCCTTCTTCCCAGCGCCTGAAAAAAGTGTGGGAAGTCAGAAGGACGAAGAATCTGGTTGGAATGGAGGCTGTGAGTAGAAGGTAGAGTAGGGTAGAGTGCGATGTGGCCCCCCGACAAATTTCTGCACGGCAAGAATGAATTTGTGGACAAAAAGCTTAAAGAGACTCTGACGACCGGTGTCCAAGATTGGAATCTTTACAGCTCCCCCCGCGTTACAAAGATACCTCTTGGTCAGGCGAGGTTCAATCACCAATCCGACAAAGTTAATGCCGTCAATGATGCGCTCGCTCTGCAGATGCCCGCTCCGTACCTGGCGAAGGGAGGAGGTTGTATGGATTTCATCACTCTCGTGCTGGATCAGTTGAAGAGGAAAGATCAGTGTGGGGAGGATGTGGTGCAAAGATATCATGAAAAGTATGTTGCAAATTATCACGAAGTATCCAAGTTAGTTTGGGATGTAGATCTCCAACCTTAGAATGAAGGATGTCATTCAAGTTGAAGAAAAACTATCCATCCATTCATATATATATATATATACTTCCTTGGCTCGTCCATTATGTTATCTTCCAGGTCATAAGGTTGGAGAATATTTCGATCGAGATAAATGTGGGTCAGCTAAGATATAGTATCAGAGTTTTGAAAGTGCAGTGAATCTAATGGGTTACTGAAATTTCGACAACTGCGACGACAACCGTGACCCAATGTCATTTGTTGTTAATGTGGGCTGGCAAGTTGGCCGCAGAGTTCCCGAAATCAGAGAGGCAACGGAGCCTCGAGTTGGGGTGCAAACATAGACCTGCTGTCACTTTGAATTTACATTCTCTGCAGCTCATTTAAAATCGAGAATGTTGTCAGAATATTCCATTCATCATTACATGGTTTATCAACCATGGACAGAAAAAATCTGCGAGCAAGATACACTTACTATGTAGTGCATACAAAGAAACAATTAGCCTTCTGGGAGTCTGAGACCCGGTATAAGCTCCACAGTGACGATTATACAGCCATACGGCGCACAAATGATCAGTCCAAAGAAGTAGGAAAGAAATAAGTTGTGACTCGCTTTTTTCTGCTAGACGTTATTGCTATTGAAATAAACCTCCTCAATGGACGAGCGCACTATTCCATGTTTTGGTGAGGCAAAAGGCCTAGGAAAAGTTGGAAATACGTTTTGGAACACTCTCACAGTATTCAGTAGCCATAGAAATACACTGTGATACAGTTGAAAATGAACGAAGATTTCGTGTTCGGAATTCCGGAATAAAGGCATGCGGCGCTGAGAGTGGAATCTCCGCAAAGATATCAATCAATAAACGTGGTCGACGATGCAAGCGAAAGACAAGACAAGAAGACTGAGAAATGCATATGTAGCATGTACGGGTCGCATGTATGTAGTACATTGTGAAGCGTGCGGATCTGCCCGCTTGCAGGTCTGACGACGTATGAAGATGCCCAGATCCACAGAAACGAGAGCAATCCAGTGAAACTCGAGAAGACGGCGTTGAGACGAGAGAAAAGGTTAGGTAGATTACATATTGTTATATGTGAGAAGCGTTGGGGGTAGAAGGGTGATTAGGTACCTGATTTCGTCGTAAGATATGGAATTTTTGAGGATAAAGGTGGCGAATAGAGAACAGCAACAACACAACAGTCGACTTCAAATATCATCGATCGAGCCAGCCTAGAGCAGGTTCACTCGGCGGTGTTCATTGCTTGCTGATCCTCCCCAGTTGTTGTCGTGTCCAGGCTGGGCGCGGCCTCTTCGGGCGTCGCTTCGGATGTTTCCTTGTTTATTGGGCTCGTAGGATTGGTAGGAGAAGTCGAAAGAGATTGCATACTGCCGTTAGTCGGCGGCGAGGAGGCATGCGGAATGCTGTACTCATAATGATTAGCGATAACAGCAAAGCACAGCTATAACAGACACACTTTTCTGGATTCGGAATCGTTGTCCCAACCGATTCCTGCGATGTCACGCCAGCCTTGGAAAGAGCATAGTCTCCAGAGTCGAAGTACTTTCGGTCCTAGAAAACCGAATTGATCCTGCCCAGCCCGTAAATAGTTTATCGAGGAGGCAGACCTTTTGCATCTTCATGAGCGTATTCTTATGGGTAGGAAGCTTCCCATATTTTGCGAAAAGCAACTGCTCTTGCTCGCTCAGTTTCTATGCAGGGAATCAGTAGGCAGGAAGGAATACAAAAAAGGTAGGACGATTTACACTGATGTCGACCTTGTTTCGCTTAGCAGGGAGCATCTTGGAAGAGAAAGAATCCGCAGTGGCGGAAAGAAACGAGAATTCGGCGAGAATATGAAGGTTAGATTTATTCGTTGGTGAAAGTCTTTGGTAAAGTGTGAGTCGTAGTCGGAGTCTGAACTGATCCGCCTTATATTTTTGGTAACTTTAGATCCGGTGTACCGTATCTTGGCCGACAACGGCTCTCAATTCTGACCATATATTGCATACTAAGGCCCCAGTAACAAATATGAAGTAAATAATTTTCTTTTCATGTTTCTGCTCACTCTAACCTTCGCTCACCGAGCCGCTTGACAGCTTTTCTCGACAAAGTTGTCCAACTTGTCGCTCCGAAGTGTTCACTTTTCCTCTAGAGCTCGACCCGGCATACGAAAAGCTTTATGAAGATTTGGTCCAAGGAAGCAGATCTAATACCATCCCGGAGACATTTGCTGAACAGCTGATACTCGAACATAGAGTTGAACAAATGAGCTCTGAAATTCGAAAATACGACGACGCGATTGCTCGGTTACAAAAGCAGCGCGCCCAGCTAGCAAAAGCCATGACATGCCAGAAATCTCTCCTTTCTCCCATCCGAAAACTGCCTTCAGATGTTTTGATACATATTTTCCACTTGGTATCCGAAGATTCTATCCTTTTCACCGAATCCCCAAACGAGAAAGCCTCGCGTACCTTCATTGGTGCAATTTTCTCATTGACATGGGTTTGTTCTGTCTGGCGAAATCTTGCACTGTCACAACCTACCTTTTGGTCCTCCTTCAAGCTTCGACTGCAAAGCGTCGGCGAGAACTCTCGAAGCGTGATTTTCAGGGAACTCGTTTTGTCGCGCATAGGTCCAACAACACCTATACAGATCGTTATTGACTTGAATGACTCCCCTCGTCGGGTCCCAGCGACATGGAATATTTTGTCACAGTTTGCCGGTAGATTGAAGCACTTGAAGGTCATGGTTCTATACCCAGAACATTTCGACAGCCTGTTGGAGATGATCACAGATGGTTTTAATGCAGGTCCCTGCTTTCACTGTCTCGAGCATCTGGAATTTTGGTTCCTGTATAGTTCTAATCGCAAAACGCGATCGAACGAGACATTTCAGTCATTCAAACATCCATCTCTCAGGAACTGTCCGCGGCTGTACCACCTGAAGGTCCCATTTCTTAACCTAGCCGATTCCCTAGACTTGAGCAATTTGACCTGTTTGCGGATCACATTCGATTTCGGGGGCTCTTTGTCCACCTTGCTCCAGAAATGCGCCACACTGGAAACTCTACAACTGGGATGGTTCAATGCACCGGACAACTTATCGTCACGCTTTCCACCTCTTTGTCACACCTACCTTTCGACCTTGGAGATTAATAATATCGGCAGACAACGGGATAACTCCTCTGCGTTCGAGATGGTTTCCATACCGAACCTCGCCGTATTAGCAGTCAAGTGTCCCATTTCTTGTGGACCTGGAAACCCTTTTAACGAGCTGAGAACCATGTTGGTCCAATCGAGATGTACTCTACGTGAGGTCTTGTTCGAGGGAATCCCTTCCTATGTAGCAAATGTGTTCCTTAATATTGTACGCATCAGTGAGGATGCAAATATCACTGAGAACAGTGGAAGGATTGAATGACGTTACAATCATAAATGTACTACATACAGTAGTGCATACGGAAATGCTTCTTCCCAGGTTCTTCCTTGTAAATACTTATGTCTAATCAATCAAGCTTACCAGAGCTTATCGTACTGACCAGGATTATCTGAGGATTGATACTTAGTTTGTTTTATCATGTGATGGTAGACTCACTTTCCCCGTCGCCAACACAATTTGAATCAGCGACGCGACTATTGCCAATACCTTCATGGGCTCCTCGAAGCATAAACACCATGACAAGGAAAAGTCGATGAAAAAGCGACATCACCATAATGAAGAACAATCGGAAAAGCACCATAAACGGAAGCGTACAGAGGTTCGAGTTGACGATGAAGACATGTGGGTAGAGAAAAACATTGACACCGACGCCAAGGTTTCTTCGGATGCTGTTATGGCACCACCCGATGTTCCTTCGACTTCCAGCTTAAAACGGGAAGAATGGATGTTGGGACCCTCTTCGTCTTCCGCTGCAGAATCTTCCGATTTCTTCTCGAGCCTCGGCATTGAGACACACCGCAAAGCAAAGGACAAACAAAAGGAGAAAGCCCAGGAGGTGGATAGAGCCATGGAAATCGAAAAGTCGTTGGAAATACAGGATGAACAAAGTATAGACCCTTCAACAGCCTCAGACTCCGCTCCGAAACGCCCGTTCACCCCAGGGGGTCCCGGCTCACAATGGCGAATGACTCGCTTGAAACGAGTTTACGAAACTGCTGAGGAAGAAGGCCGAGATGTACTCGAAGTTGCACTGGAACGGTTCGATTCAGCGGAGGCCTGGGAATTAGCGCAGGAGGAACGCCGGATTCTGGATGAAAGAGACGGACGGAGAGGACGCCCACAGGACAGATTCGAAATCGGCGATAGAGGAGGGGGAGGCGAAAAAGGTTTCATGTTTTCCGGCTCATCGACTCGAAGTTCATCCTTCCGCCGGCCTGGCGGGAGCGGTCCATCCACACCTTCCGCAGGTGGACCACCGGTGAATCGTCGGCTCGATTCGCTACGTCTACCTTCTCAAGCCAGTTCACCGTTACAACAAAGTCATACACCTATACCTTCCGTTTTAACACCTCCGCCTTCACAATCATCAAGTAGGAGGGCCCTCTCACCTTCCTCACTCAACAAATTACAAGCCAAGGTCCTCCGTGCTAAACTGGTTGGTGCACCAAACGCGGAAAAATTGGAGCGTGAATATGAGGACGCTCAGAGGGTAGCGAATGGGTTTGGTGATGCCAGTCCTCGTACTTCTGGCAAGCAGAACGTCAAGGTGGAGGTGCTGCCAACTTTGGACGGCAGAGGCCGTCTGTATGACATTGGTTCCGGTTCGAATGGCAAGGATGAGGAGGGGGACCCTGCTAGAGCAGGCAATCGGAGAAAGAAGGAAAAAGTCTGTGATAATTGCCTTATTTTCTTCCTCGTTCTTAATGCTAATTTCAGTTGATTAATAATAGTATTTCGACACGCACGACCCGCGTACAGGGGAAATTGTCCGATACAACGCTGATGACGATAGTACCACTCTCACGGAGATGCTCCGACAGGAGAGGTTTGGTGGTGGGATGGCTGATCAAAAGGATCAGGATATGGTGTTAGCGAGAGCGATTGTTGGAGATGGAAAGTTCGAGGTGAATAAAGTTCCTTTCCACTATTCATTGACTTTTACTCATATCCATGGCTTTTAGAACGACCTCGACTACATCGACGATAACGCTGCGAAATTGGGCCGGCAAAAAATGCGTTCGGATGCTATGAAGAGGCAGTTTGCTATTCATGGTACGTGTCAAAGCTGTTCGCTGCTCCTCCTGTATCTTTCTCTTTGCACTACAAGTCCATCATCTCTGCGTAAACATCATCTGACCTATTCGTTATCACCAAATGCATGATTTCTGATGCATGTCCATCTACTGACGCGTTTCCTTTCAGACTACAAACGCACTCAAAAAGCACTCGCCGACTGCGATTTCTGCTTCTCTGGATCGGGCTCGGGTAAATCTTTCTCTATCTCCTTCTATCCTCTTCCCGGTCCTATCTCTTTCTCGCTACCTTCCACTAAAAAGGCCTTGATGTCCTCGTTTTTGCTTCGTCTCTTTTCATTCAACTACCTCATCTCACTACCATCCATCCTAACTTTATCTCCCCTTCCCACAGGCCCCGACGCAGACGAGGTCCCTCCCCGGGCACCTATGATCGCGCTCGGAACTCGCGTGTATCTCTCTTGTACGATCCATGAAGAGCTTGTACCCGGGCACTGTCTTATTGTCCCAATCCAGCATTGCTTGACTATGCTGGAAGGAGATGATGACGTTTGGGATGAAGTCAAAGTAGGTTTCTCGTCTCTTCACAAACTTTCCCCTGTTTTCTCAAGCGCATTTTTTTTGATGTTTACTGTTAGAACTTTATGAAGACCCTTATGCGGATGTTCTCCGAGCAAGAACCTCAGAAGGGCGTGTTGTTTTACGAAACTGTCACTCCTAGGTCGATGAAAGGACAAAGACACTCGTATATTGAGTGTGTACCGGTGGAATGGGAAGTATGGGAGGTACTAGGTGGTTATTTCAAGGTAATCTTGTTTCAACAGAGGGTGGTCATGATGATGAATAATGCTCGCTGACCTTACTACCTGTCTGTCTCTCCCAGGAATCGATACTTTCATCTGGTTCTGAATGGTCCACCCACCGCAAACTAATCGATTTTGCCGCCCGGCCGGGCGGTTTCAGGCGATCAATGGTCCCGAATCTGCCTTACTTTATGGTTCAGTTTGACTACAAGGGCGAGAAGGGCTATGGACATGTCATTGAAAGTGATGGTGGAGGTGCGGGGAGGAACGGGGGAAAGAGTAAAGTCGGGCATGGGTTGGGAGATGACGAGGAGATGGACGATGTGCTTGGGATGGAAGGAACAGGGGAGAAGGGTGGTGGAGAGTTTCCGAGGTGGGTCTTTGGTTTCTAATTCCAAATATGATTCGTAGTCGTTAATTATTCTCATGTGAATTTCTTGTTGCAGGTATTTCGCCGCAGAAATCATCGGCAATGTACTTGGCCTTGAACCTAGGAAGTGGAGGAGGCCAAGGAAGGTACTGGGTGGAGTGCGGGATAAGGAGAGGGTAAAGGAATTCAGGGCTATGTACGATAGATACGATTGGACGGGAATGATTGGGAAAGAGTAAATAAGTAGCTGTGATTTGAGTATAAATTGCCTTCTGTGGAGATACTATCACACCTTGCTTGGGATGTTCTTTTACAGTCCTACTGCATTTTTTACAACTCAAATTGAATGATGTACACCAAATAGTTATACACTAATGTAAGTATTGACTTTTGGCTAAGGCATTCAGCAAAATAAATCTAAAGGAATGATGCAAAAAATAATGAATCTTTGATATGGCTACCAGCCAACAGGGACCAATCTGGACCAATCAATAAACTCAGGCTGATCTCATTCGAACGGGGATATCACATAAAACAACAATGGTAGAGAGGAAGATCTCCGAACAGGAGAGCGCAGCATGCAGTAGAAAGTGTGAGAAGATTTCCGGCGCGCGTAGAAAGGACCGTTGCAAGCAAGAGGGCGGTTAATGCCCTATATCTTCAGAAGTCCAATTAATGTAAAGTCGTGACTGTCAAAATTTGTTGTATTTATTTTGCGAATTGGCATGCATCTGCAAAACCTGGATATTCGGCTAAGGTCTGAGAGCAGATCCCAGTGCTGAAAGCACTGAAAGCAGTATGCTCTGAGTGCTTTCACTGCTGGGAAGTGCTCCCAACTGCTTTCGGACCCTTAGCCGAAAATACAGGTTTTGCAGATGTGGCAGGAATAACGATCCAGGGGCAGATCCGGGGGTTGTTGTTTTGACCAGGTTCTCTTCGCGATCGTTGCACGACACGTGATGTGACATCTGCGCGTCTTCACAAACTATCACCATGTCCTCCGATACCCTGATTCTCCCAACGCCGGAAATCTTTTCCGCCTTCCCGTACACACCGCCATATAATATCCAGGCCCAACTCATGCGACACTTATACGAGGCAATAGAAAACAGAAAAGTCACTGTTATCGAATCTCCTACAGGAACTGGGAAAACGTCCAGTCTTCTTTGTGCAGGCCTCACCTGGTTACATGATGAAAAAAATCGCGCAAGGAAGGGAAAACTGAACAACGCGGCTACTGGTGATGATTGGGTTTCCACACAAACCCGTGACCGACTCCGCCGCCAGCTTGAGGCGGAGGAGTTGGAGTGTGAGCAAAGGTTGGCGGATGCTAGGCAGAAAGAGGCCCAACTGAAAAGTAGAGCACGGGTGTGGAAGAAACCGAAACCTGATGATAAGCCTCAGCAACCGTTCATTGACGCAGATGCCTCGTTTCTCCCTGAAGACGACGGCACACCAGGAGACGATGATATGAACCTATCGCCTGCGGTGAAAGCGTTAATGGCCCGGTGCGCTTGATTACCTCTATTCTCAACTGTGATCTCATCTTTCACATGATTCATACAGTATGAAATCCCATACTGACAGCGAGGAACTGGAAATGACGTGCACCAAAATCTACTACGCCTCTCGCACCCATTCACAACTTACACAAGTATTGCCTGAGCTGAGAAAGCTGAAAATACCTAGATGCAGTATGGCTAATATTGATGCAGTGCCTAATTTGGACCAGGATGTGCCCTACTCTCTCGGTAAACGCAAAGAGCAAGACAATTTATCGTCAATTTGCTCGGATGATCACAAATACTATCAATCGCGCGCTCTCTCTCTTGGGTCGCGAAAACACCTCTGTATCAATGCTGAGCTGCGTGGCCGAGTAAGAGACATCGATGAAGGATGCAGGGAGCTCCTGGCTGGTGGGTCTGTATCCAGTCTCAATTACGACCTATACTCATATTGTCTTTTCTTAAGAAAACCGCTGTCCTTATCTCCCTCCGGTCGGTGAGGTAGTGAGAATGAATGAGTTTAGGGATCAAATTTTGGTGAGTGAGTCGCGAATTTGGAATCTAGTTATATCCCTCATATTGGCATGTCAATAGGCTACCCCCAAAGACATCGAAGATCTTGCTCTCTCAGGTCGAGTATCTGGTATCTGTCCGTATTTCGCATCTAGAAAGGCTATTCCGCAAGCAGAGGTCAGAATAACTTCGTAAAACCCGTGCAAACTTGATTAAAATTTGCGGTCTTAGCTCATTACTCTCCCTTACAATCTTCTACTTCAAAAATCTGCACGGGAGGCTCTGGGAATCGACTTGAAGGATCAGATTGTCGTTGTAGACGAAGGTCATAGTAAGTTGCTCATGTTTTAGGTGTTTTTGGACTCTCTTCCCTTCATCTTTCAATCACTCTTACTCATATATTTGTCTGCCGTTTGATGTCGCGCTTGATCAATTAGACCTAATACCCACCCTCCTCTCTCTCTCTACGGTTCATCTATCCCTTCCGCTCCTACAGACCGCGCTATACCAGGTCACTACTTATGTCACCAGGTTCCGAAACAAACTCAACCCAGCAAACCTCGTTCAATTAAAACGCTTGCTGGCGTTCTTGAACGCACTCGCTAGATATTCAGGGGAATGGAGGGACATGAGAGTTGAGCCACGAGCGAACGATACTCAATCCGCTCAATCAGAAGTTTCGCCGACGACGAAAACGGAGCAGAAATCACAACAACTCGAGGTTCAAGAGGTCTTAACTCCCGCTGAGCTTATCGAGCGCATGGGAAGGAAGGTCTTGGGGCTGAACATGTTGGAGATTGTCAATTATCTTAAGAAGAGCAAGGTATGTTGTCGCGTCCATTTGACTTCAATGTTCCTTATCCTCTGTAGATAGCTAGGAAAATATCCGGATACGCTGAGAAGTTGATCGAGCAAGCAGAAAAAGATAAGGAGCTTGAAGTTGCTTCTGCGGGTGAGCGTCTTCTCTTATTCTTCCGAATTATGTTGACAATGGATGTGTCTTCATCTAGACCCAAAGAAAAAGGTCTCGGGAAGCAGAAAAGGTGTCGTTCCGCCTTTGCATGTCATCGAAGACTTAATGACTGCTCTTGCTGGGGCTACGGATGGTGTGTATCATACACCTATAATCCAGACACTCAATAGTAATACGTATATTATTTGTTCTTGGCAGATGGACGCATATCCCTGACCCTCATCAGTACCTCCGGTCCTTCCATAGCTTCGAATTCGAGGCTAAAGCAACCATCTACCGTGGAAATTAAGTACCACCTCCTCAACCCTGCCCCACATTTCCGTGATGTTGTGGACGAGGCAAGGGCTGTGATTATCGCGGGAGGTACGATGAGTCCGGTTCGTTGGCGGTCATTCCTTAAAATTTAGGATTCACTCATTGTGTTTCCTATATGAAGATCTCCGATGTGCAAAATCAACTCTTCTCTCATCTTCCTCCGGAACGCATAACAAGCTTCTCCTGCGGACACATAATTCCCCCAGAAAATGTGTTGACGGTCGCAGTGACTAAAGGTCGGTTTTTGTTCGAGGTCATCCGGACTCTACCATGACATTCCACTCCAGGCCCTTCAGGACGTGAACTCGATTTCCGGGCGGGAAAGCAAGGAGATTCATCAACTCTTTCCGACCTCGGCCAAATCATCCTCAACTTCACAAGAATCATACCAGGAGGAATGATTGTGTTTTTTCCGTCATACAAATTCCTGGAAAATGCGAAATCCGCGTGGGCTTTGGCAACGGGCGGAGGGTATCTGGAGAAATTCGGTGCGAAAAAGAAAGTGGGTAGGATGCAATGCTTCGATGTGATGAGGTGTTCATTTGCTGTTAGGTTTTCTTTGAACCAGAAGATCAAGCGGGAGTAGAGAGTGTTCTACAGCAATACGCTACAGCGGTAGCTGGTTCATTGGTGAGCTTGCTTCTTGAACGTGTGTTCTGCCGTTTATCGAAACTCTACAAAAACTCCCAGACAACGTCTCAAACAGGCGCCCTCCTCCTCGCCGTTATAGGCGCAAAGCTTTCCGAAGGCTTGAATTTTGCGGATGATCTCGCCAGGGCCGTTGTCATTGTTGGTCTTCCTTTTGCGAACCTAGCGTCAGCAGAACTGAGAGAGCGGATGAGGTATGTCAAGAGGGAGGAGGAGAAACTTCTAAGAGAGGGAAGAAAAGAAACCGTGGAGGGTGTACGACCTATTGTTCTGAGAGGCAAAGATGCTGCCGCGGAGCTGTACGAGAACATGTGTATGAACGCTGTCAATCAGAGTATAGGTGGGTTGTAGTCCCGCATCAGACCTCATGTATGTTTCATTCCCCGAATGGGTTGTTCTCACTGTCTTCATTCAGGTCGCGCAATTCGTCACCGAGGTGACTGGGCAGCACTTCTCCTTCTTGATCAGAGATATTCTAATCTCTCCATCCGGGGGAAACTGCCCAAATGGCTTGGAGGAGACAATCTAGTTATTCCAGGACAATTTGGAGGTGTTATGAAGCAGATGGGCGCTTTTTTTCGCGCCAAATGCAGAACAGGATAAATGTATAGTAGTACGGTGTAGACGGAAGGTTATCGGGAAAGCAGTCATATGAGCGGTAATATAACCGCCCATATCTGGTGTTATGCAGGGTTAGGGCTTCAAATGCGGCTGTATCTGGGCTGTACAGCCAATACTCAGCCAATAGATCACTACACGGAGACCATTGGCAAGCACACCATCCATTCCAACAACACAATATCTTCATATTTATGGGCCAATCGCCACATGTGCCTTGTTTAGGAATATCTTGTTCATGCATTATTCCCGTCGCTAGCTTTATCCTGAATCATTGCGAGCTTCAAGTTGTTCGTCATCTATCAGGTCCCACCTTGTTCCTTCGGCTTGAATGGGATATCGTTCATATAAGGAGTGCAAAAAGGTGTCTCTCCAATAGCACACTGTTGTGCTATGGACTGCTATGTTTCTGGATCTGTAGGTCCACCTCCCTTCTGACTGCAATCCTCTGTTGAAAGCTCAACACACTTCCTTTGACTCATTTTCTTGTATCTCGGTGCACACCAAGTCAGCAGTGGTCCACGGAGCCTAACATTTATTCAAGTCCGATCCAGGCTTACAAATACAGCACTTCTTGAGTCACCGTTGAAGGCGTTGAGGCGTTGACTCCCTTGGAGTCTAAAACTTACAGTCAAATTCGCTGTGTCACCTTTTATCTTGCATAAAGGTGGTTGCAGGTTCAATGCACTCATTCAAATTCGGATCTTTCCCATCATTTCGCCTTCCAAATCCTCTACTCAAGTGATACTATGACGTTCTTCGCTGGTGCCACCAATTTCAGTATCAACAATGGTCCTGGTGGGAATGGTCCGATATTTCAACACTTTCGCGGTGATTGTCACTATATCTATCATTCTTCGTCTGTGAGGCAGAGCAGAACAACTGTTTCGAGTAGGTTAGTGACCAGTATAATCTTTGACTTGTACTTTGAAATCATTCTAATTCTTAGTGTTAGACCACTGGACTCATCAAGACGCCACAATGAATCCTTAGGAAATCTTCCTTCAACCATAAGTAATAGTCGAAGTGAAAGACTGGGAATAAATAGGAGCGAATCCAATGTTCACAATCATGTAGTGACATATCCACTCTATGAGTAAGTGTCTAACAACATGGGTTCCGGTCATCGTGTATTAACAGGGCAAGTAGCAGCTCTGGGACCAATGGAACAAGTTCGCCCCAGCCTAGCCGTCAAATAGGCGGTAATAGAAGAAGACAATCTCAAATTCGCCAAGATACCCCTTCGTGGACCGAATTGACTAGTCACGATTATTCAACCGATACGTGAGTCACTGATTTATTTATTGCCGCGGCACGCTCACTAGCGCATCCAACCTGCATGCATGAAACAGAGAGCGGCTGGAATACTACAACGTCAATGTAGGGCCCCCGGATTGGATTCACAACGCTCAAGACAATAGACTCTCGACATCTTTGCGTACTCGCGGAAATCGGATTTCAACCTATGACCAGGAGAGAGAACAATATCGCAGGAGTAGAGAGCGTTATCATTTAGAAAGGGAACAATACCGCCAGGAAAGAGAACGATATCGTCTGGAAAGAGAACGTGGCCGTCTTCAGAGAGGACAAAGCGGAACCTTACCCAACTTTAGCATCAATGGCGGTGTGTTCAACGTCGTCAACGGAGGTGTACAATCTTCCGGACAGGGGGCATTCGTAAATCGGGACCACTCCAACCGTCTCCATCACCACCTCGCAGAGCCATGGCAAAACTATTATGGAAATCCCGATGATTATATCCAGGTAGACGAAGACTATATTCCACCAGGGATGTTTGAAGAAAATGTCCAGCGGGATCCCGAGATTTTATATGAGGCCCCTGCTCCTTCGTATGCAGAGAGCGCGTTGGACATATTGCTTGAATCTGGAGGCCGCAAGACTGAGGAAGGTGGAAGTTCGGAAGCTGAAACTCCGTTGTACACTGAGGATGATATGGACCCTATTTCTGCTTATACTGAGGTTGATACTATGATTTAAAAATTGGTATTCGGGTATATCCTGTTAAGAATATTTTAGCACTCGTTTACTGTCACTATGTCACCTATAAAAATATGCTGTACTGATAACCTGCTACATTATTTCTCCAATGGATGCTCTTTTGATGGACTTCCGTATGTGCGTATGCCTGAGCATTGATTATCCTATCCTATCCTATCCTCTGCCAGTTCGTTCCATTGGATACAAACATCCTGAAATCAATTCGCTAACATCGAAAAAGATGAATTATATTTGACAGAAGATACTCTACGTATAGTAACTAGTACTATGTCTATATTTGATATGAATAAGTCTCGAATAGCGTATCGTATGATGAAATGGGCACCGTCATCCTGAAATCCAATTCTTTTCTGAAGTACAACATGAATAGGTTAGTATCCCCAATACTTCTTTTCAATCCAGCGTAAAGGAGGATAGATGATGGAAGAAAAAGCAAAAGCTAGCTCAAAACCTTGATTCGTCCGCCAATATCAGCATGGGGCACAACCAGGAATCAAAAAGACCATACTGACCAATATCACCCCCAAACTCAGGATCTCCGATCATTCCTCCGATAACACCAATATACCACGTCTGTGCCATCCCGAGTACTGCGCCTGCAACCCCGCAAGCCAACGCAACGAAGCTCGCAACACCCAAAGGAAGCTTACGCCAGTCACTGAAGTCCTCGGGATTATAGTTGGTCCATTTCCCATGACGGAAGATGAGATGCTCTTCGATGAGGATGGTGGAGAAGATGGCGAGCCAATAAGCCAAGATATTGAGCATGGTTTCAAGCCATTCTTCAAAATGGCTTGCACCGGCGATCGCCAGAACAATGTAGACGACACTGCCAATGATGACGATGAAGATTCGCGGTATGGCTTGGGCGTAGGGATGAATATTCTGCAATATGGTTGTTAAAAAAATTGGCGTCGAGACATAACGGAACGAACCTGGAAAGTCAAGGCCAGAGAGTACATGTTTGGGATATTGTTCGCGATGATACTCAATGCCATGATTACCAGAAGAAATGAACCGAATCCGCCCATTGGTCCAGCCAGACCAGCACCGAGCAAACCGCCTACTGAGTTTTCGGCATACGCATCGGCCCAAGTTGTCTTCTGATTGAAGGTAGTCATTGCCGCAGCTCCAAGGGTTTCCACAAGGATGAGTGGTAGATTAAGACCGAGGTATGTCCAGAAGAAAATCTTGACGGAGGACATGTCTTCAGGCATGCGAACAGTGTAATCTGCGGCCAAGCTGAACACATACTCAGGATATTTTCCCCGATAACGGAAGCAATGCAATGATTACCTTGTCCAACCAAGCGCAAATCCGGCTAAGGTGCATCGGTTCGGAAGTTGGAAGTCTGATAAACCGCAAAGATACGCACCAACTGTGGCGCCAAAAGAAATGATATCTCCAGCTTCGACCGTTCCCGAGCCACCGAAATCGCTTTCAGTAAACCGGGTAATTTGACCTGAGTATATAACGAAAATGATAGCAACCTGTATACCATACTTAGGTATAATCGAGTTAAAGGCTTTGCAGAATCACTTACAGGAACCCAAGCGTACTTCTCATACAAATGCACCACACGATATCCCATGAAGGATACCATGATCGTTCCGATAGCGATCACAATGATTGCAGCGGCGGTCGGAATTTGATGCCTAGTGCTTACAGCACGAAGGGTTTGTGCACCAACGATAGAGTTGACCACAGACCAGCCCACACATGCTATACAGTTGAGAATGATGGGGAATTGCGATGTAAAGTACCCGAAAGAAAATTTAGAAAGCGTAAGTTGACGGAGACCGAGCTTGGCACCCCAAGTGGAAAAGTAAGCCACGGGAAGGGTGCAAAAAAGGTTGAAGAAGATGATTGTCAGAGCAGCATCTTTAAGTCCTAGATAGAATATCGAGTTTCCTAAGCATCCAATGGAAAAGGTCGATATCTGTTCGGGGACGATTAGGACAGATTGTTGATGAGTGCCAATATACGAACCGTCATGTTAGCAGCCAGCCACATCCAGAATGGAGCCAGAGGGGCTAGGAACAAAGATTGAGCACAGATATCAGAGCTTTGAAAAAGTCATACATGTCTGGGTACGCTGGTCTGGAGGAACACGTTCAATACCATGCGCTTCGACCCCGTACTTGTCTAAAAATTCAACAATGGCCCAGAGTTTGGCAAACTTTGAGCGAGGGACATCATCGCTCAAACGTTCCAACGCGTTGGCCTCATGGATATCATCTCTATAATTCAGGGGAATATTAGATTCGTTCGTGAAGGAAGTACAATGACGAAACGTACGAAACACCATAGCTAGAAGACTTCTCTACGTCAAAGAGGCCAAACTTGGTGTTGGACATGTCAGCCAATATGATGTTTGAAGAAAGTGGGATGAGGGAGAGAGGCAAAGTAGCATATTATTGAGACCCAAATTTTTTTATCGGGGATTAGGGGAACATGGGGATGTTGCTGCCCGGAGCACATGGCATTCGCGTCTATTCGCGCCCGCCGTTGATGCGCTTTTCGGCCCCCACGACAGAAAATCGAATTCATTTCGAATTTTACTCGAGCGCCGTCCCTCCTCACTCCCCGCTCCTTTTTCTCCAGAGTCTATCCTTCCCCCTTGACAGGATCAGCAGTTGGTACCCGCAAAGTTCACCAAATGTCCTCAAAGAAGATGCAATAACTCTAGTCACAGCACAGTGTGAAACGTTAGGCCATTGTATGGTAAATCGATAAACAGTCTCACGGGGCAAAAAATCCAGTAATCGAGATATTGAGCAGAATCATTCTCCTTCATTATCTCGCTCTAGCTCGCTCCTGGCAACTATAGCAACTTATAGCCTCCTATATGACAGCCTATAGATCAGGATCTGCGCAGATTAGGTACACGGACGATAGGTCATCTCCCTCGCCTGGAAGTTTTCTGAATTTCCAATACCAATTCAGTGTCACACATAACGAAGCATGATAGCGGAAACTATATATCGTCCTCGCAAAAGTATCCATGATCAAGTTCTCCTCGGTTCCTCAATGGAGGTTGCCTTCCTCTTGATTGCATTCGTCATCGTCCAAATGTCCATCTTCCATGGTTGAATCCAAGTCTGCAGTATTTGAAATCACTGTCTCACTAATGAGGACCCCTCGTTTGTCGAATACTAGTTCAAGCTCAGGGTTAGAGGGCGCAAGAGTTCTGTTGTTCCCTATCGATCCATCGTCTTTCCCACATTGTTTGTCAGTTTGAGACGTTGGTGCTTCTGAAGAGCGTAGACATTCTTATCATGACTTTGGAGTTCAATCAATAGGGGTGCGTCGTCTGTCGTGATGAGGTGGTGAACTTGGTACCACTTGGTGAATTATAGGATGAGACAAATGAAAAATGAATTTATTGGAATGACGGTGATTGCGAAATATAGTAAAAAAAGTCGAGTCGATGATGTGGAAGGGACAAAATGGGGCCGTCAGCCAGCAGGGAATATTTTATGACACATCAGTAGCCCCAGTAAAATTTTTCGATCCATCGCAAAGGGGGGTAGACAATAGCAGAGAAAGCAAAAGCCAGCTCGAAACCTGCATCGAGTGTGTCAGCGAAGGGGATAGTGTAGGAAACATCTACTTATACTGACCAATATCACCCCCGAACTCAGGATTTCCGATCATTCCTCCAATGACACCAATATACCACGACTGGGCCATCCCGAGCACAGCTCCCGCAACCCCGCAAGACAACGCAATGAAACTGGCCACCCCCAACGGAAGTTTACGCCAGTTATTTTAATCCTCAGGATTGTAATTCGACCATTTTCCGCGCCGGAAAATGAGATGTTCCTCGATGAGGATAGCGGAGAAGATGGCAAGCCAATAGGCGAGGATGTCGAGCATAGTCTCCAGCCACCCGACAAAATGACTTGCACCTGCGATTGCGAGGATGATATAGACCACACTACCGATGATCACGATGAAGATTCGGGGTATGGCTTGCGCATATGGGTGTATATTCTTTAACAGACCGTTAGAGAAGAGTAATGCTGATGGACCGTTGAACAAACCTGGAAAGTCAAAGCTAAAGAATACATGGCTGGAATATTGGTCGCGATGATACTCAATGCCATGATTACCAGAAGAAATGAACCGAATCCGCCCATTGGTCCAGCAAGGCCGGCACCGAGAAGACCACCAACCGAATTTTCTGCGTACGCGTCTGCCCAGGTCGTCTTCTGGTTGAAAGTAGACATCGCTGCCGCACCGAGAATTTCCACGAGGATGAGTGGAACATTGAGACCGAGATATGTCCAGAAAAAAATCTTGACAGAGGACATGTCTTCGGGCATGCGAACAGTGTAGTCTGCCGCGTAGCTAAACGCAGTTTGTGGTTATTTTGTGATTTCAAGTCAAGTTTACTCACCTTACCCATCCAATCGCATATCCAGCTCGCAATGAAAACGTCAATTAGTTCCGAATTTAAATGGGAGCAATGCAGGGGACACACCGATCGTTGCACCAAACGAAAGAACGTTTCCAGCTTCAATGGTTCCCGAATTACGGAAATCGCTTTCGATGAAACGGTTAATCTGACCTAAGTATATAATGAAGATGATTGTGACCTAGATCTCATTCTCAGTGTGATAGAGAGGGCTCACAGAATCACTTACAGGAATCCAAGCATATTGCTCATACAGGTGAACCACACGATATCCCATGAAAGAGATCGTTATAGGACCGATAGCGATCACAACAATTGCAGCAGCGGTCGGGATTTGATGCGCTGTGCTTACAGCACGTAGAGTCTGTGCGCCAACAATTGAGTTGACCACGGACCAGCCAACACATGCTATACAGTTGAGGATGATGGGGACCTGCGATGTAAAATACCCGAACGAAAATTTAGAGAGTGTAAGTTGACGAAGACCGAGCTTGGGACCCCAGGTGGAAAAGTAAGCCACTGGAAGGTTACAAAGAAGATTGAAGAAGATGATCGTTAAAGCAGCATCCTTGAAGCCAAGGGAGAATACGGGGCCGCCTAAGCATCCGAGAGAAAAAGTCGCAATCTACACACAGGTGGCGCCATTAAACCTATTTTACATATCTGTGAAGGAACTTGTACCGTCATGTTAGCTGCTAGCCACATCCAGAATGCAGATAAAGGGTCTAACAGCGAAAAACGGTTAATGTGAACAGATAGACATGTGAAGATCATACACATCTGTGTTCGTTGGTCTGAAGGAACGCGTTCGATACCACGGGCTTCGACGCCGTACTTATCCAAAAATTCGACAATGGCCCAGAGTTTAGCAAATTTCAAGCGAGGGACGTTGTCGCTCAAACGTTCTAACGAGCTGGCCTCATCAACATCGTCTCTATTCAGGCGATAGGTAAGATACATGAGAGAAAAATAAGAAATGGCGTCGAAGACATACGAAGCACCCGGCCCATAACTGAAAGACTTTTCTGGGTCGCCTGATTTTGTGTCGGACATGTCATTCGGATGAGTTGAGAGAGTACTTTGAGAAGGTTAGATGATCCAAGGGTCTCTTATCTCTGATTTTATTCGGAGATAAAGGGAGCGTAAGATTGCAGCAGGTGACAATATTAAAAGTTACAATACTTCCGCATGTCGCCTCTCTACATCCATCCCAGCTATAAGGAGAAGATAACGAAAGCAACCAAGATGAGAAGCAAAATCAGTCAGACATACAGCCTCAGAATTCTCCTGCCCTTTGTCCTTGTCCTCCACAAAACATATACTCAGTGCTCAAGAGCAACTTCACGATGTTCGTGTTTTTGATCTTCGTAGTACTCTTGTGCGACGTTTTCGGATACGGATCCTCAAATGCTTGAATTCAAGATCGTAGTATTTGCAACTATTGAGCGGTTTTGACAACGAGGATCCTATTCTTCCAGGTCTAGGATATCTTCCGCGAAATCGAGCTCCCAGTCAGATTTTCCTATTGTCCCATTGTCTTCCGCACGATATTTATTACCTTGAGACATGATCGTAGTGAGACCGGACGAATTGTGAAGTTGCGGGTGAAGAGGTAAAGCATCAGCGTCAGCGTCAGCCCCCAAGTCGAAGTCAAACTTGACATCCATGGCGCTCATAAGCATGTCTGCGTCCAAAAAGGTATTTGAAGCCACGTTGTCTGAGTCCTTGAACGTGATTGATGTGTGCGCTTTGTGATAATTGAAAAACTTGATTGCAGAATCTGGTCCATGGGGTGTACGAGAACAGCGAGACTCATTAACATTATCGTTGTGGTTGCAGTTTCCGTTTTTGTGCTCATTTTGTGATAGATAAAATGAGATAGGCGATACTGGCAAGGCAGAAGAGGAAGAAGGGCCTGATTGCGAAGAGAGTAAGGTATGAAGTGCTGAAGAAGCCAAAGATGACTGAGTAGTCTGAGAAGAAGATTGAGAAGAGCTAAGTGTCGTGAAGGAGACACAATTTTGCTTTCCGCTAAAGGGGCGGTCGTCGTCGTCGTTATCCGAGAGAATGTCGCCTCCGAGCACTTCAGAATCGATAGCGTGATTTTTGATAGCTTCGTGGATGAGAGGAAAAGAGATGAGGATATGCTCTTGTTCTTGATCGGAGTTGTCGGACCCGAAATCGAGAGATGGTGGCTCCTTGAAGCGATCAGACCCAGATTCAGAATGCGAGGCAGTGAAATGGGCAAGAGGAGCAAAAGAAACAGAGGAGGAAGACCCATTAGCAGCACATATATCCATGCCTTTCATGTCGTCGTCCGATAGCAGGTGGTCTACACATTTTTGACTATCACGTAGTTCACTACCCGAGTCAATGTCCAAAACGTCGCCGGAGTAGTGTAAGGGGCACAGTGGGCCAGCGTCAACGTCCGAATCAATGTCCAGAACGTCAGAAAATGGGTGTTTTGAGATGTCTATTTCGTATTCCAAGATGTGATGAGGGCGTGGGACAGCCTGAGGTGCAGCATGCGGCAGGAGATCTAAGTAATCATCCATATCCAGAATTAAATCCGAATCCCGGTCCATGTTGAAATCCATTTCTACATCAGGCACGAAACTAGAGGCAAAGAAAGCGCGAGAAGCTGAAGGAACATTTCCTGCTTCGGATTCAGAGAAGATGGATGTGTGACACTCCAGATGGTTACAGTGCTCATTGGCCAGAGCCTCAAGGCTTCGGTGAGGGCGTGGAAGTCCAGGATCTGACGATAGACAAACCATTTCGTCGTCAGCATCAACAATAGCCTTAGAACCGTCATAAGCTGAGTCGTTCGCATCGGAATCAAATATCATATCTGAATGGGTCGTTGAAACTGCGGGAGTTGGAGAAGTAGCCAGAGAGTCATCCGCTGCCCAGTCTCTGTCCAGGAAGCCTTGTCTAAATAGGTCGAAAGCCTCATCGTAATTGCGACCTGGAATGGATGATGTATGGTCGCCTTCATCGTATCCAACAAATTCCGCAGGTTCAGCGTCATTTGTATAAGAGGATTCGGCTGAGTAGTCGCGCGAGAGCTCCTCGTCATCATGTGTATCCGTATTGGTCATCGGCAGAATGGGTGTGGTCTATGCGAACGCATGAACTTTCAGAAATGCGAGTTGTAGTATGGCTCACCTTAAACATCGGGCGTTTGACTCCGTTGCAGAATAACTTCTCCAGAGAGAGGCAGAAGGCTGTCTCACTGTTCAGTTTTGGAGGCCCAGCGTCTTCGGCATCGGCATCGTCCAGATAAGCTGCAAGCGCAGTCGAGGAAGAGGTATATGCGGTTTGCTGTTGTTTCTGAAGCACCTACAAAGCAATGTCATGGATGTGAAAAAATAATCATTGAACAAGTACTTTTGTGAGCTGCTTGAATTTTGCACGAAAGGCTGGATTTTGTGACCGTTGTGCCATTTCGTCTATGGACCGGAAGATGTTAGAGAAGTATAATGCTTCGATATCCAATTGCTGCTCAACAATAAGTTTCCCAGTATGACTTGACACACAGGAAGCTCAAATACCTGACATAGAGAGCCGAATACAAGAGGATATTTCCTGGAAAGCAAACACTTATGTATGAGCTTCTGAGGGGTGAAACGATTGAAAGCGTACTTGACAAGATGGTGAGTAAGGAAACGTTTCAAGATATTATCTAAGAGACTCATGTATGGCAAAGACAGTCGAGAGGAGAACAAAGTATTGTCGGTTTCTTTGGTGGTCGTTACCGAATATTGCATGTGAATGGAGCGTAGTGTCACGCGTACTGGGACACTGTCGTGAAAAGGAATGCGATTGCGATTAGTCCTGACATTGACTGAAGGAAATCTGAATAAACGATGCGTATTAGGCAAAAATAACACGTACTACTGGGAAAAGGATCAGCACCCTCTCCAATGTATAATTTGGACATGAAACTCAGGCCGAGTTGGTCCGCGTTGGCCCGCAGAAAGTCTACAAAGTGCTGAGCAAGTTGAGACTTGATAAGCACTTCGGAAAGTATCCGTTTCCGATTGAGCATTGCCGACAATGAGAAAACGATGGTCGAGGCTGGCACGATGGCGACATTTTCCGGGAATCTTGATTTTTTCGCAGATAAAGAATTATCAAAGTCTTTGTGAGTAAGATAATGCTTTGAGCTAAGATTGAGTACAGTGTCTCTGTCTGCTGTGCGCAATTTAGAAGTACATTCAAAGGACGGCATTGCTGGAAGGGGCTACATAAAGAAGAGAATGGTGCACCGTGCAGTGTTTGTGCTTCAGCGATTAGCTAATATATCACACTGCCACAAAGCTATTGAACGTCCGATTCTTCACAGCGGTCTGTCTCTACTTGCCTTCGTTTTCTGCTCCTTCTTCCAGACTCCCGCATCCAGCGGGGTCAATCAAATTCAATCTTTGAGATGGTTGATATTTCTCCTGATCATTGAACAACTGTTCATTGCTAATCGATTGCTCTAATCAGGCCAGTGAGCTCGACCAGAAGATTCAAGATGTCTTCAAACACATCCAAACAGAGCGAAAGATCTTAGAGGCTTCTCAGCTCCTACGACAGGCAACGACTAACCAGGATGTTTTACGAAGAAATGATGCCAAGATCAGAGAAACTGAACGATCCCTTTCATATTTCGAAGAGACACTCCGCGAGCTTCAGGCTCGCAAGATGCAGCAGAATGAGCCTGGACGCTCTTCCGGTCCTCAGGTGACATTCAACAAATACCTTCTCTAACCCAACGATTCACCCAAATCATTCAGGTTCCTCCGAAGGAAGACCGATACGGCCGCGACAACCCAGCGGACACGTCCATGAAGCGTTCTCTTGATTCAAGTGCTTCCGGATCGCCCCAAACCAAAGCATACTCTAACCTCGATCTAATTAAAGCCGAGACTCCCCTTACATCAGCTAAAATCTCGAAAATGCTGCATCAGCTCGAGTTCAAACTTCAAGTCGAAATGCAGTACAAGAGAGGCATCGATAAGATGGCAAAACTATACCAGGCTGATGGAGACAAGAAATCGAGGCAGGACGCGGAGAGCAAGAAGGTAGAGAGTGAGAAGAAAATACAGCTTCTTCAATTGGCTCGAAAACGGTACAAAAATCTGCATGTTTTGGACGATGCCCTCGCCGAGGAAGAGGAAGAACCTAGTGCGTTTACATCTGCATTGAAATTTCCGCTCCCTCTATAACTTGTACCCCTTCAGACGGTACAGGAATCGAAGGAGAACGGAAAGAAAACCTCCGAGCAAAACCTTTATCAGGTATTCTCTCAGTCACTGTTCGAGGTGCCAGAGAGCTAGACCACGCACCCATCGTTACTCGATTCCGTTCATCCAAAAACCAAGTCGTCGAAACCTCCGTATCACTCAAAGTCGAAGGCACCCAACTAGCTCGATCACATCCTTCCCGCACAGATCGCTGGAATGAAGACTTTGAAATCACTGTCGACAAGGCAAACGAAGTCGAAATTGCCGTTTACGACAAGCAAGTCGGCGAAACACACGCGGTTCCTATAGGTCTATTATGGATCCGCATCAGTGATCTTGTCGAAGCTCTGAGAAGGCAAAAGGTATTTATGGAGAGCGGACAGGGTGGCTGGGTCACTGCTGGCGCTATGCATGGTGATGCTGGTCATCCAAACTCGGCGGACCTGAATGCCCCTCTCAGCTTTGGCGCTGCTCCTCCTGGTGGCTTTGGTCCTCAGGGAGGCATGGGAGATGGTATACCACAACAACCATCTGAAGGTATCGAAGCATGGTTTGCAGTCGAGCCTGCAGGTGCTATTCTCTTGCACTTGAACTTTGGTGAGTCTGTCGCAAACATTTCATGTTAATGCGTGGACGCTCATCGACAAATAATCAGTCAAGGAAAACGTCCGAAAACGCCAGATCGATGCACCTCTCGGCGGTCTAGGTCGTCAAGGCGCTGTGCGTAAACGGAAGGGCGAAGTACATGAGATGAACGGGCACAAGTTTGTTCAAAAGCAGTTTTATCAGCTCATGCTCTGCGCATTTTGCAGCGACTTCTTACTTAACGCCACGGGTTACCAGTGCGAGGATTGCCGTTACACATGTCATAAGAAGTGCCATGAAAAGGTTGTCACGAAATGTATCTCAAAATCCAATACTGGAGTAAGTGCTCTCAGTGACTGTTTATAAACAGAAATTCAAATTGCACCATTCTAGGATGACGAGGAGAAGATCAATCACCGTATCCCTCATCGATTCGAGCCTCTTACCAACATTGGTGCAAACTGGTGTTGTCACTGTGGATACATGCTTCCGCTTGGTCGTAAGAACGCACGTAAATGTTCTGAATGCGACCTAACCTGTCACGCTAATTGCGCGCACCTCGTTCCGGACTTTTGTGGTATGTCGATGGAGACCGCAAATACTCTCCTATCGGACATGCGGGATATCAAGAAACACAGGGCTCAGCGTCCCTCTCAACCATCTGCGCCCCAACAGCCTTCACGTCACAGCCCTCCCGCGGATACTATGGGACGTTTGAAGCTTTCTGGTGCTCCTGAGCCCGAGGCAGATCCGTTTGGTCGTCAACAACCTTCGCTACCCGCTACCCCGCCCAGCGGATATCCCCAGGCTCCGTATTACCCTCAGCAGCAGCAACAACAACAGCCCCCGCTCAGCGGGCCTCCTCCTGGCGCAAGACCACCATCTGCTGGTGTTAAAGCACCACCAGCATACGCCCAAGAACCTCAGCGTCCTCAGACAGGTCCTTATGAACAACTGCAACCTGGTGCTTATCCGGTATGTGAAATTTTATTTTTCGTACTCGCTGCTGGATAGGTTTGGTTACTCAGGGTACTCGTCCGCCTGGACCTCCATCCCCGGTGCAAACAAAGATAGGCCTTCCTTCATCGCCAATGCAACAACAACGACCGCCTGATCGTTCCAGCACAGTTTTACCGACGGCGCAAACACCACCTCAACAGCCGCAGATCCAAATACAACAACAACAGCAGCAGCGTCAGCCTGTCCGACAACAAACTCAGAGACGCAAGGTCGGCTTGGACGATTTCAATTTCTTAGCTGTACTGGGTAAAGGTAACTTTGGTAAAGTCATGTTGGCTGAAGAGAAGAAAACGAATGGGCTTTATGCGATCAAGGTCTTGAAGAAGGAGTTCATCATTGATAACGATGAGGTTGAGAGGTTAGCTAACGTTGATGCATTGCATGGCAGCTTGCACTAACGATTGCATAGCACCCGATCAGAGAAGCGTGTATTCTTAGCTGCTGCTAAAGAACGACATCCGTTCCTGCTTGGGCTGCATTCATGTTTCCAGACCGAGACACGAGTGTACTTCGTTATGGAATATGTCAGCGGTGGTGATCTCATGTTGCACATTCAACGAAAGCAATTTTCGCTACGACAAGCCAAGTTTTACGCATCAGAGGTACTTTTAGCATTGGAGTATTTCCATTCGCAAGGCATTATCTATAGGTCCGTTTGAATCGTTATGAACTTCCCGCAGCTGACCTTAATGTTGTGCTTAATAGAGATCTGAAGCTAGACAACATCTTGCTTACGTTGGACGGGCATGTTAAAGTTGCTGATTACGGTCTTTGCAAGGAGGAAATGTGGTTTGGTCAGACGACGAGTACTTTTTGTGGGACGCCCGAGTTTATGGCTCCGGAGGTGTGTAATGAAAATCTACAACTTGATGCATGGTTTATAATTCTTCGATCAATAGATTTTACTTGAGCAACGCTACGGTCGTGCCGTGGATTGGTGGGCGTTCGGGGTCCTTACTTATGAGATGTTACTGGGACAGTCGCCGTTCCGTGGTGACGATGAGGACGAAATCTTCGACGCTATATTGGAAGACGAGCCTTTGTATCCCATCACTATGCCTCGTGATGCTGTTTCAATCTTGCAAAAGGTGAGATGCTCTCATTCTTCCTCGGTCTCGAGTGTGTATGACATTCTGTGTAGTTGTTAACCCGCGATCCCAATCGTCGATTGGGTTCAACCAAGGAAGACGCAGAAGAAATCAAGAGACAGCCTTTCTTCAAAGATGTTAGCTGGGATGACGTTGTTAACAAACGAATACCTCCTCCTTATTTCCCGACTATCGTAAGTCTGCTTCGGGTTGCCCACGTCAACGATTCAATGGATCTAATTTTCCTTCAGAATGGAAGTGCTGATACCAGTAACTTTGATGAAGAGTTCACTCGTGAACAACCGACTTTGACCCCCGTTCATGGGCAGTTGTCGTCTCGTGATCAAGCCGAATTCAATGGTTTCTCCTACGTCGCTTCTTGGGCCGATATATGATGACAATAGTCCCTCTTATCAATAACGCAAGGTGTACGATCCGCTCGGTGTTATCATGAATTGTATACTTTGAACACGAAGATAGTTCAGTTCGTAAATAAGTATCATTAGCCCACATAATGTTATTTCCTTTCTATCTTTCTTTATATAGGCCATTCTTTCATCAATCTCTGCCCCCAGATTCCTCCCTCTTGGACAGAGTTACGAAACGACTCTCCTTGCCTTCCCCTCCTTCTGCGATTCAGCCTATTTTGGTGCGAGATCAGGTTGCATGGCGAAAAGGTTAGCGACTAGGATGAAGCTTGTAAAGGTTTGCAATATCGACTTGGTCACAGTTGGCGGTGTCGGTGTTGGGTCCTGGTCGAGGATCCTAGAACAACGGGGATATAGTTGTATCTCTAAATTTTCACGATAGAGAAGGAGAGAATAGATAGAGTTGTAGAATTTTCCGGTCATAATGATATGAGTATAAGGACTGAATAATTTCATAAAGTGTATTTCTCACCTAATCTTCTCCTCTTTCACTTGAGAACATGGCCTCCAGTACCAGGTAGTCCGGGAGGCTTTTCTTCCATGGTAGTATTGCCTTCAGGTAAGTCGGACTGCTTCATAAGATCGTGAAAGCATAGCCAAAGGGCAGCTATAGTTTCGTATTCTCTGGTCATTCCTAACACCTCTTCGAGTTTCCTATTTAGACCGTTGGTGGTGGATAAAAGCTCTTCAAAACCCTAGTACAATAATGACATTAGTTTGAAGCTACAGTGAAATATGTTTGGTAGAATCACTGAAGTTATTTCTCTGGAGAGTTTGTCGCGTTCTTTCTCGAAATAAGTTCCCTCTTCAAGTTGAGCCATGACGGTACGGGATGAGTTAGCATAACAACATTACGGTTGCCGGATAGTTCATGGTCTAAATCGGACCGGATCATTTTCAATTTTCGATTTGCGGTTTTCAATTTGCGAGGAAGAAGTCGATAGACTTAGATTGGAGGTGCTTATACGCAATGTACAATGGACATAATCGGTATGATAGTACATGCACAATAGTTATAATGCAGTTGTACAGTGTCAAATTTTCTATGCAGCCTATGAGGGCCTCGGTGAATTACCGTGTCGCGTCCATGTGACACGGGACGCAAAAGCCATGGCAGTTCAAATGAACTGCCATTAAGGCATCACAGTTGGCATCCGGTCGTGACCGGTTATGTTGCAAGCGCAGCGGTCCGTTCGATCATGAACCTTGATAAATAACAGAAAACAACAATGTAAATTCCAAGCTGAATATATAAGCTATGTCCCAAAATTTTGCAAGTCATTTGTTTACTCCAACAATCCTCTTTATGTATGCAGTATAAGAAGACCATCATAAGGTTGAGGTTAGAATTGTTTTACAACTAAGCCACAAAACCAGTTTATACAGGCTGGTAGACATATCCCACATACATGAACATTATCTCACACTACATGCTTCAAATAATAGAGTTGATTGTAAGATGAACCTATCAAATTTAATTCATGATTTTTTCTGTTAGCTGAAATATTTGTAGAAGTTGTTTGTAAGGCATAATTTATCTGTTCAGGTATGCATATTTTTCTGTTACTCAGAGGTGGTTTGCTGACAATGTGCAAATGTTACATAAGCTGAGCAACTGTATAAACAGTTTTACACTTATCAACTATTTCTGCAATATTTTGAAAGGTCTCAAAGCAATGGCAAAATGTACATTATCTGTAAGTAGAGGCTGGTAAGCAACAATCTCATGCAATAAATGCACTTCTTGATGGACTATTTGAATACTTGCTCAGCTGGACAGCACTATCATTGACTCTAAAGTTATTATAGAGTCCTGGATTGGCAAAATTTCTAATCATTTGCAAAACATTTCTTTTTTTTCTGCATCTCCTTTTTTTAGTTTTGTTTGAAGCTAAAAACACCATTAATTTACTTAACTTACTAAGGCTGCTACAGTTAGACATCAATAAATAATGAAATTGCTGCACAACAAAATGTAATCATAGTATGTGACTCAATATATTCCATACAATGAATGAGTTTGGTGCAGCTGGAGTGTGCAGGTGAGTTTTTGTTCTTTTAGCACTCATGGATTCAATTCCTTATCTCATTATAATTAACAGTCCTTATTACTGATCCAAATGAAGCATGAACTGTTGTTATTACAACTGCATAATTATTAAGAGCACTTCTTATAACAAGTCATTTATATACTATCTATTACTTGTTATCAACAGTCTTCTTTGTACAATATCATTGACTGGGGCCCAACAATGCTCTCTAGCAGCCAAAGTAAGGAGAGTAAAAATATTAGGTGCTTCAAGCTGCACTAGCCAACAATACAGGTCTTGGAGATGAAAAGTTGAAGTTCTTTGAAGAGATAATATTTATGATTTGTAAGAATATTAATTTACTAAATCACATAGGGAATGTGTACTTACATGCAATATTGAGAAAGAGTCAACAAAAATAAACATACAGTGAAACACCACATGTCATGCCGAAGTCATGGCTGACGCTGATCCCTGCCAGTCCGTGACAGTCACTGGTCACAACTAGATGCCACAGTGGATGCCTTAATGGCAGTTCAAATGAACTGCCATGGCTTTTGCGTCCCGTGTGATGACAATACATGGGATCCCATTCATATTATCGGATATTTTACTATAGAGGCCATTTGGAGGTGGTCACCGTCAGCAATGATCAGAGTGTTCATCTCTGTTCTGCTAAATGAGCTGAGCCGTGGGAAACTAAGTGTTGGTTTCAACGAAGGATTTGGTCTTTTTTTCTAACACTTTTCTTCCATGGCTGGAAAGCGCGGAGAGTTCTTATGCTGTGAATGTGGTCGGAAGTATCTCCTGTTCCTTGTCATTTCCCGCTCCCAGTGCTTTCAATGTGAGAAGGTGGAGGTTGCTGGCAATGATCAGATAGCTATTGAGGTGGTAGAAGTATGCAAGGTTACATCCAACATATAAGCAGTTACTCACTAATTTTCTATAGAAAACTCCGATGTGCAAAGGTTGTGGCCTTCTAATGCAAAGGCTGAAGGGAGACACATGTGATGCCTGTGCAGAAATTCTCTCTGAGTCTGGATCAACACATTTTGAAAGTGTGTGCAAGCCAAACTCCATGCTCTCTAATTAATTGCAACCTTCTCGCAGATCGACACCAAGGCCCTGTAATTAAGAGCGGTGTAAAAGAGCCCCGAGGCCCTGCAAAAATGCGTGCCCTGAAGCTTAGAGAGCCTGCCGGCATCTGCAAAACCTGTATTTTCGGCTAAGGGTCTGAAAGTGGTCGAGAGCACTTCCCAGCAGTGAAAGCACCCAGAGCATGTTGCTTTTGGTGCTTTCAGCGCTGGGATCTGCTGGGATCTGCTCTCAGCCCTTAGCCGAATATCCAGGTTTTGCAGATTGGCGCAACAATGTCGGATCCCATTGAAATAGATGATTCTGATCACTCTGATGTCCACATTGCGACTAAGGTGGAGTCCGAAGATGTTGACTTGCACCTTGTCCGTAGTCATATTGAGAAGAAAAAGAAGAGTGCCTCTCATATCCGTCTAACAAAAAAGGAACCCTCTCCCAATTATTCGCCCACTGCTATGAAACAGTATTTAGCAAAGAAGGCATCACAACGAGCAATAAGCACTAATGGCAAGGTATCCAATATCACCTTTCGGATCCATGTCGCTCTGCAACATAAAGATGGGCGGAATATTGGTACATGAGTCCCATTTCAGACCAAAACATTTCAGACTGACGATGTAAGTTTTTGATACTGCTTTACTTTGCTGATGCTGACTATCAAATATAAAGGAAATGACGGAAGTCTTTGATGGAATTCTCAAGGAATTTAACGATGAGAAGGGCAAATGGCTCTTGAACTATCCTGGGAAGGTCCTTACAATGTAAGTAATAGTGTTATTCAGGTTTCCTCTCATTGCTTACTTATGCAGTGAACTTGTCCAATTTACATTTCTAAATGGATCTGATATACGGCCGGAGTTCATGTTAGGCTCGCTTCAAGTTTTTTGGCATGCCCATACAGTAAAGAAAGGTGTATACATCAAGCAAACTGACATCTCAGATGAAATGGTGTCTCTGAAGATGCTTGTTCCTTATGCTTATGTGGTATGCTTCATTGATATGTAATAAATTTATTCTGATATCTGTTTGAATATTCAGGCAGGATCAGATGAGCAAGATTCTGATCCCGAGCTTCCACTCAGTGAGCCAAAAATTAATACAAAAGGGAAGGCTAAAGCTACCACAAGCCGGGGTATCAAACACGAGGTTGATGAAGATGTGCCGAGGTTCAAGAAGTCCATTTCCCACTCCAAAAAAATAAAGGTTGAGCCAAATGAAGAAATAAATACACTAGATAAAGCTGGTCAAGAGAAGATAGAAAATTCTGATGCTGGTCGGTAGATGTTTCTTCTTTGAGTATTGAATTCGCTCTTACTGTTTCTTGTACAGTTTGGAATTTGTCACAGCCAACGACTTTACGCTTTAGGCTTAGTCGATCTATAAGCTTCACCCGAGAAATATTGAAGAATGGTGAGGAGTTTGAGCAGTTGCCAAAAATACTCACCAGCAGCATAACCTGCATGACGGAGCACACAGAAGAATGGCGACGGACATTCAAGGTAAGTCGATTTTTGGTTAACTCTCCACAATAGCGCTGCTGATCCCTTTGATTGTAGTTGAAGGTTGCAGACAAAATTTATTATGCACACCTTCTCAATGGTGGCAGTGCTCGATTTGATGTGAAATCGGAATTAGACTTGGCCCGTACTGAGCTACTTCGACAACATTTCCTTCGCACCGTAGTTAACTCATATATGAATAGCCAGTCACAGTCTGGTACAGTTTGCACAGGTACGTTTTTCTCTATCATACCTTACTACTTTTATACTTCATGCATGCATCATTAGTTCCAGAGAACTTTCTTGCTATTGTTAAAACAAAATCTGGGGAGATAACCAATATCTATGTGTGTCAAGCAATATTCCCCTCAAGGGATAGCATAGTGTCTTCTTCCATACTCACTGATTCCATCACTCACCATTCATTTGTGGAAAGTAATGGTGAAAAAGTCATTTCAAACATCCGTAGTAAGCTATATATTTCGACGTTATTCACTTTGAGCTCATTATCATTTTAGTCTATGTGGATCCTTCCAATAATGATCATCTTTTTGCATGGGCATTGACTCATAGGTAAGTACTATTGGAAAACACAGGGTAGTGTCATTCATATTCTGAACAGTAGGGACTCAAGTTCTGGTGTTGGTGATTGCGGTGTCACTGGTATCCAATTCTGTATTGATGATCATGAATGTGGCAACAATTGCAATCACCTACCACCATTCAGTCTCGATGCAGCAAAATTAGACTGATATCATGGAGTCTTGTATCTGTCAAAAAAGGACACCCCACTCATTTACTTCAATGCCTACCTACACCAAGAGTACAAACCATTCATCTACTTACTGAAATTTTTTTTGATGTTCAATACAATTTTATACTAAGATAATTGAGCAATCATATGTCTAAAAACAATCCAAGCACTATGTAAGTCAATACTCGGGGCCCCGATAGCAACATAAGCTGCGTCAGCGAGTGATTCAAATTCCTCATCAACATAGCGCATTCGACCCTGACCCTCTACTGCATCATCTAACAGCTGATCAACAATCTTCATATCCACTACAATGCCACAGTTTTGACCACCATACTTTTCTGGAAAAAAGTAGAAATCATCAGCTGATCCACCACTTGGAAGCAGCTTATCCTTCTGCTTGCGGACACAGTGAGAATTCTGCTCAAGGCAAAATGTATCAAGTTCTCGTTGAACAAGGGGGTACCATATCCAATTAGATGTTTGCCTGAAAGGAAGACTTAGTTAGATCATCCATGCAAGAAGTAAGAACATACATACTGATGTAGGTCATTACCTTGTCTGAAATCCCCACCATATCGGCCAGCATTATAAAAAGAAAGAACATTAACTCCCCATTTCTCAAAGACAGGCTGCCAGCTGCGCTCTATTGTGATGTTCCGGTAGCTTGGTAGAAAGTTCCATGTTGGTATTAGCTCCTCAATGAGGTCCGGAGTGAAAACTTGTCTGCAAGTAGTTTAATGCCAATAAGTGAATGAGTGAGTATTATAACTACTCACCTGAGTGTCGAGTGTATGGAGAATGCATCCCGCACTTCAGACCCTCTGTCTGTTGACCCTTGCACTGGTATTTCTGCACAAAACTGTGAGACACATTTTATTTATTTAACATTCGAAGAAACTTACTGCCATATTTCTTTATGCATTTAAGAAGGACTACACCAATTACAGCGGCATACCGGTTCGATGGTAAGACCACATAATAAAGGAATTTACCACTGAACTTGTCTCGAATACCATATATCTCAAAGCCAGCCTTTGCGAGTTTATCATGCCCATCCATTGACCAATTATCATCTGGACCGTTCGAGTGTAATTGAGTCTGATGTATTACCTTGGTCCCTGGTGCGCGCTGTTGAAATCCCTCAGGTGCATGATCTTGCATAACCTGCGTAACTTTGTCACTGCAGACAAATAATTTAGACAGCCTCAATGAATGATAAACATCAGGTACACACCGTGAAATATGAATACCTTGATGTCCTAATGATTCCTTGATGCGGCGTGGTCCGCGTGTCGAATTGGGATCATCATCCATGGCTGCCAGAACTGCTTGAGTCTGCTCTGCATCAGAAATGAGAGGATTCCGAGAGGTTCCAATGCGCTTTTCAGCTCTCATCTGCGCCAAGTATGAAAAAAGCTTTGTGCGGCTAACAGAGACTTTAGACATGGTCAATATACGCTACAATTGGAGTGTCATACCCAATTTTGTACCCTTTTCTGCTCAACTCAGCCATGATTCGCTTAGACTGCGTGATGTTGTGGTAAAACAGTCCTTCAATCTCAGCTCTGAGTTCCTCAGTCAATGGTGCTAGATGACTGGATCTTAGTAGAGAATGATAAAGGCTATAAAAATTACATACCGGTTGGTCCCCATTGATTTCTGCCAATGGGATTACGATCATGATTTCTTGACACAGAGCTGCCCAGATAGTTGCTAGGATCCTCCTCTTCCATTTGCTTTTTGATATCATAAATGGTAGGAGTAGTAGACAGTAATAAATTTTCAATGTCTTCCTCGCAAATCAAAAATTGAAAATGATCCGGTCCGATTTAGACCATGAACTATCCGGCAACCGTACAACATGTGACAATCCTCATTTTCTTTAATTCAAACACAACGAATACTTTTGCTCATCGACTTTCCTAGAGTTGGCGCCTTGGTGAATGTAACAACAAATACCACTGCTGGCAAAAATACAGAGCCACGGGGTTACTTGACTGAATCACAACTTGAATTTCATGCTGACCAACGAATGTACTTTTCTAGTGTTCATTGGTTGAGACTGAGGTGACTGAGTTGCTCGTGCAAATTGTCTTCGACTAGTACAATCTCCTCATTTCTTACTTCGAAGTGAGCCTCAGCAGTCTAGATGAGAGGTTTGTGTGAAATGCAATAGGAATTTCATGTCTGTACCAATAGTTAGGCCATTGAAATGGTTGTCCATTACACGTAATGAATAGAGATCATTGTCAGACCTTATAAGAACCCCACTGCCCTTCAATGTTCGCGTCTGCGCATCGGCGTATATCCTGAAGTGGATGACCTCTATGGGTGTTGGCATGGATCCAGCGACAATGTGGATGCTCGCATATGGCGAAAAGTCCGTAACTGGCTTTTTCTTGAGCACATATGGCAAGCCCTTTGTGAGGAAGGGGTTGGTGACTTGTTGATGATACATAGATAGATAGTGATGCGATTCCGAGTAGGATGACCCTTCCAAAGATCCGAAGGTCCCGACGGACGCAATAAAGGCGCACACAACAGGCAACAACAGGCAACAACCTGCAACTGTATTCGCTGATTACTAGTGTACACCTGCGGGGACCTACACCTTGCTTGGTCACATTTTATGAGTGTTATTCCCACAGCGTAAGTACTCCGTACATGAAAACTGCAAAATAAGTTCTTTTTGACACATTGAAGAAGCATTCTTATTCTCCTATGCTCATATGAAAGAATATGTTACTACTTCTGAACATCTCCAACCATTTCTTTAACTCAGGCAACTGCACTGACTTGATCTGCTCCCCAGGAATGATGAAGTGTGCAACTAGTGCCAAGAAGGAAAGCAGAGGCCATGGAGTGCAGGCAACCAGTCTAAGGACAGGGATTAGTGGACATACAATGGAGGCAGGAATGGGTACATCCACAGCACAGTCATCAACAATTGTCATGAAGTACGTAGCCCCTATCATTTTCCTTTTCTCACTGTCTCAATGCCCTTACTTGTACAATTACATCACTATCAAATCTCATTGATTATGTCATGCCTTGCCTTCTCCAGACCTTTCCCTTTCCTTTCCAGAGCTCCGGTTCATCACTTATACATGTTTCCGATATTCTATGCACCATCCTTATGATCTTCACGATACATATTACCTGTCACTCCAGTAGCCACATGACATATGTAGCTGACAGCCTCATGTACAGTATATAGGCTGGGGACTCCCCTCGGAGCTCCCCAGTGTGTTGTTGTCAAATCTTACCTGGAAACTCTTCCTACCTGGCTTGGTCGCTTGAGTACAGTCTACTAGTACTTGCTAACAGGGCCTGACATGTCTCAACTGCTATATATTTCCTCATTATCTGTTTCCTTTATCTCTGTTTCACCTCAACTCTATTTCTCCTCTCTGTTTCCCATCTCTGGCCTCTTTCTGTCAATCCTCGTATTTTCTACGCCTCTCCTTCGACTCACCATCTATGTCGAGGCTCTACAATACATCCTTTATCCTCTGGAACCTTCCATTAGGCTCCCAATTCTGCTTCACTGCTTCCTAAGCTCCCCACAAAACCCCACTCATATTGGCTACACCTCCCCTCCACATCAAAGCGGTGGTTACGCGTTACATTCTACACCTCTAGGACCCTCTATTAGGTCTACCCAAACTCCACAACTACCTCTGGTTAGGCTCCCCTCACCAGTATTGGCACTATCTCATACCTCCTCGTATGGCCTAGGCGGCTACTGCATTTGCTTAGGCCCAGTCTGGGTAAAACCAGAGCAGGCCTTCTGTGCCGGGGCCTCACAGATTACTGATCCACCTGACCCCCATCATTGATTACCAATCCACCTGTTACCCTTCTCCTTCTACTGGCTTCCGCCACCTTCCTTGTTCCTAAACTGTATAGTATTACATCGTCATTTCTTGCAGATCAAATTATGTATATAAAGCCAACCCCTCACCGCCTGGTCCCTTATCTTGACCACTCTGTCATTATCTTGGGACCAGGTATGTGCCTACTTACTAGTACTTATGACTACGATGCTCAATATATCTCTGTCATTATCTTGGGACCAGTTTGCCTATGCCCTGCTTAATTGCTCTGCTTTGTCGTTCTGCTCAGTCGCTCCGCTCCGCTATTCTGTTTAGTCACCCTGCCGCTGCCGCTTTGTGACAAGAATGTGTTTTTGATGCAAGAGACACTGGCATCCTAAGTGGGAAAGTCATAATTGGGCCAAAAGGTGGAGTGTTCCATTCCAAGAGCAATATACCAAGACCAACATAGAAGGCAGAAGTGGGTGTACAATGAAATTAAAAATGGAATTCAAATTCAAGAAGGTTTTTTTTTGTATGCAACACAGCACATGGCATGTACATTTGAAGCTTGGGAGTGCACATGAAGTAATAGGAAGGGAGGCAGAGTAGACAGAGGGTGGCAGTGGACTGTCAATCCCATCAGGTATGAGAAGCAGCAAAAGTTACAACTCACAGACAGACAGTGCAATGACAGTAGGTAAGGGAGCTGTGTATAATGAACCTAAGGATGACAAGAAAATAGTATGAAGAAGGGATAAGCTATGGAAGTGGTGGATGCACAATGGAGAGTTCTGAGGAGAAAACTAAACCATGCAGGCAGTAGATTCAGTATGAGGCTGTACAAATTTTGAGAAGTAGAAGGAGGAAAGGAACAGACAAAAGTAAGTAAGCTGTAGGGTTTATCAAGTCACTGAGGGCAAAGCAGTGGAGAGGAAATGGAGGGGTCCAAATTCCAATGTCATTGCTACCGACGGGGGCGACAGGTATGCGGCAGACCATAGCAGCAATGACACACCTAAATTTTGGCTAGACATCTATGCAGTGAATTGTGACACTTTCACGCATAGATTTGTATCAAGAGGACTGTAATTGAGACCCAGATTGACAGTCAAGGTCAATACTGAATCAGTCTAATAAGTTGAAGGGACCATATACCCATACTACCACAAGTTGGTTAGTTTACCCATCCCCGATACTACCTTTGGATAAAAGTCTACCTGTTTGTCAAGCAGGATTATACCAGACTCGGACAACATCCGAAGGATGACTATTCATGTATGACATACCAAGGGTATTCTTATTGAACCTTACACTGGCAGGAGTTTGGAAGAACTTACTCAAGTGACCATGAGCCGAGGATTGACTCAAAATGACTTTCTAGAACTCAGGGATTATCAAATACTCCTTCTAGAATGAGATCATGCATTAATCTAAAAGACTGCGATTTAGTCTAATAGACCAATCAAGTTGCATGGTTGAGGAAAATGACTAGAAGAACGATTGAAGTACTGCAAGGCTCCGAAGACATATCAAATGAATGTCAAAGAGTCCTGACGTAGAAAATATTGAAGAAGGCAATTAAATGAATACTATGCGTAACTCCCTTGATAGAGTATAGGCACAATGGGTGTCTATTGAAAGAGAGGAGCAATTAGTTTAATCCAGATGAATCAGATTAATAGGATTAGAATCGAGGAGAGCTGATTTGCCTCCGGACGAGGTGACAAACGATCGAAAGTAAGTGTTGAACAGCAGTGACAGCTGAATACCATTCGAGTCATTCTCTAAAAATGATTAAATTAAATGAATATCGAAGTACCTACCTATGTTTGGAGGTATACTAGAATCTTGGAACCAAAATGGACCAAATAAGGACCTGTAGATTCAAATTAAATGGTATCTGACCAATTGTAGAAGTTTCCTTGTGGTTCCGAACGTATATTTTATTAAATTAATTGTACTGTGCAACTCTATATCCTGTATGTATAAATAACGATCCGATGTATCTGGAATACAAGCGATTTTGGGATGACATTGCAGTGCTAATCCATAAAAAGGAAAGACACACTCCTGCCAGACTGAAACCTCTTCACTAGCAGCCATTTGGGCCCGGTAACGAGCTTGCCTCGTTTTTGTGTGAAAGAGAAAGGAAGGAATCTAATGGGCACTCCAACCAACCAATCTAATACACAATATGCGAGTTCACTGCTATCAAATTTATTTAATAGCAAGGGGTAGCATTGGCAAAGGTTCCACAAAGCTTTGAGAGCTAAGTAAGAAGCTTTGATCAATCAATTTGAATCGTTCTAAGGATTCGGTATATTCCTTTGATTAAGGTAGATTCAGCACGGTTTGTGCTTTGATTGTATTGATATGGGTATATCAAGAATTGGGGGTTTTAATCAAGTTAAATTAAAACCAAAACACACAGACCCCTACGGAGGGCTAGAACTATGTGCTGGCACAACCACACAGCGTGATTTGCCCTTAAGACCAACAACTGATCCTAAGTTCGAAGAATACCCAACAACTGGATATACTTCTCGCAGTCACAAGGAGCAGAACACGACGTTCCTATACTCACAAGTGCCGGGCCCGAATGGCTGCTAGTGAAGAGGTTTCAGTCTGGCGGGAGTGTGTCTTTCCTTTTTACGGATTAGCACTGCAACGTCGTCCCAAAATCACTTTTATTCCAGATACATCGGATCGCTATTTATACATACAGAATATAGAGTTGCACAGTACAATTAATTTAATACAATAAACGTTCGGAACTGCAAGGAAACTTCTACAATTGGTCAGATACCATTTAATTTGAATCTACAGGTCCTTATTTGGTCCATTTTGGTTCCAAGATTCTAGTATACCTCCAAACATAGGTAGGTACTTCGATATTCATTTAATTTAATCATTTTTAGAGAATGACTCGAATGGTATTCAGCTGTCACTGCTGTTCAACACTTACTTTCGATCGTTTGTCACCTCGTCCGGAGGCAAATCAGCTCTCCTCGATTCTAATCCTATTAATCTGATTCATCTGGATTAAACTAATTGCTCCTCTCTTTCAATAGACACCCATTGTGCCTATACTCTATCAAGGGAGTTACGCATAGTATTCATTTAATTGCCTTCTTCAATATTTTCTACGTCAGGACTCTTTGACATTCATTTGATATGTCTTCGGAGCCTTGCAGTACTTCAATCGTTCTTCTAGTCATTTTCCTCAACCATGCAACTTGATTGGTCTATTAGACTAAATCGCAGTCTTTTAGATTAATGCATGATCTCATTCTAGAAGGAGTATTTGATAATCCCTGAGTTCTAGAAAGTCATTTTGAGTCAATCCTCGGCTCATGGTCACTTGAGTAAGTTCTTCCAAACTCCTGCCAGTGTAAGGTCCAATAAGAATACCCTTGGTATGTCATACGTGAATGGTCATCCTTTGGATGTAGTCCGAGTCTGGTATAATCCTGCTTGACAAACAGGTAGACTGCTATCCGAAGGTAGTATCGGGGATGGGTAAACTAACCAACTTGTGGTAGTATGGGTATATGGTCCCTTCAACTTATTAGACTGATTCAGTATTGACTTTGACTGTCAATCTGGGTCTCAATTACAGTCCTCTCAATACAAATCTATACGTGAAAATGTCACAATTCACAGCATAGACGTCTAGCCAAAATTTAGGCGTGTCACCGGCACTTGTGAGTATAGGAATGTCATGTTCTGCTCCTTGTGACTGCAAGAAGTTATATCCAGCTGTTGGGTATTCTTCGAACTTAGGATCAGTCGTTGGTCTTAAGGGCAAATCACGCTGTGTGGTTGTGCCAGCACATAGTTCTAGCCCTCCGTAGGGGTCTGTTTGTTTCGGTTTTAATTTACTTTGATTCAAACTGTCATGCCCTGACCACAACCAGACCCGTCCCAGTACCAGCCACCACCTTCTATCGACCTATACACCTTCCCAAGTACCACCATACACCTCCCTGATCCCCAAATACCACCACACACCTCCCCAACTATCACCATTCCCCTGACATACCTACCCAAATGTCCTGACATTCACCCCAATACGCATACAACACCCTCCTAATAGCCAACCCCTTTAAGTACTAAATCTCGATTACCTTCCTCCCTAGATTAGCTGCCTCATGTTTCCAGATGTCCTCTTGTTCACTTCCCATACCTACTTAAGTAGCGCCGCAACGTCCAGAAGCCCCAGCTTGGTATATTTTGAACACACACCCTTTTGCATAGGTCCAGTCCCTGTCCCTTTGTACCTGCTAACCATATGGATTTCTCTTTACTCTCTGTTTCTCTATCTCTGTTTCTCTTTACTCTCGTCTACTGTCTCTCCGATCGTCTATACGATCGAATATACACTTTTACTTCAAGTCTAAGCCATCCGAGTGAGTCTCCGAGCTCCCTCAAACAATACTAAAGCTCCCCAATGCCTAAACGCTTTGGTGAGCTACCCTTCCCCAAAACTCCCCAAGCTCCCTAGCTACTTCGTAAGCTTCGGAACCTTGATCTAAGTAAGGTCAAAGCTACCTCCCACGTCGAACTACGTATCGCTTCTCCGTTACCACCTCCAACACTCGAGGACATCCATCCTCAAGCCCAGTTCCCGGGCATATACCTTCTCAGTAGCTTACACCCTCGAGACCCATTTCCATCCACGACCTACTTGATCCTATATTGACGTTCTAGCGAGTACAACTCCTACCACGCAATATTACAAGGTCCCGCACTTTTACCTAACCTCCCTGGACCTCCTAGGAACCCCCTCAAGGGTCACCATCTCATCGTCCCAGCCACTACTAGGTCATTCCTGTCCTCGGTCGCGGTTCCCGTAGCTCCCTTCGAGCTCCAGCCTGCTCCTAGCATGCTACAACATAAACTCTCATATACCAAACCCTACCTTAAGACCCATTCCGACCCAGGTCTTACACAAACCTCCAATTCTTGATATACCCATATCAATACAATCAAAGCACCAATAGTGCTGAATCTACCTTAATCAAAGGAATATATCGAATCCTTAGAACAATTCAAATTGATTGATCGAAGCTTCTTCCCTAGCTCTCAAAGCTTTGTGGAACCTTTGACAATGCTACCCCTTGCTATTAAATAAATTTGATAGCAGTGAACTCACACTTGTGTATTAGATTGGTTGGTTGGAGTGCCCATTTGATTCTTTCCTTTCTCTTTCACACCAAAACAAGGCAAGCTCATTACCGACATCTCATTGCTAGGCTTAAGAATCCCCATGCCCTTGAATGTTGTTAGCATTTTTGAATTGGCATAAATATCGAAGAAAATGTTCGGCGTCAAATACATTTCACTAGTATGTTCAGTGGCAGCAATGTGGACATGGGCATCCTGTGAGAAGCCCATCATCAGCATGTTCTTGAATATATATGGCAAGCCCGCTGTGAGGAAGGGAGTAGCAGCTTGTTTTTCTGCTGTTGATTTGAGCTTGATGTAGACCGTATTGGCAGCCCTCTTGTACATGGCATTTCCATCATCCTAGTATGATCGGAAAGATTATATGAGTATCCATCCTAGTTACGTTCAATTGCTAGACCTTTAAGTCGCAACTCACAGAAAGAGGCATTGCCCAAACATTTGAAAAAAGACTGAGACCTAGCCCAAGCATGAAGTACACAATATTCAAGTGCATGCTGGAACAAAGTTGGATGTCAAGTGAAAAGAAGCAGTCAGGATGATGAACTGGAAAATCCTGCGGTGGAATACTGGACAGTGGATTGTGAGTAGGTGGGACAAGAACTATCTGAAGGAACTTCACTCAGGATTGAAGAAGCGACAGAAGAGGAAGATCAATTGGCAGAAAGGACATTCCTTGACCAGCAAGGAGTTTTAGTTACAGCGTATTCAAAAAACCTTGTCAGTAGCATAAAAAATGAAATAAAATAAAATAAAATCCAAAAGGTACCCGACCTTTAGCCGACCGCTTGGCGAGTGCTGTCCTGTCACCTCCTGTGCTGTCCAGTTGTGAGATGTCATTTCAACAACTTCCAACTGGTTAGCAGTGCTTCGTCTGGACTCTGTTGTCTTCAGGACATCTCTGGCTATCTCTGGGTTGTCTTAGTGCAAGCCTTGGCTGTGTACTGGCATCTGACTGCCATTCTCATGTATCCAAGGATATCTAGAGGCAGCCTGCCCCCTCCATATGCTCCACCTTTGTATGATTGCAGATCTCTTGCTTCTGAGGTAGGACTAGTAACAGATGATGATGCCTCTGGAGAGTCTGACCATGCCAGGAGGAGTTCCATCGACATTGTGATCCTTCAGTGGACTTGTTACCTCCACCAGCCTCCAGCCTCCACCACTGGCATGGAAGATCATTGTCAAAAGGCGCAAGTGACAGCACGCTCACCAAGCGGTCGGCTAAAACGTTGGGTACCTTTTCGATTTTATTTTATTTTATCTCATTTTTTATGCTACTGACAAGGTTTTTTGAATACGCTGTAAGGAGCGACTGCAGAAGGGCCTTGCTTTTTATACCATGGCTGCTTGGATGACCGGTACCTTAGGCTCGTATGGCCATCCATTCTCTGACTTGATCCTGTGGGAGCACGTTATCAAAACGCCATCAATTTACAATAATGATACTAGTTCAAAGCGACGGCGAGGAATATATCTACAGTGACGGCGTTTGTATCTGAGATCCCTAGAGAGCTTGTCCTGTTCTTTTGCGAAATAAATTTTCTCTTCCAGTTGAGCAATGATGGTACGGGGTGAATTTGGTCAACCACTCATTCATTGATTGGGCATTTTTCATTGGCCGACGTATGTAAGCGTATGTATGTACTCCAATTACCATCTTGGTCAAAAATCTTCGAATCAACTCCTTTCACCGGTACCTGCCATCCGTCTAAGGTCGAGGATCGAGACTGAGGTTGCTGAGTTGCTCGTCCAAGCTCGTGACAACAATCTTTCCATCTCTGTGTTCAAAGTGGGCTTCATTAACCTCGATGAAAAGTCAATATCAGTTGAGGATACTAAAAACAATGAAATGCAATAGGGATTCATATAACCTACCTTGTCTGGGCCAATTTTCACAAGTTCCCGCCCTTCCGTGTCCATTACACGCAATGCGTAAAGATTCTGGTTGATAGACCCACTGCCTTTGAATCTTTGCCTTTGCTCATCGGCATAAATCTCGAAAAAGATGAACCGTTTGCTTTGTGGTTCAGATCCAGTTTCAATTTGGATACTGGCATCATACGCGAAGCCCATTTCCGGCTTCTTCTTGAATACATATTGCAAGCCGCTCTTGAGGAATTTGTTCGCATTTTCCTTGTCAGCCTCTGAATCTATGTGGATGAAGGCCCTGCTCAAGGCCTCAGGCTTTACCTCGTTCTAGAAAAATCAGAAAGAGCGAATGAGTAACCACTCCAGTTTTGTTCATTGCTAAAACCACTCACAGAAAGAGGCATTGCCCAAACATTCGAAAAAAGACCCAAGCCCAAACTAAACACGAAGTAGATGATATTCAGGCGCATGTTCAATTAAGTAGAATGCCGAGCGGAGACGGGAATGGTTGTGATGATGAACTAAAGGATCCTGCGGTTAAATACTGAATTGTGAGTAGGTGCTGTAGCTAGTAGATTCAAAAACTTGACTGACACTTAGGGAAGGGGGAGCGGAATATCAGCAGAAAAGTTTCCTTGACCAGCAAGGAATTCTTGGGGGCAACTTGATTTGCACTGCAGTTGGGGTGGTCGATGTCAAATCAGTCGCTTTTTTATCCATTCGCGATGTTTCATGTTCAAAAACCACGCTTGGATGACCCTTCCAGTGATCCACATCATCGCTAGAGCGCCGAGCGGTGCTGATCGATGTAATGTAGAGGCCCCGACGGCCGTAACAACAGCCCAACAATTGACATACGCCGTCGATTGGCTCCCGACCGTCTTGATTCTGACTCTTACAGAAGGGGTGTAGGATGAGGGTATGGAAGAAGACAGGGCGTACATCATAATATTGTTACTTCCATATCCGAGTCAGTAGCCGCCCTCTCAAATCTCCTTGAATCTTCACTCAATACACTCTCCGCTACTCAAATTCATGCTCATCCTGATCCTGTGCCCACTCATCCCCTCCAGATCCATAGTCTTTGTCCTCACCGCCAACTCCGTTGCACAACGCCTTTGGATGACCCTTGGTTATTATCGAGATAGGCTCACTAAAGGTGCGCTGTCATATCGAGCAGGAGTCTGAAATTTCCTAGCCAATGTGAATATTAGAGACAAAATTAGATTAGGCTGTACATCGTGTTCAAGATAAGGAACTAAAATTAATACTGGATTTATACATACACAAGAACGACAAATCAACCTCACTGTGATTTTCCGGCCTCCAGATTGTCTTGTGCGACATGGTCACTAGCAAAACTGCTACCAGCTGTCGTCGAAACGTCACGAACTTCTCCTTCAACAAATCTGATAGTCGAGAGATGAGATGGCATTGCGAAGCCTATGCTACGAGTGATTTTGTCTCCATGGGGCGAGTCCGATTTTGCGACGTTGGGTGTCGCACTAAAGGTCAGGTGAAAAGATTCTGCCAATGGAGCGCGCTCTAATTTCACGAGGATAATCACTGCCAAAGGATACATTGGCTGCAGAAAAACGGGATCAGCATTTTCCACATTAGGCGCAGAAGGACCGGGAGGATAATCACCACTAGCTCCGAGAATAGGGAATTGAATATTAGATAGGCAGCAGTTTCGTTTTCTGTGGGGTTTGCGAAGTCTTCCAGGGTGAGAAAAATTGCATAAAGGAGCTAAGGTTTTCGATGGGATCCTCTGGGATACTACTGATAATGCGAAGAACTGACTTGCAAGACGCCTAGGACCGTCCCAGACTCGACCAACAGGAGCAACAGGCGTTCGACTTGCGACCGGTGTTTTCCGTTGTACAATGCCTTGACGGTTTTGTGGTGCTCCCTGAAGGATAAAGACCCCAAGAGAACTCAGTCTTACTGTTTATCTTACTTTTGAGGAGTAAGTACTTACAGTAATTTGGCCCCGATAAACAAAGTAGCAACAAGATTTGCAACCAGAGAAGTCCAAATCGATGTCGCACTGATAGCAAGAACAGCCGTTTGTAGACTCTCAGGTAAATTTGCTACATCGCATGCACTAGTGATTATGAGCATTGCTGGAGAGAAACATTTTTGAAAATCAGACTCGTGAGCTGAGATACAGATGCAAACTGGGAAGAGGACCAGCTAGGGAACGAGCGGGACAAGACAATCGAAGACCGATCGACTCACCCCCATTCAACACCATCAGGATCACCAAAAACCATTGAGCTATCCTGTTCCCTGTATATATTGCCCAAGCTCGCCATATAACTGTAGCGTCCCCGACAAGAAGCTAAATCACGTTCCGGCAGCATTATTTCTATTCCAATAGTATCTTAGAGGAACACGAACATTGAGGTTTGATGCCCAGATACTCATGCGGGACCACGGTAATGCATTTGCATTTGCGACGTCTGCTTGTGCTCGGAGACCTGCACCGTTGCTGAGAGGGGTGAACACATATTTCGTTCGAACGAGCTCGATCGCAACACTGATAATGTATGCCCAGGTGTTGAGGCCCAAAATGAGAATCGTTAGACCGAGAAGATATTGGTGCGGACGAGAACTCGGGATTCCGGATTTCCTGTTGAAGTATAATGAAGTGAGCATACTACGAGGGAGGATGAAACGTACAGAAGTAGGGCTAACGCTATGAAAGCAAGGAGAAGGTAGAATCCTGTTATCATACGAGAAGCAAGTAAGTTTGTTGTGGACCATATCATCAAAAATCGGACTGACCATACATGGAGCAAATCAACGCCAACTGTGCGATATTCCAGTACTCCGTTACTCCGATTGAAGCTAACAACGCGGTTTCTTCTGGTGTCATTTTTTCAGGAAGGCTTGAAAGGGAGTGCAAGCTGAGCGCTGGGAACAGGCAACAAAATCAGTCCTCCATAAGGTCTGTCGTATAAATAATGCTCAAAATGACCGTGACACGGGCGTAATACTCAAGAGCAATGCATTGAGCAACTTTGAAGCACCAGGGTTGCATTGATGTCACTGAGAAATAATCTCATTCAGTCCCTGTTCAGTCCCATTCCCATGTATCTCCGTCGATTCCGGAGCTTGGTCCTGACTCCTGAGTTATCCCTCCACTTCTTTTGAACGTTTTCCTAGTCTCCAGATCCAGAACAGCGCTGAACATATAATCACAGATAGCTTGCAATCCTACGCGTGTCACGCACAGCCTCAGGAGATGGGCTGGAAGATAATTGAGGATAAGTGCCACGAGAGATTACTACCTCCGGTATCCTACAAAGAGGCAAGGAAGGTGAATTGATTAAGGTGGTTTGCAGGAGATCTGGACACTTTTAAATGAAACAAGATGGCAATCACCTACTCGTACCCGCAGTCATTGCTTGGAAGTTGGGTAAAATTGGATCAAGGCCTAATTAAGACTGGCCTGTTTCAGCCTGTTTCGCTATACTGGATGCACCCTGTGTCGAAAATTCTTACGGATCCGGAGAAAGCAAGGGAAAAGTTGTTAAAAAATGACATGGGGATATGGATTTTGAAGAGAAAATCAGGTACATACCAGCAGGAAATCATGAGTGAGTCACTTCTGAATGAAAGTAAACGTAGCGGTAGATTTTCTCACTTGAGAACGTGATTTGAGGAAGATCTGTGTTCGACTCTGTTTGACGGCGGTTTGAGTTTACAGTATTGAACGTGTTTCATTAATAGAGAGAAGAGAAAATTCAAAGCTGTACATACACGCCACAATAGGGAAAGCATCGAGACTCTCCGAGTCTGAGAAACCGGTAGAAATGCCATATCTTCAGCCGACCAGGTCTAGGTATTATCATTTCCAACTTGATGTACTTCTGGAGATCCATGTACTTTTGATATCCGTAAGTACCCAGCCCGTACCAAGAACGGAAAGAAAATGAACATCGCAACCTTTAATGCAGGATCAAATCCGCGGCCAAGTCCAATGAACTATACTGTGCGGTGCAATGCAAACGGATACCTGACAGATACTAACCGTGGTCGCATGACAGGGTTTGACCACGCCTTCTAGAGTTCTGAGTTATTTGAAAGTACTTTGGAGACGTAATGAAGATGGTGAGAATAAGTAAGTCTTGACTCGTGTAGCCAGCCCAAGTTAGACAGCGGTCTGGCACTGGGGTTCTTGTTACTGATAGCGAAAGTTACGACTGAGTAGAAATACAAGATTGTGTTTTGACTTTGTCGTGGATAATGATTCAATTTGATTGAGTATGAATTTCGTAGAGCAAGTAAGGTCAGAGATAGAGGCCAAGGTATGGCTGAACGGGGGAGCTGGTAGTTTAAATTTAGCCGGAAGTCGTATTAGTTGGCCGTTACGATAAGTCGAAGTCTGAAGCCGAAATCTCTAGAATCAGGAGCTCCAAACAAGAGCAGACTTGCATACATACAGTGATACAGGTCCCCCAAAGTCTTTTTTTCGATAGACTCTTCCAAGTTCGCATCGTTCGACTTCAAATAGGTATTCAGCCGCGCTATGATATCCTTCCATGCCTTCTGTGATCATTAATCAAGATGCTCGATACTTGATCTAAATTATCCAAAACCGAAAGGGAAAACCGGATTCACCTCTTTACAGCAAAGTTTATTTATACTGTTTTCCGCTGCCCAGGATTTCGTGTGGTCTACTTGCGCAGGTGTGAACCAGCAACATTTTTTGAGTATAATAAAATGGCCATTTCATTTCAAGTACATAGATAGAGGATGAAGGCAGAACTTGAAGTTTGTAGTATGTTATACATCCAAGATATTAGATAAGGCAGGTAACACGTTGTAACACTGCTGTAACAGGTAACATTGTCACCTAAAACCTTTACTACCGTCAAAAGATCATCTTCGTACCGGGAAGGTATCTGGGAGGGTACATACAGGATATACGCTATACGGCTTATACAGGATCTATCACCACGACCTACTAGGGATTTCTGGTACTTGGCCTCTTGCCATTGGAGTCCCTGAAGACTGTTTGAACACTTTTGAACGCTTCGGAGACGCTTTGAATACGCTGAAGACGCTGTGAAGAATAGCCTCGTACATTAACTGGATCTTTGGCTCATCTATAGGCGGCGTGTGTTCTGAAGGAAGGAAAGGAAGGGAAAGAACAGAACAGAACAGGGAAACTTGGGAAATATTGGGCACTTGGACAAGGAAGAACGAACGGACAAGGGTCTAAACCGTTGAACGGATTTAACGGAGAGATACAACGGAGAGGGTCATAGAGAGCCGGAATTCTAGCTTGTTCACCGTCGAATTGGAATCGAAAATCTTGCATCTATGTATCACGCAACTCAGCAGCCCCAACAATATAACAACACAGTCACCACCACTACGGGATATTTTTCTACTACGGCGACAGGGTATTCTTCTGCATCTGATACAGATACATCGTATGATGACCACCACCATACATCCTCTTCACATTTTATCTCTCATCATCAATACCTCCCTTCATCAAGCCAATACGCCTCAGACTCGGAACATTCCGAGCATTCCTCCCGCTCTTTCTCCTCCGAAGACCCAAACAACTACGCTTCCCGGTCTTCGCCTTCTTCAGCCGATGACCCATCTCCAACCGACTCCTCCAACTTGACCGACTTTCCGGCGTTGTTCTGCCGCGCAAAATATGATTATACCGCACAAGACGCTTCAGCGTTGTCGTTTGTTACCGGGGACATCATCGAGGTGCTGACGCAGCAGCCGTCGGGATGGTGGGATGGTTTGCTAGGCGAAGAGAGGGGATGGTTCCCGAGTAATTACGTGATAGTGATCAGTGAGGAGGAGGCTGAGAGGGAGTGGGAAGGAAGGGAGATTATGCAAGCGGGGGATAATCAGATGCAAATGCAGATGACAGGCGGACAGGGACAGTCACACAGACATACTCAATCCACGTCTTCAGTGGTTGATATGGGTCAGGCGTTAATGGGAGGATCGTCGTCGTCAACGGACGAGTGGTTGGCTAATACTATAGCTGAATCTAGAAGTATGGGCATAGACGACGATCAAGGTCTCGGTGGTCCAAGTAGAGGAAGAGGAAGAGGAGGTGCAGAAAGCGACTTTTGGATGCCCCAAGTTGCTAGTAACGGTCAAGTAAGTTTATTTTTTCTCATCGATTTCCATGTTTATAAATTCTCAAAACAAAATTTCGTTGACATAGATATTCTACATCAACACTAAAACAGGCGAACAATCCAGAGATCTACCACAAGAAGCCGAGGATGATATAGATTTGTCCATGACAGACGACGCCCCGCTGGCTCTGGCTCAGTCTTCGTCGTCTTCTCGCGCCGGTCCAGGGGTTCTCGGGTACGCTACAAGTAGTGGTCCGTACACTGACCTCGACCCGTCGTCTGCACCCTACGCAAGTGGTAGCTCTAATTCCCAATTCCAATCCCAACCAGGCTTTGGACTCCCCCGACGCACAGACACCCCTGAGCCCTGGATCCGCCGTCTCGCAGATGATGGGTTATCGTATTATTACCTGAACCAGGTCGATGGGAGAGTTCAATGGACGAGACCGGAGTCTTTGACCTCCCGCGGTTCAGGATTACCGGAGACGCCGACGACGGCTGTCCCGTTACCTTTACATGGGAGAGCGAGGTCGGATAGTGTGAATAACTTGACCGGTGGTGGGCATGGTGTGTACAGTGACTCGAGCGATGTGGATGTATCCCTTGCCGATGAGGTGGATGATGCGAAAGGGAAAGGGAAACAGAGATTGAGAGGCCATGCACATTCTGGGTCTATCACTACTATTGGAACCACAGGAACTACAGAGACAGCTATAGCTTCTGGATCTGGACATTCCCATTTAACCACGTCTTCTGGAGGTACTTTCACGGGTACACTAGCCAATTCCAACGCTCATAATCTCCCACTCTCTTCAACCCATTCCCCTAATTTCTCTCAAGGACCCGATCCTTCTCACAAACAACTGACACCGGATTCTTCTTTTCTACGGCATCAACCAACTTCAATTTCAGAGTCCTCCGACTCCCAACAAGCTCTCCTCCTCGCTGCTCAGCTCCAATCGGCGTTATACCCACCTCCGCCAGAAGACCCGCTAGACATGGTGCATCGCGCGAGGGACGCTGTCGAGCGTGTAATTGTCAGGTTGAATTTAGGGGGGCTGGGGATCTTGGGTGAAACGAGTCCGAACCAAGGAACCAGCACAGGTTCAATGGGAGGCGGAAGAGAAGAGAATGCATCTGCGATGGCGGATCTGGATACGCTTATTGAGGATGTGGTTGCAAGTGTGAGGGGATTGTTGTATGTCTGTGGTGCCGGACCGAGCACAACGGGTGGGAGTGTGGGTGGGTCAAGAGAAAATGGGGTTATTACAGCTGGAGGAGGAGGAGGAGGATTGGAAGCACTGGTTCCGAAAATCATGGTTGGAATAACCCCTACCGTTGCCTTTACCTCTATCTCTGCTTCCGCCGCCTCCCCTTCCGAGTCCTCCCCCTTACGCCTCCACACTCGCACCGACTCCCGTTCTCAATCCAACCCGTTAAAACCCTCCCAGCGCAAGTTAACAGCGACCCTCTCGAGGTTGGTGTTGTCTGCGCGAGCGATAAGGTATGTGCGCTTGTCTTTGTCGTTTATTTCGCCTTGGGTTTCTTTTTTCGTTCTCTATCTGTTTCATTTGTCCTTTCCTTCGTTCTTTTTCTGACAATTTATTTCCGTTTAGGTACGATTCCGCAAACGCCAGTCCGGAAAGCACGATTGAGCGCATCCGGGGAGACGCAATGGAGCTTGGACGAGCGATCGGTGCGTTTGGAGTGGAGGTGCAGAAGGTGTTGGCTAAGTTGGATAGGTTAAATGAGGACGAATTATACGTAAGTGTGTTTTGGTTTTCCTTGGACCCTCAACTTATCTTTACTGACTATCAATCTAGCAACGACAGATCAGCTTGAATCTCACTTCCAACATTGACCTCGCCCCAATGCTCCTCAAACTGAACCTAAACTCGACCCTGCTTTCCCTCGGCAAAAAACGCCTCACAGCTGCATTCGAACCAACAAATTTAGGGTTGGGGATGCCGGGTTCTGGGAGGGCAGGGAGTTGGACCGGGTTTGGGTTCGTTGCGGAGGACGACCTAGATGAATATGAGGACCAGGATATTGAGAGTGAAGTTGCGGAAAGAAAGAAGGTCAACGGAAATTCGAAGAAAGCGAATGGTGTTGGTGGAAGTAACGCTACCGATACTGGTTAGTCTTTTTCCAAAATATCCCTGCCGGCGTTCTGGTTCAAATTGATTAATTGATTAATAATTCTATGCTGTTGTTGTAGACCTTTCGGATTTCTCAGAGTTCTCGGAACGCGAAAGCGAAGGAGAAGGGTCGGAGGTTTCAGAGTTCTCGGAAGTCGATTCGGGAGTGGATATCGAGTTTGGTGACTCGTCGAATTCTGATGCGTCTTCGGTGGTGGTAAGACGTAGTAGACCTAGGAGAGCGCCGAGAGGAGGTAGAGGGAAGAAGAGGAAACGGTCACCTGGCCATGGTTCTGGTGTCGGTGTCGGTTCACATTCTTCGAACCAAGCACCCGAAGTAAATTTGCAGTCAAACCAGAACAACCCAAATTCGTCCCATCCAACAAAATCCGGCAATCACTCATCGTCACACTTAGCGAAAAAGAAAAATATGCCGACGAGACCTCCCATGAAGCCTCTCTCACCAGACCTCGTTTCGGATATCGCAGCTTCTGTAACGAGGTTGGATGCGTTCCTTGGGGTATTGGATATCGCTGTTGTTCAACAACAACAACACTCCCCTGCTGAAAGGAACAATACGAACGCGACCGACCAGCAGTACGAATACATCCAGCGGGCACAGCGAATTCACCAAGTTCAAAGATTCGCGAAAGACGTAATAGGACAGGTCCAGACTGTGCTTGAGTTGGTAGATGATGTGGATGTAGCTGAGAGTGTGGTTTTGGATACACCGATACCGCATGATACGACCTTATCACAGTCGGTGGACGGGCCGCTGAACAGCTTGGCAGAAGAGAAGAAGAAGGTGGTGATATCGAATTCGAATGGAGAGGGTTCGAAAGATGAAAGAGAGGGAGGTCGTACAGCCCTCTCCTCACATCATTCCTCCCATTCGTTGAGCACGGTCGAAACTACGGAAACGGTGGATACAGTGGACACCCGAATGTCGTCTGTCTTCACTCATGGGACTGGGTCATCGTTCAACGGGTTCTCGTCTTCTTCACATACATCACATACCTCGCATTCACAGAATTCCACACCGATACTTGATGATAACTCGCATTCTTCTTTTATCTCGAAACATTCACCTTCCTTCGCGCGTACCCAAGATGTATCATTTACCCCCCGCACAGACTTGTCGCAAACGCTCCCTACGGCCCGTGCGCTCCTGCGCATGCTCGAAGCGGGTGTGCAAGCTCTATACGACGACGCTGCGGCGCTTTGGGGACATGTGCAGGTTCTGAGAGTCGAGGGGAGTGATTACCCTTATTCACATTCATCATCCTCGTCATCCAATATCAACTCTTCTTCGGAATTCCTCTCCTCGTCCTATCATTCATCTGATGGTTCATTTTCAAATCAAACCGACCCCGCGATGATCCTTTCCGTGGTAAACGTCCTTTCCACCGCTATCAAAGCCAACGCTGCCGTGGTGTTGCAGATACTTGATAAACTTCTGGCGCTTGGAGTTGAGCAGAGGACGATTGTGGAGGGGGTGTTGGAGGAAGAAGATTCGGCGACGTCATCTGTGGGAGTTGCGGGAGGCGATATGATGAATACAAGGGGCACGAATGGTGTACGGAGATGGGAGGAGAGTGTCCGGTGGAGTAAGAGAGTTAGCAGGGATGTGGATAGAGATGTTAGCAAGAGAATGAGCCATCAGAGGAGCAGTATGGTTAGAGTGAGACCGGCGTCGATATTGCCTGCCTCCGTCGGACCAGATGCGCAAGGAGGAGGAGGATACGGTGGTGGTGTTCCGACAGCATTACAGCCTGGGTATAATATGCTCAGATATGGCGGATATGAAGGGCAAACTCACGAAGTTTATGATGAATATGGACGTGGTACGTCTCCCTCTATCCTCAAAAATTTCATCCCCAATCACTGACTACTCTATAGGTTCCTCGTCTCTTCCGGTCTCCCAGATGGTAGGAGGAGGAGTCACGGCGCCAGGCATCGTTGGGTCTGATGGCGACGACGAACTGGGTTTGGAAGATGCATTTTTGAGACCGCAAAGGCCTATACGGTTGGAGCCGATTAGGTTTCAGGGTCCTCAGAGTCCGGATGCGTATGGCGTTCCGGCTTCGCAGATCATTCAGAGTGGGCAGGGTAAAGTGAGTTCCTCAAATCCACTGTCATACCTTATAACTGACATCGGACGGGGTTCTTTTTATCATTATAAAATGTTAGCTTCAAGCCTCGGGCTCGTCTGCGTCGTTGAGTCAGCTCGGACAGTCGACGGATTATCCTTCGTACTCTGGTCAATTTGGGATGGGTCAACAGGGAATACCACCGATGCCAGGAAGTATATTGAGGAACGCTAGTGCGCCTATGGTCACCACTCTCACCAGTCTCAATCAGCCTCAATACCAGAATCAAGCTCAATACAACCAGGCTCAGTATCAAACGCAGTACCAGAATCAAGCTCAAGTTCAGTACAATCAAATTCCTAAGGTGCGGACCACGGGGAGTGTGGGTGCTCAGAATGTACAAGGGTTCTCTGAGCGGAACCAGTATGGTCAATATCCATCGGATTTTGAGCCTGGTTATGGTGCGATCGGTTCGAGTGCGAATGCTAGTGAGGGTGAAGATACTTTGTCCGGTGGGTTCGATGATTTCGACGAAGACGACGAAGACGAGGATGATGTGCTTGTAAGAGGTTCGGATGATCGTAAGTTTTCGTTTGCCGCCCGCATTAACACTAATAATCGTTTCCTCCCACCAAGCACTAACACCCAAAATCAAGGGTTCCGGCCCTCCCACCCCTGCTAAACCAAATAAGATATCGAATAAAATATCAAGCAAGGCAGCCAAAATCCTCGGTGAAGAAGCACCGCCGTGGTTCCTCCTCCCGGACGAAGGCAAAGGTCCGCAGGAGACGGGGTTGGTGGTAGATCCGGAGGATAAGAGTGTCAAGGGAGGATCGGTAAAGGCGCTTGTAGAAAGGTTGACGGCGCACGATACAACTGGTGAGTGTTGTTTTGGCACATTGGATAATGAAAATCGTGGTCGTTTACATTGTCGGTTGATTCACTAACTAAATCTTTGTCTTTCTTCCTATTCGCCTCATAGACCCGAATTACTCGAAAGCATTCCTCATGACGTTCAAATCCTTCACGACCCTCAATGATCTGTTTGACCTCCTTGTCGAACGATTTAGGATACAGCCTCCCTCTGGTCTCGCCACGTTGCAGTTGAGGCAGTGGACGAGTAGAAAGAGGAATATCGTTCAGTTTCGGTGCGTTAAAGCTCTTTCCTGTTGTGAAAAACTAATGGTTTTCTTGTGACAGCGTAATCAACACATTCAAATCAATGCTCACCGATGAAGACATCCTCGAAAAAGATGATTTATACATCCTCGCTCGAATGAAAGAGTTCGTGCTGTCGGAGGACGTAGCTCAAGTTAGCGCATCGCGGTCGTTGTTGGCGTTGATTGAGAGGGTGGTGAGTAACACGGCTTCTTGTGCTCCCCGTCCGTATTGCTCACTTTTCATTTTGTTTGACGTATCTCGCACAGCAAAAATCTGGTGAAACCAAGCGGATCGTCGTCAAAGCTGCGCAAACGGCTCCTGCACCCCTTTTACCAAAAGGTTTTTCCTCGATCTCCTCAAACCTATCGAGTATGGCAAATATGGGCTCTTCTTCTGCGGGTCCGTCTTTTTCTCTTCTTTTCTCGTTTCTTTGGGAAACTCAATCGCGTCTCCGTGCTTTTTCCAGCCAAAAGGCTTAAACTCACCGATATAGAACCACTCGAACTTGCTCGACAACTGACGTTGCTCGAATCCGCATTATATCAAAAGATCCGCCCGATGGAGTGTCTGCAGCGTGCTAGAGAAGGCGTCGGCGCTAAGGATAAAGACGGTGGATCCGGAAGTGGGATGGATAATATTGCGTACGTGATCCAGACGAGCAATAGAATTGCAGATTGGGTGGCAGAGAGTGTTTTGAGTAAAGAGGACTCCAGGAAGCGAGCTGCTACGGTTAAGCATTTAATATTGGTTGCTGATGTACGTTTTTTCTCTCCTTGTCACTCGTTATCTTTTCAATCTGGACCGTCCCCGTCAAATAGCGCTGTCGAACTTTGAACAATTTCTCCACCATGATCGCCATTGTCTCCGGCCTCAATACGCCCCCGATACGTCGTCTCAAACGCACTTGGGAACTAGTCTCTCAACGACACATGGCGCAATTTGGGGCTTGTGAGGTGACGTTGGATAGTAATCGAAATTTCAATAAGTATAGGTCGATGTTGGCCTCCGTAGTACCTCCTTGCGTACCATTCATTGGTAAGTTCTTTTCAAATACTTTTCTGTCCCTCGCCGGCTTCATGTAAAAAAACTCCTGTCACTCTCACAGGCGTTTTTCTCTCTACCCTCCAATTTATTCAAGACGGGAACAAAGACCTCCTCTCCGACGGCGTAGTCAACTTCAAGAAGCGCCAGATGGCGTCCGAAGTTATATCCGATATCAAGCGCTGGCAAGCGCATACGTACAATCTCCAAGTCGTGCCTGCGATTAGGGACTATATTGAGGAGTGCTTGAGCGCGTATGATGAGACGGATACGAGGATGAGCAGCGATCGATTCTGGCAGATGAGTTTGGAAAGGGAACCGAGAGAGAGGGAAGATGAGAAGATGGCGAGGTTGCTGCAGGAGAGTGGATTTTTGTGAGTTTAGTATAAGGATCAGGATTGGCGTCGACGGATGCGAAAGTGGCTGTCATAACTGTGCTGTGCAATATGCTCTCTATTATTTCTTTTTGTTGATTTTCCGTCTTTTGCTGTCGCACTTCTTGGTTTTTTCTTCCCTATCCGTCTACTCTGGAACTTCTTTCCTTGCTTGTTTTCTCCCATAGCCTTCTTTTCTACTTTTGCGTTGCTGGGACGGTTTTCGACTTTTTTTTTTTGTTCTGCTCATTGTTATATCATTCCTAGTAATATTTTTTGCGACACGATGAAAGTATACTCATACTTATAATAATCAAATATCCCCACCCCCTCCTATAAGTATGTACTGATCTTGAAATTGCTCTATCATTCGTGTTTATGACTTTTGTTTTCCCTTCTTGAGTCTCCCTTTCTGTAAATTCCTTTTCTCTCAAAGCAAATCTGAAGGAACTGTCTATAGGTATGTATGTCTTTGGGTTATTTTACCAGGTATTGAACCACTGAAGGGACTGTTGTAGTGTCCATCGGTTCAGACGTTCGCAGCGTGGACAGATTGTGCCTAGGGCAAATCACTGGCGCCGTCTTGCTTTGTTCGTCTACATCTGAGTCTCGGTACAAGCGAATCCCACCTAATCCCACCTTCCATCACCAAAATCCGGCTCGTTCATATCGGGTTACTGTAGGTCGTCGCTGTCTGTAGAGGCATGAGACACCTCTAAGCATCTAAGTACTAGTAACACCGAGTATCGTATAGTGGTTGAGTATGTATTGAGAAATCCTGAGAAATCCGAATTGAAGCAAATTAGCACCGCAAACACAGGTCCCTGGAAACTACTACTGAAAGTCTGAACCTCGCTTTAAATGACGCTTTCAAGTATAAAATTCCCCATTTTTGCTCCGTCTTGTCGGAGAAGCTTACCTGCGCATCAAATGTAATATAAAAGGTAAACACATGATTGACTCAGGACCTCTCACGACCCGTAAATCTTCCGCATCCTTCTCGCATCGTCCTTGAAAAATTCTTGCTGGCCAAGCTTCTTGTTCGTTCATTTACTACTTTTCACACCAACATCGAGAAATCAACCGCGCTCACCGCGACTCTGAAACTCTTCTTCATTCCACGTTTGATTTTGGTGACTGCATCATGCATCTAAAAACTGTCTACTTCGTGCTTGGCCTTGGTTTCTTCTCAATGGTCTGGATGATGCCTCTTTCTGTAAGTGTCTAATCTGGACATATCGTGACGAGTAGGGGCGGGCAAACACTAACTTGGGGTTCTATTCTAAAGAGCAACACCATAAATAGGAGGGCACCAGATGTCTACGTAACAGTCATTCCAGACAAGAATTCTCGGGCTTCGCAGGATGTGAGGGGATTCCTGGTGAAGGGTTTGGAATACACTTTGAGAAAGATGCCAGAACTGGGGTTGGGGTCCCCCATTACCGTTTCGCCTCAACGTGTACAGATAAGTCTTAGTGGAGTCAATTTCCAAATCCACAGTGCTTCCTCGCTTCTAGGCACAGGGAATCTCAAGACAAATTTTTAGTGGTCTCTCAGTCCGAGATGAGTGTGGAATTCAACAATGGACAGCATTGGTACTATATTGGCCCGGTATGATTAATGTTTTTTCTTCGTGTTTTATGATCAATCAATGCCTTTAAGCAATCCGATGCGCATTTCAATACCAGAAATGGAGAGCTGGTGGTCATCGGAAGCGGACGATCTGACCCATCTACGAGTGGATTCAAGATTAATTACAACGAGACACATCATTAAAGTGAGTATCAGTGAATCAATGACCTGGTAGTAAGTTGCTAATAACACAGTCAAGAGGTTGAGCGTGACGGGTTGGGATCATAGGGAGAGAGAGGTCATGGAGCAACTCTTTATAACAACTCTGTTCTTTCTTCTACGTATGATGCAATATCTTCTACCCTTTTTAAACCACCTGAAAATAGTGAAGACTCGGATTGTACTTCGTCGTACATCCTAGTACACCCCCTTTCAATGTGACAACAACATATACACGCGCACGATGGAAGAAAGATAAGATCACCGTTGCGTTCATGAGCCATTTCTTTCGTATTCGCTTGATTGTTGCTTTTCTTATTGGAGACCGACCATCTCAGATCTTCCATCATATGCTTATATCCCTCAACAGTCGAACAAATAAAATGCCGGTCAATTTTGAACACCCCCCAACTGAAGCTCGACTGGTACCTCCACTTTCCGCATCGAGACACGGACCTTTGCGCTGGTTCGGTGAGTGCTGTTTCTTGATTTACCGTATAATAGTCGCCTGTCTCTACTCGCTCGCTGGTACAGTTGATATGACCGCTGATTCGTTTCTCGGTTTTCCACATAGCGACATAGATTGTTTTCGCTGGTCGAAATATCTCTATTCTAAATTCTACAACCTTGAAGATTTTAGGCCCATTCTTGGTAGGTTTAACCTCCCTTTGAGCTTAGGAGACATGCTTATGGAATATTTGTTTTGCGATTGCGGTATGTCATCGTATAGGCATCTCTGTTCAGGATCCTCCCCGTACAGCTGGTTTCTTCGATAAAAACACCTGATACACCGAATCATGTTCTCTCAAAACGCCCGTTCTCCACGCTCATTCTTTGTCTTGTTCTGTCTGTGGTCGGCTGTTGTTGTTCTGAGTGTTTTTGCTTCGCCTCTTCCCACTGGGGGCGACAGTAACAGACCAACAGGATCCGCTCAAGTTCCTTCTCCTCCTGCTCCTACCCTTTCCTCCCAAAATGGTGAAATAATCCGGAGCATTCGATTTGCCTACAGATACACTGTCGGCAAACATCCTGTCTTCAGATTTACTTCAGTCGAGAATGTACATGCATTTTACCTTGGTATTGGCGACATCGCACTCTCTGCACATCCGCCGGATATCAGCATAGGCCCTGTCAGCAAGGCACTGGACACACCGCTCGTCCCCACCAAAGAATCATACACGTATGATGACTTGTTGGTGCATTATTACCTCGAAGACAAAGGCACCCTTGGCATGGCAAAGTTCAACGATGAAAAGGAGGAGGATAAGTTCATACAAGAGGTGCTTAAGATGGAGTTACCTCCATCCAAAGAGTGCGATAGTTTTGAATTTATCGAGCGTGTGATGGATAAGATGGCGGGAGGAAGGCATATTGATGAGCAGACCCATGGTAATTGGTTAGCTATATATCATAACATGCAGATGATGGGGAAGTTGTAAGTCGGAGTTGTTGCATAGATCGTAGAAGCTCCATCAATGGAACTGAACCGGAATCTTCAACAAAAGGATTATATTCACTGTCATTGACAAGCTAGATCTTCGAGTCCATACCACCTTCGCTTTTTTTTGCCCCTCTTGGGCATAGGAAAATCAACATGTCTGCCCCTCTTTCCCAAGTTACATAACTTGTGGTGCAATAATGGATACACAAGTGGTACTTACTTTTATCATCGGAGTGCTGTACGTATTGTACTCGGAGAGAGATTTCATTCCGACGTATAAAACATCAACGAAAGAGTTGCCGGCTTCCGTACCAGGTCGACCAGCCCGAAAGTTCTGGATAAAAGTCAGTTGAGAGGGACTCCCTGTAAATGCGCGATATAATACTCAATCGAGCATGGTGAACGAAGAAAATACTGAAACTCGACCGATAACTTGGGCGAGGTCAAAGGTCCTGGAAATTGAGGGTCGAAGTCTGTGGACCTTATGCTGAAATGACTAAAATGGAAAAAGAACTCATAACACAATGCGTATATTGAAATCAGACATGTGCAAGAGAGGAACCATCATATGCGTACAGCAGATATAAGGCTCGTCTAGGCTCGTCTTGTGTTGACATGTAAGTTGGTTGCTCTTCGGGATGAGAATTGGTTCGAGGGTAGGTCAAAGAAAGAAAATAAGCATGTAATAGAGTCGTCCATCTGACTTTCCGGAATGATGCCGTTCTCGATGTGGACAGTCGAGAGGGCGAAGAACATCGTGTTAGGTGTTTGATCTAAATTTCGATAAGGAATAACAGAGCCGGACCGAATCCCCGGCTAAGCGCTCGTCTTACCGCCATGGTACTGTGAAATCCGTAGCCGGAATACCCTTCGTAGTGGTCTTCAAACGATGATTCTAAGTTTTTGACGTTGAGCTTGCATTCTTCAGCCAACGCTTGAACCCTTCACTGGGTGGTGTGGTACATAGGATGTGCCGTTGTAATAATCGATCGCGAAAGGTTTGTGCGGTTATTTGTTTATCTGCATCGTATCGCACGCTTCTTTGGGCTGGGGAGTGCACCTCTCTTTTTTCGTTATTATGCTTCTCATATTCTCCTTTATCACCCGATACCCTCTTGATTCACGCTTCATCTGACGTCGTTTTTTCTAGTACTCTAGTCCTCATCATAAAAATCGAATTCATTTACTGCGGTAGTCTCAACGATTCCAATCGTGAATCGTATTGTATCATTTTCGACGCTGTTCCATTCATGCGTGCCATCCTCAACTCCCTTTCTCTCCACCTACTACTCCCCAATCTATCAACGCTTGAAGAGGAGAAACAACTCTGCCCAGACTTTACATAATCGCAATACTGCGCGCTTAATATACTGTTTGACGCGCGCGCGCCCGCCAGGCGCATTTCCGCCCAATCTGGACTTGTGTGCGCCGTTTGAGATTAAGTTTCAGATTCTCTTCTGTTTTATCGAATGCAACTCCTGATACTCTTCTTCACTTTGTGGGTTGCAATGGTTCTTGGACCTTTTTAGACTCGATTTCTGCATGCCTGGCAAAAAAGATCGAAGCCCTGTAAGTATTTAAAGCCGCCGTTCTTTTTTTCGCCAACGCCCCACCTGCTCCTACTTCGTTAGCCTTTCCCTTGTTGCCATCTGTCCCAGCATGTCAACCTTCATTCAGCAGCCTTTCCACCTTGTACACCACCCTGGCTGCATCCCTACCTTTGACCACGGACTTCGACAGACAGTCTACGTCAATATGTAAGGAGATTACTTGCCACCCCACTGACTGAGTCGCTTAACTGTTTCTGTCACTGCAGACCAACTGATCAATTTGGTGAGCGTGTTTCCATTGAACACATTTGGCGCCTTCGTCGCCTTGGGGGAATCCACTGGGAGTACTACTGTAACTGCACTCCACCCCAAAACTCTCCGGGAGTGCCAGCCAGGTGTTACGATGTCAAGAAGCCATCCTCGCCTTATTTTGGACGCACTTACTTAGGGTGTGGGAAGACTAAAAAAAGGTGTCAATGGAAAGGTATGAACGCACCCCCGAAATGCTACTGTATCTCTAACTACCTTCAAAGTGCGCCTTGACCAGATCTTCACAGCAGCCAAGGCTCATCGTCGTATTTCGCCCACCCCTCCGGCCTCACCTACCAAGTCTGAGTTTCCAGACTCGGAGCAATTCGACGATTCTTTCAACGACAGCTTCACTCAGGCGTTGGCAGAACTCGAAATCAAAGGCAGCCAGGCAAGTATACAACCTTCCTCGGTTGAACAGCCTATCTTTCAAGACGACAATGCATTTGGCAAGCTCCTGGGCGGTGTCCCTCTCAGCGAGGAAGAACGTAAGCCATTTGTTTGTTCCCATTGGTCTCAGCCTCAAAATTGACTGCTATCTAGTTGCCTTTCTTCAAACAGACGATACCAGTGCGCAGAAAGCTGCCGGGAATGTTGTGGGTGATGGAACTCTCAGTGAAGAAATTGCAGAAGCCATACGAGAGCTCGCTATTGGCAATAGCGAGGGCAATGCAACTCTCAGTACAGAACTCGAGCAGGGGCTACGCAATCTTACTCTCAGTGACAACGAGGGTATGTTCCCTTTCTGCTCATCCCTTTTTTGAAATACCCCACTGACTCGTCACCCTTAGTTGCAACTTTATATGCAGGCCTAGATAATATGCACATGATTTGGAATGAAGCGGAGGGGGAGTGGCAACTCCCTGTGGCAGCTTACCAAGGTACAAACTGACTTACCTGTTCGGAACATTCGAGTACTCCTCACACCTTTGACACCAGAACTTGTTGCGGCATTTGCTGGACAGGACGATGTCTACGTAGCCCCTGATGGTACTGTGCACTTCATCCCAGATTACGCCCCCGAAAGTAAGTCGATAGTTTGGCTTGATTCTGCGTTGTCCTGAAGCTGCTTACCAGACACTCTAAGCGAAGGAATCACTGGTGACAATGAGTATAGTGGAGATGAACTTGGAGGTAAGCACTTCGCCTCCTTGGACTGAGGCTTGTATACGGTGACGATTCACCTCCCAGATCTCACCCTTGTCGACGCTTTAATGAATGTGGGCTCTGATGAGTTCAAGCTGACCCCCAAGCCTTTCAATGCGGACGGTATGGACGTTGACCTTGCGGTTGAACTGCCTTCAAAATACCTGTCCCTAGATTTAACAGTCGAGGAAAGCTCGTCTCCTGCAGCTCAGCCTGAAGGTAGGTCTTGTTTTTAGTTAATTTGTTGTTGTTCGGTTTTTAATGCACCTTACTTTTCAGTACGGCAATGTGGGTACATCGACCTTACTGCAGGGGAATTCTTTGACCGGGGCAAGCGAAAACGTGCGTGCAAAGGCTTGAATGGAAAAGTTTTGGAACTAACTTAAGGAACGGTTCTATTGCTAGTTGTCAGTCTCCCCGAGGGCCACAAGATGTACGTGGACCTCACCCTCGGTGGTTCCCTGCCCCACGGTGTGTTTACCATCTCAAAAGGCTATTCCGTGACTGACTTATTTTGATTCACAGAGATAACAACGCCGGGCTCAGGAACTTTTGAGGACCCCTTTGACTTAACCATTTAGCTACACTACGTACAATTGTACCGAAATGTGCTGTTTTCTTATTAAACTACGCGCTATACTGTTACACCGCCCTTGCACTTGTACTCGGGTCTGAATGAGTTGAGCACCGTATTGCTTGAGTGCGGATTGAGACGAAGGCTTTGAATTGAACAAACTACGGCATATGCGAAGTCTGGGAGGCTGGAGTACTTGGAGTTGAATGCGGTGTTGAAGCGTAGAGAACGAACGGAAAACGAGGGCGCGTCGAATCCCGCGATAACGGTGTATGCGGAGTCTGGGGGCTGGGGTACTTTGTGAGTTGGACGCAGTGTTGAAGCGTAGAGAATGAACAGGGAACGAGGGCGCATTGAGCTCCGCGATAATGGTGTATGCGGAGTCTGGGGGGCTGGGGTACTTCGTGAGTCAGACACGGTGTTGAAGCGTATGGAATGAACTGAGAACGAGTGCGGCGCATCGAATTTCGCGGTAATTTTGATCACGTGATGCAGATAAGCGCGTCGTTTTTGTTTAAACGCCTCTTGCTTTGCTACTCTACGCAATATCCGGCTCTACCTAGCGAGGCTTCTGCTGCCAACAACACTTGTAAGACTATCCTTGACCCCATTCTTGAAAATCCACCACCCAGGACCCCTTGTGAAAGGCTGAAAGCTGCAGGATCAATGATTCTACCCCAAGGATCTAACTGCAGTGGCCACTCTGACACAAGGGGCTCACACCCACCCTCTCCCACCAACTTTTGTGAAACCCTTTCCTCCTTAATTAACTCGTTTTCAGTGTCGATTAGGCGCGTTATTGCGCTTTGGTTTCGCGTCGGGTGCGTCTTTAGAAGCGACGCTAATAGAGGTACTATGGGGTACTACCTACGGTCTAAGGCTTCCGGGGTGCGTGGCATAGGTATCCAACCTGACTGAACACTGATAACTTGCTGGTTGTAGCCTGGAGTGATACCTTGGATCCCCAAAGCTCCTTTTGACTTCCTGGCCTTGTTAAAACAGTCTACTGCTGGTGCGGCGGCGGCTTTCGAAAACAGAGAGGAGGAAAGTGATTTTGCGCCCGAGGAAGCCTCAGATGCCGCTCCCGCAACTTCAGAACAGGTCCCTTTTCCAGGGGAACCCCCCAGCACCTCCGCCTCAAACCCCTCCGCCTCTAGTGCCCCCGCCTCCATTGCCTCCAGCTCCGACGCCTCTGCCTGTGGAACCTCGGCCGCTAACTCCCCTGCCCCCAATGCCTCCGCCTCCAATTTACCCGTGCCCTCCTCCCCGCCTCCCGTTCGCAAACGAAAGCAGAAAGCAAACTCAAAACGTTCGCAGGCCCGGAAGCAAGCAAAGCAGGCGGGGAGGCAGGGTGGCCCCTCGAGTGGCGCCCTCTCCCATGTCTTAGCTCACGGGCTCGCAGTTGAAGTCGACCTCAACGCCTCTGAGTTTGACGCTGCTCGGGGTGCTCACGCAGGAAAACCCGGAACCAAAGCGAAACTCGGTTCAGAAGCAGAGAGGAGGAAGCACTATAAGCTCGAGGAGCTTCTTTTACGCGGCTTTGAGCACATAGAATGGGATGGAAGGTGAGAGAATGGGGGTTTTCCGCTCTGCATTGCCGTTAAGTGCGTTTTAGGGTCCCGATCCCAATTGTGGATAGCTCAGGTCGAATCATCGCAGTTCTTGCCGGCCAACCAGGGTCCGACTACACTGAGGATTTATTGGAGGCTTTCCGGCTTTTCTCTGACGCCGGTAAGGAAGCTCAGCTTGGGGCCGCCGATCCTAAAGGACCTCATAAGCGCGGCGAGTTCCCTGCCTTTAACCGAGGCGTTACAATGGGCATGGGGAGTCGGACACCTGTGGCAATCAATACGGGTTACATGACTGGGATATTGAACCGCTTAGTAGGAGAAAAGGCTGTTCACCGGATGGCGGCCTACCAAAACGGTAGGTTTTCCCTATCGGCTGCCCTTTCCATCTAACACCTGCTGGCGTTTATAGCAGCGTTCTCACTTTGGGCACCACGCATGCACGCAGAATACAAGACCGTACACGACACCCTAAGGAACCAGCTACCGCACCTACCGGTAAACTTTCCAGGTGTTAGCGAGTTCTGTGCTACTGCATTCAACCTCGGAGGCAACGTGTGGACCTTCAAACATCGTGATTTCCGGAACTGGCCATTTGGCTGGTGCGCAATTACTGCGCTTGGGGAGTTCGATCCCAGCCGGAGTGCACAACTTGTGCTATGGGAGTTGAAACTCGTCATCAACTTTCCTCCCGGAGCTACCGTACTTATTCCCTCTGCTGTCATCACCCATTCAAACACCCCAGTTGCTGAAGGAGACTCCCGTATGTCGTTTACACAGTACAGTGCTGGTCCGATCTTCCGTTGGGTCAAGAACGGTTGTAGAACAGAAAAGGAAATGCAAAAAGATGACCCAAAAGGCTGGGCAGAGATGGAAGCTGGTAAAGATAGTTTTTACATCCGATGTCTCGAAAACTTTTCTACAATAGATGAGCTCTTAGCCTCAATCGGATGATATTTTGTGCAACTTGTAATTGTTAGACATTTATTTACATCGTACTATTTGAAACCTTCCGTTTCTGCATAGCCTCGGGAGATGGTGCTCGAAGAAGTCTGTGTTTGCGTTTGAGCCTCCCCGGAGATGTGTGCTCCTTCAATACCGACTGCCCTGAAACTGGGAGTAGATTGGCTGAAGGGGGTACGACAGACGGGGTTCCATTTCGGAGAAGAGAGAACTGGCTGGCGAGGTTCTCAATAACTACCTCAAGTTCTGACAGCTCAGGGGAAGTAGGCCAAGCATCGAGGTCTGAAAGAGTATTTTGTACCCCGTATAGACGAGGCAATAGAAACTTAGCTTCATGAGCTAAGCGATCCATTATTTGCGCTGTTATTCCAGCTTGCTACAATTTTTGAGAGCCTTGGTTAGTTTGCTTTTAAGGCAAGCCAAAATCACGCACAGGAAAAACCGAAGTTATCTCTACACTGTCATCAGAATCTTCCGAGGACACTGAGCAGCCGTCAGCATTGGCTTCCCCTGTATTCTCCGGCAGCTCCTCATCGAAAACACCTCCTAGTGCCGTAGTATCCCCACCGAAAGCTTGTAGTATAGTCCAATCCACATCAAACTGAGCTTCTGTACGCTCAGATTCCAGGACTTCCAACAGAACCTCAGTAGAAGACGAGGGAACTTTTGTTGCCAATTGCTGGATGTTACGTGCCGTCTCTAATGTTGGCGGGTAATAGAAAGGCGTCGGTACTAGACCCTGCACCACCCACGAGTCAATGACGAGTCGCAGTGCACGAAGGTGCTTGCAGGCTTTACCATTGTTGTAAAAGTCCCCACACGAGCAAGAGCCAATGCCAGTTGTACTTATTGACACATCGTAAGGAGTTGGCCCAGAAGTTGGGTTGCATTGAGCTATATATGCTATGCCACTCGATGAGTCTTGCCTTCTGATAGCACCAAGTCTCTGTAAATGGAGGAGCTCTAATGCGCGTTTCTGCCGTTCCTCATCTAGAGGCCACCAACATATACAGCGTAATAGACGTGCAGACTCATTTTGTTCTGCATGGAACCTCCGCTGCACAAGTAGGAGGTCTTGACCACCGGCACTTGAATGAAATCGAGATACGAGCCAGCTCCGGTACTCCCTTTGGGCGTTACGGCGGTGGTAGATTTGAGGAAGAATTTGAGTGATCAGGAGGAGGATGAGGGCATCAAAGCGTAGCCTATGGCCAGAACGTAAGTACCTTGGAAGATATTTCCGTTTGAGCACAGCATTGAAAGACTCTAAGTGGTTGGTAGTAGGTATGATCCCCTCTATAGGTATCCCAATACGTGCTGCGGCAGCCAAGCGTCCACACTCTGACCAACTCTCCCAAAGGGGGCGGCTCATCCAGTAGTTCTGGAGGTACCTGATATGCTCAAGACCTGCTTCACAAACACGTTTAGCTTCTAAGTTGACGGCCAGGTTATCGAAGAGATTCTGGTGTTTTGTAAGAAGGTTGGTCGCTACAGAATAGTCAACGGTTGCAATAAGGCTATAGGTGGTAAGTGAGTTGTAAGTAGCTGAAATTTGAAGACGTAGTCTGACTTACTCGACCTCCAGCTTCTGCAATAAATCGCGGGCATGATTCTTCCAAAATTCGGAAGCCTTGCAGCGTAGAACCTTTTTGCGATGGTTAGTCCAGCACTGTCGGAGGTGGAACTTGCATATGAGCAAGACTATCTGTGGCCAGATACGAACAAGTGCCCCACGTTCCTTCGTATCTGTATCAGTAATTGCAGAATACGGTTCAAATGAGCCAAATTTGGTGTCTAGTCTTCGTTTCCAGGTGCGAATCAGTTTCTCGAGGATAGCTGTATTGTATGATGCATGGGTTGCTTTGGCACCAGTCTCTGCAGAGAATAGAAAGAGCGCAATAGGAAACCCCTTATTGTCTTCATCCACAGAAAGGGCAATGAATAACAGAAGCCGAGAGCTGCAAACACCAAATGTACCATCGAGAACAAGCTGAGAATGATGGGCATACTTATAGGCACACTCATCCATCTCCAGAGTGGATATACAAATCTCGAACCGGTCTCCAGCTTCAGCACGGGCAGAATAGTGAAAGACAGCCTCCGCTATTTCTGGTTTGAAGTTCTGACTTTCTACATTCAACCAATCATCTACGTTGTATTGTGGCTCAACTTTGGGGTCATAGCCGAGTTCTTTGCTGGCTTTGCGGTAGAGCGAAGTGTGATCAGTTGGCAGGAATAGATACCGAACATTTGCAGTTTTGGGATCAAAGGATTTGAGGTCCCGGTATGCTTTGGTCTCGATCATCTTCCGGTTCATTTCCTGAATAGCAGTCAAGCTACATAGATTTGCATCAAAATTATATAGTGGAACAGAGTATAACAATAGTTTACCTGGCCCCATTTCGGAGCTGTTCAAGGGCTACTTCATAGACGTGGTCATGAAGTGGAATCGGGGGAATTCGCTCCAATACGGCTACCTGGCAGTGAGCATTGTGTTTGTTAATTCCAGCAATTCTAGAGATTGCTCCATCACTAAGTCTCTCTGTAATTTCAATATGCGCAGGGCACGCGGTGAAAGGATAGGGAACCCGCCGTTCCCAGTCCTCTTTTTTGCGATTTACTCCCTTGTTAGCTTCCTGTTGCTGGCGAGCTTGAACGTGATACCCACAGGAGCTTTATTGCAGCAACATATAAATAAATTAGACCGGGTGGTAGGTAGTTTGGAATAGTTACCATTGAAATAAGGTCCGTCGCTGCTCCTGTTTCTGACCCCATCTGAATGAATGTTGTGCAGTCCATCGATTGTCCAGATTACTGCGGCATTTTTGATCGAGTTCGAGTTCCTGCAATTTAGCCCCTGCATGTTGTTGTTGTTGCAAGTCATTCATCTGATAGCGGAACTCAATGTTCTGGGAGGTGTTGTAGAGCTCTTTGATTGCAAGTTTCTGGTTCTCATCGAGGAGGAGTTTCTTCAGATTCACCTGCAATAACTTAGTGAATTGGGCGGAGCTACGGGTAGGTTATAATTTAAATACTTGAGCCTTATGTACGGGAGCTAGGGGTGGAAGTGCTTGTCCTGCATGGACCCACCCTGTGCCTCCACTTGGTGGAACGCCCCGTGCAATGTTGGGCTGTATTCCAAGTATGAGAAAAAAAAGAATCAGTCCCTGACGTACTTACTGCGGGTTCCGATTGAGCTCCCTCCTCAAAAGCCTTTGGGCAAGGCAAATCCCTGACTTGTTGCATTTCGACACCAGCCTGCACTTTACAGGTTGTAGACAGTACTTGTAATTGAAAACAGCAAGAACTTCTGCTTTCCTATACCCTCAAGATCACAGACCACCTAAGCAAGCACATACATTGGAAAACCGCCGGTCTCAAGCAAGCGAAGGAAATCGCGATGATGTGCTTGGAATGGGCCTGAATCGTGCTTTCCCAACCTCAAGGCATTTGCAAAGAAAAGTTGCTTCTATGAGGAAGGCAGTGGGAACTCAGACAGGCTCTAAAAGCCGTGGAACCCTGTTCTTCTCGCCTGGATTCTCCACTTGAGCAACTGGGCAACCGAAGAAAGGCACAACCTGGAGTGCTAGATCTCTGGTTACAGATTGGTTGATGCGCACAACTACCCAAAAAAGCAACACAGGCGGGCCTGCGCCTATGAGCGCTAAAGGTTGTCGTGTGAAATTATTACAAATTTATTATCTAAAGTCTGGGCAGGCGGGTTGCGCCTTGAAGAGTCACCATTGTCCTTCTTCTAGTTCAACTGGTGTCCGACCCTACTTCTCGTGACGTATTCCATCCGTCTGTGATTTTGACAGCGTCAATGGAACATGAGTGACTCGGTACGTGCTCGCTCATTGACATCACTCATTGATTGACAACTGATTCCTGCAGGATCGGCTATCTAGACATGCCTATCAAGCAAGATATAATTTTACTCACCAGCGAAGACAACGGGTAAAAAACTACATTCCAGTTACATTCCCGTCTTTGGGTATCCTTGCTTCATACTCCAATTGTTCTCGACGCACCCGTACGATCAGTGTCACCCATACACGACTCTGTTCCATACCACATAGTCTCCCAGACACAAGCATTCTTTCCTTCTTTCGTACACTCCTACAAACTCACATTCTGCTTTAATAACGGCCCACCACTCCCCGACGCGCTAACGATTACATATGTAGCCCTGGGGTAAGCGGGAACAACACTTTTGATTGATAGATCAAGTCCGAAGGTGTGCTGTTCCGCCGTCGGAACGGACAGAGACAACTCCAAAAGGAAATCTAGCATGGGCACTCGAGGCTATGGATGTTCATTGACCATTGCAAGCAAGGTGATCACAATCTAGCGTAATCAACCAACACTGTGAACTTGACATACTTATAAATGCCTTCCTCCCACTGCGAACTTCTTCATTCTTCTTCTTTCTTTATCACATTGCTAGAGCTGGACTCAGTATCAAGTAGATAAGCATGCGAACCTTGTCTCTCCTCCTCCTTTCGAATCTTTTTCTCCTCGCAGTTTTCCTTACCATCTTCATCAGCCCTGTCATGGCCCGCGACGTGCTGACTCGACGAACTATCGACTTTGAATTCAGTGTTCGCTACCATAGTTGCCTTGGGCCACCAATCGGAAAACTGACCCCGGAAACCCCCATTCGTTCGACGCTGATTGAAGGAGAATGGAGTGTTTCCACTATGCATATCCCCACTGTACTAGGACATGGAATGTCCGACCCGCATTATGTTGACATGTTCTGTGTCGTCTTCAACAAATTTCCCCAGTCATGCAGGCTCATCTTACAAACAGACGACGAGCGTATCCCACGACAGACTCATTTTGGGCCAAGGCCCCCAGGGATCCAGGTGCTGATCGAGCACCTGAGGACTGCAGAGGTTCATTGTGACGGAGAAACTGGGTGAGTTCGTGCACCACATTGACGACCGTTGTCATTTGTTGATGAGATTTCCTCAAAAAAAAAACGAGCAGGATCGGCTGGGCACAAAACTAGCATCTTTAGTTTATTAAACATCTCAACTTTTCTTCAATCAGATTGTTTAGAACTGAGTAAGTTGATGTCGGTTTTATGAGTGATGTAACATTTACCAAGGATTATTGCAGGGGGATGGTTTGAATAGTTGAAGATATACCTCAATTTTTGTTCATGGTTGACGTTGAGCATTGTATTGTCATTTGACCCCGATAGACCCAGTGCTTCGCTTCTACTCAGTTTCCACACAGAGGTCTTTGGCTTTTTTACAGGCTCTTATGATAGTTGCTTATCTGATTGTTACAAATTCACGGTTGTTGACATTGACTTTTGTTACTGCGGCGCAATGAGGTGTTGATTTTCGAATCTTAATGAGGTCAAGACCTGTCAAGACTCACAATTCTTGCGTGTACGAGCGTTGAGATGGAATCATTAAAAGCGCTGGGTAATAAACTGAGCTTGATTTGTTCCGCTTCTTCTCCATTTGCATCCTTGTACTTGCTGTATATTCATATCACCTACCCAAGTGTTGTTATTCCCCATATGCAAGGCTGGGGTTTTTTCACTTTGGGGAATGTAGGTACCTCATTGTTTTGTCCTTTTGTTTTGCATTATCCTCTGTGTTCATGACTTCGTGTAACATTTGCTAGTACCATTTATCACTTATATAGTCTTGCAGATTCATCACTAGATTAATTAAACAACAATTTTGCTACCCAACTAAATTGAATTAAAATGAGTAAGAAAGTCTAACTTCCAGGTATATAGGTCCTGCAATGGTCTCGAAAGAGTAGCCGCACTGGAACGTGTGATAGTGGTGAAAGTGAATAGGGTTCGATCTAATCTTAACTTCAATGATAAAAGCTTGAGTTTAATACAAAACCACTTTCAAACTTGTGTTATGCATTCTCCAAAGACTACCAGCTAATCAATTGCTCCTATCATTTAACTCCTTCGCCTTCTGGGTCAGTCTTTTTGCCTACTATCCCAATCTAACACTTGGCAACCTTTTGAAATCCTCAGAAGGTACAAGGCAGTCATGGGAATTCATTCATTAGCATGTTTAAAATCAGAATTAAGCAAAACCAATCAATAGATGCAATGAGCTGAAATCCTGTTGACTGTGGCAGTGGATACACAACGAGCCGAATCTCCGGCTAAGCGCTCGTCTTACCGCCATGCTGCTGTGAAATCCTCGTGGCCGGAATGCCAATGCTTGAACCCTTCAGCCACGACGGTCATATTGCACAAGTCGCCTAACCTGATACAGCCGGCCAATGGCTCAGCTTGTTGTTGGGATGGTGTGGTACATAGGATATCACATGCCGTTGGAATAATCGATCGTTATTACGCTCCTCGAATTCTCCTTTACCTCCCGATACTCCTTGAGTCACGCTTCATCTGACGTGGCTTTTTCTAGTACTCTAGTCCTCATCATAGAAATCGAATTCATTTACTGCGGTAGTCACGACGATTCCAAGCGTGAATCATATTGTATCATTTTCGACGCTGTTCCATTCATGCGTACCATCCTCAACTCTCTTTCTCTCTACCTACTACTCCTCAATCTATCAATACTCGAAGAGCTACCATTAGAGCTTATTAGCAGCAAATTTCGAGGGGATTTGATTGGCTGAGAACAGCTCCAACCAATTCAGTTCACGTCGAAAAGTGATTTTGCTAATGAGCTCTATTGTCCTTCTTCTAGTTCAACTGGAGTCCCACTCTACGTCTTGTGACGTATTCGATCTCGTTCGAGGATTTAAGCTCGATATAGCGGTGAATGAGGCGGTGAGGAGGAGTAGGAAGTTTTGTCTGTGATTTTGACAGCGTCAATGAAACATGAGTGACTCGGTACGTGCTTGCTCATCGACATCACTCATTGAATGACAACTGATGCCTGCAGGATTGGCTGTCTAGACATGCGTATCAACCAAGATATAATTTCACTCACCGGTGAAGACAATGGGTATCACAAAAACTACATTCCAATTACGTTCCTATCTTTGGGTATCCTTGCTTCATACTCCAATTGTTCTCGATGCACCCGTACAATCAGTTTCCCCCATACACGACTTCACTCCATACCACATAGTCTCCCAGACACAAGTGTTCTTTCCTTATTTCGCACACTCCTACAAATGCACATTCTGCTTTAATAACGGCCCACCACTCCCCGACGCGCTAACAATTGCATATGTAGCCCATCCACAATGCTCACATAGGTGCAACGTTCAACGTTTGACTCTTAGACTGTACCGTTTATTGAACGTTACCTGTTTTCTCGCAAAGTTCTAATCATGCCTGTTTATCATACATTCTGCCGTTTCTTTACATGTCAATTATTTGTGTTTAACCAATGCCGTGCGGTAAAGTAGAACACAAGAATAACTGAGGTTTTTTTCGACCCACCCTTAACAAAGCTCATTATGGAAAGACATTGTCCGTGACAGTGTGACCAGATCTCTTTCTCACTATAACCACTACCACCCATCGACCCCAAGTCAATGTTTTCTCAAGCCGAGAATTTTGCCATACCAAATGGGCAATTTTTGAATGTTCAAGGAAATTATTATTTGAATCATCACACACCAGGTATATATCCTGTAACCAGTACTTCCAATTCAGAAACAAAAAACCTGGTACAGCCTGCAGGTACTTGTTCACACAGTATTTGGCATAAGATATAGATAACAACATCTGTTCCCCAAGGTTACTACCAAGGAATAACTTTCTGTCCCACTTCAACATCAACCTTCACAGGAAGAACAGACACCTTGGAGAGCTTAAATAATTTCTTTTTTGATTCTGAAAAGACACAGAAGGCTTTTCTTCTGTTTGGGCTAGGAGGTGCAGGGAAAACACAAGTTGCACTGGAGTTCAGGAAGAGATTCAGGCAAAAGTAAAAAAAAAGTTTAGTTAAAAAATGCAGGACACTATGCTGATTCAAATGAGCTCCAGGTTCACCAAGATTTACTTCATTACTGCTGATACAGAGGAGTCCATCCAAGCCTGTCTGTTTGACATTGCCATAGACAATGGACTTGGGAATCCTCAAGATTGGAGAAGTGGGATTCACTGGCTAAATACCCATGAGGAAAATTGGTTGATTATCATGGACAATGCAGATGATCCAAGGATCCCTTTGAGAAGATATTTTCCACCATGTGAACATGGAAACATTATCATTACCTCAAGAAATGCTGAATTACAAAATGCAGTGGGCCAGTCCCTGGAGCTTTGGGATATGAGCCCTTCTGAAGGTCTTCAACTACTTGTGAAGCATGCAGTCAAGGGGCCTTTGAATAAAGTTCAGCATAAACATGCTGCCCAGATTGCTAAAGAGCTGTACTACTTTCCATTGGCACTGGTACAAGCAGGAGCATACATATTGAAGCAAAATTGCCTCCTCACATACTCTAGCAGACTGAAAAGTCAGCGCAGACAATTAATGGAGAGAAAGCTTACCCAGTTCCGGGATAAATATCAGCTTTCTGTTTATGCCACTTGGAACCTCAGCTGGAATATGCTGAGTGAGAAGAGCCAAAAGCTACTAGAAATATGTTCTCATCTTCATCATGAAAAAATCCCTCGGCAATTATTTGAAAAAGCCATCACCAGAATCAATAGTGCTTTTCTACCTCTTGGACCAAGCAAAGCTGTTGATGAAGCTAGAGCCCTTTTGAAAAATTTTGTTCAACATGATATGCAATGGGATGATATACACTTTGATGAGATTGTATCTGAAGCAACTTCTTACTCATTGCTCCAGATTCATAGTGATGAATTATACACAATTCATCCATTGGTATACCAGTGGCTTGTTGATAGTTTACATCAGCGGCAAATACAGGGGACTCAAGGTATATTAGCAGTAGCCGTACAAAATGCAACCTGGAAAGACTACCGATTCTTACAGCATTTGTCACCTCATTGTAAAGCACTAGGGTATCTTGGTCATAGTAACTATTTCATCAAATTGGCAATTGGAGGGATGTGGGAATTACTAGGGAACTATACCCAGGCCCTTGAATTATGGAAACCTTTGATAGATGTAATGAGAAAGAGTTTAGGACACAGGCACAAGGACACCCTAGTGCACATTGAAAATGTAGTCAGGGTGTATTGGGAATTGAGAATGTATCAGGAAGCTTTGGAACTTCGAAGATCCTTGTATGTAGGAGCAGCTTTAGGAGTCCAAAGCCAATATCATGCTTGGGATAAAAGGCCTGGTGAACCAACAACCCACCTTGCATTTCAATCTGGACCTGTAGGTGGTGCCAGACATACCAGTGGGGAAACTGTTCCCTGGAATGGCGGCAGTGGGAATATCATCTCAGGGAATAAACTGGGGGTAGGACAAGTACATAGAATTTAAATGTTGAGTGTGGGAATTTTTCGCCCCCCAAGTCACACTGGCTACAGTGCAGGGCAAATGAATGGATCAAATATGCTGGGAAATACACTAGGAATGTGAATAAACTCTGCAATACTTACATTGTTTATATCTGTACAAGTATCTCCCCTTCCTGATATAACTGATTACCAGTGCTGCATTTGTTCATGTGTTCATGGTTAGATACTACGCGTCAAGTACTGGCTTAAATCATCGGGGTCTGACAGTTCTTTGTAGTCAGATTTGATGAGAAATGGGTACAATACAGTGGATATGTGGAGGAGGTGTAGAGGTCTTACTATACTTCAGAGGTGAGTTTCCTGTTGTCGGTCAGATGACCATTGCCTACCGAGGTGAGGTCTGCTCGTTATGCGTTACATTTTATATAATGCCCCCGTCATTTTGGTCATCATCACACAATCAAAGGAACCGTCCATATCTTGGTCTTGGACTTGTATAATTGCTATCGAGATTTTGCTAGACTTCTCCTATAGTTATTTGCTCTAGTTGCATGTGTGCTCTTGCCAGTGCATTATAAAATAATAGGTGTTTTTGGACATCAATGATTGTTACTGCTCATTCTTCTCTTCACCATACTGCTAGAGAATTTCCTAACAGCAAAAGCACCCAGAGTAAGCTGAATTTTTTGCTCTCAGCTCTGGATGCTGGAGAGCATTCTTCAGCCAGTACCCTTGCTCTGGCAAACATCTAAGTTTCACAGATGAATTGGTACTTCATATGGTACAATAGTATATTAAAATTCATTAGTAAGTACAAACTATCCAATGCTCAAATCCAGCATGGAACACAAATGAGTATAAGCAGGTGATAATTTTTAGAACTTCCCCCATAATTTCTTCAGCACAAGCAGCCTAGTTAAAACCATAAACCCCACCGAAACAACAGTTGTCGACCCTATATCAAGTTCAATTATTCATTATTTTCAACTCACACCAAGTCTTTGAAAACAAACCAGCATAGTACCCAACAATCTTGAAATCCTCTGTCAGTTGATTGATTGCACCGGATATCGGCATCCCGCATAATGCACCGGCAGCACCAACAGTCATGATCATGCCTGTGTATCGACCAGAGTCAGATAATTCTCCCAATTTGTCGACATGAACAGAAAGGCCGGAGACAAATGATCCGCACATGAATCTATCAATGAGTTTTGAGATGGGGAGGTTAAAGATAATTGCAAATGGCTAATTCATTGACTCGAAAAGACTTACCCATACAGTGCAGCAATCACTATCGATGACGCATCTGTTCTGGAAAAGGGCCAAAGGAAAGAAAGTACACCCGCAATTAATGTTGTTGGTGCAAGAAAGTTCAAAGCACCTGCAAAAACCAGCAACATAAGTGAACAGGAACCCAAAACATCGCACTGACCAATTCTATCCATCATGATCACTGCAAAAAAACTTCCCAATCCCGCGCCCGCATTTGCAATAGCAACCAGATAAATTGCTATATTAGGTGATACGCCGACAGCTAATGCACTGAGCTCAATGTATGTAGGAACTGGAAAGAAACGGAGACCCAACAAATATCTCAATAATTACTGAAACAAGTGAATATTTGGCAAATACCGGTGTACAGTCCTAGGAATCCAGTGAAAGCAGCTATTGCGTACGTCAAGAACAGTGGATTCTTGAATGCTTTAAAGTTGAACAAGCCACCGGAAACATTCCGTAGTGGTAGGCGCCGCGTGAGGGTTATGTTTGGTATGATCAAAGCTAACAACATAATGAATCCGAGGATACATCTGCAAAACCTGGATGTTCACGAGAGCAAGGGTACTAGCTGGAGAGCGCTGTCCAGCGCTGAAAGCACTCCCAGCAGTTTTTCAATACTGCTGGGAGCACTTTCCCAGCTGGACAGTGCTGTCAGCTGCTTTCGAGCTCTTAGCCAAAAATACAGGTTTTACAGATGTACACATTGTCCATGAAAATCTGTAGGACAATATCTCTAAATGAAGCTTTCCGGCTGAGCTATGTTCTTGTTTGCTTACCCGACTCTTGGGATCAGTTTCTGGAATGCAATTGGGAAGACTGTCCCACCGATGGAAGATCCGAGTGCAGTTAAGCCCATCGCAAGACCTTGTCTATGGTACAGTCAAGAGACATAGTGTCAGTTATTCTTGAAAATGCACATACTTCTTGCTGAACCATTGTCCAATGATTCCCATTGCTGGCATAAACACCATCCCACAACCAATCTGACATAGAACAACTGAATATGAGATAATTCAAGTAGGTAAGTATATGACTTACCCCAAGTCCAACACCTTGGCATAGAACAAAATGCCAGTATTTTGTGCATTGTGCAACTAAGAATGTGCATACTATCATTAAAATACTCCCCCCGAGCAATGGTACTTTGATTATCCCAAGTTCGGACAAACGTCCCTGGAAAAGTGCCAGAAGCAGGATTAATGCGTACTGTGATTATTTCATGTCTAGTACACGAAACAAAAGGAATCAGAGGGGTATACCTGTAAAGAACCTATCCAGGCTCTTTCCGTTTTACAAAGATCAATCGCAGTGTCTTTGAATCAATGTAGTGAGGAGGAAGCACATACATAGTAGAAGGAGAATGTTCTTGAAGTAGTGTTCGCTCGTAGTATGTTTGAAAGACCTAACTGAACTCAGACATCACTATTGCTATAATGAAATTACTCACCCCCCATGTACTGACATAACCATATCTGCGCACGAAGAATCAACACAACTATAACCACATAATCAAATTATTTCTACTCTACTAACGAGGCAAATGCACTGAAGAATGTCTAAACAGATCACAAGAAAACAATAGTCAAGTTTGGGAAATGGAATGAGGAAGAATGGCTGCCACATACACCGAGAACCACCAACCAATCCCGTGACCCTCCGTCCGGAAAATTGCTGGACTGCTGTTGTGAGTTGGCTTCAATATCTTCTTGCTGATGGTCCTCTTCTTCTTCAAATTCATCCTCTGCTGGAACAACCATCGCCTCTACTACCTGCTTCTCAGTTGCTTCCTTCTTCGAGTTTACATCCTGGCTGCCACTACTAGTAAGCTCTACCATCTCTTGAGTGTGACTTTGTTGGCTCGCAAGATCATAGTAACTTTCAAGATCTCCTGGTGGAGGTCTGTCATAGTGGTCATCACCATCCTCACTTGACTCTTCAAATACGGTCCACAGCATATTCCATAGAATGAACCAGAAGAGTATGCGTGGAAAAGGTTCAGGGAGGAAGAAAGTATTGGTGATAACAAGATGGAGGGTGGAAAAGAAAAACGGAAAGAAAGATAATGGTGACACACCTTTTAAGATATAGAGATATCAAAACGCAACGTTTCCGGCACGTTGATCTCGTTGAGGAACGAGACTGAGACCAGACAGTTTGATGTGATTGCACTGGTGAAATGGGACGCTAGTGAATACAAACTATTCCATGAGGGGTTATAAGGATCCGTCAAACTCGGGAAAATTGAAGGAAGAACTCCTTACCGCCTCTTAATAAGTTGTGGACCTTGCCTGAAAGTCGAAGTTGTCTACGCCACCTGAAGGGCCGGAAATTCATGGCATGGCAGATCCATCAAGGTATCATTTGATACCATAGCAATGACAGTGCATTATATAGGAATTAGTATCTTTGACTTGTTGGCTCAGCAATATCTCCGCATATTAGTCGGGGGGCAAAAGATACACCTGACAATGTTTGTGGACAATGACAGGTTGTGGCTAATAGACGATTTGACTTACCAGAAGTATCAAATTGTGTCAAAATATCTAGGTCACCTCATAAAGCCATATAAGTAGCAGGTCGCATGCAGACGGGGGACCAAACTAAGTAATACAGACAATAGTTCCCAAGGCGAAGATGAACGTCGAGCCTGTGCTAAATCATATATATTAGATGAGAGTAGCAGTACAAGATGATGGTGGAGGCGTCAAGGTGTAAGGCGAGATAGGTTGATATTTGGATCCAGTTTGGATCCAAGGGGGAAAAACGCGAGGCAGATGCCTAATGAAGACCACAGAAAGTTAGTGGGTCACCGGTGTCGAAAGTCACCGGAAAGTGAACCACCCAAGCTAGATTAACCCTTTGGGTACCGTATGAAGTATGCACAGTTTGAATTAATCTTTTGTGGAGGGATAGAAGAGCGAGCAAAGCTTATGATGTTCTCTATAGTTGTAGTGGTGGTCGGGAGCGAAGAGGCAGTGTGAATCGGTAATCGGCCCGATACAATACCTCTTGCTTCGTACAATCATCAACCCACTCTTTTCTCGCTCCCTAAAGTCCCACCATCAGTTGCAGATTCAGCGTTTTGTCCTCGTAACTTTGAAGCCCTAAAGGAATGGCTACAATACCGAGTGGGTTTTCTTCCCAAAGATTATCCCTATTCTGACGATATTATTATCCATGCCGTGTAATCACTTCCTTCCAAATTCAAATCTCTGCTGGTCACGAAAACGTCCTGTACCGGTGGTAGTTAGCCCTATCATCAATATACTCAGCGCCGGCGCTCAATTGGCCTCATTCCACTGTTTTCATTCAACTTCGCCTGGATCCGACGCAACTTCCGGTAGCTTCCTCCATCGCTGGATACATGCTGTCGAAAGATCTCAACCATTTGGTCCTGGATCGAATGATGACCTGATTTTACTTGATTTATAAACAGCAGGCTCTTATCTGACTTGTTCCGGACATTCCAGTATCCACCAACTTTTCTTTTCTACCTTCAACCTCACAAAAAAAAGTTAATTCTGCTGGTCAGAAACTTGTCCCCGCCGCTTTTCTTCATTGTTACACGTTATACCATCTTCCGCCATGCGCTTGCGATCTCTCTTTTTCCAGTCTGTATTTGGAGTTGTCTGCTTGTTCGCTGCTGTCCGCACTATGCCCATAAAATCGGCGGCGGCTGCCTTTCATGTCAACGCTTCTGTCTTGGTTGGATCTAACGACGACTCACAGAACAGAGATTGGGAGAAATGGTGGGGATGACTGGATCAAATGGCATGTATATATGTGTAACTCTTGACTCGAAACATCCCAACAATCGCTGGAAATGTGAAGGATACGACATGAGTAGCACAGTTTTCGGTGAGAGTGCCCGCTTGCTCGCTCGTTTGCTTTATTTAGTCCTGTTGCTTGACAACAACACTTGGTAGTGGAAGACTTACAGAGAAGATACGTAGACGTGCATCCTCGGTCCCCCGGAATTATGGAGGACACAATCTTGCCATCTTTACTCTTTCACCTGAAACTCGCGAGTTCGAATCACTTCCAGGAGATCAAATTGTAGTGAAATTGGTCGATTAGGATAACGAGAGCTCTTCCTGTGAAGTCTCTGCCCTCTGAAAATATGCAGAGTTTCAGAAAGCAAAAGGACAAACTCCTACTTTTGTCACTAGCGGGGTTTTGAAGCGGACGGCTCTCCCTTGTAATATAGGCGTAATTGTCATGCGCAAAGTTCCTGGACAAGGACTGGAGGATACAGACCAGTGGCGGGAGAAGATCAGGGAAAGGCAGGGAATGCTAGACAAGGTCTTCAAGAACATCCAGAATTTTAACTATGAATTCATAGAGAAGACTAAGCTTGTCCACGTGTAAGCATAGTCTTTCTATCGTCACAAGTTTTGGCAACTGCTCAATCTACATGTTCTCGTATCAGCGACCTTGGCCTGAGAAACTTTCCGGTCGATGAACATATGAATGTCTACCCAATAGACTTTGGACCCCCATCCATATATCCTGTAGAGCGCGTACCCAGCCGCAGTGAATTTGTGAGTATATACCTGTATATACGTCACACCCTCGGATTTTATTTGCCTGTTCTCATTGGCTCTTGTATCAGGATGCGTGGTTTTCAAAAAGATTTGATCTCATATGGGGCACACAACAAGGAGGAAAATATTGAGCGAAACCAAAGACAAGCTGGAGGTTTCCCGACAGTAGCTCGTGAATCTAATTTGACAGTATGAAGCGTTGCTAATTTAACGGGTCTGGTCTGCTCTGGTTTGCTCGGAGCCTCAAGCTTTTTGGAAGATTGTGATTTACATAACTGCCTCAGCGAACGGCTGCTGTCCACAGCCTGACATGTACTACGCAGTGTAGTCGAGACTTGAACCGAGCAATAATTACTCATGTTCAATATCTAGCATACCCTCTAAGCTCTAGCAGCTTTGTACTCTGGAAATCTAAGGTGAAAGAATCATTGACCCCAGGTTGAACGTTGACCCCGAGTCGTACCGACAAACATTGATCAGCGCAGAAATCGCTCCATCTAGGCTCCATCACAACGATGAAACGTAAACGTCTGATGTCCCCATGCTGCAAATAGAAAGCAACAGCCTTCGGAAGTGTCTTCTGCCCAGCTTCTGCCTATATATACATATGTAATCTAACGCGCCAAGACCACCCCACCAAAACTTCACGAATTTTAACGACTAATTTACGAACTTTCAAAACGACTCACGACTAGAAAGCTCTTTGTTTGCTTTCATCTTCAACACCTCGTTTGCATAACAAAACAGAACGAAATGCTCGCACCATCGTTCCTCTCTCTTTCCTCCCTCCTCCTCATCCCCACCACACTAGGTGCCGCCATTCTTCGCCGCGACAATGGCTGCAATACATGGCCTTCCGTTGGCATTAAAGACAACAATGCCTCGTTCGAGTTATGGGCTCATTACGAAAGTCGAGTCGCCATTCCACTCGCGATGACTACCTTCGATGGCAATAGTAGCAGTAACGCAACGAAAGCTTATTTAGCAGTAAGTGTATCTATTTTCTTACAGCTTGTCCTCATTGTACACTAGCCTAACGACCTCGGTGGAACCGTAATCGGAACTCTCTTTACCTTGAACAACTCGGGATTGATCGGTGCAGGCTCGAGTTCCAATGATTCAGACGGTTCTTCGTCGCCAAATACGACATGGATCTCCAATACCATAGACGCAGGTGGTTTCTTCCCCTTCAGTCTATCCCCCGACGCCAATGACGCTGGGATTGCGGATGATTATTGCGAAGTGGCATGTGTCCATTCATTCCTTTTATCCCTTCCTCCTTTCTTATCTACTTGCAGCCAAACACAGACCCCCACGGTCCTCTCATCAACGGTCCCTTATTCGGCGCTCAAGGTTCCACCTCTGGATGGGCCATCTGCAACCGCGTTGACAATCCACTTTTCCAAGGCGTGGTCTTCAACCCTGCGAGCTATAGCTCAGACTATGGGTTCAACGTCTCTACTTGCCAGAACGTCACAATTTATCTACGGTCTACCGCGTTGGGGAATTTGAACACTTAGATATTTCAAGGGTACATAATGGAGAAGCGAAAATCATCATAAATACGAAGATCATCATACATGGGTTGATGTTGTACTCAGAATCATGCAATTTTATTTCTTATGTACAGCTACCAAGTTCACGATTGAGAAATGGGTGTCCACAACAAGCACAATTCTCTCGATATTCTCAAAGGACAAAATGTAAGATTATGAATTGTTAATTCGGACATGGTTATGGTATAAATGGCCGACTGCGAACAATATCGGTGGGTAGAGTGACAATTCTATCGTCTACATAACATCCTCGGAATCATAAGAATCTGAGTCCGAGTCAAAATCAGAAGCATGATTAACCACACTACCCTTCAAGTTTATGGATTTCACTATTCTCCTCCTTCTAGGAAGGCCTCCAGCAGTTGGTTCAAGTTGTCCCTTTGCAGATGTCTTGCCATGAACATCCGCTCGAGGGGTAATAGTAATAAACGCTTCGAATCCACGACGCTCTCTTAGAGGGGTTTCGGGTAATATGAGAGGAGGGGGTACGCGGATGAGGGGGAGATCAATGAAATCGGGTATTAAGGATAAGAGAGAGAAGGAGAGGGAATCGGAGTATGAGGAAGGAGAGAGCGTCATGCGCGAGTAGTCTTCACCACCATCGACAAAGATGGACGGCGTGAGAGTATGGGTGCTGGGACGAATCATATTGATATAGCACGGGCTGAGTGATTATTCAATGTTTGTGAGTGTGCGAGGGCAAAGTGTATTACCGAGTTTGTGCATTTTGGGAAACGCTCTTATAGGTAAGTATAGGGGTTTTCCCACAATTAATAGCAACTTTCGATGAGACTTGGTCTCATTTCTTGGTTTCTCATCTGGTCCTAGAGGTAAGCCACATACTCCAACAGTGTTCATGGAGTGAATGTGAGAGGATTTGAAGGCCAGTAAGGATGATGCATCTCCTACATCAAGAAATGAATGAAAAAATGCGCACAGTAGAAATGTACATACCAACAAAAAACGCGACGCGGAGTGTTCCCTGATCCAAATTGAAGATCGTCAGTAGAGTTTCACATAAATCACACCAGACATGATCGGCATTAAAAAATCAAGGACTCACTACGAATCAGTATATGACGTTCTCCGATTTGTTCCAGTTGGACATTCCAAAGCTGCGAATCCTGGAAGATCGAAAACTTGACAAGTGAGTCTTCTGTATCTTCTTCCATCACCCCAGAGGAACCTTCAGTTTCGCGATACTTTATAGTCCTACAGGATGCGAAGTCGAAGGCGCTTCTGGTGGCCTGCAGGAAAATATAGACCAGAGCTGTTTGTCATGTCTGAAGAGCGAATATATAGGAGTGCTAAGCTCTACATCTTTTTGTTGAGACCTGTTTCGTCCACCTACTTCCACTTTCGACATTGATGTCCCCGGAAAGATGTGGCAGGTTTTCCAGCGCCTTCCCGTTCCGTGGTACTGGCAGACGCATAGTAGAAATTGAGCGCACCGTCATGGCTCGAAAGACACTACATGTACTGACACTTCGACCATGCTTAGAACTTTGCAGAACTCGTCGTGTCTTCTTGAAACTGCTTCTAGATAGAAGATCTTCCGAGACAGGTATATGCCGTATAATTTTTCTGCGACAGATTGGAAGCGTTCCATTGAAATTTAGTACGCCCAAGTAGATGGAGGGCAAACTGGAAAGTGATCAATCAGCGCCGAACATAAAGTGATTAGATACTGAGTGATAAGCCAAATTTGGACATCTGATCGTCGCCAAGCCGTCGCGGTTGTAGGTGCCCTGCAGGTGCCATACTTCTTAATCCCTCCCACCATTCTCTGCAGGTATCGCCTCCGAAGACATGACTACAAGGCGTAGAATTAGCCAAAGAAAGACTCCACTCGAGAATTCAGAGCCCGAGGCCCTTGAAAGGCCCAGGTAAGTCAAAAGCTCACTATTTAGCTTACACAAACACTTATATAATGCTAACAGGGTCCATTCAACGCCAAAAGTCCCAACTTTACTGGCTATAATGGTTTTAATATCTGTGGCTTGCTATTTTGCACTCCGGGAACTTCCATACGGATCTGTTCAAAGACAGATTGCCATTCAAGCTACGGAGGATGATCTTGAAGCCAGAGACGCGAGTATATTCTCCGTACAAGGAATACCAGGAAAGGGCAAAGGTATCATTGCCGTTAGGAATATCAAAGTGGGTGTAAACTCTTACTTTAAGACTAATCGTTCGTTCGATGATGGTCGTTTAATGATCAACATGACCACTTATTACAACCTCTCGACTTGCTCCTTGTGTAACCTACATGTAGCGAGGAGAAGTAGTCCTACGAGAGCGACCGCTCTTTGTGCTACCGTCTGAAAGTAGGGATGACTTGGCATAGTTGGAATGCTGACCATCTCATTGAACATTTAGTAACCACATCACCTACCGCTTTGATTACGCGGCACCTCTCTCTTCTTACTCCTTACGAACATGCACAATTCTACAACCTCTCCTACGTGAACTTCCCTCCTGATCTTGACCCAGAGAACGACTTCGCCGAGTTGGCATTAGCAATATTCCAAACAAATGCCGTTTCAACGGGAGTCAATTCTGTTGGCATCTTCCCGAGAATGGCGCGACTCAACCATGGATGTTCGAGTGCATTCAACGTGGTGTATACGTGGAGGGAAAAGGAGGGGATGTTAATGGTTCATGCGATAAGGGATATTCAAAAGGGAGAGGTGAGGCGTTTTCTTATTTGGTGTATGTATGATGAGGTTGCAGGATGACCTTTATTCCATGATGAATGGAGGATTTTCGTGGAGAGCCTAGCTACAGTTCTTAGAACCTGGATAACACCGTGTTTATTCATTGTTACTCGGATTTTCTAGGAACTTTTGACAACGTATACAGATACAAAACGGCCCCGGGACCAACGCAGGTGAGTATCAGTCGTTATCATTTGCCCAACATTTCGTCTGGGCCTCGTCCACAATACTTTTTGATTCTCCACTCATTCTCTCTGTAATGATAATGACCAACGGGATCTAATATACTTGCGATAAAATCAGGGCATACCTCCTCCATCAATACTCATTCCATTGCTCCTGCGATGTTTGTTCTCTTCCCGACGAAAAATCAAAAGAATCACACCGTCGTTTGATGTCGATGTCCGAGCTTTATGCTCAATTCGCATCATGGGGCACTGGCACAATAGATGGAGTCCAGGCCGCTGAAATTGCGAAGCGTATCTGGGAACTAGGGAGCGAAGAAGGATACTTGAGTGAGCGAGGAAGACTGGCAGCTGATGTGGCATGGGTGGCAGCTGCTCATTCAGAGTAAGTTGATTTTTAGCAATCAGAATCCTTGTTAACTTGACTTGCTGCTACGTATAATTCACTTTAGTGCTGCGAGTACAAATGCTTGGGCAAAATTGGCGGAAGAATGGTTTGGGTACGAGGTGGGTGTGGATAGCGAACAGGTGTTGGAAATGCGAACGCTGCAAACTCAACCTGAAGCCCATTTAGCTTGGGCAAGCCGACAGGCAACACGAGTGCCCACTCCTCATCTGTAATCGCGATCTACGCCCTTTGATCTAGTGTGCATTGGACCCTCGTGGAGAGATGAGCATATTGCGGACGCAACTTGCATCGCTTTGATGGGCTCTGCATCGCACTCGCCGTACCGCTTGCGTCAAATTGTTTTGTTTAATTCTAAATGATCAATCATCGCAAACAACTGAGAGCGTTAACAGATGATAAGCGCTTGATTCCTTGAGATTTTGGACATTGCATAATTATACAGGCGAAATACTGAACCAGGTTCTGGGGGAAGTCGAAGAAAACACCTCTGTGACGCATTACATGTTCAGCAGTTGCAGTTTTGGTCCTTGATAACATTCACGTCCGTCATCGAATATACTACATCATTCTATAATCCACACCTACAAAGGTATAGTCCCATTTAACCTCTCGTCCCTCGAACTCGCGCCGACCGTTAACTTAATCTCGTTGATGTCTCCATCGGGCCTCCGCCACCCTTGTTGTACTACATCCCAAATCGACAAGTCATATCTTGATAGTGGGATGCTTACTAGCTTCGTTTCCCCAGGCATGACTTCGACGTTGGTGAATCCTTTGAGGACGGAAGGCGGTTCGCCGGCAGAGGCTGGATGGTGAATATACACTTGCGGAATCTGTATTGTACATCCATGAACTCAATTTGAATGATACATGTAGGGCGACGAGCACGTACATCACCGCCGTATACATCTCCCGTATTCTTCACATCGAAAGTGACGTTATGAGCAGGTCGGTGAAGCCTTGAATATCATCATTACATGATTGTTCAAAACATGTCAAGTTAGAGAATTCACTGACCACAATGCCGTACTACTCCCCTCCTCGATTCTCGTCGCATTTCCAGAATCCCACCGAGCCTCATCAGACGTTTGCTCACTGTCAGTTTGAGGAATTTTTCCAATATTCAGGTTGGAGTATTCGAATGTCGTATAACTGAGTCCAAACCCGAACTCAAAACGGGGTGTGATGTTTTTCTGGATGATTTTAGTCCAAACTACCTCCGGGCAATAAGATTGACAAAGACTTACAGCGTCGAACCATCTGTAATCAATTTCCAACTTCTCCGAGTAGGTAATATTCAAGACTACATCCCCGCCTCCAGCCTGTCCAGGTGTCTCTCCGGCAATATCTCCTTCTATTATCATCGTTGGGTAGTCTGAGGCATTCTTAGCTATGGTGTAAGGGAGGCGTCCTGAAGGATTCCATTCGCCGTATAAAACATCAACGAGGGAATTCCCTGCTTCTGTACCTGGAAGGCCAGCCCAAAGAACCTAGATGAAAGCGAGTTCAATAAATTGACACAGGCATTCAGGTGTGATGCAACTCACAGCTGTAACATTTGGATGATCGATCCAAGATTCTAGAATCAATGGGCCTACACTGTGAATGACTACTACCGTATTGTTGTTCTGCGCCGCTACAGCGAGGACCAAATCATCTCCACCGTGCCATGCTGTGAGGTTTTTCCTATTTAGAGGAAGTGATTGAGAAATAAATCTGCTTATTAAAAAAGAATCCGACTCACCGATCACCCTCATTTCCATCCACCACAATATAATCCTCTCCTGAATCGGAATTGATGAAAACAAGACTAACGCTCTGGCCAATGGCCATGTTCCCGGCTCGGTCGAGGTCGAAGTCATCGAAGGTCCAGGAAATCGATGTACGGTGTCTGCGGGCGCGATGTTGGATAGCTTCGTAAGGCTATAATGAAAATAGCAATGTATAAGGAGAGATGACACTTTCAGACTCGAAGCACTTACTGAAATCAAGTACGTGAAATTAGCCGTTCTGGGAGAAGGAGGCGACGTTTAATATGCAATGCTCATACAAAATACTTGGAAAATAACTCACCCACTACCCCATCCCATGGCTAGGATTCCAGTCTGTCCTCCCTGATCCGCGTACTTATTCGGTCCGATATCCGCAGGTCCCGCATCGCTTCCGGCCATGAACAGATTCCTCTCCCTGCCTGTCAGTGGCAACGCCCCCTTTACATTCTTTAGCAGCACAGTTGAAGCGGCGCCCATCTCGCGTACAAGCTTATAATGCTCGTCTTGAACATCGACATGGAAGTTGGTTGCAAGGTCTCCGGGAAGGAAGGCATTGAAGTTGGTTTTAGGGAACCCAGGGGCATCTTGGTGGAGATAATACCATGCAGCAACGATACGGGTGGCTTTCAAGAGATAAAGACGTTAGTAAATGCTACACATGAAGGTTCAATTGGAAGAGAGTGAGCGTACCCATATCATCTATCCGACTTTCCGGTACAGTGCCATTCTCGACATATGCAGTCAAGTTTTGACCGAAGAACGTTGTGTGAGAGCCGAGAGTTATGTCTCCTGCCATTGTCATCTAGAGTCCATAGTGCATCGGTGTATATCAGAAATGTGAATTGCATAGGAGCCTCTAGTACTTACGTCGAGCCCAGTTACAACAGAAATCGTTGATTCTGTGGCACCCCAGTCCGACATAACGAAACCTTGAAACCCGAATTCTCGTTTGAGGATATCGTTCATCATTTTGTCATTTTCGCATGCATAAGTTCCGTTAATCAAGTCTAGTCCCATAGCATAAGTACCGTATAAATGGATGTAGAATGAATGAACGTACTATAGGAACACATTACACTCGAAACACCGGCCATTACAGCCTTCAAGAACGGATGAGCGTAAAGCTCATGTTGTGTTCGATCATCCACATTTGAGCTTTCCAGAGTTCGATAATGCTCTTGCTCACTGGAAAACTTGAAATTAGAGATCCTGCTCTTTAATCGAGGTGCTATCAGACTCACTTGTTGATGAAATGTTTCGCACAAGCTTGTACACCAGCATTCTGCAATCCCAGCACGGTCTCGTACGCAGTCTCGCCGGAAAGGAACGGATCAGCACCGAAGCCTTCCCAGTTTCTTCCTCCTGCTGCATTTCTCCCGAGGTTCATCATCGGTCCGAGAGCGATATTAACACCCTTGCCAACGTGCTCGCGACCCATAAACAGCCCTCTGCGACGCATGAGTTCACGGTTCCATCTATGGATCATGGTCCAGTATCATTATCGGTATTATACGATAATTGGAAGAATAGAAGACTCACGTCGTGGCAGAGTTGATACCAGCAGGGAATCCGGTGATGAAATCAGCGTCACGAACACCGAGAGGAGAATCCTTCGAGATGAAATTCGGTCAGTGAAAACTGCGAAGCTTCAACGAAGGCTTGTACATACCTCCAAACATAATCCGGGGAAATCACCAATCGCTCCAATATTACCCTGAAATTGAACTACCCGTCAGCGCGGATATCTGAACGTGACAAACCAAAACATACCACACAAAGACCATTTTCCCATCCTACTCCAGTGGTGATATTTATTTTTTCGTGAAGTGTAAAATTGGCTAACTGGTGTGAATATTATTAGTTATGGATGTGGAATAACGAGAAATTATATTTTTAGATGGGAAACAATAACGATGTGAAGCACGCGCCGCTCAGCGACACGATGCAGCCAGTATGCAGCACTAAGTATGCCGTCATCAATTGAAAACAGCACCAAGAAGAAAATCGTATGGGATGACGGTGCGAAGAAGACTACAAACGTCGAATGGCAATACTCACCAAAGCCTCAGCCTTTTGGTATGCAGCAGCCCAAGCAGCCTCAAAATCGGGAACAACTGCGGCACCCACTGGAGGCGGATCCATCGGGTCCGTGACAGGAAAGACATTCGGAATGGCTGTTTCAGACGGTACAGGGAAACTGGAAAATGTGTAAGAGGATATCGGGACCGTTACCCTGGACTCCGTCAATGGTTCGGAAGTTGCAGAACTCGTGGTTGCCGCGGTGGTGATTGAGACTGAGGTGGCCGATAAGCTCAAAGATGATGTGGCAGAGCCTGAAATAGATGAAATGGAGACATTCGCAGTCGATGTGGACGCGGCAGAGCCAGATACAGATGAACTGAGGACTGTTGCTGTCTCTGTAGACGCGATACTGGACAATAGAGATGCAGTTGACGAAAGGGTCGACAAAGGAAAAGATATTGAAAGAGTTGACAATAAGCTTGTCGAAAGACTCCCAATATCAGTGGCGGCAGTTGACGAAGCAGCTATAGTCGAATTGGAGGCTGATTGGGCGAGAACCAGCGACGTACTGACCAGCCATAGAGCAAAGCGAGCAAAGCTCATGGTGTTCCGAATTCAAGGTCGTATTGGAGCGAGAAACCCGCAGTTTTGTAACTGGCAGCCAGACTCCTTCCCAGTCTCGTCTTGCAAGGTTTTATCTGAGTGGTATGTACGCGGCATGTAATTGATCCGATGATTATATAATATGAACTTTATCCATAACTCTTACCTTGCAAGAGAGACTGGCATAAAGGTCGGTGGCGTTTTGGCCTTGTTTGGCCTCTTGCGATCACATGCCAATACACAACGCGCGACACGATACATATATACAATGAGATGGGCTATCAACTTTCACCTTACTCCTCATGCCTCCCACTCACACCATGCCGGAGTCTGATGAAGATGCTCGTGAAGCAGTGGAGAAGGTTTTTGGAGTGCGACCCTGCTTATGGCAACTGAAAGCAGCTCGAATGATCCTCGGAGGACAAGACACTTTAACAATCGCACCAACTGGGTCCGGAAAAACTCTGAGCTACTGGCTTGCGCTGGTTTTTGTACCGGAAGGGACCATCGTAGTTGTCACACCTCTGAAAGATCTCGGCTCTCAATTCGAAAATGAACTGAAGCAAAAGGGTTTTTGTGCTCTCAATGTCACAGGGAATATTACCACGAATAATCTTTATAAGGTACGTCGCACTAAACCTCCATCTTATCATACTAGATCTTGATCCAGCTAATAGGACATTGCCTCACTGAAGTACCGGGTGGTCATTTTCAGTCCCGAAAGTATTGTTAATGATAGCCGTTTTGATGATCTGCTCAGCAACCGAAAATTCATGCGGTCTGTGATCAGCTTTGTATTTGACGAGGCTCATGTCATTGAACAGTGGGGTGGAACCTTTCGGCCAGAATATCAGAAGCTTGGGCCGCTCCGATATACAATGGTGCGACATGTGCCATACCAATTAGGGTCGGCAACACTTCCGCCAATCATTGCTCAGAAATTGACTGGACATCTGCATCTCGGTCAGGACACCAAAACCATACGGCTGGACACCGATCGGAAAAACATATTTCTACGTGTACAGCGTATGAAACACCCCTTGAATTCCTACCGCGATCTTGCACCGCTATTGCAAACATCCAAAAAATTTATTGTTTTCTTCAACTCGCGAAACGCTGCTCAAGATGGTGCCCGATTTCTGCGGTCATGTCTGCCCGTACATGAAATGAACGATATTACATGGGTACACTCCGGCATGTCAGACGACTTTCGGCGGGAGGAAATTGGTGCATTGAAGGCAGGTCTACGACGTGGTGTTTGTGCTACAGATGCAATAGGGATGGTAGGAATCTATTCACGTATATATTCAAATGATGTACTCACCGACTTTCTCAACAGGGGATTGATATCCCTGACATTGGTATTGTTGTCCAGTACGGGTCTCCGCAGTCACTGAGTACTTGGTATCAGCGAGCGGGACGTGCTGTTCGTGACCTGTCGCTTCAGGGCACAGCCGTTGTTTTGGTTGAGCCCAAATTTTTTGATGCTGAAAAGCATGCTGCTTTCAAGGCTGCGAGACAGGCGGAGAACGCGTCTAAGCAAGCTGCTGCTGAAGCAGCCCGTGTCAGGGAAGCGCTCATGGCTTCGGCTTCAGCTTCAGAGGCTTATGTTCATGCAGGCAAACCTAAACGGAAGAGGGGAGCAGGGGACACGTCAATGCGGAAGAAAGGTCGACCGGAATCTCAGCCGGAAGTTACAGATCTCAAGACATGTGAAACTGATATCTTCGGCTATCCAATCAAGATTGAGCGCGCCATGGATGATTTTATTAATGCGGAAAACCGTCCAGGGAAATGTCGGCGTGGGATCGGGAGTGAATACTTTGGGAATCTGGAGCTAGGTCCATTCATTTCCCATTGCTTACTATGACCGTGGAAACTAACGACGGGTTAAACTCAGAACGTCACGTCAACACCTCTTGCTGTTCCAGAGCTGGCTGCTCTCCTCCTGCTATCACTCACTGCTGCAACATCTGTGAACCAGAGTACTCACCGTTTCTTACCAACGAACACATTCCAACAAGTCGACCAAGGATGAAAAAATTGAAGGATTATACTCGAGGAGAAGCTGAGGTTGAGTTGCGAAGGGTAATAGCTGTTGAAAGGGACGCGTGGTTTCTTCGGAAGTTGGGCCCTCATGCGATGCTCATGCCTGAAGCTCTGTGGCCTGACAGTGTAGTAGACGCTATCGTCGACTGGGCACATGAGGGCAAGTTGGATACTGTCGAAAGCTTCTGCAATCTCATTACATGGGCCTATGCAGAGGAGCTGGCACCGAAGCTGTTGGAAAAAATCCGGGCGTACACACCATCATTGCCAGCACCTCCTCCGCCTCCCCTACCACCTCCTTCTCCGTTCATATCTACCGTACTTCACCAGTCATCAACGAATTCACCAGGATCAACACAAAGCAGGTCTTCAGGCCGGAAAATTGCACCGGGACGTTGCAGTCGCTGTCAAACCGTGGGTCATCGCAGTACGTGGAATGCTTAGTGTGATTTTCAAACTCTAATCAGCTGCTAGTGACCAATCGACAATGCCCACTTTTTCCCAAGACCGACTCCAGCGATAAAGAACAGGTTCCCCCTGCCAGTTAAATAGTGTACCACAGGTATGTTACTCTACCCCAATATCATCACCGTCGACACTGACAACATCTACAATGTCTACTTCATCAGCTTTATCCTCAGTACTTTTGTATAGACTCTTTCTTGTAACAAGAATCGCAAACCCTTCTGTTAAAACATCCTGAATTGTCCATCTCCTCTGCGAGTCTGGTATCGAAGTCGTTCGGCCGGGTTTGAAAACATGGCCCTGGAGCGTTGCCACATGATCTCCAAGTCGTCGAAGAGTATTATCCATCTTCGGCTTTGAGTGTTGGACCGTGCGATGAGTAAGGTAAAAACTGTCTTCGATTGTTTCTTGCATGGATCGATAGACATCTAGCAATGGAGACCGCTTGAAGATTAGTTGTTTTGTATGGTTAGGTCCCTTGCCTGCGAAGATGACCTATGGGTGTGTAAGCTCATTGTTTTTTTCTTTCATTTATGAATGAAGCTTACCTTGGTGTACAGGTTATTCAGCTCCTGGAGCCAGTCAAATGCACGAAAACCATCTGGCGTGCCTTTGCTGTTGAATAACCAATTTCTCAGAATAGCCTCTCGAAGCTCCTGCGGGTAAACAACGTCTAGCTCCGTCAGGAACTTGGTCATATGTGCTGCGTATTTGTGTTTTCCGACGGCCGTAAATGTTGGGATCAACAAGCGGAAAAGCTGGAGAATACGGCCGACATCACCAAAGTTCATCGCTCTTGAAAAGCCAAGGTAGAGTAGACCATGTTGGTTCCGAAGACACATATTCTCGAAAACCAGGTCGCGCCTTTCAGATCTTCGCTTTTTTACAAAGTCGACTCCAGGTAAATGGTTGTTTATTATTGCCTCCGACAATTCGACAAGCTGAGTCCATTTTGGTTTACTTTCTTTAAAGGCGGCAAGCGAGTCAAACTTGAAAAGCTGCTGAGCTTCGATGGCACCAGATGCAAGAATATCAGTCCAAGTGACATGATGGATGGTGTCGTGCATGGAACGAAAAGATGGACCTTTTTTCGAGGTAAATTCTGCAGTCGCCTTCGGCCTGAGGTAATTAAGATATTCGTTAACCCCCAGTTTTTCAGTGCGGTTGGCCACTGGAGCCACATGTACACGAGCGTAGGCATCTGCAACAGCCATCTTCATATGAAAGAGACCGGGGACGAATTGAAGAAAACTGAGGCGGTTCCTAGCGGTTCTCTCTATGGTCCGCATGCGCTTCAATCCCTCGATGCGCTCTTTAGTGGCCAGATCCCCGTGGAACAGCTCAACATAGCTTTCGAGGTCTTCTGTTGCAACCGCGGCTTGATCAAGCAAATTCTCAATTACTTCAGCATTTCCATTGTAGGTACCCTCGTCTGCATCAATAGACATGCCAGGATACTGAACATCTTTCTTATCCGATGGTAGAACTTGAATTCCAAAGGGCTCCCCGAGGTGATCACTGAACTCATCGAAGCCACCGTGCTTGACGAGAATTTCCTGGACAAGCCACTGGAAATACCTGTACATTGACCTATCAGCATTGCTGTTGGCCATCCAAGAATCCTCTGGCCGAAGTGCGATATGAGCAAATTCCGGCTGGACGACATTTGTTGCATTCTCGTTATACTCGCTGGTTTCCCAAAGGGCCTGGGTGAATTTCAGGTCTCTTTCACGATCAACCCCTTTCAGTGGGACAAATGTGCAAGCGGTTGCACTGAGATGGGTCTTGATGTTGTCAGCAGTCGGTTGACCCTTGGAAAAATCTATATCAAAGTTATCGTAGATCTTGTTTGTCCCTGGTAGGTTCTTCAGCCGGTCTCTCGCCTTCGAATGTAGGGACTGAATCATGTTCTGTAGACTTCCGAGAGAAACTGAGACTCCCATATGTGCTACCAGCTCAATGATGATCTCGGGAGCCTGCTTGGATTCCAGAAAAAGGCCAACAATACATTGTAGCGAGTTGAAGTTTCGGTTGGTACTGTGCCCCAAAATGGCCAGTATCAGAGTATGTTTCTATTGACTATCAACATAGAACTGTATCAAAGAGACAGCTACCTACTATAGTAATCAACTCTTCAAATCTTTGTGCTGATGCTTGTGTTCGACGTTGTTTTTTCTTCTTCTCCTTCTCACTATCTGACTTGATGTCCTTTCCTACTACTTTCGGAGCATCACTGGTAGCCGGCTGCTCTACATCTAATTCACTGTCATCCTGGTTACCCGAAAGCTCTTCACCCCCCCATGGATCAACCCAATCACAGGTGTCTTCATCTATACATGAATTCGAGTTGTTGTCAGCTGTGTCATTTGTTTCGGGGGAAAAATGTCGGCTTCGGTTTCCATTAGCATCCAGAAGCACTGAGAGCAGTTTAGACAAGAGTGGGCATAGCTCCTGCATACGACATGCCAAGTCTCGGATAGCAAAACCTTCCAGCTGTTCGAGTGATGCTGTACTTGCCCCAAAGTGAAATCCATGTCTTCTCTCTACCAATTGGAGTATCTCGGCTCGAAAGATTTCCGTCATATAGTCTAATGTTGTTTCGTTGGCAGAGGTGTTGCTAAAAGCTGACAGGTCCTCCAAAATCTCTCGCAGATGACCAACAATGCTGGCTCGATGGTGCTTCATCCTCTCGAGATTGTGACTGCCATGGTGAATTGCTTGTCGTACTACATCGTATACTGTGAGATGATGCGAGTCCAAAATTGCGAAGACTTGTTGTATTGCTGGTGCAAACATGCTCAAGTGGGGGCAGTGGTCAGATAGTAGCAAAAAAAATCATATTTCTCATTGTATATACGTATCGTGTCGCGCGTTGTGTATTGGCATGTGATCGCAAGAGGCCAAACAAGGCCAAAACGCCACCGACCTTTATGCCAGTCTCTCTTGCAAGGTAAGAGTTATGGATAAAGTTCATATTATATAATCATCGGATCAATTACATGCCGCGTACATACCACTCAGATAAAACCTTGCAAGACGAGACTGGGAAGGAGTCTGACTGGCAGCCGCATGCATTAGTGAGATCATGGTGATAAAGTTGAAATTATGCTGAGGTAAGGGCTTCTTTGATGGCTTCTGCCGGCGTTGGTGGTCCGCTGACTTCACTGCAAAATTCCAAGTCGGACCTCGATCCACCCCCAGTGCTCCAATAGCTTTTTCAAGCTCGGAAATTCTGTAACGCCAGAGAATGTACTTACAGTCATAGTTCGGTACGCTTCAATGAATTAGTAGCCTGTTGCTTTATTTCATCGCCCTCCTGACTTCCTCAGACTTCCCCCTGGCATCGAAGAAAGACCGAGTCCCGAAAATTGCGATTATTCTATCGGTATCCTGTCATCAGCGCAATACAGTTCTCGGGTATGAGCTCCGAGCGTTCACGCTGCCTATGTACATCCATAGAATGCTAGCGTATCCATGAAGAACGGATCTGTCGACGAACGTCTGTATTTTGTTGTATCAGGACGGCACTTGCTCGCCAGAAATAACAACAAGCCTAGTGCCCATACCCACGAAACATACTGATGTCGTCTACCGACCCTCAAATAAAAAACGTGGCTAATAACGCGTGAGGACAGGTGAGGACTTGCTGATCGTTGACGGGAAGTTTCGGAATGTCAATCCACTCTTTGCCGACCTAGACGCGAACAATGGGACAATGTCTAGAAACCACGCGGCTCGCAACGGGAGAGGAAACCCAGGACCTCAACCTGCCTGTCTTTCTCACCATCATCGTTATGTCGCCTCCGGAAGTCGTTTGGAGTGGCTACCGACTTGATATCCATTCTTTCAAGAAGTTCATAATGGTCCTCACAGGGGAAGGAGATTGCCCGCCTTCAGATGACGACGAATCTTCCGTCGACTGGGCATACGAATACACAGCGTGGCGGTTCGAACTATCACCGAGAGACAGAGCTAAAACACCGAGAATTCGTTGTATGTGATGCAATACTACCCTGTAGTTTCTCGCTGAATACGGTCCTAGATCTCGAGCTTAATCCTGATGCCCCAGACGATATCACCCACCTATTCTTCCCTGTCCGTTGGATACCATACAAGAGCTCACGTCAACTCGATGACCCCACCCATCCTGACTATGCCACCACTCATGAACCGAATGAGAAGGACAAGGCCAAGCTTGATAGATGGCTAACTTATATCCATGAGAACAACGGCGGAAAATATCACTTCAGTGCTGATATGTTCGACTTCACGGCTATAAAGGATCTTCATCCAGCGTACGAATGGAGAATTGTAAGTTACAATCACCGCTTTCTGTTCGCCATGTTTTCCTGACAACTTTTGCAGTTTTGACTGAATTTTGATTATCCTGTTTCAAGATAGAATGATGTACAATGATGTACACTTATGGTTCACTTTATGTTTCTTTCCATGCACAATTGAACGTAGATCCAGCCATTTGTGTTCTGCTCACAACTTCAAGTTATCTCGAAGGAAATCTAAGCTTGCCGAATATTCTAACCGCCTATTGTGCGCTACTTGGCTCGCTACGGCAATGCTCAATGCAGCTCTTTCATCATCATCTCACCATGAAAAACCTTCAACACTCTGCCCTGACAGGTGTTTTTTTCCTTTTCCCCAGGCTGTTGTTGCGTTTTCTCTAAGCATCAAAACTCAGCACCACAACTTGGTCTCATGTCCTTGCACAGATGAATAGATAGATGCGCGACCCTCTCTGAAAACGAGGTCTCAGTGTCCTGACAAGTATTTATCTGCATTGACTACCCACTTGATATGTATCCTTCAAGAAGTTCAATACGGTCCTACTGGAAACAGCTGCCCGCCCGCAAACAATGAAGCTAATTCGCTGTACATGGTTAAACTTTTCCCATCAGTTAAGTTCCTCGGCGCTCGCTGTATAAAAAACTCACCCTGTTCTCACTCTTGACCGCAAGGCCCTGGACGCGCACCGTGCGTTGAACGCTATACATGAACAAACGCCAATTAAAGGCAGGTTAAAGGGTCCTACCCATCATGATCATGTTATTACTCATGAACGGAATGGAACGAACAAGGCAAAGCTCGGAAGATGGCTCGATTATATCCATAAAATTTTCAGCAAAAAGTATCATTGCTTGTCATTCATCATCTTTGTCTCACCGCTTGTGCAGTTTTGACTGACTTCTCTTTCCCGAATCTGCTCACAACTTCAAGTTATCTCGAGGGAACCTGAGCTCGTTGAATGGTTCTGACCGTCAGCTCCGGCTATGAGTGATGATGCTCTTACATAGTTCGTTACAGCAGCGCCCTTGTGAAAACCGAGGTCCCAGTGTCTTGGCAAATTTGAGGTGGTTAGGGCACCAAAGGGCATCATCAAATTCGTCGTGCTTTGAGAAAAATCCTTGAAAACTGCAATATGAGTGAGTATATGCTCTTGAAAGAGGCGCATACAGTTGACAGTGGTCATTTCCGCTGGATTCGGCGGGTCCTTGCTCAATGCACATGCCCAAATTTCAAGGCTAATTTTCAAAAAGTTTGACTAGATTCGAGTCTCCGATTTCTCCGTAGAGATCACCGAGAAACCCGAAAGCGTAACCCGTTTCCACCTAAATGTCAGAATTTTTCATGTTCGGGTCTTGACATGGAAGCTTGAATCGTCTCAGCGGAGTTCTAGCTAGCCACTTCAAGCTTGTCGTGTGTTTCCCCTCATTGAAAAACAATGTTTGAACGGTATTATATTCCATCATCTTGGGAATGTTTTTGTCAGATGAACACTTGCTTTTTTACCACCGCCTCCTAGGCACTGCGTATTTCGGGCAACGCGGCGACAAATATGGTCGCACTTCATCACGATCCCTAGTTCTGGAACCCTCTGATTGATAATTTCTGTGCAGAAACGACAGATACACCATCATCCTGGGTTATAAGGACTACTGCTATCATCCTGTTGCAGGCGCGCAGTGCACTGATTCTTTCGACAACATTGTACAACATAAGCTATTGGGGATCAATCACAGGTCAGTGCTTGTTCAAACGCTTAGGTGTATGTTTCGATAAGAGCCAGTAACATGTGTGTATAGGTTCTATCTGCACACCTTCCTCAGACCCTTCATTGAACCCATGGTCGACTGGTGCACTAGTCGCTGGCATGCCCGAATCTATACAGCCAATAGGTCTCATTGAAATTAACCATCGTAGTATCCTTCCCAAGCCTTCCGAAAAAGCACACTCGCTGCTACGTTCAATTCTCCAAGAACCTACTAGTAGTGTTAGTAGTTCGCCACATGCCTCACCACCTAATCCGCCACGCTCGTCGATCGGACTCGAGACTATCGGTGTCGACGGAAGGCACTGGAGCTATCCAGGTAAGCTCTCATAACCAATATCTTGGGGGTAATGCGAAATGTTTCACAGTCGAAGAGGAGCAACTCGAATCTCGTCTTCCAAGTCACCCAAACACTCCCAATGCAGGAAAAGACCGTTGGTACACAAATACCCAAATAGTCAATCCCGTTGTTGGCTATCCGGACTCTGGATTCATTGATTCATTAGAGCACCTTCCTCAGTTGGAGTCGGAATCGCCAGAATTTCAAAATAAATTTCCAAGCGGTAAGCACACATCGACTTGACCTCAATACTAGCAGCCCGAACTAAGGAGTGTTAGTGTAGGTTCTGATAGCTCGCAGCGGACAGAAACGACGCGTCTTGAACGTTCTCAAGCGCCTCACACCTGGGGCTATTCTTCTGATAACAGGGAATCATTGGCTCGTAGTGCACGGGCAATCGAGGATACATTGAGATTGACTGCAATGTATTCAGACTCGTACGAGGCGACGAAGATGATTATGCCGCCGTAGACGAGTAGGAGCCATCTCAATTGTCTGAATGTTCTGATTCCACAAGGAAAATTTGAAAAAGCTATATGGTATTGGTAGTGTGAAAAACTCGAAAAGAGAACGAAAACGAATGATTCCGATGTTGAGGAAGAGATATCATAACAAGTTTGTGTCGTCAAAGGTCATTACTATGATAATTAAGATAGGTACTTGAAAGGACGAAGACAAATGTGAAGGGAAGATGAATGGACATTTAACGAAAACGATTTGGGACACAAAAAGAATGATTCAACCGGAATTCCGTGCGGTTATAGGAACATACTAGACGTGGCGGAGAACAAAGGTAAATCGAACAAGACAGGGAATGGAAGTATGTATAACGGAATAATGATAATATCGTCCTTTGCTTTGTACCCGTAATTGAAGAACATACTTGCCCCTTGAATAGGGAAGTACATTGGTAGCGGCGTCAGCGCAATTCAGGCTAGAGCGCCCCGTCATCCGCTCAAATCCAAAGTAGGATTACCACCCACTTAGATACCATCTCATATACTCCCAGAACGTCAGGTGGTCGAATTGTTGCATCGACAGGCTGGCGTAGGAGCCGGAAACTAAGTTGTCCAATACCGGGTTCTGGTTAGGATCAACTTCGGGCAGCATTTCCTCTGCGCGCGGGGCGTAATAGAAGCCGGCGATGAGGACGAGGTAGCTAAAGAATTGAAAGTCAGAGATCAGAAGAAGGAATGACATAACGCCGACATACCTGAGAATGAGAATGCTTCCCCGATGATAATTGCTCTTCGCTTCGATGTATGTATACGTCAGCAAGAACATGGCCAGTATGAGCGCGATGACGTCCCAGCGAGGGAAAATGAGTCTTCCACCAATAGCAAGTCAAAACCCATACAGAAACGAGATCGAAGTGACAGGACTCACGAGAAGGTATACGCCACCTCACCCATTCGTTCAGGGAACCACCATGCTGAAAAGGCAACCATTGCCGGAATCTGAAGAAGGCAGACTTGAAGGGCATATGCAGATCCAATCTCCATACTGGAATATAAAGAGAGATGATTAGCTATGGATAATGCTGAGGTCAGGATAGGAGAAGGGGCCCAAGTTCTAACAATACGGTAAAAGCTTACGAAACACTCACCTCAACGCAATATTCCCATTCAACGCGAACGAGATCGCGTTCATGAACTCCGTCGTGTTAGGAACCAGAGCTAACAAAGTGACACCGAGAAACTTTTCGTCGATGGCAGAACCGCCAGAAGAGGAATCTCCGAGGATGACGTCGATAACGTCGACGAGAATTTCTAAATAGGAACGAAATAAAAATTAGTTTTCGGTCGACGAAGAACACAAAACACATCGATGATCGAAGATCGAAGGACGATGAAAGGACTGATGAACACATACCCGCAATAACAGCATATAAAGCCGTACAGCTCAATAACACACTCGCGCTCGTGAATCGACTCCAGCTAGGTGCATCATGACCTCCATGACCGCCAGCGGCACTGCCATGTCCACCATGTCCAGCTACGCCTTCAGACTCCAGGCCACTTGCCCGTAGTCGAGCCGGACTATGCCCCTGGGTACTTTGCTGCTGATGCCTCAGAGCACTGACAGTAGCCACTGCAACAGCCCTCGTGAACTCATCTGTAGTCATCGTTTCCGGTAACTGCAGTGAGTTGATATTGGAGTTTTTTACAGCTTGGTCGACGCTTTCGAGGATAGGCGCATATCCTGAAGTGGAGGCCGAGGTCGGTGGAGCGAGGAATGAGGTTTGTGGGAAAGTCGGGATAGCGGTAGCAGGGGTTGTTGGAACGCCGGATGTAGGAACGGGCGCGTACGAGACACGTCTTTGGTACACGGGTGATGCCGGTCGACGCTGAGTGCCGCCTGGGGTGAGAGGTGTAACAGGCGTCTGCGGCCTCGCCCCACCACCGATGTTGAACGCACTGGCGCGGTGGGACAAGGTGCGTTGCACATTCGCCGGGACTAACTTATGATAGAGGGACTGGCGTAGATGCCCCGACGCTTGCTGGGGGTGTTGACTATGTGAAGGGTTGTGCAGAGGTAAATCCAGAGGATTTAATAACTGCTGTGGATTCTGCCAAATTTGTGAGGCATGCGTCCGAAGAGAGAACCACAGACCGATGAGGTACGACTGAAGGAAAACATTACATCAGTATTCATTGAGGCAGTTGCTTGAGATGTGTAGTAGGAAGGTTATAAGAGGTGCGTCCGTGATGTGACGGCCTGGAAGGCAGTATAATAAACAATGACTCACGAGAATCAATACCGCCGCACAAAAAAACATCAAGCTCTTGACTGTACTCTGATAGAAGGGATCGTGTACAGGATCAGGATGTTGAAAATAACATTGATCACAACTCCAGGGTTTATTTGGGTCCCCAGAAGAAGGATTACTAGGACATCCAGTGCAGACGAGTTGGAACTGCAAAGAATTGTAAGGACTTGGTGTCCAGTGAAGAATAATGTTCAGAAAATGCTTACAGTCCCATAAACCTGATAGAACAATGTCGGTGTCAGCGCACCCACAATTGCCATGATCAACATCATACTCGTCACGCCCGCGCTTTTCGCGTTAAACTTGACCTCCTTTCTCCTTAGCGCACTGGACATCATCGACATACCCGGCATCAACAACACCCCAGCAAGTAACGATCCCACGATCGAACCTTCCACCAACCGACCTTTACCCGAGGACAAGGCGATTGAGTATAAGAGAATTTCGATAATAGAACCAAACGTCGCATTAATCACTGCACCCATTCCGATAGAGCTTTGAGCAGAGATCGAGGCGACGGCCATACCAATAAAGTAGGAAAGTGGGATGACACTAAGTAGGGAAAGAACGAAAATGACGCCTTGATTCGCAACAGCTGCTAGGAAACTCGGGACAACACGTCCATGTTCCTCAAGTTCTTCGACCCAAGCAAGAAGCACCGCCCAGTCAAAAATAGCGAAGAAGACAACAGCGAGGAGGTTGACGAACATGATGTTCACTCCGCCGACGGTGTACTTGTAGTACTTGAGTCCAAGTGCGCGGTAGGTGCAGAGCAGGACAGCGGTGCATGGTGAACCTGAGGGAGCACGCTGGCCTTTTGTCAACCTCGTAGGTCTGATGGTATGCTTAACGGAAAGCCGGGAGTCCGGAGCGGGAGCTGATTCAGACGAAGCATGAGCTTGTTCGTGAAGTTGATCCAGCTCTGGAGAAGAAGCCGGAATCGTATCGACGACTACCGTAAGCGGAGCCGCACAAAACCTGATCGTTTGAGGCTGTTCGAAAATGTGCTTGATGAGCGCCCAAGTGAGCTTAGCCATTGGTATGGTGAAAACGAAAAACCAGCAAATGAGGCACACGATCAGCATTAGGGGCGCGATGATGCACACAAATGAGGTCCAAAACGCTGCTTTGGCTAGGAAGTGATCGTCAGGTGCTGCCGCTTGCTTCGAAAGACCAATGGAAGACGTGGAAGAAGAGGGTGTTGCGGACAAAGCACCATATGATTTGGCGGGTAATGGGGCGGGGGTAGTACTAATTAAAGAGGTGTGCTCAGTAGGAATCCATGACGGGCTTGGATGATGATGGATTTCCGCGTTTACGCCACGGACGGTGTTGCTCGAGCCACTGCTTCGCCGCTCGTGAGCATCACTATCTTCATCAGTGTCGGGAGTAACATCAGCATCAGGTTCATCATTGTGCTCATTCTCCTCGTTATCTTCCTGATCTAAATCGTCTGCGACACCCTCGACGTATTTGCCAAAGGGCCAGGCAATGTACCAGCCTAGACCAAATACTAGATTCGCGTATCGTTTTCCGCCTTTGGGCACAATATACAAAAATGCACTGACGATCCAACAGACGAGAGCCAACCACCAGCCAAATATGATTACCCATAAGAGGTTACCTGGAAGCAAGTGACGCTCGGCCTGCGCTGAGGGAACAGAATGTAGTGCCTCGTCAGCATAACGAGTCACTGAGCGTGACTTCTTGTACAGTGCTGGTTTCCAAATAGGTAGACCGAAAGGATGCTCAACATTGATAAGGGACTGTCGTTCTTTGAGAGTGATTGGGTCAGGTTCATCGTCTGATTTGCCAGTAGAATCTTGCTCCGACAAAGGCTGCTCGTCCGAGTCTTCATGCGGCTCATCGTCAACGGAAACGGTCTTGCTACCGCCACCACCACTTCGCCGTTGCTTTCGAGTTCCTTCTCCTTCATCACCCTCATACTCATCCGCTTCACTGAATGCCTCGTCGTCTCTGAATCCTCCGCGGGCAGTAGAGCTGACACTGGTGCTTCGCACTCCGCGGCGCATCGAATGCGTTGAATGAGCTGAAGACGACCGCATGAGAATTGGAGGGGGCGGCGCCTGTCGCGAAGATGAAGGGGAACGAGGAGCAGGAAAGTACGAAGTCCCTTGGTAATGGTGTGAAGGTGTGTCAGCGGCAGACCAAAATTGATTGCTGAAAGACTGGGAGCCCGATTGGCTAATTGATCTATGTACATGACTGGAAGGTGTCGGCGTCGACGACAGCGACGATGGCTGCTCACCGAAGCCTTCGTCAAGCTCAGATGTCGGTGAGGGAATGTTCAAATTCGCCGACATTTTGGGGTGCCACCGGCTTCTCTGCGGCCCTTTACCTGAACGCTAAGAACCAGCTGCAAAGAAGGCTGGCGGTTCGGAGGATAAATGTGGAACGGATGTAGAGTGTCGTCGCGGGTGACTAATAGTAAATGCAATTGCCTCTGTCACCAATGCCGAGAAGTATCCTTAATTTCTCACGGGTATCTTAACGGATTCTTAGTAACCAGAATCTAACCTCTAACCTGCCTTCGACTTTATTTCTCCTTCATCCGCTTTTACTTTCGCCTTTTTTCCTCCCGAAAATTCGGATCCCTAACTTATTCGACCTGCTCTCACACTTCTGCTAATCGCTGTCCGTCACTAATTGTGCCCATGTTTGCTCACTGTTCCTGCTCTGGCTTTTCCCTCTCTGTCAATTTTGCTCTTTTTGATGTAATTTGAACTCTTTCTTGGGTGGCCCCAGAATCCTCCTCTTCCAGGACTGCTGGAGCCTGGAGAGGTGGTGGTATATGACACTGTGATGGATATGTTGGTTTTAATTTGGCAAGTTCATCAATGTCCAACATCATCCAAGATTTTTGACTTTTTTGTATGCCATTGATTTCCACCGAATATACTCGTGTGTAAAGACGAGTTTTACACCCACGTACTTTCTCATCTCTTCTCATTTAACCTATCTAGAGACACGGGAAAAATGGGAGGAACTCTGAATCACAGATGATCATTGCACTTGGTACGAAAACCTACTGAGCAAGGCTCAGCACAGGCCACGGTGAACCAGTCATGCCAGCGCGCTGATTTGACAAAGATACACAGGCAGGATACATTATTACTTCTATCCTGGACGCGCCTTCGTCAGGATTTAAGGATGCAGTATGAAATTTAATCCCATATTGCCTTGCCTCGCCGCTTTGGCTTCTTGTTCCTCCTCCTTATGCTGTTCCTTCTCGTGCTGTTCCTTCTCACGCTGTTTATGCTGTTCTAGTCTATTCTTTTCGACCTTCTCTTTATATTTATCCCAATCCTCCTGCGTTTTGGCTGGGTCCTCGAGACAACCTTTGTTTTTCAAAAGTGCCAAGGAAGCACTGAGGTAGGAAATATCTCCCGTGATAGAGAGCTCGGTCTGCTTCGCGATTTCATCAACGTTCTCCAAAAGCTTGAATATCGTTGACTTCTCCGGAAGGTAACCATATTTTGCGAAACTCGGGGACTTGAAATTAACTTTTCCGCCTAACGTCGATAGCCTCATGTAATTGACGCTCTGTTGGTTGGAATATTTCGGAGGATCCAATCTGAAGGCAGACAGATGTAACAATGCCTTGTTGGTGTTAGGCCAGACTGCGAAACAATTTCTTCCCCCAACGCACAGAGCTAGCGCTTCTTTACCAAAGGGAAGCGCTGGATTTGCAGGCGAAACCCAGGTCCAAGTTCTTAGGTCGGAATTTGGTATGATTCGTCCTATCTTAAGAGACAGTGATGTCATAACTTATGATTACGTGAGTCTTATTATTTGAGAAGATAGGAATACAGACTCACCTCCAGAATTGTCCCTCCGCTCAAGTTGAAGAGCAGACCGTGATACTGGTGGTAAAGGAGTTCCCATAACAGTAGCGATACCAACGCTCAGTGAAAAGAATATGAACAGTGTTTGATAGATTGAAGAAGTAAGTTTACGATGAAGCATAGTCAATGGAACGGATTCGGGAGTAGGTGAATGTTGACAAAGACGGTCGAAGACGGTGAACGAGTAAAGAGTGATATATAGACAACGAACTTGATAATCGGAAGCGAGCGACGATTGACGAAGTGACAGAGGCCAATGAAGGGGAAGAAGTGATAATGCTACTAGTAGCCACAACTGTTGAAAGAAGCAATCACGTTAGGTGGCAGATCCACCGTCAGGAAGGGTAAACTTACTTGGAATTAACAGTGATTGCGAAAACAAACGATGATGGATCGATAAGCGCGTTCACAAAAGCAGTGGGCTGCGGTAAGTTTATAATATGAGGACAAAACAGAGAGAAAGAACCAGTTGCGTATACCACACTCAGAGCAGGATCTTTCAAAAATCCACAATGTTCCGTACTCTTTCCGTGAAGATGATATGTATCAACTGTTATGCAAAAAAGAATTATCATCAGAGTGAACAACTGTCATAAAATATATGCAAAGGACAACAGACCGAACCAGCGTTGAGGGTGGGAGATGAGCGAACTTGAGGGTTAAGCTGGAAGCTGGAGTAAGGGCTAATTTTTATACGCTTGCGTCTGGAGATAAGCCGTAGCGTTGGATCAAGATCTGATCCGCAAAACGTGCGACATTTCTTCTGTCCGCTCAATCATCGTTGTTTGGAAGGCCGTGGACTATCATGAACTGAACGTGTTTCGTGGACCTCAAAATACAACGTGGCTCTGAATCCTCAGATATACACTTTGGAAACGGGACAAGCAAAGGGGAAGGAGAAGTTTTTTTTCCTGTAAACCCACCCTCCCGACGGTGATAAGAAATCTGATGAACTGCCTTCATCACACACGTCTTCAGTTATAAAGTATTCATCAACAGAAATGTGGGCTCCAGCTTGATGCCCTACTTGAACTTCGTCGCTGGATTCGTCGTCGTTTCTCATTTCCCGTCCTTCTCAGGCTGGTGTGTACTTCCTCTTTCAACCTTGCATAGCCAAACTAACATATCTCCAATCAACAGCCCATTAACTCGCATTTTTTCTCCTACTCATTTTTCTCCTGATGACGATCATGAAGTTTACTTTCATTGCATTGGTATGGACTTTGGCTTTATTCTTAGCTCTACACGTTGAAGCCCGTCCCCACCCCCGTCGCGTCGGATTGACATCCACACTCCTTCTCAACGGAATGGGTTATCAACCTCACGGAGACGGCGAAGTCTCAATTTCCATCGAATCCTTCGCACATTTGGGTGAACCGAAATCTATGGGTCCCCTCACTCATCTCCTGAACGAAACGCTGCACAAGCTACACGTTGACGTCGACCACATAGGGGATCATATGGCAACAGCGGTGGAAAGACTGAGGCTCTTCGCCGCCGTCGGTATCCCATTGGACAAATTAGAACTTACCATCAATGGATGCGAGAAGAAAACCGTGTCGCTCCCTCGTACGGGGTTCACAAACCTTGGGATCGTTCAAGCTAGTGTATCTGTCGGTAAATGTCCGAGCGCATTGCTTACTGCGAAGACTCACAACTCGGAGACTGCCACGATATATTCTTCACCTCCTACTGGGCTTGGCGTCATATCCGATATCGACGATACTATAAAGATCACGGACGTACTCGATCCTGACAAGATGATTGAGAATACGATGTACAAGGACCCGGTTCCAGTTGCAGGGATGCCCGTTCTCTATGCCTCTCTCGCAAAGTCTCTGACGACTCAATCCATCCCACCACAATTCATATACCTCTCCGGTTCCCCCTTCGAGTTGTTCCCATTCCTTTCTTCGTTCCTTAAATCACAGTTCTCTGCCTCTCTCGGACCTCTCCTCCTGCAGAGCCTCTCCATCACGAACCCGGCGGAGATATTCAAGTCATTGGGTGATGGGAAATCAGGACAAGGGAAGATCGACTACAAGGTCGGGCAGATAAAGAGGATTAACGGCTATTATCCTCAAAAAAGTTTTCTGACCATCGGAGATTCTGGTGAAAAGGATCCGGAAGTTTATGGAAAAGCGTCAGTCTATCTCCTACCTCCTTCAACGGACTATTAATCAACCTTTTCTGTATCTACATAGATACAATGAATTCGGCGGAAAGTTCATTCGCTGTATTTGGATCCATCTCATCGACGATAAGAAGGCGGATAATAGCGATGAACGGTTCGAAGCAGCGTTCAAGGGTGTGCCTGAAGACAGGATTCGGAAGTTTCACACATCGGAAATCCCGAGCTTGAGCAAAATTGACGTTGCTGGGGGTAAATGTAATTAATTATGGATGACTGTATTGCATACTTGAACTCTCGGGGCGTTTTTTTCCTGATTAATCTGTGCCAAGTTGCATGCAAGTCACTTTCAATACGTCTGAAGACAGAAGAGTGGTTTTATCCATAGTTTTACATAATATACACTGTTACAAGACGCAGAACGGAAATTGAAAGCATATCGACAAGGTATATGTAGGATATGATACAGATACCACAACAGTTCGAATCCGTAACAACATGGGTAAAATGAATTTAGTTTTGTGAAAAGGGAAGACAATAGTCCCAGTCATGACGCACACGCACACACCTACACAGTCTAGATGAGCATTTTCAACCTCGCCGCGCTGCGTACTAAGATCCCTTGACCTTAATCAACCCCGCCATGAGGTCGAAGCTATTCCCATCTGGTTGAAGGTCTATGAACCCTTCCTGATTTGTACGCCCAGGTTGGTTCCGCTCAGGCAAAGTCCTAAGCAACCCATGGTCAGGCGTGATCCCGCAAATCCGAACCATCATGGGTGGGTCGACGGTCGTGAGTCGGACAAGTTGATCACTAGTGCGCAAAACGGTTGAGATAAGATTGATCAACGTCAGGTTCGTGTGTTCAAGGAAAAGAAGCACGTCAAAACCCACCTGTGCAACCATTTATCCTGATACCTCCCCATCCACCTCTCAAAACTTCCCCCACCACCTAAAAACTCCTCCCACATCTTCTCAAACCTCGCCAAAATCGTCGCTAAAGTACCTTCCATACTTAAATGTTCCAATTCATCCTGCATCGAAGTTGGACAACACGGGTCTCTATACGGAGTCGATAGCGTTGGTTTACCTACTCGCATGAGGGAAAAGAGCGGATGTCGACAGAGGACATTGAGGCCGCATCCTATTACCACGGAGGCTTCGTGACCCCCCGGTGCAAATGAGGTAGAAACAAGGATACCACCGATCTTGATTTTCTCCGCGCGCTCGGGACGGGAGGGGTTACCGTAGCAAACATATATATCGTTAGGCCATTTGAGCCGTACGTTGGCTCCTAGGGTAGGACCGAGGATCAAAGGATGAGAGCATGCTTCCACGACGGCTAGTGCGAAGAGATATTGGATAAACACCAGTTTTGAGGGAGGTATGTAGGAGGGAGTTAGAGATGAAAACGAGGATGATGAACAGATCGTGTTTATGTATGGAGAATGAGGAGATAGTGGGACTTTGGGCATGCATAACGAGAATTGCAGGCAGCCTGACGGTGATATCCAGACGTTTGCACCACGTCCACGACCGGAAAGTTGGTGAGAGCCAAGAGAGAGGATTGGGATGGATGGTATAAGAGAAGAAAGAAAGCGAGGGTTTCTGTATCACTCTTGAGCACGGATCGATGTCAAATGCGTGGTGAAGAAGACACTCACTTATCAAACAAAGTTTGTGTACTACCAATGACCTGTCCGTAGATCAATGTCTCTCCGAAACCAGAAACATCTCTCCTACATTCTTCCCTCGTTCTTGCCTCCTTGAGGAGGTTGAAGTATGTTCGAAGATCGAACAATGGCGTGTCCTCGACAGAAGGTACGATTCCGTTTGGACAGATGGCTATATGCGATATGTTTGAGGGTTTATGGGGATGGCCATCGTCAGCAGACTCGATATGGCCTTGCTTTCTCATCTGCCTTAGAATAGCCAAGCCCTCATCATAACCATGAAACTCGAATGTGTCGTTTGTATCCTGAAACTTGACAGATCCTGCGCCTGGGACAGAACCTAATAGGCCACGGACCACAGCCTCAACTAACCCGGGTTTATCCGGGGTTGAGAGTAGAAGCTGAGGCAACGGGCGGGAGACGTGACCCGCGGTCGGGTGCGGGGGCTTTAGTCCAATACGAGAGAGAACGTAGCGCAGTAGGATCAATTGGGAAGATGACGAGGACGAGGATAGATTTGTAGGCGCCGATGAGCCTTCTTCCGACAGATTCTCCAGGTTCGGCGCCCAAAACGTCACAAATCCGCTCCCGATTTGACATCTGAGCGCAGCGATATGTGAACCATCCTGTTCCATCGATTCAGCCAAAATTTCCATTTTATTCGTCAATCCCGCGCCTCCACTACTCTCAAATTCAAACTGAGGCATATTTCCTTCGACAATACCTTCTACTGGTTCCCCACCACTAGGCCCACCTTCGCCTCTGATCCTCCTCGTCGACGGATCCTTTTTTTGCGATGATTCTGGCAAGGATATAGGTGAAATTGTAAGACCTGTGGTGCGATCCACGAAAGCAAAGTCTTCGCTTTCTAAATCAGAGGCGTTGCTTCCCGATGATCCATGAAGATGCTGGGCTACAGCTCCCATACCTCCGATACCTCCCAGCCCTCGTCCTCTAAGCCCTCTGGTTATTCTTCCAGCTGCATTCAAGCACAAAATATTTCCTCCTCCTTCTAGGAAATCGTTGATAGCTCCATTGAGTCGAGGTGGTATTCCCGCAACTATCCCTGCACTTCCAGTAATCGTTTTCAGCGCAGGGAAAATCAAGACCTGACAATTAGCTGTCCATGGCTGATTCAGCAAAACTGGTACACTGATAGGCTGGATGGTGTAATTTGGCAGAAGAATGCGCGCAAGGTGCGATAGCGTGGTCCTGAGCGCAGCAGGAAGAACTTCAGGCCCTGAGTAAACTAGAAGATTGACCATCGTGAATTACCACGGTAAAACTTTGGACGAGAGAGAGAGAGCTGCGCGGGTGTTGAGGATCGGCTGGAAAGCTGCTAACAAATGATTGGTAAGTTCAAGTAAGAATTATGATACTTCGATGTGTAGATGGAAGAAGAAAGCATCAGTGATTGGCAAAAGGTGGAAGATGACGGAACAATTTAATAAATGATAAGATTAGATTGTGGGTGTCCGGAATGAAAGGAAGAACCGTGGGGAACCGTCTGGAACCGTCCATGGGTCTCTGTGGTCCGGACCCGTTCCAACATCATCCGACATCTCGGTCCAACTAGAGCTGAAGTCACCGAAGGCAACATCTTGATCTCCGAAGGATATACTTACAGCAATATGCGCTTTTGACGACAGATTTTATCTACTATTTTTTGAATCAGATTTTATCTATGATCTTTCTTTTGACAACTAAATATCATAGATAGGAGGTCTTAGTAGGCTCACAGACGTCCATACTAGGTCAGTTGAAGTAGTGACGGCTTGAAGAGGCTTGGGGTCCTGGGTAAGGTAAGGTAGTACGCTATTGCACCAGCAGAATAATAATGCACGAGTTTTTTACTCATAGTCGGACGACGGAGGGGAGCTGGGGAGGTTCCTGAATGTCGATTCGGATCACCAACTTGAAGATTCACCACAATTTGCAATAATTCATTAAAGCATCCCCCGCAGGCACCAAACTTTCACTAGCGTGGCAGGAGGACGTTTATTCAAGTGTACATGTATGTACATCGGACTCGCGTACCATCCTACATATGCGACAGACTTTAATTTTTGTGCAGAAAAAAACCCTCTTCACCTTTCTACCCTTGCGTCGTACTCCAACAACCCTCCGCTGTCAGTGCCGCGTAGTTGTTGCCCACGAAACTCGTATATATGCCGCTCAACAGCTATGAGTCGACCCTACTCGCCGCACTTTTCACGAGCATCTTATTCGGTTAGTTTTCGCGCCTAGTGCGATTTACCGACGATATATATTCAACCATGGTCCATAATCCATCCCATCTTCGTCCCTCGTATAGGTTTCTACATCTCCTCTGCCCTGAGATGTTCTTCTATCCTATGGAATCGATTCAAGGCGAAGGGTAGAGTTCACCCCTATTTGCTGGCCACCCATATCGCGTTAGTGTTGCTAGTGACGACGGTGCGCATCTTCTCTCTCACTCTCCATCTAATGCTCATTGTCGTCTGGATTTATTCAGCGCTGTATTGCTGTCCTCGTACGGGCAATGCTACCTTCCATAAACAAGACATACACGATCCGAAATATGTGGACCTGGGACACGTATGTACCCCGCGGATAGACTCTTCAGATATATTTACTTAGTGACTTTGAATTCTGTCTTCAGTTTGTTCGTGGATAGTTTATGGATGATTGCTTTGCTTCTATCCGATGGTGCGTCGTGTGACTATACAATCAAATGACAATACTCATTTTTCTTCCCTTCAACAGCGTTTGTGGTGCGTTATGCTTCCATTCATCCATCCGTGTATAACTTTTGACTGAATGTCGCTTCAACAGTGTTTTCGAGCCTACATTGTATGGGCCCGAAACATCTACGTTCAAATCTTCCCTATCTCTCTTCTCATCGCGAACGTCGGCAAGTCTCTTCCTTTCACGTCTGATATCGACATCCATCTGATTATCGTCTCTCTATCACCTACAGTCCTCATGGCATACAGACTCTACGTAGAAGCAGATTCCACACTAGCTAAACAGAACGAAGCAAAGTATTATCGCAGATTGGATAACATCAGTATAATATTCATGATTGCGACTCTCGTTCTGAACATCTTCAATACCGGTGAGTTCATCGACGTCGATTCTTTCCCGATGTGGTCAGGGCGACACACTAATACTACTACTAGGCATTATTGCATATCGAATTTGGAGTGTTCGTCGAAGAACTGCGTCTTCAAGAACTGTACCACAGGACGCATTAGCCAATCTCGTTTCGCTCCTGGTCGAATCAGGTGTGCTGTGTTTCGTTCTCTGCATATATAGGATTTTTCCTGACAAAGAAAACAGCTGCCATCTACACTACCGTCATAGTAGTAGATATCATACTCCTTGGCCTAGGGAAAATCCTATTCCTAGTATTCACAGACATTCAGACACCACTTATAGGAATCGTGGTGTGTAATATTGCTTTCCTATTATCCCGTTATTTTTCGTTTCCGAGTACCATCTTTAACTCACAACACGTTTCTTCTCCTTCTCCTTCCATGTTCTAGTTCTCCAGCATCATCATCAGCGTAACCCAAGGAAGTGCATTCGGCGATACGAGTCTAAGTGGTGGAACCAGTGGTGACCATGTAACATGGCCTCGAACATCCCAAAACCCCGGGCGTGGCTCCGGACCAATTCCCACCGAAATTAATATGCATACGATTATAACGACTCAAAAGGATCCAGCGCTACCACAATCTCCGAGTCCTGTATCCCCAGGGTTTGGAAAGACTCATCTAATGGACTCGAACTCGAGGATGGAGCGGTACAGTAATAGTCTAATAAACGGTCGAGGATATATAGATTTGGGAATCAAACCCAGTCTTGATGTATAATGAAACTGCAGATGTACTTTCTGTAAACCATGTTCTGAAGAATCAATCAAATGCTATTCAATGTATATAGAGCTAAATGTGGCGCAAGCGCCCATTATCTCAAAAAGGTGCTCCTTGAGTCAATGTTCTTTTGTTCTTACTCTTTTGTCATGATCATATGGACTTTGGACCTTCTCTTCTCCTTATTAGAAACCTATGATTACTCGCAAAACTTGAATCGCTTCTTTTCACTCCACCATCATCTCACAGCCTCCAAACAACCTTCTCGTACCAATGACTCAATCAAAAACTCGATTTATCATCTTCAACAAGAATACAATCTTCGAGCCTGATTTCTCTGAAGAGAGAAGACCGAAAAAGAGAGCTAGAGTTGAAGATGAAGAGAGCGATGGACTTAGTGGACTTTTCCGCGATTCTCAATATTATGATTCGAGATCATCGGATGCATGCGTTATTTTGGCTGATGATACATTGTTCAGAGTACGCTTTTTCCTTTGCTTGGTATTGGTCCTTGTATCTTATTAGGACATTAGGTCAAGATAAAGACCCTCTCCAAGGTTTCTCTCCGCCTACATGTCTTGGTGGATGGTACCGAAAATAGTGGTGACTATAACCCAGTACGCCTGGACGCCGAACCAGACGAATTTCGTGCTCTTTTGTGGGCGATACACGCCTCGTGAGTTGTTGTCATCCACATCTTTACTCATCCCATATATATATGTACACCCTTAGACCAGACGAACTCAATCAGCCGATTGCAGATATATCGGGTCTCAAGAAATTTTGTTCGCTTGCCAATTTTTCTCGTGCTTTCAAGTGTATATCTCAAGAACCCTTTGCTTTATCTACCATCCACGATTCCTTGGATCATCCCTTCTTCGACACCTGTTCTTCTCCCACCTTGCAGCTTGTAGCAGAAACTGCTCTTAGATGTGAAGCTCCTATTCTTCTCGATGCCATCGTTAGCAGATGGATCAAACGCATCCAGCGTCATGAAGCCCCATGCGTTCCAGCAATAATCACCGCACATGATCTACACATTCCTCGATTGAGTGGTGCGGCATGCTATGCTCACCTGCAAGAAGTTGCTGAGCATTCCACCACCGTTTCGGAAGGAGCTACACATTTCCATATGGACCCAAAACTCGATATGGCACAAAGAGTGCGCCTATTCGCCGGGCACTGGTCCTTGGTCAACTTCTGGGAGCAGTTTCGTCGCCATCCGCTCAAGTTTGTTTCCTGCGATCATGTTGAATGCTTACGCATTTGGGAACGTCGTTGGAGTGTAGCATTGGGTGGGCGAAAGATCTTGTGTGTTGGGCAGGTGGATGTATTGGGTTTGATGCGGACGATGCGAGAGCTGCTGGCTGTTGATAAGGACTTGGATTCAATGAAGTCAAAATGCAAAGAGAAAGCTTTAGAGTCAATGAGTGATGTTTGGAAACAACTAAATGCCACATTAGGCGACCACTTCACCGATTCAGTGTGATCAGGAGTGGTCTCCCTCTTTGTTGCACGAATGGTGCACGAATGGTATTGTAAACCACATACAATTTTTGAAAGAATGAAAGAGAAGGGGCGAGCACATGGAAGTTATACGTAGCGATAGCGATGGAAGAGGAAGAGGAAGCTGCACTAGCTGATATCTGTATAATCAATGTATGCCCACCATGGGCAAATAAACGTTCTATATGTATATGTACTCACTACTTCTTCATCAACTTCTCGTGCAACTGTGCCCCCTTCAACTTTGCCCGCAGATACTCCAACCGCTCCGCATACCTCTTCGAAACATCATCCTTCTTCTTCTGAATCTCTCTGATCTCTTCGTCCATCTCTTCCCTGCCATTTAACCCTAGGGGATCGATATCTTCGTCTTCAGGGACACTAGACATAGGTAAATGACTTGTGCTTCGGGCCAGGTTCAGACTTGAACCACTGGCAAGAGCTAGATTGGAGAGGCCCGAGAGGCCTGAGGGAAGTGGAGGAACACTTATAGGTAAGGGTGGTACTGGCGATAGACCACCGCCACGTTTCTTTCCAGCGGCGATAGACGAGCCCAGACTGGAGGACGAATTTTTCCGATGTAGTGATCCTGCTCCGGATCCCGAAGCTAAACCTGAGGAGGGTTTCGATGGCAACGTCCGCGAAGCGTCACGATGAATTGAACGAGGTATGGAGCGACCTGTATGGGAGGTGTGTGCAGATGTTCCGGAACGAATAGAGGTGACATCTGTGTCGAGGTATGCGGACGTAGGTGTTTGCGTAGGTGTAGCACGGAAGTGCAATTTGTTGTCGGGTATGAGGGTCCAAGTAGAACCAACGCCGACTCCAGAAGATCCTTTACCACCACTGTCCTCTTCTGTTCCTATTTCTATTGACAGGGGTCCATCACCAGGTAGTCCAACAATCGTGGTATGCCGACTCTCAACACGATGATGCCCCATATGTCTCCTCTGCCGCTTTGCCAACGTTGTTACTTCTAACCCATTGAAAGCATCCACCAACCTCCTACCTTCCGCCTCAACGGCTGCAATTTCCCGTTTGATATCCGTACTTGTCACCAAATTAGCGTCATCGAAGATATCCTGAGTTCTACCCTTCTCTCTAGGAGGCTCTAGATTCGAATTATGTATCCCTTTGGGGCTGAAAGATGAAGGAGGCACTGCCAATCTGCGTAGACTAGACGTTGCAGACCTCGATGGCGTTTGGGGACTGTAATTTCCGTCTGAAGGTGAGCGTTCTGGATGTTGCCCGAAACCGAGACCTGCTCTTTTTCTGGAAGTTCGTGACGAGAGGGATGCTGTATCGCCTTGAGCTTGACCCTTCTTCGATATCGAAGCCTCGGTCCCGATACTCGAACTACTCGTCTTCTTCCGTAAACTTCGTGCGCTGCCGGCGTGGCTACTCATACGCGTATGAGGGTGATTATGAGGTGATGAGAAAGCATTTGAGGCTGTTGAGGTGATGGAATAGATGCTCGATGTATCGCTTTTATCTCGATTTGAGCCGCGGTTGGTTGCTCGGTGCAAGAGACTGGCAACTCCTGATTTGACGGAGCGGACAGATGGCGAACGTGTAGATAGGGTAGTATTCGGTAAAATGTCGACATTGAAGTTCGAAGAAAGGCGGGAAGATGAGAAGGAGGCTTGAAAAGAAAGACCATAAGTACGGGGAACATATACAGGCGTAATAAAATGGCTCACTGCGATTTTCTGAAATGGTCGGGTTACCTTTTGGAGGGCGTCGCAAAGGAGTCACAGAAGCCGGGACAATGGATTCTTCTGTCGGAACGGTGGCGTTTCCAGCAAATCTTTCGAAGAGGTTCTGCCGCAAAATCCGATATTCGTCGTCGCTGGGTGTAGAACGATAGTTTGGTATTGGAAATATGACTACAGGAAAGGAACACTAACTTCAGTAGGCCTTCGTCGTTCGCCACAGCCAACTCATTTAATCTTTGTGCCAGGGTCATACTGGAGGAAGTTGTGATTTGGTTCCCACAAAATTAGTCAGTTATAAGCCACGTAGATTTCGCCGCAGAATGCGCATCGAGTCGAGCATGAGGAGGAAGGAAAAAAAATCAAAACCTTAGAGTCAGCTCGAGTGACAATCGCGAAATGCATACAAAGAGTACGATGTTCACGTACGTGGCGTTATCCGTACGAGAAATACGAGCGCCCGAAGGAGCAGATGCAGACCTAATGGCAGATACTGTCGAAGGTGCACCAGTTGCATCATGCCTTCCATAGGTTGATTTTGATGATGATGTGCCTGCTTGGAGATGAAAGAATCCCGAGGATTCGAAGAGACCAGAATCTTTCGTATTGGAAGATTCCGTGGAACGAAGGTTGGTTGAAGAACTAGTATGCACATTCTTGAGTCTACTTGAGCCAGAAGCTTTGCGAATCGTAGCAGAGAACGGCGTAGACTGGCTTTTCCGAAGACTTTGTCCTGGATGGCCGAGTGTAGAGGCTGTAGAACCGTCCTGCGCAATGAAGGTTCCAGAGTTAGCTGTTGCTCGAGAGTCTGCGTCTGTTCTGTGCTTTCCGTACTTTACAGTATATAGAGGTAAGAAGATAAGCTCAGTGTTGGAGGAAAGATAAGATGTCTGCTCACGAAACGCGACCTAATGACCTGCACCACCGTTGTTGTCGTGGTCGTTTTGCTCCCCTCTCTATCATGAACAACAAAGTCCCCGTCAGTTCTTCTTGAAGAGAAAAATCCCATTTGTTCATTACGCTGCGCCTGATCAAGGTTAATGGTTTATTGGTCGAATCCGAAGTGCTGGAATTTCGAGTTATATGAGTTCCCTTTCGGTTTCGTCTGGGCCTTACGGCGTTTCCAATTTGGACATAGAGTAAAAGACAGAATCTGAAAACGAACGTGGAATCTGACAATGAGCAGAGTGTAAGGAAAATGAATTCACATTGGCGCCCGGAAAACGCCCGTCCATGTATCTCAAGTATATAGTATGAACATGTACTACTGCATGTGGGTAAATGTAAAATTTCAAGCGGCCATGTCCGTCTGCTATAGCACGCTAGTGAGAAAATGTCTAATTTCATTCAAGATGGTACTTGTAATCTACAGCGAATGGTAGATCGAAGAGGATATCATGAACAGCATCTTTGGGCACCCTAGCATCTGACGCCTTTCTTGCATAGACCCAGATTTCTTGCAAGGAACAGAAAAGTGACACATGTCCTTTCATTCCCCCACTCGAAGAGCATTATCGTCGTCGAAATCTGATGAAGGAGCATCGAACAGCGGACATTGTCGGAGTAGAGAAGTAAATACGTGACCAATGCAGTGATAAACTTCCAAGACGGTCAAATTTGTGAGATCCAGAGTGTCGATGTCCTGTAAACCACCTGTTCTGAATGTATGAAGATGAGGGCACGAAGGAAAAATTTGCCCAAATGGACTGAAGAATGGGTCTCCTCTGAAGTTCCAGTCCGGGTAATGCTGGGTCAAGTCTTCAAGAGTGGGGAACGTCGGTGTCATAGAATTAGAGTGCGAAGTAAGATTTTTGAAATATACCAATGAACTCTAGACGCCCTAGCATGATCCCAACAACCTGGGTGGTATCTGGCAATTCTACTGGGGATTGGATGTTAAATGCAAGTCGAGTTGACGGGAATTTGATTTCCCGAACGAAGTAGGCATTCTCTCGTGAAATTCGTAATCCCATATTTTTTTAGTGGACTTCTTACCTTAAACTCTTCGCCACCAGGAGTAGACCCAGGGCTGTGACAACACAGACCAGTCCTAATTATGCAATACCGGTGGTAGCATCTTAAACAAACATTTAATTCTTGCCGATAGGCGAATATAGCGAGAAGGAAACTCTTTTGTGAAATTTCTTCAGGGAGCATTCGGATGGGGGACAGTAAGGATTGCTGGTATTCAGTGGTTTTGAATAGGTGATCTTGACCATTTCCCGGAAGATCCCTCAGACTGTTATCGGCATCAGCTTCAGGAGAAGTACGTGTCCGTAGTCGCTCCAGGTCCCTAAATGTAGCCGCTATGGCATTTCGTACTTAGCTCTGAACGCTCGTCAGGAGAGATCGGGGCGTCATTCGCTTTGAGTTTAGCGAAGATAACATCGGTGGGTATCATATGACATTTGCTCCTTTTCATGCAGATTGACGGTGGTCTGGAAGCGTCCGTATTTAGGCTCAGACGACTAGTGGTGAACTTCAACAAAACGAAGATTGAGTAACGCCACGTGATAAGCTATGACCACAATGACCCTCGGGCCTCCGCCAGCTTCGACCAACCTCTATCCCTTCGGACGTGCCAAATCCAAAAGGATACAAAAGGCCAGTTCCGAGCCAGCTCAGCTCATTTCTCGCAGGTGTTACAATGGTATTTCTCAGTGTGCGCGCTGGGACGCGATTCTCTGACAGGAACTACACATAAACTACTACGAGAAACTACGCTAGTCTAGGACCCCTGTTTATGGTAGGGGACGTTGGTTCCAGATTCGGTCAAAAATCGACCTGATTTGGCATGTATGTTGGTAAAATTTTCGGTCAAGAATGAATGATTCGGGCTGGAGCCTTGGCACAAATTTCGGTCAAAATTAGTCAGGTTTTGACCACTTGTGCAGTGTGAATGTATGAATTCTGGCCTATTCTGGCATACATACTGTGATAGATCCAGAGTCCTTGGTTCAAAATTTAGAACTGAGCTCAGAAAACCATTTCCACTGCATTTCGTGAATTTCGAGACATCACTAAGCGTGGGCGCCAAAATATGTCTGGATCTAAAATTCGGTCAAATTTGGGGTCCGTCGTGAGGTCAGTTGCAAAATTCGGTCAAAATTGGAGGATTTCACGAAAAAAACTTTCGGTCAAAATCAAGCTCATTTGGAAGGCCAAGGAACTAACCTCCCCTACCATAAACAGGGGTCCTGCTAGTCTCCACAGAATACATACACGGGCCCATAGTGTTCCCATATTGCGTCAACAATTTATCAGGTTCGGCTTATAAGTATCTCTACTCAAGGGCACATTTGAGAGCCCTTGGAGGCTCTTGGTCGTGCAAGACGTCTTCAATCTGAATGAGACTATCGACCCATGAAGCTTGGTGGCAGTAGGATATAGTGTTCAAATCTCCAGGCCGCCCTTCGCTACTCGCTAACAAAGCTCACCCCATAACCGACGATACAAACGCCACATTGCTCTCCTGATAGGAGTATACACTCTTACTTCATAAACTATTCAGAGAAGAGAAGACATCGGCCTTGCATCTCCTGTATTAGCACTCAATGCTGGTGCTAATACAGATAATTCTTTGCCTTACAAGACAAGCATCTGGAGGCGTCCACTGGCTAGGCGACTTAATATCACAGCCTGTAGCTTATCATGATTTTCCTTGAAATTTGTATACTAGTGCACTCCCCTTCGGACGTCCCAGCAGATCATCCACTGATCCAGGCAGGGCGCCCGGCGAACGGGTGTTACTATTCAAGACAGGGCTCCGTCGGAGGCCAAGCGGGATTTCGCGGGAGTCGGATAGTATATATGTGGCCTTATTCATTGAACGAATTGTTGCACTTCTCCACTACTATCTCTCATTGGTATTCTGAAATGTCGGTGTTGAATGATGCAGATATGACGAATAAAGTGGACTGGTTCTTCTACGGTACTTATCAGTCGGCCGAATTGTTGAAGCGTTCTCTGATCAATCTCTCCGATTTCTGTAAAGGTTTCGTCATTTCTACTTTGTCAGTATGCTTTCAGATCTATTCTTCATTGCCTCAATTTGACTCTATTCTTTAGACTCATTGGTGCCACGGCTATTCAAGCATGGATCTACTACACGACGAACCATGATAAATGGCCTCTACGCACATTGGTTCGTATTATCGCTACATGAAGTGTTCAATTACCTAAAGCATTCATCGCCAAAGGTCACTGCTTTAGTGTACGTCCTGGAACCAATACGCTGCACTGATGCTATCATACTCATGATCACTGTTCGAAACAGAACAATGGATTTTGCTCTTACATTTTTAAATGCGGAAGTTATTCGATTCTATCTAGTAAGCTCAACTGTGTTATGCCATCGAGCGTAAGGTTTGTCAGTAATACTCTCTTTTAGATCACAAATTTCGGCAACCTAGAGATTTTTGCAACCATATCACCGTACGCCTCTTAGCTTGTTTTCTTCTGCAAGGCTGACTGAAGTTACAAATAGTGTCCTCAAAATCGAAATACTCTGTTCATTCATAGTGGTTTTTGTGTAACACTACATGCCTCTTTCTGTGTCGTATTTCTGACTCAGTATGTTGCTAGAATCAACATTTTCTTCGCTTCGCGAGTGTACAAATGTAGGAGAATACGAGACTCACGAGCCGCTTGAATGAATTTCTCATTAAACAGTTTACAGTACAGCAAGCTCCCTTCGTGGTCACCCTGGTAATCGTACGTTGACCCCACGTCGATAATTCCTTCACATTAGAACTCATGTCCGATTTTATATAGGTCGCTGCAGCCTTAGGATCAATTAGTGCGTGTCGCTCGTACTGGATAAATCATCACCCTTTCAATATTTCTACTATCAAACAGTCGCTGGAATGCGTGAGTCGAACCATCTATTAACTATAGGATTCTTCATTTATACACTTTCTAGTGCTCAGTGCAAGATTATTTCAAGCACACGCAAGTTCTCAACTCTTGACCTTTTTCTATACCACCAAGGCTAAGGTATGACGAACCTACTTTATCCCGTGTGCAGTATGCACTAAGCAGCTCGGTGATCTCAGGTTGAAATGGGAATTACACTTGTCCTGGCTGCATTTTCTGAGATTTTGGCTCTATCCACGATATCGTTCTCGTTACGCAACTCTCGTACAGGATATACGCAGTGAATAATCCTTCATTTCAAAATAATACATATGAGATACTGATGTATAGCATCGAGCAGAACGGACACCGTACTCAAGAAGCTCTTCACATTCTTTGTGTCCAGGGGCATAATCCTTGCTGCTGCGCAGATCGTAGGGATATGCGTATACTTTGTCGGCAAGAATCCCTTAATATGGTTAGGCCCCTGAAGTCTTGCTACTATCTCGAAGTTGATTCATTCATTCAACAGGCTGACCTGGAATTTTATTTCGACTAAGTTGTATGGTATCACCGTCTGTACGCCTTGATTTCCTTTCTGTGCTATATTTGAACTTGTTGAGCATCTGAATCTACAGTGGCAATGTATGTAGTTTTACCGGTCTCATACCACACCGTCCTTATTTCTGACATGACATGTCTTCACAGGTTAGCTTCCCGCTCTAATCTTAGAAAAGACCTCAACACTACTGTCTCCCTTTCTGAGCAAAGTGAACCGCACAGTCGACATTCTAGAATGACACGACCGTCAACCGGGCTCAGCCTTATACAATTCAGCAGGCGGGAAGAAGTCTTCTATGATGACCAGGTACGTTAGAGATGTTCCTTCCATAGTCTGAATTCTCATAAGTTGACCTTCCGTAGCTGGACAGCCCTATCCCAAAGATAGCCCTCCAATCGCCCACTGTTAGTCGATTTAATTACTGATATTGAAAACGGACAACCCATGGATCTTCGGAGATTGTACACACAGTATGTAGGAATATCAGTTTCATGAGCTCGTGAAGGACCTCTAGAAGGGAAGTGTCCGTATCACTGTCCACAAGATAGAGCTGTGAGTAACAGGAAAGAAGTCCATTATTAACCGGAAACAAGACTACGTGAAAATCATTGCCGTCACTGGAACCCCCACACCCAAAGCAATGCTCAGTTCCACCTGAGGCCAATTACTTACACTGGTACCGATCCATCTTAACCAACTATCGTTGATCCCATCTGACTTTGAACGACATAGCAACTGCAATGAATGCACACCATTAGGTCGTAGGTTTCCCGCCCCGTTCGAGGCTTTTGTTGTCTGAGGACCGTTAGAGTCCGTCGTCGAGGCAGACACAGTAGAGCTTGCAGATGAAGCGCTAGTCGGCACTGTTGGGGAGGTCGGAACAATGGTGATCGCGGAATTCGCTTCAGCTGCCGCGCTAGCTGTGGGTGCGGCTTCACTGGTGACTACAACACCGAAAGTCAGTCAATCTGACACCAAGATTTGTGAAGGCATGGTGGACTTACTTTCGAAACCTCCAGCACTCTGGGCATCTTCGACAGCCTGGGTGAGCAATGCATCTGCATTGTCCGGCACCATGGAGAGGAATCCAATCCGGGGTGGATCCAAGGAAGGATGAGTGAGGTTTCCATAATGGAATGCAACTAATGTCCTGTGTGGAATAGTTTGGATAACCCGAACAAAAAACAAAGCCCAAACTCACGATTTCAGGAACGGATCCCCTAAGCTCCATCTAAATAGCGCTCCAACACCCGGTGGATCCGTCGCAACAACATTATCTGCCTCACACGTCTTTGTGTTCGTTGCCTTTGTATCGCTAATGAAATCCCTTGGATCCACTGGGAACATCTTTCCGCCAATCTGGAACGCGAGTGTATGAGCAGCGGTGCAGTCCAATACAGGGAGAGAGTTGGTAGATGCGGGATTGAAGTTCGGTGAGACGGTCGTTAGGATGGAATTGACGACGTCGGAAGGACCGCGGATGAGGGAGTTACCCTGGACATCCAAGCAAAAGTCAGACAAGAAGTGAAAAAAGAAGGACATGAACATACAGTGTCAATGAGGGCAGAAACTCGGGTATTGTCCACTCCACCGGTAGCAGGGACAGTCGAATTTGCGAGAACTTTGCCGTCCAGATAGACATTGTCGATTTCAATTTCCCAACGGCTGTAAATATCATAACCAGCATTATTACAAGTTTACAACGAAAAAAATCCTTGAGTTTGAACATACAAAGGATACACCTTACAAAACGAAATGAGAATGCAGCCAGAAGGAAATCAGGTACCAAACTCACCTCGGCGCTTGCAAACGTCGGAGGACTCAATCCTCCCTCAGATGGACTATAGAGTCTAACCGGGACCCACGTTAGACTTGAATTATCCACCCCATCCGGCAATTTTCCAATCGTCAATGTCCCATTATCGATCCCAACATCGATCTCACTCCTCTGTAACGAAATAGAAAACACATCATCCTCCAGTGCGTTTGTCGCAGCGATCCTCGCCAGCAGCGGACCATACTTGTACGTATCCTGCACGAAATCGTCTGTCGGTTTCAACGGTCCAGATTGCGCTTCGACAATCGCTGCTTGAATATCACTTCCAGCAGGGAACCCGAGTCCGAAAATTCCAGCAGCCCCATCTTGTACAACGGTATTCGTTGTGAAATTCACAGCAGCAAAAGTCTGACCTTGGATGGCGATGCCGGCGAGCGTAGCGGAGTCGAAACCTATAGGACCAGAAGCTTTCGTGCCTGTGGTGGAGTCACCGTAATTCATGGTGACGGAGGATCCGGAGGCATTGAAGGAGGTCATTGGGTATGAAGGAGTGGTGAGCTTGCCGCAAGATGCTGTAGTACAAGCGTCTGTGGTGACCCATAAGTCACTGGAACCGGTATCGAGGTGTACAGATGTGAGAGTGGGCCCTAGCTGTATCGGAACTGTGTACAATCTATACAGACATACAAGCAATCGTGAGGAAGGGATAAGTCTCATGCAAGTAGGGGATGTGTACGTACAGATCAGAATTATCCCCCAACCCAGTCTCCCCGGTTACTCCTCCGTCTCTTCTTTGCAAGACGCGCGACTTGACCCTCTGGAACGGGATTTCGTATCCTTCTTTCGCTCTTTTGTGGCTTGGGAAACCGGAAATCGGGAACGCGGAACTGAAAGCGGTCGTCAGAAGGAGAAGAAAGGGCAGCGCATAACTCAATGGTAGCATTGCAAAAGGAATCATGGTGTGTATCAGAAGGAAAGTTGAAAGAGAGTTCGCGCACGGCGCCAGCTAACGAGCGTATGTAGATGAATGGATAAAACCCTTCAAATCCAACAACAGGAAAAGGAAAAGAAAATTCGCAACCCAAGTGGAGAAACGTGGAGAAACCTAGCTCCAGGAGAAGTAAAATATGGAGCGAGGAGAGTAAAAGAACGAAGTGGGGAAAAGAGAAGAAGTAACCCAGCACAGCGTGCTGCAGCGGAAAGCTGATGGCAAGGACTTACATATCAACCGCTGGTCCATCATGCATCAGGGACCGTCCAGTCGGGCATTCATTCAATCATTTGAACTCGTTCATCACTCTTTCTATGGATGGTAACGAATCAGAACTCGAAGTTCATGACAACGACTGGCACAGCGCGTACCGATATCGATTATTGCTGAACTTTCAGGAGCGACGGCCTGTTGACAGAATACGATTGGTTCTGGGTTAAACGTTGAAAGCAACGGACCGCTTTCCATTACGACCGAAGCTCGAAAGTGAAAATTTCAACGCCTGTATCGACAGAAACATATTGCGCTAAGGTGATTATCATTTCGCAAGATTCAAAATGATGATCTGAGCGTACCGAATTCATCAGAAGGCTCCATACAGTACATCTTCTCTTGAACTCAAGTCCTCGCAAGACTAATAGTTACTTTATCGATTAGCGCTGAGCAAAGTCCTGGCGCTTAAATTTATCTTTGCTCCGAGATATCCCGCTTTGTCCCAGACAACGAGAGATATGCCGTGCGAGGTGGTTGAAGCGACAACTTGTTTGCACGTAGACTGACAGCGCCGATGAACAAGCTTACGGAGGCCGTCGTCTGGTTTAGCCCCTCTGTACTCAATGTCTCGGAATCCTTCGATCGCTCCATGCCTCGCCCCCGCAGAACCAGCTGAAGGTAGTCTCTTGCGGTAAACAATCTCTGTCCGTGGTGATATACGTACGGTGGTACTGTGTGCTATGCTACACTCATATTTATTTCCCATTCCTAATCAGTTCATCGCAAAACACAAACAGGACGAGAATACCAGGTCGAAGGGCCGTCACAGGGTCAAGACAGTTACCAACCGCCAGAAAAATAAATTCCCGCTGTCCCGCCGCTTTCAACTGTCAACGGACCAAGGAACTGCAGATGATAGGAGGGCGCAATTTTCAGGAGTTTTTATCCCCTGCGTTATAAATTGCTATAAATCGTCACTCTAGCATGCCAATTCTGTTCACTTCCTTGTCCCTCCTGTGCTTACGGCAGTAGTTTAAAGTTCCCCTCTCCACAGTCCACACTCGTAAAAACTCACTAGTACCGAACAACTTTGTGCATCTTCCAATGTCTTGCACTACTCGTGTCTTAACCGCTATCCTCCTATGTCTCGCTCTCGCCACGCGTTTCACTAATGCAGATCCTGCACCTCCATCTCCTGCGACATTTCCTCGAGCACTTCACCAGGTCCAACGCCGAGAACTCCAAGTTCGAGCAAACTATCCCGAGTTCTTTGTTCCTCGAGACGACACATCACCCACAGGCTCAGACGATGATGATGACGACGATTGTGCGAACAGCGCACGGAGAAGACGGAGAGATTTCTACGAATGGAGCGATCAATTACTTTCGGTCGATGAGATTGTTGACTTTTTACTCGGTGGTGGAGGGTTCACTTCGTGAGTTGAAGTCTTCTCTCGTCTCAATCATCATATGATCCTAAATATGTATAATGGCGTATTGCAGAGCAAACGGAACGTCGTACCACGATCCCGAGTTTATCAAAGAACATGAACGCGCCTATAAAGCCTACGGTCCTTATTCCACCCTCCGCAGATGGGTCACGAACTCGTTTGGCGAACGAATCATGTACCTCACTCTCCCGGCTTACCAGGCATGGAAGAACAACGTCGACCCCGAGTCCGTCGTTTACCTTACGTCCAGGTGGGTTTGGCTCTCACCTTTGTCCTTTCGCGTTCTCAACCACTTTATTTTGTGTTATGTAGAACCGGTTTCAGAGCCAAAGATCTTCCTGAGATAGAACGTGCTCTTCTCGGACACGCGGAGTTTACAGAGCTTAAAGTATCCGGTGCACATATAACTCGGCGCTGGTTGGAAGCTGCTATCAAGTATTCCGATTGAACCAAAAATAGAATCGTGGAGTAGGAAGGTCGCATTGGTTATTCATTACGTGGGTTTTATGGTCGATGTACGAAGGTGTAGTATGCTCAGAGTATGCTGCATGTTGCACTATAAAGTCGATGCCCATTGAAACAACCAAGTTGTCAAAAGCTTCAACTGCACGCGAGGGAGGGTTGAAGGGAGAAAAGAATGGGATCCGATAACGAAACGACCGAGGCAATCAGAACTCGAGATAAAAATCGATGAGGATGCGTATTTTAAGTGCAGAGATGTTTGAACTTTCTTGACGAAGCTGTTCATTTATTGGCAAAAAGCCTCGCGTTTTGTGGAGTAAAAGCTATACTATCGCCCCACGGCCGGTATGAGATTTTAGATCTCATGATAAGCAAGTTGCTGAAGATGCTACGGGTGTAGATATCGCTGTAGCCTGTAGCTCTATGTGGGACACATGTACGCGTTAACTTGTGAGCTGTGAGAGATATGTAGTTGCAGGTTTGAGGAGGTTTTGGAAAGATGTAAGAACTATTCAGGGCGGTACGGCGGAACATATTTTTTGATGGCGGTATTTTATTAAAATGTCAAGCAGACGTCACTATTTGTTACTCGCCGGCGGCTCTTCCAATTTGTCTTTGCAGCTCGTCTTCCACTACCTGCGAAAGCTCAGATGAAAAAAATGCGGCTGGATCTTTGTTCCTACTTCTTGTACTATCAAGTTGATACTTGATTCTCGGGGAGCTTCAAAAACAATCAAACAGAATCTCCGCTCGTCCTAATTCTTTCAAGTCGGACGACGCATCCTTCATTGCCCTCCGTCGGATCTGTTCACCACAGATTGCACTAAAGATTACGCAGTTTAGCCAGCAAGTTTCAGGGATGAAAAGCCCTCGTTTGTTTCAGATTCACATCATGCTGGGAAAAAAGGTATAAAGAACGTTGTGACGTGCTTCCTTGGATTTCCCCCAACAGAGCTGGTCTCTTTTCACAAATCGCATACGCACAAGCCGCCGGTCGCCTTATCCAACCAACACCTTCACTTCTGCTCTAGTTTTTCATTCAGACAAGAAACATGGTTCATTCTCACACCGTACTCACCGCCGTTATCGCTGTCGGAGCTGCAACCTCTGCTCTAGCTGCTCCTCTTCGTCCTCTTTCCGAGGCCAGGGAGATTAAGATCACCCCTTCATCAAATGCAGCACAGTTCAAAAGCGATCCAAAGCTTCCAGGCCATCCAGGCAAATCGTTGAATGCTCGTGAATTCGATATTATCGTTGAAGAAGATTCTCACAAGGTTTGTTTATGTTCCTTTTCACTATTTTCGTTTCGTTGATTTTTTCTTTTTCGTGCTTTCCTTTTTTGCATCAGCATCATCATCACCACCCTCACCCTCACCACCATCATGAGGAGTTTGAGGTGGAGGTCGAAGGACATCACTCCCATAACCATGGTGAAGGTTTCGAGGTCGAGTTTGAGGGAGAGCACCATTACTCCCATCACCCTCACCACCACCACCACCATGGTGGAGAGGACTTTGAGGTTGATGTCGAGTTCGACGAGCATCACCCCCATCACCCCCATCCTCACCACCACCACGGTGAGGACTTTGAGGTCGACGTCGAGCTCGAAGAGCATCGCCCTCATCGTCACCACGGCGAGGAAAACTTCGAAATCGAGGTCGAAGAACATCAGCACCATCAGCACCATCACCATCACCACGGTGGGGAACACTTCGAGCACAAGCATCACGGCGTAAGTCCCATTAACATCTATGAATCAGTATATGTCTAACTATCCCCTTCCTTACTTAGCATCACGCTCACCACCACGAAGTCGAAGTCGTCCCTATCCCCATTCCCGTTCCTGTCGAACACAAGGTCAACTTCTTCTTCCGTTCTTTTTCTCTCAGTAACTCACGAAAAGAATCTTTATCAGGATTTCAAACACCCAATGGGAAGACCCTCTAAGGTCAGTTCATTTGAGTTTTCCCTTCCACTGTATGGATTGTTGACGTGTCTTTCTTCCTGTTTTTAGGTCGTGAAGGATGAGGTCTGGGTCGTCGCAACGGAAGGAAATCCCGTTGGCATTGACCGTCGTCAGGACGAGGGAGGACTACCACCCCCCGCTCCTGTTTCAGGATCTGGCCCCTCCTCCAGTATTCCACCAGCATCCTCAGGCCCTCCGCCTCCAGGTGGCAGACTTCAACAGATGAAGGCCAAGTGGCAAACTTTTCAACAATCCCCGAAAGGGCAGCAGTTCTCATCAAAATTGCATGAAGGAGTTACGAAGCACTTCCCATTGAACGCTGCCAACGCTTCCCCTAGCGACTCTTCTCAGCTCAGACGCCGTAACCCTTCCACTCTTCCCACAGGTGCCGCCGGTTCCACAGGTGATGAAATCCCGTCGTCCCCCACTCTCCCGATGTCACCCCCTCCCAACGGTGCTCCTGGAAAACACCACTTGAAACAGAGCAAGGAGTGGAAGGCCATCAAGACCGCTAACAAAGATTGGCGATCGGATATGAATAAATCTAGCGGCGACTGGGAGAAGTTCCTAGAGACGGAAACTGGAAAGGCTGTCAAGGCTAAGGAGGATCCAGAATTGGTGGTCCTCGTAAAGCACGCTTTGAAGCAACACACCAATCCGAACAACCCCAAGAGTCATCAATCTCCCAGTGAAGGAGCTACATCTACCGGTGCCGCGGGTGCTAGTACTACTGCACCTGGTTCCGGTGCCTCGTCTTTGTCTTCTTCCTCGTCCTCTGCCCTGAAGCGCCGTTCTGGTACGAATCCCTCTGGCTCAAGTACTAGCGTCTCTTCCGCGTCTTCCACCGACGGTGACTCTCCAATGGGCAGCTCCACCAGCTCGACAGATGCTGCTGGCCTTGGGGCAACTGGTAGTGCCGCCGCGTCTTCGATGGGTACTGGCTCACTGCCAAGTGGTACCTCCAGTGCTTTCGGCAGTACCTCAGGCTCTGCGGCTTCGGCCTCTCCATCCGGCGCTGCCACGACGACCTCGGCAGGTTATTCGTCCGCCCACCATCGAATGAAAGGACAACATCGCGAGGAATGGAAGAAGTTCAAGGAAGCCAACCCCAGCGTCAATGAAGACCTTAAGAGCGCTAAGGGCAATGTCCAGGCGTTCTTGCAGACGCCATCCGGTAAGGCGCTCGCGAAAGAGAACGAGGACTTCCAGAAGTTCGTGAAGATTCATGTGGTGGAACATCATAAAAAACATGGTCAAGATCATCACCATAAGTCTGCCGGTTCGGAACATCCTGCACCCTTAGATGGATCTAGTTCCTCTTCCTCCAGTTCCTCATCTCCTGCATCCGGTACTAACGCTGCAAACCCCGCTCCCGTCGGTCGTTCTGTGCTCGCTGCTCGTTACGGTTTTGGTGCACACGGTTCGAAGGACACAACTGACGAAAATAACCACAGAGCCGCTGGTCATCGTCACCATATTCGTTCTGTGCCTGGTGAGGCTGGTGATGCTCCGCCTCCTGGTACCCCCGGTCAGACTTCTGCTTTGCCAATTCAGTCGTCTTCTTCCACCCCCAATGGACCCGGCATGGGCGCGGTGAACGGTGCCCCCTCTTTCTCGGGAACCCTCAGCTCGGGTGCTATCAGCGGTTCTTCGATGTCTGGTTTCCCGCCTTCTGCGCCACCAAATGGCAATGGACAGGGACCCGAAGGCTCTGGTCCCCATGGCCACCGATTCGAGGACGGTCCCATGGGACCTGAACACCACGGTTCTTCGATGTCTGGTTTCCCGCCTTCTGCGCCACCAAATGGCAATGGACAGGGAGGCTTACCCCAAAGCCATCAACACGGAGGTTTCCAATCTTTCGATCAATCAGGCGTCCCACGTCCATCTATCGATGTCTTGCAACGTCTCGGCGCCCCCCGTCTCGAACATCTCACGCCCCCCGGCACCAATCTGTTTGGATCCTCCCCTAGACCCCCTCCTCATGACAACACTGGTTCTGTACCCGGTACTCCGCCGAACCCTGCTTCTGGTGCAAGCTCACCTCCTCCCAGTGGTGCTACTTCCCAGGGAATGCCTGGTGCTCCTACCCGCCGTGCTCTCCAACGCGTTCGTCGTTCTACCCCATACGGTGATTTCGGTGCCGACTTGGACTAAGACGATCGAAGTCTTCTTAGAGTTGGGGTGTTCAAGGGTTTCATCGTTACTCGCTTCCCTTTCACTGTCTGATCTAAGTTTCTTATGTATTTAAGTGGTACTTATCTACAAACCGTCCTCACTCCGTTCGCAATGAAAAAAGTTGAAGTTGTTGCCTGATGTATGTGCTCATTTACGGTTTACTCAAACATGTTGCAGCGTCTGTATATGCTTTCTTATGAATGTTCTCTGATCGACCAAATACCACATGGTGAGTTTCGACTCAAGGTTGTGTGTTGAACCACGAACCACCACGAAGTTCGAACCACATGGAACTTCGATTGTTTGCTGGTACAGAATATCAAATAGTCAATCTTCTTGAGCGGGGACAGTAAGGGACAGTAGCGATTGTGGTTTTATCGCCTGGCGTCAGAGTCAAGTTACGAAGGCTACTTGCTGCTATAGAACTTCCTGTACTCTCATTAGGAAAGTTTGTCGGCTCTCGAAGTATATCATCTCAAAGCAACGATCACATCACGCAATCCAAATCTATGCCATTATTAGCATCAATGACAGGACCATGTCCATATTTCGCCAGCTTCGACCTCGTCAAACTTTGACATGCAAAGGCCAGTTCTTGATTTCAGTCCATGCCTCCCAGGCAACCATTCTTTTTAATGCTTTCGCTGTGGATGACACTGATAAGCATCATCTCCTTCCTTGGGAGAAGATAACTCACGACTGGACACGGGAACACAGTGCACTTTCAATCCCAGTGTGTTCTTGCCATAAATCTGATTCCCAGTACTCTTCGGAGATCGTTCGAGGAACGCAGGAGGAATCCTCATGAAGATGTGTTTTTCTCCTTTGATCGTGAAGCTTGCGAGGATAATGACACTGGAGAATTTCCCGTGAAGAGTTTTGATGAGGAAGGAGTTGATTTCGTCGGGTTTGTAGTAAAGGTTTTGCTCGGCAAGGTAATACTAAGAACCAGAAATGTAAGTATTAGCCTCTTTTCGGAGTCATGGCATACAAAAAAATCTTCCTACCAAGATCATTTCATCCAATTTTTCCTTGCCGACTTCGACGGAACACTGGGGGGGTGTGAAGGTTGTGTTTAGGAAAGGTAAGATATGCCGTTCAACGGCTGATAGGGAGACTAACCTGCGAATACGTTCTGGAAAGTGTCAACGTTTTTAAAAGGCGTTGTTCGATGTAGCAATAATATTTCTTACTTCGGTACATCGAGGGTAGGAAACATCGTGGTAGGCCGAGGAGAAAGATATGCTCCATCACCGAGTGGTTTATCCTTGGAGGGGAGTGCAGTAAGCGTTCCCGCCTTATTCAATTCTTCAGCTTCGTCCTAAAAAAGAGGAGTTCATATTCATTCAATTCACAATCTATTCGTAGACGAGCAGAGATTGACCTACTTCTGGTACAAAGACATATCCTAGAAGTAAGTTGTCGCCAGACCTTGCCGCAATGCTGACATTTGTACTGCTAGACGACTCGGCAAGAATGACCGGAAAAGCTCCAACTCCCAGCCGGGTCATGAGAAGCAGAAGCGAGACTTTATAGATGATTGAAGAGAACACTGGCATATTCAACGGCAGGGCGAGACCAGCTCGAGACTGAAGACTGAGGACGTGTTGTGTGTGAAGGGCAGGGGATGCGCACCAGGCGATTCTAACTATACACGACTTTGAGGAGTCTTTTTATACCGAGAGATACTCGGTGTTAAGCCGAAAACTTGAATCCAAGGTTCAAAACGTCTTCGAAACTTTCAAAATCAATCAACAATCAAGCAAAATCCTACCGTTTGTATACAAAAGGCTATGCTCTGCCACACTTGGATCCAAGGCGTACCTCGAAAACCGGATTCTGGAGTCTCAGTAAATTGTGCTCTCGGTCCCCAATCGCAATCAGCAGGAAGTGCAATTGGGAAGATCTCATAACATCCCGCGAAACAATTCATCATGTTACTGCGGTCCCATACGGATGAACATTCATCCAAAGATTGCGCAAAATACGCACTTCTACGTCTTGAAATTTTGGGAGGACAACCTTCCTATTCTCAAGAGCTCTTTTTGAATTGAGTAGGGAGTGGTTGTATTAACCTGGTACCAGCTCGGCTAAGGATTCGAGGGGATAAACGTGCATACAATATATGAGCATAAAATAAAACTGGCAGACAGTGGCATCATCCGTTTCATCTCTTCGTGTATCCTTAGTCCAGCTGGATGAAAGCTCATACCTGAACCCTCCCTCCTTCAACTAATAGACCTCATCAAAAGGTCTCGTATCCACAAAGCAACTTTCCCAAACCTCGTTAACAGCCCGTTCTGCGTGAGCGAGGGATGGGCAAGCGGGATTTGCGGCTACGGATGTGACAGCGCGACGACGAATACAGGCCTACAAGACGTGAGGAAAAGAAAAAAAGTTTAGTAAAAGTAGGATCGAAGAACGAGGAATTGACATAAAGCAAGGACAGGTAAGAAACCTGAACGAAGTAAAGGAATGTGAGTTCTACCCACCTGATGTCCCCTCGTCCACCCAATCCCAGGGATCCCCTCGCCTCTTCTGAGTTCTCTAGTCCAGCGACAATCTCCACTCAAATTGTTTGCTCGTATTTCACTACATGCATGATGTCGAAGGTTCGTCCAGTCTACTTTGAATCTATATTCGTTTGGTTAGTGAACGAAAAAGAAAAGAAAGAAAAGAAATTGATAAATGGTTTGAACATGTAAAATTGTTCAACGATATATGGAAGCAATGAAGATGAAAGACATGGTTATCACACACCTGCATTCGTCAAACATATGAATCAATTCATGAGCAATTGTGCTCTCGACGTGTTGTTTTGAGAAAAAGTGCCCAGCACAGAGTTTGATGGCACCATGTGGATGTGGAAGGTATGCACCTGAGTGAAGCACAGCAGCGGGGCTTTGATTTTGTGCATGAGAATGGGAGGTGGTGGAATTGGAAGGAGTAGAAGAAAGATCGGAAGGGCCGGAAGTAGAAGATGCAAACGGCGAAGCACATGGTGCGCAAAAAATATTCTTCTCTGGAACCTGACAGCCAGAGAGCCGGAGATGTTTGAGCATGAATATTATTAACGGACCTATTAGAACAGAAAATAAGTTAGAACATCACGATAGAGAAACGAGAAACAGAAACAGAAGAACATACTCCTTTCCATCAACTCGGTCTTCATCTTTTCACATCTTCTTAAATTCAACTCCTCCAAGTCTTTGGCGCGTTCGGCGTCAGTAACACCCATCCCGGTGATAAGTTGAGCTTTGTGAAGGAAACGAGTGAACGCTGAGGAAGAATTTGACGGCGAATTGCTTGAATTGCTCGCGTTAATAGAAGAAGCTGAAGAGCTTGGAGAATTTGGTGGAGAAGACGCCATTTGGAGCAGAGAGTGAAGCGTTGGTCCCTAAAGGAGATTGTCAAGAATTTTTTGCCGGATTTGCCGGCTTCTTCCTAACGCCCACCTTTGATTCCGTGCTCTCACCACAATCACTCAGGCCTCAAGAATCAACGAACACCACAAGCTCGGACTACAAGTACCATCGAGCAATGGCAGTCAAGACGTACACTTGGATATCTCTATGGTTCCTTCTCACCACTCCGGTGAGCGTTTAGGTGTCGAAACCAACCCATGTACAGATTACTTACGGCTGCGCTCACTAGGTTATCTTGTGGGATGTTGGTTATTGCTTTATGAGGTACGTCTATAACCTTTGATGACCGTTTTTGAAGCTGACTGGATTATTGGGCTCGGTCTCTCCCTACCCCACCTTCACCACGACCACTCTTGACGGCATCTTAATCGACACGATTATAAACACGTTATGCGACTATTGACACGATGTCTCTAATCACTATGACTCCCGCTACTGCTTCCCGCTTCTTTCTCTGAACAGGCCGCGTTCAATGATTGTGAGTTGCGCGCCATATTCACACGTTCTAAATCATGACTATCCGTGTACTAAAACCCAGCACGATAGGGAGGTGACTTACATTGGATCTGGGAACCATATGGGATATATCAAAATGTGGGTCTCAGTGATTGTTACATTGTATTGCTGTCTTTCCTTTTTTGCTAAATACATTCATCCCCTTTCCTCGTCGTTCTCTCACTTTCTGATTAATTCCTCCCGATGTGGTTATAACGACTCACTTGTTCCCCCGTACAGGTCGACCTCGTAAGTGTGACCTTTTAGTACTTTCTGAGTTAAGCACCGAGTTCCGATGATCTTTTCCATAGTTGTACGGAATCCCAGCTCTTGAAGAAGTAACCGGGTTCACAAATGCGCAATGTACGCTCTTTCTGCGTAAATCGTCTCTTCGTCCCTTCTCAAACTTGATTCCCGTAATGTAGCCTTCATGAATGTCGTCGAAACAATTCTTAACGTCGTGTACCTCTACCTCGCCCACGTCTCCTCCTGGCCTGCCGCCACTTTGATCGGATTCGGCTCTGCTTCCCTCACGTTGTCTAAGACCATGCTATACTGGGCTCAGGAATATTTCTGTGGATATTGTGCTACGGGGCAGAATGACTTACGGACGTTAGTTGTCTATTGGATTATTCCGAATGGGTGAGTGGGCGCTGTGGTAAAAGTATTCAAACTGATGCCATTCTTGCGTTTTTCCTTTCCTTTTCTTGTGCTTCGTTTTCTAGACTATGGCTTCTCTTTCCCTCTCTGATCATATACACTCTCGGTAAGGACCTCTGCGCACAGCTTGTGTTTGCGGACCGTGCCGCTACTGCTCTGGTCAAGGGAAAGAAGGAATAATTTCCAGCTGAGATTAGAAGAAGGGTGGGGGAGCAATGGAATGTTCAATGTTTGAGGAGGTAATATGATGAGGGATGTCATGCATGAAGAAGAGGTTGATGAAAGCGATCTATAAGGGACTCAAGAGGAATTGATTTACTGCAACGATATATCTTGTTTTGTTACTACTGTATGTTTGTTTTGTCTGCTAACTGTTTCGAGGTTACAAGTTGCACTTGCAAGTTATGAAAGTAGGTCACTACGCTCTGTACGAAGCAGGACAAATCCTCACAGGCCTCACATAGAGCTGGCTAGGTTATGCGGGGGGCGTAGAACGCTGTAGAATGTGCCGCCAGAACGATGAGCCACTTGAGCTGCAGCTCACAATCGTAATTACACGAAAGAAGCACCCTCTAAATTAAAATCTCACGCATTTATAAGCGCTCCCCGGCCTAACATTGCGGATGTACTATGGCATATCTCAGGAGTTTGCTTGCTAGATTGCTTCTCTAGGTGTCATTGTGATTTTGAAGGGGCTATGGTAGGTGCCGGGTAACTTGAATATTCGTGGTGGATATGGTGAATTGGTTGAAAGCGGAACTGGGATCCGGGAGGGACTGATATTAATCTAAATGCGGGGAAACGCGGGGAAATGTAAACCCTGTCATACAAAATGATGTGCCGAGCGGAGAGACGGCGGTCCAAATCTAGACCGGTCGGCGACGCCAAAGGCACTTAAATATCACTAGGAGCGATGTTCAAAAATTCATCTCCCTCTTTTCCTTCTATATATTCTCCTTAGGGCTCTTTGATTCTGCTTCCTCAATGCATACCACGCCATTTCTGCGCAATGTCGGGCGAGCAACATCCTTGACTCCTTCAGCAGCGCTGTTGGAACGCGTCAAACGACCAGGGTATTTACAGAAATTGGCGAAACCAGAAGACTTAGTGCCGATGTTCAAGGTAGATATCTTTCACTAAAGCGCGTCTGCAGGCCACTGAACTTCTGGGAACTGTAGCACGATGATTATGTTGGTATATTGTACCTTCTAACGCGCGTGGAGGTTACTGACCATAGAGATAGATCGGTTGGTCCGGGTTTACTGGCGTTGGATATCCCAAGACTATCCCTACGGTATGCACCTCTTCTTCTCGATACCTGAGTTCGGATCTGATATCCTCGTGGATGTGGGTGTAGGCTATTGCGGACGACATTGAATCTAAAAACCTACAGGCTAATCCCGAAACGAAGAAGAAATTCAACCTTTTTGTCGGGGCTTCAGTTGGACCTGAAGTTGAAGATCGTTGGGCTGCCCTCGACATGTACGTTCCAACGTCTAAAATCGAGTATACACGGAACTCTTCACCTTCAATATCGTAGGATTGCCCGTCGTTATCCTCACCAAGTCGGGAAGGAAGTCTCCAAAGGTATCAACGCAGGCAGAATCGAGTTCGCCGATAAACACCTTTCTAGTGAGCATTATTTGCTCATCTTTCGGGTCTTTTTTCTGACTTTTCTATTTCGGTATATAGTGTTCCCCCAGGATCTCACGTACGGCTACTATTCCCTTCACAAAACACACGGTGATCCCAAAAAGCCTTTGGACTGGGCCATCGTTGAAGCTACTTCTATCAACTCTGATGGCCACATTGTCCCAGGAGCCTCCGTCGGCGCGTCACCCGAAATCCTTCAATCCGCTGAAAAAATCATCATCGAAGTAAACACTCGTATACCAAACCTCGAGGGTCTTCACGACATCAATTCATCTTTCCTTCCACCCCATCGACAACCATATCTTATCACACACCCCTCAGACCGGATTGGGTCCACAGCCATTCCCATTGACCCTGACCGTGTCGTGGCGATCATTGAGAGCGACAAGCCAGATAACACTGGGCTGAATGCTCCAGAGAACGATGAAAGTCGGGCTATTGCTAAACATCTGATAGAGTTTTTAGAGAAGGAGGTCAAGGAAGGCCGCTTACCCAAGTCGTTATTGCCATTGCAATCTGGGATTGGGAATGTGGCGAATTCGATTATTGGTGGGTTAGCTGAAGGTCCGTTTGATAATGTTCAGGTGTGGACGGAGGTATTGCAGGGTAAGTTACTCTTACATTGCGCTTTTAATTGATCTCATTCGTTGATTTAGATACCTTCCTCCGGTTCTTCGATTCTGGAAAGTTGGACTTCGCAACGGCTACCTCAATCCGTTTCAGCCCTGATGGTTTCGACCATTTCTACAAAAGTACGTCTTTTCATTAGACCTTCCCGTTCTTCGTTCATCAACTCCCCTGTTTTCAGACTGGACAAACTACAAAGACCGCTTGCTTCTTCGTTCTCAGCAGGTCGCAAACTCACCGGAAATCATCCGTCGTCTTGGTATCATTGCTATGAACACACCGCTGGAGGTTGACATTGTACGTATATTTCACCCTTTCTCAGTGATGGTATCGGTCCTAATATGCTCGCTAGTACGGACACGCAAATTCAACGAATGCCTTAGGATCTCGGTGAGTCGGTTATCTACGTCGAAAAACAACTCCGGAATTGGATTGAACCAACTATTTTGTTATCTCATCATAGGATGCTCAACGGTCTCGGAGGCTCTGCAGATTTCCTTAGAAATGCCAAAATCTCGATAATGCATACGCCTTCTACGTGAGTTACCTCCGCAATATTCCATACCGACGCTCTGATAACTGATTTCTGGTGTTCTCCCTTCGCCATCCTCCCTCTAACATAGCCGACCTAGCAAGAACGATCCAACGGGCATCAGTTGCATTGTACCATTTGCATCGCATGTTGATCAAACTGGTGAGTGGGCGTCTCTTTTCACTTTCTGGCCTCGTCATGATCACTGATCATCCTCATCACCCTTGCTTCAGAACACGATCTTGATGTGATCGTTACCGAACAAGGCCTCGCAGACGTCCGTGGTCTGTCCCCTCGCGAACGTGCAAAGGTTATCATCGACAAGTGTGCTCACCCCGATTATAAGGATTTGTTGCATTCGGTAGGAGATTTTTTTTCCACTGTCGCAGTTTTCGACTTAAGTTCGAAACAGTATTACGATCGCTCTTTGCATGAATGTTTGAAGCGAGGTGCTGGGCACGAACCGCATATGTTGAGGGTGCGTCAATATCTCTTTCTTTTTGTTTCGGTCGCATTGAATATTGACTCGCGCGCCATGGCAGAATGCGTTCAAGTTCCATACTCATTTCTTAGAGCACGGAAACATGAAAGTCAAGAACTGGGATTAGAAGCGTTGTGTAGAGTATATGTTCATATAGAGAGATCATGAGCTATGGTTTAGACGTTTAGGTTATCAGGAAGCAGGTGGCGTGCTAGGAGCGCGGAAGACTGAACTTTCAAAATTGGACTATAGGTCGTTGTAATACTACTAATAGGGTCGGTAGTGGGATGAAGCCGTAGTAATGCTGAACCGAAAATGAATTTTCAGGTTTATCAGAAGACTATTGGTGGTCAGTCAGTTCTTCAAGCCACTAGTTCAAGTTCTTCGAAGTTTATTTCATACTTGATTTAAACAGCGTTGTACATACATACATACAAAGGGGAATCACAACAACAGAAATGATGATACTTTTACAACAATCCCATCACGAAAGCCAAGAAAGATCACTCAGTGTAGACAAATGTTTTCGGCATATGTTCAACCTCCCTGAACTTGTCCCACGATTGCCAAGTGACAGCAGGCATATCATGGCCTGAAATGCACCGAGAACCGTTCTTTCAATACCCTAGAGCGAGAATATGAAAGGATCCGGGCACGCACTGTTAACTTTGGGATCTAGTCCACCTGAAATGCTGTCTAAGATTGCATGCGGGATGAGCATAGCATATCTGTCGTCTGCAACTAGCTCAACAACCAGAATTGTGTTCGCGAAGTTCGGCTTCCCATTTCGCTCCTCGATCTCGACCTTGCCATCCTTCCCGGTTTTTACTCTTTTTTTCCAAGAGCGTTCGGCCGCTTTCTTGAGCGAAGTTTCATCCAATGCGGTTGTCGATGGAATGAAAACCTATTTGACAAATGGTGAGGTATTTCGTGTCAGAAGGAAGCGGGTCAGTCATGTAGCTGTCAGAAGTGATGAGCGTAAACGACGCACAAAGGAATGATCTTCAAATAACGACATGGACACCTTCGTCTTTCCCTAGAAACGCAGCCGTGAGCGATCGGAAGGATATTTACTCTCTAGATGAGCCTCACTTGAAGGTAACCCTGAAAGATGATGATGAGTCTCAGACTCTGGATAAGGGGTAGCACAAAGATCTTACTCGACTAACAAAATCATTGTAGTAGTTGGGACCAGGAAAGAAGTAGGTGTATTGGTAGGCATTCAAAGTGGATACAATGGTTTCTAGTCTCTGGAGCGCTTTCTTGCCCACTCCTGTCGACTTTTTAGATGAAGGATGCAGTTTAGGATAAGCCAGATGATGGTTTTCATCTTCGACTTGCTGCAATGATATCAACATAGAGATACAGAATGAGGAAGAGTGTACGATGGAGACCTACCTGATGGTAAGTGTATCCGAGCACTACCACCTCCCCTTCATCTACCGGCTTCTTCTCCTCGTCTTCCTCTCCGACTTTCTTTCCCCACGGGAGCTTGCTCTTCAGTTTGTCTTTGAGACTTCGACGATCAATCCAGTGATTCAGATGAGGAATTTGGGATGGATTAAAAGAGCCGTAGGCAGTGCTGGAAATATCAGACGAGTGATTAGTGCCAGCATCATCCGTTTCATCGCCAGAGGGAATCGGAGAGGCGATACAGACGCCGACAAGTGTTGCGAGCAGTAAGTACAGCGCAATCCGAAGATATCTATTGATACCACTGCTGCCCCTTGAGTATGAGCGCTGGTACATTGACCGGGAAGGGCGGAATGAGAATGCTCCACAAGTATAAGAATAGTAGCAACGAATAACGAGTGGAAGGCCAGCTCCGACTCTTTGCGTTGGAACGTTGAAGGCACCAGGCGATGTTGTGGACAGAAGGGAGCTTTGGGCACAGGCCTTTTATATCTGATACGTGATCCATATCAGTGCGGATCCGCCTGGGTGTAAGAGCATATGGTTCCGTTTCACAGCCGGATTGGTGCAAGGAAATGCGTGTACTTTGCTTTCAATCGCGAAATCCATACCATATTTGGGGTCATAGTTGGTATGGTGCAGATTTTTCAAAGATATAGACATAAAGATTCCAGAGGCATGGCTAGTGTATCTTGCATTCTAGTGCACCTTGCGTTCACTAGTCAAGTATTTCCAATCAGTTCCAAAAGGGAATACTTTCAATATGTGCGTGAGTGTACGTGATGCACCGGTGAACCTTGGTGCACACTGCGGACTCACAATCACCGAGAAGACCTGAGTAAGAGATAAGGCTGAGCGCCAAGAAGCAATCTTTCTCTGAGGAACCTGGACAGAAGGGCTCGTCATAACCATGTGCACACTGAAGTTTGATACGATATCGGACAATCGGCAGGCGCGAATCATAGTCCTGTTATTTGTGGATCATGCCCACTTTAAAAAAATCAGAAACAAGTGACCTAGACATCGGAATTTGCGGGTCATACGAGACACAACGGGATAACGCCCCCACGCAGCGAGGAATGTCCGCCCTCTTGGTGTACGCCTTCGGCTTTGGTAGTATGGTATCGAAAACTAAGACGAATTTCATACATTTTGCGTTCGAAAAGTATCAGCGTTATGATCCGCGGTAAAGTACATTCAAGTTGTTAAGAAATCACAATCTGCAGAATACCCCCCTGAAGCTCAACAACCTGTCCTTCTTGAGCATCCTGAGCAACAACTGTCCCGTTCACTTTCACAGTTCCACTGACGCCTTTCGGAAGGGTGAACGCTCCAGCTGTTCCTTCTGGGGTAGTTACATTGAAACTTAGTACAGTTTCCTCGGTTTCGCCGCGTTCCCAGGCAACGCCAAACCAACCTAGTGCCGTCCCAAATCCAGCCTCAACACTGTTTGTCGGTCCATTCACATGTGGAGCTAAGCTCCACTCTGCCCCTTGCGGGGCAGTTATGCTCAACCCAGCGACGTAGAATGTCAGTGCGGACGTGGGCCCAGAGGACCATCCGTGCGAATGGGAGGTGTAGGCGGCATCGTCATTGTAACCTTGATAGTAGCGGTAGCTGACATGCAAAAAGGAAAATGTGAATGAGTAAGCATCCAATATGAAAGCCGTATTGAAGAAATGGGTCCAGTGAAAGGATTCAAAGTCGTAAGAATATCATAAGCGAACGGGATGAGACTCACTACAACGACCCATTCGCCGTCAACCCCTCAACTAATGTACTCTGCACAGAAAGATTGGTATACAAGATATATCCCCACTCTCGATGGAGTAAATCAAACGCTCGACTGTCATTCCCTGCGACAAAGTGTGCTTGTAGCTACGAAAGAGTCGGTATCTCGATCAGCGACGCCTCTTGAAAATATTGATCGTCAACTCACCTCAAACCCACTAATGAATGGCGAGATCGTATCCGGCAATTCGGGAGGTACAGGTCCAAGTTCGACCCAGTTTCTCTCTAGGCCCTCACTAATCAAATCCTTCTGAGTATCATTCAACGTCACGTTGAACAACACCGCTAATGAGTTCGCATCCTGCGGGGTTAGTGTTGTCGAAGTGTTGTCCCTGTACATTCCAACCTCAGGCATCCAAAAGGCGGAGTTGAACGTGGTTTTGAGGGCAGAGGCGTTCGCAGAATAGGCAAGGGAGAGAGTGGTATGGCCCGCATAGGATGCAAGAGCGGTGGCTGTTGTGAGGACCTGGTGTGGAAGACGATGGTAAGATACAACAGGGAAAAGATGTCAAAACAAAGGTACCTGCCTTATACAAGATTGCATTTCCTTCAGAATTATGACCCCCTCCTCCTTGCCTCGCCCAATCTCTCAGCCCAGTCACGTTCAGGAGGCCGGAGCTGTCAACCTTACCCTCGATGAAAGCCACGGCCAAGGTATAATTCGGCCATATAGTGTTGAGCCATTCGTCGTCACCAGAATAGAGGTAATAATTATCTGAAAAAAAAACAGCGCAGTCAGTGATACGTCACCCGGGAGAGGTGCAGGACCAGAAGGCGTGGTACAAGCTACTCACATGAACCAATAAGCGTCCAGCAATGATATGTATCCGAGCCCAATTGGCTTAATGGCGGACCGGACTCGGGTAGTGCACCCGTTTGCGGGTTGATATTCGCGAACATGGTAGAAAGGGCGTTCCGTGTCGGGATGAGGTCAAAGGTCGAAACGAATTGAGTGGGGACGGCGATGCCCATGTCACCTGCCAGAAAGGAAAGAAGATAAGGAGAGGAGATGAATAGGAAAAATCATGGTGGTGTTATAGGTTGAATGTACCTGGCCATACTGCACTAAACCCCCATGATCTCGAGTGGGCATGGGGCGAGTAATGATTTCATTACAAGGACGTACCGGTCGCGTTTTGCACCTGGAGAAATAGACGTGTCACAAAGGGCAGCATAAAAGTAGGAGGATGTAGACATTATTTACCATCGACGATGATGGGACCGGCGACACCGAGTGTTGCATTGTTTGCCCAATCTGCACAAAGACAAGAGTTAGGCCGGGAGATACTCTTTCATTCATAAGAGACACTCACGGCCCTGTGACTCAAAGGGTACTTGACGACCAGTATTGACTGGGACCGTATTCGTTTGCACGGTGTAGGCGCCAGCGTACCACACTGGAAGAAGTTAGAATCTGATAAACCGCGCGAGCGGAAGACACAGACATTTCGTCAAGAAGTCTTCATCCTCAAACTCTAAATCTTTCGCGTAAAAATACCCCGTATAGGCTGTCATATCATCCACATGGGGCATGAATGAAATCGCGCAAGACACGTTGGATATTGCCACAGGGGCATCGTCACCGGTTGATGCGATGGTAAGAAATCGGAAGCCACCTCGGAGGGCGAATGCTGGTTGGGTCCAGAAGCCGGAGGAAAGCGGTGCCGGGATGGAGAGAACACCGTCATAGTTCATTGTAGCGATGGGAAATGAGGAGTCATCCGAGAGCGTAGGGCTTATGAACATGGGAGATTCGGTGAATGCGAGGGAGATAGAGGAGAATGACGAGTTGATTGAGTCAAAGTTCATCGATATCAGTCCACCGACCTAAAGAAATTTCCAAGTTAGCAAGCCAGTATTTGGGGTTAGTCACAACAACGACTTGCCTCCTTCCCAAAGTCAAGCGTAACCCATGCACCGTGACCATTCAATATCGTGCTTCCATGATCGCCACTGAGCAAATTCTCTGATCCAGATACGGTGGGTTCGACATGTCGAATTGAAGTAGCGTAGACCGTTCTCGTTGTAGGAGCGTAATTAAATGAATCCCAAGGTCCCGAAGGAGCTAACGACGGGGAAACTTGCGCCCACGTTGGATCGCATATGAGTAAAAGCAGAGGTACAACCGACAGGACCTTGAATAATGGCAGCATTGCGATATGACGATTAAAAAGACAGAAGATCCTTTTAAACTTGATTCCTTGGTCTCGTGGGCCATGGTAGTATATCAGGTTCAACGTGTGGCGGGCCGTTTGGGTAAAAAAAAAATATGAATGACTAGGTCTGCTGAACGTTTGCTGAGTTCAGCATGTAAGAACCCAAGAAATCTTCGGCATGCATGTTATTCAAAGAATCAAGTATGAAGCGGGATGCGAAGAATATCTACTCCACCAGCAGGATTGAGTCTGAGTTTGATCTCTTGTGAACATAGGTGCTCTGAGAGAAGTGGTTACACTAAAAAAGACTCCGAGTAAAATCCGCTATTTCGTCAGGCGCTAATTGTGCGCCTATTTTCCAAGTTCTTACATACGATGTGTGAATTAGTGACGCGTGTCGCTCATTTTATCTACATTAGGAATAATACACAGATGGGATGAATGGATCGACTGTAATACTTATCCAAATATGCCGAGCTACAGTGCCACCTAGATGGCTGACTTTCTTGTTAAATCTGGCGGAAGGTTCTCATATGCGGTTCCTCGAGTCTGATCATCCATGGCCTTTTTATTTTATGTCGTACCTCATTGGTCTACCTCAGTCTCCATTTACATAATTCGATTCGACTCAACTTGCTTTACTAGCTGATGGAGCAACACAGCTGACCACGGGAGGCTCGGGAGTCGAAAAAATTTTCTCTGGCTCGAGTTGCGAGGCCATCCATCTCCTGGTGTCCCCCTCCTCTTGTACATGGGGTTAGTGTTCGCTGCAAGGATTAGGCTTAATCTATCAACGGAGTACCGCCTTTAACGGTAGAAACATCATCATTATAAGTGAAAGCTAGTTTTTTTCTTTCATTTTCGCTCCTCTTCTTTCGTTTCTGTCCTCGATTTTCGCTCGATTTTGTTCTACCCCCCCCCCCCCCCCCCCCTCAGTATAATTGGACCTCATTCACTATTGAGGTGACTTTTTCTCCCTCAATGAAAACAGATGGCCTCAGGAATGACTTGGCCTCCTCACCTTCATCTCCGATGATCCCATAATGGTGAAGTGGAGAGCAACTACTGGAATCACGCTGTGTTTTAAATGTTCCATGAACAATTAACAATCTTACATCTCTTTCTTCCTCTTCCACTGCTTGCGCTCAACGCATATAACAGGTAAGCAAGGCAAGTTTCAGATAATCTCATACCTCGATTTGACTGGGACTCAGAAAGTCGACAGTGATTTCTTCGAGTTCACAAAGCTTTGAAACAACCAATAGGTATATATGTGGATGGTACAAATTCCGAATTAGTCGGAACCTTCACGGCTTCACCGGTCACCGGTCACCAGTTAAACACTGTTCAGCAATGGAACGGTTGAAAAGCTATACATGTTCCGCACTGTAAAATCTATGTTTGAACATCGTTCAGGACGGGCCCGATCAATAGCGGTCGGGCAAGGGTCGAATCAGGTTTGACTTTCCTGATTTTGGACAGATGGAAGTTGGAAGAGCCTGGGGGGGCTATGGAGTGTCAGATTCGAAACACTGACTGCCAGTGAATCGGGATTACAAAGTACCCTTTCCCCGTTCGCAGTACAGTCTAGCTTTAACAATTGTAGCACCTGGGTAAGTACTAACTCGAAATAGTCCTTCTGCGATTTGAGAATTTCAATCCAAAGATCCAGAGCCTGTGCATTCTAATGTCCAATTCTCAGGCTACTAGCTACTTACTATCCTAAATTTATGCCGGCCCCCCTTCAAGTTTGGTCTCAAGAATTCCCGTTGATTGGTTTTACAGTCATAAAGGAACATTTTTTTCTAATGTCTGGATATGATAAATTCCAAAAATCTAATGATAGTGCATTGTACCTCATCTTGCCGCGCCGGGGTGTCTGATCAGGACACAAGGAGAAAAGTTTGGCATTATTGGGTATTGACATATCTGTTTCTGTCACCATAATCGGAACGTGCGGAAGTGGGCTAACGCGCTTCGCGCGCAGTGGTATGTACGAACTACATTGAATTTCGGACTCGTAATTGCTTTGTGACTGAAAACACGGCTATACCCCTGTCACTATACTTATGCCCGATATCAAAGGGTGATTGAACCTCTGAGGTATGGGACCGCATCATCCTTGCTATGCTGCTCGGGTTGAGACAGAAACAAGTTTTGTCTTCCTATTCAGTGGTCCATTGTTAACAGCTATAAAATGTGACACAATGTAGGGAGAGTTCCCTCAAGCTCTGGTTAGCATTCACATACACTCTTTGTCTACAAATTTACTCCGCAGGTGCGACTAGTTTGAAGTTTCGAGCCCACTGCTCCCCAATAGAACAATACACTGAAAATTATTTTCATTCACAGGCCGGCGTAAAATATCTGTCCTATACCAAGTTTATCAACCTCCTCATCGCTCAACACTCCCAGTCTGTCACCATGCAATACTCTCAGCTTCTCCGTGTCCTCTTGAGTGCTGCCCTTGCCCTGCATGCAACTACCGTGGCGGCGTCCCCGATCCCTGCTGCCGAACCTGAAGTACATAAAACTGGGCTTGGGACCTCTGCACTCGGAAAACGTGCTATTATTGAGCTCTACCATGTCACTACTGCTGCTTCTGCATCAAGCATCAAGACCAGTGGGCCCAAGCTACAGGTCAAACCCACGATAGGAGATGACTTTAATCCAAAGGGTGTGTCAGAGTCTTTCATCATTGTTTATCACCACTAACTAGACCACCATGAAATCATTAGGCAAGGGGGGGTTCTACGTGTCGGACAATAAGGAGGGCATCCTTGAATGGTGCAAAGCACGTCAGGTTGATCCTGAAAATGCTAAAACCAATTGCGCCGACTTGGTCACATTCAAATTTGATGAATCTGTATTGACCAGTCTCAAGTTTCATAAGTTCACTGGCCCTACTAGTAAGGCAGACGAACATGCTTGGATGAATGTAAGTTATATGCCTTCAATTCTCTTAGTTTGAAATGAACTTCTACTGACCGTTATTATACACAGACATCTGATTTTGAACAATGGCTTGAGGTATGTTCCAATAACAGAGTATATGTTCATGAGCACGCGAAGCTGATCGCGCCTTTGAATAGTTTACAACACTCTGTACACATGGTGGCCAGCCAGATCCGGATGTCCAGCTTCCAGCAGACCTTAAGAATGGAGGAGATGATCTGGACCTAATTATTGGGGTGAGAGTTTGATTTTGCACACTTATTCAAAAGATGATCTGACTTACGCTGATTGAATATCTATGTAGCCTATGGTCGGAACTGAGGTGAATAGTTCATCCTCACAAAAACTGTGAATAATTTATACTGACTAAATTTTGCCACTCTAGACGCTTCGACAATATGCATTCAGGACCACCACAGCCTTGAAACATCTCACGGATGCGACTGTTACGAAGACAGGAATCCAGTGAAGCTTCTAGTAGTTCCCGGCAATGATGATGTGAGTACATGAGTTCGTTGTAAACTTTACTGAGGAACAGAAAATTGAATACAACACACCAGAGTTTTCAGGTTCACAAGATCCGTCGCGGTCCTGTACATATAAACTAAGGGCATGTGTAGTATAGACTCCAAGAAATGCTATAGTCAATATATGCAGTTCCCAATGTGTTGTTTCGGCCAAAGAGAAAGAATATCAGTTGCCCAAAAGTTTGAGATCCTATAGGCCGACCCAGTCAAAGAAAGGAAAGAATGGGATCAAATCGCCCGAAATGTCTCATTATGTACACGAAGAGCCTAAGGGCGGCGAGAGCGTCTATGTATAGACACATCAGTTCATCGCGTATATCCTCAGTCTGGTACTCGAGACTAGAGAACATCATTCACTAGTATATTGCAACCTTGTTCGATGGATTGATATTGACGGACATCGGGATAAAAAGAAATGGAAAAACGATGAATATTGGGTGCAACACACCTTCAAGTTGGAGGCGCAGTTGTTGAAACAGTTGAGTTCTGCAAAAAATTCAACACCTAGAGTCAGCTAAAAATCGACAAACTCCAATCTGACATACTACAAGCTGTGGTTATTCGAGGCTTTGGCCAGACGAGGAAATTTGACTGGAATACCATCCGAATCATCGATTTCGATCCCGAGGCAAATTGTTACATGACGAGGCGGGAAGAAGGGCACTCACTATATTCCGAAAATGAGCGTTGATAGTGCTATAGATTGGTTATATTATGTATTTTGCGTGATCTGTATAGAGCTATGAACACCCTAAGAGAGCACCGTGCCGTTGACGCAACATACTTTCCCGGACTGATTCGAACAGCCTAGAGTCCCTAGACTCCCATTGCTATCAGCATCATTGAGCACGTTCACCAAAGACGAATTTCATTTCTCATTCTATTTCCTTTTTGAAGCAACTAATCGCTTGCTATCCCGAACATCAGTGAGCGCAAAATAAATCCGAGACTTACTGTTCGTTGGTTCTTCGCGTGGGCCCGGGGAGGAGGGAGACATGTACAAGAGAGGTAAAGGTGAGAACAGAGGGAGGATCAAATCAAAATGCTGATCCGAGGACGACGACAATGATGAGAGAGTAACGAAATCAACAGCGTCACACGAAAACATAAAGTTCATCGAGAATGCGCCTACTTCAAGAATCAACAAGTCAGAAAGCCATTATGCTGGCGTTATAGTTACCACTTGCCTCTTTCCCAAGCTCAAGCGTAAATCATGCACTATTCCGCTTCCGTTATCACTATGCACCGAGCAAATTCTCCGATCCAGATACGGTGGGTTCGACATGTCCAACTGCGTAGAATATTTTCGATGGTAGGTCATACTTAAAGTTAGTCACAAGTCAGATTCAGGGTGAGGCGGGCCGTTTGGAGGTATCGGCCCTCGGGGCGCTAAACTGAGCGCCTATCGGCAAAGTTTTTTCTTTCTTTGTCACCCATAGATAGACTTTGAGTCGCCTTGAAGACTTCAAAAAATACATGGCGTCTCCGAGTCTCTGTGATCATCCATTGTATGTACTTGTATTTACAGGAGTTCAAGTTTGCGGACTGTTCAAACTTGGGTGCCACTGACCGTCCAAAAATATTCAAATTCCTTGAAACGAAAGCAAGCCCACTTCAAATCCCGAGCATTACATCGCTTATCTGTCATCCTTCGAGGCATTTTCAGTGTTTGTCCCTTCACCGGTCAATAATCATCATAATCAGATGTTTCGCAGCATAATCGCGAATGAATTCAATCTACGTGGTGGTTCCACCCTTCAATCTCCATTACGAAACCACAAACTCGATAGCTAAAGCTATTGCGGCGGATCCAAGAGCCAGGGGCCGGGAATAAGGCTCTTGAAGAAATGAAGTTACCAGTTCCCTGTCCGTGATCTGTGGTTTGGCGAGTTACACGACCGTCGAGCTGCGACAAGTATTTAAGGTAGAAATGATAAGAAGGCTACAAGAAATCAGATTGAGGAGAAAATATGGTATGAGATCAGGCTTGTAGACCTGCCAGCAGGTCACTTACCTTCAAGTGCATCGTTGGGAGTGAAAAAGCAATAATGTGAACAACCTACTGGCAGTTTTTATCAAATCCACTGAATTGGACGGATGTTTTCCGAATAGAGTATGTTATATTCCACCTCATTCTAGTCGAGGCCGTCCATGGTTTTACGCATAACTAGTTACTAGATCCTCTTGGGTTGAGTAGAGGCGCATCAGCAATTTACGGGAAGACTTTGATCTTTACAGAGTCCACTACATTTGACTTTGTTCTTCTAAATCTATCGATGAATTTGGGAGATATCATTGAGTTCGAGGTTACCTTCGGGGCTTTCAGCGTTGAAAAAATGGCTTGCTTACCGCGAAATACGTTTTCGAGAGAGTCAGAGATTGCAACGGAGTCAAATCTTGACGCCGTCGGCGCTTGTCGCGTATGCTTTCACGTGTGCGTGCGATGTCAGAAAAAATGTTTTGACATTTCCTGCGTTTCTTTTGTACTTAGTTCGGATTTCCTCTTGTAGTATACTGTTTCCTCCAAGGTAAGATGAGCTCAAATTCATCGAATTCTCCAACACGGCCTTCCGATCTGTGGGTCATGCAGGAACTGATACCATTTTTTCTTGATTTTAGATGGATTTGCAAACCCTTTCCAACCTATTCGCGACAACCTACAATCCGGACCCCAATGTTCGAAAGGCTGCTGAGCTTCAAATTCGAAAAGTAGGGCTTGAACGCTGAAGACTTGGTCCGTTCGCTGATGAAATTCTTCATTTTGATATAGATTGGAAATGAAGAAGGAATGATTACTGCCCTTCTGCAAATCATTGCCTCCGATAACACTGATCTGTACGTGTTGAACGCGCTTAATAGACCTTTTTATAATTTGCTCACTCTGCGGCTCCTTAGTGCTACCCGTCAAGCTTGTTCTGTATGGGTTAAAAACCGGGTGTCGGCCACCTATACCTTGGATGAAGCCTACGTAGCCACGCGCTCAGACAGGGGACCCATTGTTCAGTCGGACCGTATTGCGTTAAAAGCCAACATATTACCTTTACTGTCCGCCTCGCCATCGCGGAGCATTAATCTCCAGCTCGCGAGCGCACTCAAAAATATGGTCGCTCATGACTTTCCAGATAGGTGGCCTGGCTTGTTGGACGAAATCAAGAGGTTATTAGGAAGTGGAAACATCAGAGAAGTGCATGCTGGATGTGTTGCTGCGTTGGAAGCTGTTAGAGCATTCAGGTATGTTTGTTTTTTCACGTTGTCTACAATGTAGCCCATTTCTTTTTCAGGTTCCGTCAGCAGTCAGATGTGATGCCAAAGGTCGTCTCCGAACTTTTTCCAACACTCGTCGCAATCGCGACGAATATGCTGACAACACCGCCCACTCAATCGCAAGAAATACCTACGATGCTTCATCTTATCCTCAAAACGTACAAAACAAGCATCGTTATCAATCTCAGTACTCACCAGCAGAGCGCTGAAAGTCTCGTCCCCTGGGGGCAACTTCTTTTCAACGTTGTCAATCTCGCTATACCTAAGGAGGCCGTGCCTGAGGATGAGGAAGAGAGGGAACAAAGCGAATGGTGGATAGCGAAAAAATGGGCTTACGCAACTTTGGGGAGGTTGTTCCATAGGTATGTCTGTGTACTATCCGTTCGCTTCCTTCGTTGCTCAAATTCGAGCATCACAGATTCGGAAACCCATCTCAGCTTCCAACTACTATGCAAACAGATTACGGCGCTTTTGCGCAACATTTTGTGACCATGTTCGCACCCGAAATTCTCAACATTTACCTCCGGCAAGTCGAGCTCTACGTATCCGGCCAGAGCTGGTTATCTAAAAAGTGTCAATACCATATATTTTCTTTCTTCACTGAATGGTACGTGTCTATGCAAACGTATGACACTACATTTACGGTGCTCTTTACAGTGTGAAACCGAAATCGACGTGGACCCTCCTCAAACCCCATTTCGAGACCCTAGTTTCAACGTTTGCCTTCCCACATCTCTGTTTCACGCCTACCAAACAAGCTCTTTGGGAAAACGACCCTGTAGATTATATCAGGGTTTCTGTCGGTGCGCTCCTCGCTTCCTGTTCCATCTTTTCCTTCATTCATATGCATATCACATACAGATGAATACGAGAGTTACGCTACGCCCGTCTCTGCGGCTACCACTTTCCTATTCTCTCTTGCTGGTAACCGAACTAAAACTTCCTTTATGCCGATTCTAGGATTCATCAATAACATCCTACGATCGTAGGTCGCTTAATCACTTGATACATGGAACATACACTCATACAGTCATCCTTCTAGTAACTCTTCCCCTCAACAACGTTTCGGCGCGCTCAATATGACTGCCGCCTTGGGACCTTGGATCATGAAACATCCTGAAGTGGCAACCAATATGGAACAATTCATCCAGCAGTTCGTTACTCCCGAATTCGCTAGTCCAGAGCCCTATTTGCGAGGCATTGTAAGCGCTCAGCCATTGATCCATTTTCGTGTAAATAAACCACCTCTCTCTTGTTTGTTTGTCTGCGATAGGCTTGCGAAGTTGTTGGTACCGTTGCCAAACATGGGATGGAATGGATGAATGAAGAGGTTGGTTGGCATCGAAAGGTTCAAGTGTTCTTCTCAAAGTGACCTTTCGTTTTGTAGAACTTGAATAGTAACTTCCGTGCTATTGCAAGAGCACTTGATGACCCCGAATTCCCTGTCAAAGTCCACGCTGCTCTCTCATTGACGGAACTGATCGTTTCGCAAGATACAGGCATGTTGATTTTCGGAAATTTTGCAGAGCACGCAAATTGACTGCATCAATTCGCTCAGTACGCAACCAGGTTGCACCCCAAGTCGGAAAGGTCATACAAGACCTTCTGAAGATGTCTGACGAAACAGACCTCGATATTCTCAACCATAGCATGGAAGTGATGGTAGAGCAATTCCAGGAAGAACTCTTACCAGTTGCCGCGCAATTGACTTCGAGATTGGTGAATATCGTTGATACTGTCTCGCCCCGCGTGCGATATGCTGATTGAACCTCAGTGTGAATCATATCTCCGTCTTGCCCGCGAGAGCAACAATCAAGAAACTCTCGATTCGAATCCGAATGATTTAGAATCGATCATGGCTGATGCTGACGATGACAAGACGTATGCCGCCATGGGCGTTGCAAAAACCATCTGGACGGTACGTGAGCGCTTGACTTCTTGTATGAAACTGGTTGCTAATACCCAACCTGATCTGCCTCTGCGCTTCCTAAAAATTGACATTCAGATTGTCACATCTGTGGACAGCTCCCCCGAAATCTTGGCGCAAATTCAAGAAATCATCATTCCTATCATCGTGTATACTTTGGAAGCTAAGCTACTTGGTCAGTGGTTTCCTTTCGCAGTAATCACCCTTTTCCAATACACGTTCTATCACCCAGATCTCTTCGACAATGTTTACGACCTGATCGATAGTTTAACGTTCAAGACGCGCTCTGTTTCTCCGAACATGTGGCCTGTGTTCGAGCTCACGTACAAATTGTTCAAGAATGATGCTGTTGATTTCTTGGAAGGTTAGTGTCGATTCCGAATTAATTTTTCATTGGTGTCTTTCGTTTTGTTTGTTCTCTGATTCGGCATCTCCTTTTTCGAAACCAGAAATGCTTCCCTCTCTCGACAACTTCATCTCCTATGGAGCGGAAACCATCAAACAACGCACAGATTATAAGCAAATGCTTCTTGACATTTACACAACCTCGATCACTAGCGATCACTTAGGCGAGAACGATAGAGTTAATGGTTGCAAGCTTGCTGAATCGATGTTGCTCAATCTCAGAGGCCATATTGACGATGTGAGGTTTCTTATACTCATATGAGAGTACCATCTGAAATAGCCATTTTCTGTGTCAGTTCCTTCAACCCATAATCGCCACTACCTTCAAAGGCCTGGAAGGGGCTGAGACCTCTTCCCTCAAACTTGCGCTCCTCGAAGTAGCTATCAACTGCGTATTATACAATCCCTCCGCAGCTCTCACGCTCATGGAAAACACACAACCTGGCTGTTCTCGTGTGTTTTTCGACAAGTGGTTTGCCGCTATCAATAATGAAAAACAGCTTCCTCGCGTCCATGACAAGAAACTGAGCATTATCACATTAACTGCTTTGATGGAAATGGAGCCTGGGATGGTCCCTGAGCCGCTGAGGGAGGGTTGGCCGGGTATTGTTGCGGGTGCTCTCAAGCTTTTCAAAGCACTACCGAAAGCGGTAGCTGGTGAGGAACTTTTATCCCAAAATTCTACGATGCTGATCGTAAAATTTCATAGACCGGAAAGCGTTGGAGGAGGCAATGCAGGAGGAAGAAGATGACGATGATATTGAGGATGAAAAAATCCTGAACATGAACGGGGATGACGGTGAGTACATAATTGCCTCCAGAGGTTTTATTTGGCTAACTCTTCCCACTCTTCAGAGGACGTTTGGGACGAAGACTCAGCGTACTTGGAAATGCTCGCTAGTGAAGTAAGGCATCTACCAGTCAATTCTCGATCTATTCCTCACCTTTCTCAGGGCGCCCGTCTGCGCGCAAAGTCCGAGAAGTTGGCTTCCGGAGAAGACGCTGATGATGACAGCGACGAAGAAGAGATTGAAGAAGAGCTAGGATACATCAGTCCACTTGACGATGTCAACCCCTACACTGCCTTCAAGCAATCTCTAACAGGTAAATTGATTGTCTGTCCGCGTCTTGGTAGGTTTAGCTCTTATTCTAATATTTTCTCCTTGCCAGTCTTCCAGATGCGAAACCCTGCAGGATATCAGGCAGCAACTACTGCCTTGAACGTCGACGAGCAAACTCTACTAATGGAAATCATGCGGATTGCAGATCAACCTACACCCCTCGCCGCAATATAGCGAATTTGGAATGATATCCATCTGATTTCTTTTCTTCTCTTTTGATCTTGTTGTATGCTTCCTTGTATACAACAAAACTCAAAAAACTCAACAGTTATCGCTTTGTTCTTATGCCTTACGACTCTCTGTACACCTATTACTGTTCCTGTGGAATCTCTGCTCTTCTCTAGTGCGTGGATATATCGTATTGCGGGGGAACCCAAGTAATAACTACCTCATGATCACTATTTTTTTCCCTTGGAAAAGTGCGACCTCTTAAACGTTCCAAATCAACACTCGAAATTCACGTAGCAATTCTGAATTTTAAAACATAAACTTCCTCACCAGGTAGGATCTGCTCCTACAGTTGCTTGATTGGACGCATTCTTTAGGAAATATGACCACAAGCGCGAAAACTAAAAGTGGTTCCTTAACCCTGCTTTCGAGTAGTAAACACCGCGTTTCCCGGTGGTCTACCCCGTGGTCGTTTATTGACATGCTGAGGATGATCATCTTGCGACCTTAATTCGTTCGCGGATAAAATGTCCACTTGCATCTTCCAATCACGGAATTTCCTGCGTGAGCCATTACTTCCGCATTCCAAGTACTCAGCGCGTGTGAGACAATGATTGGAAAAATCTGGCCGAGTAGAAAATTCATATGCTGACTGATAGGCCTCTGTAATGGGACTGAAAACCTTTTATCCACAAAGTTTATAGATCAAAGTAGAAAGTGTAATCACTTACTCGGTAGATTCGTGTACTCTCACTTCACAATACATGGGAGCAAGAGGTCGAAGCTCTGACAAACTAACGTCCATTCAGGAGAGCATTACTGAAATGAGAAGCTAGCACCCACAGTCGTTCTCGGAAGCCTGGGAATTTAATGTTACCTCCAATGAGACCAATGTTTTCCCAGAACATGGGCTGCAGGTCCTCAGGCAGACATGCTATTGACTCCGCAATTGTCGACGCAAGTCCTGATTGATTTAGGCCTGAAAATCGGTCAAAGCCTCCTTCAAGGCCAAGGATGATTAACTTGCCAATATCATCCGGCCGGAAGATTATTTCTGGCACCGAAAGACGCTCATTCTTCATAACGAGGACTTGTTCTGAACCAAGGGTCATATCTCCGGGCTCAATCAAGCGCCCCTTTCTGCTCGTTGACGTATCAGGAAGAACGTACTTCTGTACGATGGGGTTGTCTAAATCAAACCTATGCAAAGCCGAATAGTCAAGTAAGCGAAAATCATGATTTAATTAAGTCTTGCAAATCGTTCACCGCATCGTCTCAATGTCTTTCTTGAAGTCTGTCGATACATAACAGCAACACTCTTTAACGTGGTTCATGATGTATGTTTCTTCCATCATATTCCACTGACGAAAAGATATCAATTCCTTCAATTGGTTTGTGAGTAGTTTTCCGCCGACGTCCAGTCTGACTACAATTAACAATGACATCCCATAACCAGTGACCAGAAGTGTACAACCTTTTGACGGCAGGCCATGAAATGATGTTGTTGATCATCGGCACAACGTGTGTGAAGCTGAATCCCGAGTCCACAATAAGCATACACTCGGACGGAGGCATTCCTAATAGCTTCCCGTAAGGTATCAAAGATGCGGCTTTGATAAAATAAGCTCTGACGCGTATATTAGTGAGCGAAAGGAGTTCACGCACGAGTACATCGGTGATACGAAGAGAACTCGTATTCTTCGAAGACGAACTGGTCGTATATTTCTTGAATGTTCGGAAGATTGAAGTATGGTTCTGTTAAAATAAGACTGGACTCGGTCGTATTGACCTATACTTGGCTGATATTAGGTACCGTACGTGTTGAGAAGTTGAAAGTGCTTGCCCCTAGAACCTCTTGAGAGAATACACCATCCCAGATAGCTTTTTCTGCATCCCAATCGACAATGTATCCCTAGCAAATAGGAGTTAGCCAGTGTGAATAATGATACGGGTACAACCTTTTCGAAAGGTAATTGGTAGTGCAGTGAGGAGTAGTCTTTGCATTTTGCGATTTCATGACCAAAATAGGTGGCCTTGTCACCTTTAGAGCGCACGATTGCATTTGGAACAAGTCTTATAAGGATTTAGCTCTTTCCTATGGAAATCGAGAGCCGCCAGATAAGGCTCACCTCACAGCCTCTTGTTCGGCGAGGACGCCTGAAGCAATACCTGCTTTAATTGTACTAGCACCATTGTCGAGGATGACTATGTTGTTTTTCATTGCATAGTAGTAGATGCGCTCCTTTTGACGCCCGCCACAAATGATAAAAAGAAACGTGCGAAAATTTCCTTCTGCCGCCTTGCAATTTCCTTTTGCTTTCCGATTCTCTCGTCGAAGCTTCGGTCCTAGTTCAGAACGCCTACCTTATCGCAGCCACTTAGGCTTGCTTCCATCAGAACATTTACCCACCATTCAAACTCTCCTTCTGAACTGTGTTCTCATCCAAAATTATTGTGTAGTTAATAGGTCTGAAATAAATAAGGTCTGTATCGGACATCGCCTTCAATCATCGTCATGCTCAATTACAGATTTTTGTGTGTGGGTTAGCTACTCCGGAACTTTCTCCTTCCTCGTTGAAAAATGTGCATCGTGTTTTGGACCCTTGATCATCCTGATTACTCTCTGTGAGGAAACTGCAGGAAACGAGGCGTTCTGCCTTGACTAACGCGACTCCGCGATATTCCTAGTATTATATGCAGTAATCGAGATGAATATCTAGAGAGGCCTACTAGAAGCGCTCACTTCCATTCCTTCAGACACGAGGCCCATCCAGATAACATCCTTTCCGGGATCGACGAGGTTGGTGGTGGGACCTGGTTTGGTATGAATCGGACCGGAAAAGTAGCTCTACTGTGAGTCAAGTTGTTACCGACTCATCCATCTGCCAAGATATGAAAGAAGGTTTGATAGGACAAATATTACCGAACCTCCAGCAACGTTCAACTCATCGAGGGGGTCATTGGTATCCTCGTTTCTGCTGTCGGATTCGCCAGGGTTGCGTTTGCAGGAAGAAAGTAAAGAACTCTATCCTCGGGACGCTCAATACGCCGGATTCAACATGCTTCTCCTCGCTCCTGTCTCAACCGCGTCTACTGAACTTCGTTATGATGCTTCCTTTGTCACGAATGCAGGGGCCGGTGGTGCCATTTCTTCTCGGCCCCTGTCAGCCATCGAAAAAGCTGGCGGCGGATTCTCGAATGGTATCGATGGCAAAGGGGGAAGCGAGTGGCCAAAAGTCCAGCATGGAATGCAAGAATTTCAAGCTGCGCTTCAAAGCCAATCATTAGACGCGTTAACTGAGGCCGAATTCACCAATCGTTTGTTCGAGCTACTTACGTGCGTTCCTCCTCTCGGGGTCTTGTGGCTTGTAAACATCCTTTCACACTCTTGTTCCATAGCTGGAAATGTCCTGCGCCAGTTACGACGCGTTCTGAACTACGGAACACGGTGGAAGTTGCACCGATCCCGATCACACTGGAAAGTACAAAGTTTTACGGTACGAGGCTTTCAACAGTAGTTCTCATCCGTAGGGATGGGCATGTGTCATTCATTGAGCGTGACATATGGAAAGAAGTAAATGGGATGGTAGAGAGAATGCCAGCCTCCTCGGAACGTAAATTTAACTTCAAACTACATATCGTAACATAGGATATAATGAAAACCCTGAGTGTCATTCGGTCAAGATCGTGGTACATACAACAGTGCGTAAATTCAAAGCGTCGTAAGTCAAGTAAACAGATAAGTGAGGATGCATGGACACAAGCCAAGTCTAAATCAAGAAACGATATGTGCATAAATACCATGGTCTCCAGCCGACACAGGAAAATAAGATGTATATCCAGTATTATTGAGTGTAGTCCACTCCTGGGGCGACACGCCTCCAGGAGAAGCTGAATGGAAGCTCGTTGGACCACTGGATGCCGAAAGAGGAGTCAAGATCTCCGAGTCCGTAGGTGTGTTGCTGTCATAGGCTGGTCGCGAGACTTCACCAGAATCGATACCTCTGAAACCATACTGATTCAACCATACATAATATAATAGCAGACTGGAAAACAACGTACCGCATGACCTGATTCAACTCAGTAATCAGCCTAAAGAGTTGGCACTGAGAGCTCGGAGGATGATGTGAGTATTGGCGGATGTGATGAACAGTACTTTCTAGCTGTTGTGATAGCAAGATATACGTGTGAGCAAGGGCCGGGCTCGTGCGACAAGGGCAGAACGGTGGGTGTGGTGGGCTATTTCCAGAGTAGTGGTCCCCAACGAATGAGCGGCCGTCGTCGCTTCCAGATAAATGGTAGCTATTACCACCGTCAGAGTATGATGAAGGACCGGATCCAGGATGACTGCTATATGGACTAGAAGGAGTCGGAACAGATGTATGATAAGATCCGCTTGTAGTTGAACCGCGGTATGATGAACGCAGGTTTCCTTCGTAGTTAGAAGCCGGGACAGGAGGGTGGACGTCAGATTGGAAGGTATGATAGCGCATGGAAGGAGCGGGAGAGGGAGAGAAGCGAAATAGCTGAGCTGTTTCCGCAGAAGATTCAGTCTTGATTGGTGATAACAAGGTCGAATGTAGACCGTTGGACCCTCTAACATGAGAATGTGATGAATTCTGGTCTTCGACTAGCTCAGGAGAAGGAGCGCGTCGCTTGGGAGTAGGGAGAGTTTTGGTCGCTCGAGAATGCCATTTTTCGCTTGGATCACCATTTCGAAAATTGCTATCCGCCCAGCGAGGATGGGGTTTGCCTATTAACTAAATCAGCGAGTAGTTAAAAGAATGAAAATAAATTGTAGCGTACCGCGCAGTTCTCTCACTAGACTTTCAAGTTCAGCGATCCTATTCCTTAGTCGAGTGGTCTCGTCAATGTTAGGGTCATCTCTAGAAAAGTCCTTCAATCGACTTGCGGCTTTATTGTCACAAGAACGAAACACATACCGCAGAGCTGGGTCATCGACCTCATAGACGCAAAGTCCTGTCTAAAGGACGCGAAAACGAATCATAAGATTTCTTGCAGTACTCATGAGTTTATACTAACCAAGCCAAGTTGAATACATCTTTGACAAGGCCTTTTGCGGTCGCATTTTCGCTTTGTTAACGGTAAGAATACGACAAGAATAGTGGCAAAGTTGACATTGTACCTTGGATGTATGACAGTTCAGACAACTAGCTGTGGTGCCTAACGCATTCGTATCGTCAGTGTGATTGCCAGGCTCCCAACCGTCCAATATGGGACGTACGATTTCTTCGCCTCTTTCTGAAGAAAAGGAAGGAAAGTATAAGAAGAGGACTGTACACACTACACTTCACCTACCGGTGATCTGTGTCTACTGTGAATTCGAGGTCCATAATCTCCCCTTTAAGCTGTAGTGGTGGCTGGTAAGGATCAGTGGTCATCATAGTCAAGAGTGAAAGAGAACAGACCACACAGGAATTTATCGACGTCTATAAGAGGTTCTGGTATATTAAGTAACGAACCAGATCGAGGATACAAGATCATGCCGGCACTTGAACTTAGCGAAAAGAAGAAGGCACAACGATCCTGAGATAGCAGAATCTTTCCGATTTCCTGGATGCAATGCGTGACAAGAAATATACATACTACCGTCACAAGAGGAGCGCAAAATTGAAAAGGGCATTTGCCCAGGAGAATCAAAATAGCGAATACATACATCTAATTAGGAACCGGTAAGTCACACATAGAAAAGACTGTGGTCATGCCTTGATTCTTTTCATTTCACTCTTCCATTTTCCGCAGACCATCTTGAATACATACCTTCCAACTTTTTTCCCCCGAGGGTCTTCAAATCTAAATGCTCATGTTCTAGTTCCCAACAGGTGTTTGATTGTGTTGTGGACCCCCACAGACATCTGAAAAACCGTATGCCGCATTGTTCGGTCAAAACAGAGGTGTAAGTGATGCCGGCATCAAGTCGATCCAGAAGGCCCTACAGAGGGGAGCCAAATTCGCAGCATCCGCAAATCAGCTATTGATACATGTTGTCGGGCCTTTTTCTAAACAGGATGGGCTACAGACGTGTGTTTTGAAGCATGGGAGGAAGGGTTCAAACGTACAGAATCATATAGCCTGTTAGCCCTACAGAGTATACAATCAACATTCCCGCAAATGCCTATACATGTAGATATAAATATAGAAAGGATCTTGATAGATTCAGCAATTGGTCACGAATCGAGGGAAACGTACACACAGGTTGGAAATCATAAGGCGCTTTCAAACACCCGAGCGGTTGCCTCATTTGGCTTCAGATTGATCTTCGTTTCGGTGCAAACTGGACGAGGTGATATTCGTAAGTCAGTTTCTAACGTCGGTGGCGCCTGCACTACCTCGGGGCAAGTTCCAAACCTCAGAAGGCAATTTTCCGGGAGTTCCATCTGATTTATACAGCCTGAGGACGTAATTGTTCAAGGAGCCTTCATCTCCAAACAGCGCGAGAATTGTTCGGGATGTTAAGTCGAAAGCTGCATTGTCATCCTTGGAAAAGCGAGCGTTCCCCGATATCCAACCGCGGAAGGCGGGCCATAAGGGTTTGCGCGGAAAATCAGCAAACTTTCCAAGGTATCGGATACATCGGAATGAGGTTATCTGACTTCTCCTCCCCATCAAGATGGATAATGAACCGGGTCACGTCGTTCACAGAAGCTAAGCAAAAAGGTCAGGTATGAACCGACCCGGACAGCCGAAGCACCTCAGGAGAGGTTCTGTAGCTTCGATGGCATCAGATTCTCTTAATGAACAGTGGAAGAAAGAAGTGAAAACTTGAAATTTTGGGGCATTCATATTTTGTGTTTGGCGAAGTCGAAGATTTGAGAGGAAATACACGGACAATATCCAGTGTTCAAGTCAGTGGTAACAAGTGCACACTGTGCACTGTGTAACGTCGCAGTGGCGTTGAACTTGATGCTCATCCACGTGATTGATTCCATAACGTCCGTCTCAACCTTTCTGTACTGGTCTTTCGTAACCTGGTCCAATTCTCACTGACTGACGACAAAATCAATCATACCCAATCTACGAACGAACCACTAAAAAGTATGACGTCCGCCGTCAAGGATCCAATAAATGAAGAAAACCCAAATTTGTCTCCCACGTCTCCAGCAGAAGATTCAGATACTACTCCCTTGTATCCTACATCTGAACCTGAACCAATTCCTGGCTTGCATGGTGTACCCGTTCGCTGTAAGTTCTGCTCCTTAACATCTGTCATTCAGTCTAAAAGTGACATCTAATGTCAGGGTACGATGTATGTCCTTTACTTTTATTTCGATCGAGACCGTTAAGCTGATGTCTTCTTGAAAGGCTGACCGGACAGAGCCTTACACCAAGATTGTGCCGTTCCAGGAAAGGCATGATACCAGTGTGGAGTAAGCTGACTTCCTGGCGTCTCCCCCGGAGCATTCACCATACGTTGTCAGGTTTTTCTACAAACCGGTAACTTTGTCTGCCCTTGGCATCGGACTAGTCGTATTAGCTTATGTTGCCACCACACAAGATGTGCTAGAGGAAGGGCAAGATAAACGACGTGTGTACGTCCTCACTTATAACCTGTTATATTCGAAGCCTTACTGTCTTGGTGCCTCTTTAGTGGTGCCTATGCCGCGATAGCGTCATTCCTGACGTTCTCCATGATTCAGTTCCGTGACGGTCCATTCATCAGGCCACATCCTGCTTTTTGGAGAATCATTCTCGGGCTCAATCTACTCTATGAGCTTGCGCTCGTGTTCTTACTCTTCCAAGACTTGGATTCTGCTCGCGAAATGATGAAATACCTGGATCCCGACCTTGGGGTTCCGCTTGCAGAGAAAAGTTATGCCGAAGACTGTGCTTTAACTCCTCGTGCCATTTGGAATGCTCTCGACATTTTTTGCATTGCCCACACTTTGGGCTGGTTCGGAAAAGCCATGATCCTTCGAGATTATTGGTTCTGTTGGGTAAGGCGTATCTCTCAAGGCGATGATGCGATAACCAATACTAGTTCATAGATTTTAAGCATTGCTTTCGAGCTCGCCGAGTATAGTCTACAACATCAACTCGCTAATTTTGCGGAGGTACGCACGATATTCGTTACGTTTGGCTCTTCTAATGATCTTTCAGTGCTGGTGGGACCATGTGAGCGTCCTCCTAACATCTTGTGGCCAATAAGCCTTACTAACGAGTAGTTACAGTGGATCTTGGACGTTCTTCTCTGCAATTGGCTCGGTACATACCTAGGTCAGTCCCGTCACAAAGCCGTGTAATGCCTTTTCTTCATGCGCTGTTTTGTTCTCCGCAGGGATGAAAGTTTGTCAATATCTCGAGGTCAAGGTAAGTTCGCAAAAACAGTAACAAGCTCCCAACTTCATGATCTCAATGCACAGTATAGCCGTATGAATGGCGAGGAATACGTCAAACGCGCGGTCTCCGCTCCAAAGCGAAACGCGTTTTGAGCCAATTTTCCCCGCATGACTTCACTGCCTTCGAGTGGGGAACTGCGACAGATTTCACGCATTTCTTTTGTGTCGTCTTGCTATTGTCAGTATTTCTGGCCGCTGAATTGAATCCTTTCTATCTGAAGGTGATCTTGCTGGCTGAAGCTTTTGCCTGTAATACTGATGCGTGCCCTGGATGACTGCAGACTCTGCTATGGATGGAACCTGATCATCCCTTTGTGATTGCTCGACTTGCATTTGTCTTCCTGTGGGCTCTTCCCGCAGTACGAGAGTTATTTCAGTACATAAGTGATCCGCGGTTCGTATCTTTATCTACTGGAGTATCCTCACTACGTCGCTCACTGTCTTCAAGGAAAGCTGTGCGAATGGGCCAACACGTATGGCTTCTACTAGCTACTATTGCTACAGAGTTTTTAGTCATAAAGAAATGGAGCAAGGGTATGTTTGCGCCATTTCCGAAAACTGTCAAATGGGGTTGGGCCATCGGTGTAGCTTTATTGGTCTCTTATTCCATGATACAGGTTCGTTACTGGCGTCATCTGTTCCCATCATTTGGGAGACTTATCTTGTGCTTACAGTTTGGTCTGCCGCAAGCGCGGAAGTATGCCCGAAACCAAAGACACAAATCTAGAACAAAAGCGTCATAGAACTGACATAAAGTAAATTGTCAAAGAGATAGCACCCCCAGAGGCCTCTGATTTTCGGTAATCGACGTATTATAGGATTTACTGTCTGACTACATAGTGTACATCAGTGTCAACTATTGTATTCAAAAATTCGAAAATCACCGTTGTACCTCCCCAGTACGGTTACTCAGTCTTAATTGCCCGGACGCAAATCCCACGTCAGTTCTCGAGGGAGCCTCGCACTTTCTCCGCTGAAGTGGGATCTCTTTCATATTGTAGATCTCGGAGGTTGCAGGGTCGACGAATCCTCCGGGAGCTGAGCGGAAGCGGATGTAAACAAGAACCTCCGCTTTAAACACTGGCAAACTTTCATACAGCCACAGTTGCTTCCCATGTTTAACGCCACCTTAAGCGAGAGTTACACATTATAGACCCGGGTATTGATTACAACTTCATTCCAGGCATCGCTGACAATTCAAAAGAAAAGCTCATGAATCAGGATTATTCTATGACTGCAGCTACCAACTGTTCCATGCTACAACATTGAATTCAACTTGAAACCAATGTTAACTACTATCCAACTTGAAGCATGATACGACACACCAGGATAAATACCCGGTTAAGCCGAGGCTGGAATCACTCGTCTCGATCATCTCAGTCCGAGTATTCTCATAGCATGAGACGTGCTCACGAACCACAACTTCTTGGAACGCCTCCACCTGATATTGGGCCTTATTGATGACTTCGCTGAATGAATTTAGCCTTTCTCGACAAGCAATTTAATTTTTCAAAGCAAAGCTTCTCCTCGGACACCTCCGCAAAAACGATGGAATTTTACAATGTTCTGAGAAGAAATTATGGTGGTTGTTGAGCCGGGTTTACGCATCGCTAGACACTGTGGCGCATTTTCAGGGCAACGACTTGTGACATTTCTTCTACCGTGATCCTATATTGGCCATGTCACTCAGATATGAATGCATAACCTCTTGTCGCTCGATATCTTACCTTATCTTACACCACCACTGAATAACAGTTAAAATGCTTGACATTGAACTTGTTGAAACCTGTTTAATTAGGACAATCAGTGAGTCAAGGTCCTTCGCAACGGTGGCTTGATAGTGCCATACGCCCTCGAAACTTTTGACAGCTAAACATTAGTTATCTTAATCCCACACGTCGAGTTCAAATCCTTATTCCGTTTAGAATGTGTCCAGCGGCACCTCCACAGCTTCAGTGGCATTCCAAGACTATCACAATTCACGTATTTGAGGCTAGATACTCCCTTCTTCGGTATGATATCGGGATAAGTTTATTGATCACTTTATCGTACTATTACTCAAGCAAATAAAGTATGACCCCAGTGGCAGGTTTCAACAGGAAATCTTTGAAGAGGAAAGACTTAGTCAAGATCAAGGTTCAGGTTACACTGTCATATCGCTTGGCAATGATTTTGTCTTTGACAAGGTGACTGATCTTCCTACTATGGCACAAAATTTGGGGTGCATTGTTGAGTCTAGTAGTAATTAGTGGATCTTCATGGCATGAGGACATGAAGAACTTAGTAGAATCAATGTGAATGATAGTCACGGACCTGTATTAATGCTGCCCGAAGCAGGATGAGTATTTGTCATGGCATATCTGGTGGCTGCAATAGTTAAGTCTAGCAGATAACTTGAAAACGACGGACTCGTTTGCCTGGAGGCGCCCATTCTCACTCAAATACATACATGTTGTCGGCTGACTTCATTCCCCTACTTATCTTTAGACTTTGGCAGCTGCTGAGTAACAGAGTTCAGAATTGACAGGATTACGAGTACGGAGGATGTGGGAGTAGCGGGAGTGCACCATCCAGTAACAGCGCTTCACATGATCAGGAAAAGCTTTCACTGAATCGGAGTGAGACTCCTGAAGTCTTCGCGAAGTTGGCGAAGCATAATTTGGGAGAACAACAACAACAGGTACTGCAGTAGTAAGGGCATGGCACACCCCATGTACACGCCGGTGTTTGATTAATCCCAAATATCACGATATTGGCTTGTCAAATTTAAAAGGCTTATACGGTAAATGCACTGAATACTCATTGCATTTCGTTACTTCCTTTTCCCAGCGTTTAATAACATTAACCAGCTTCTAGTGCGTGAACAGTTTCATGACCGACATTTAACTGTTTAAAGGATGAGGTCGATAGACCAACGACAAACTTGACCAGGACTGACCAGGATCAGAGAGATGTTAGGTCCGATATAACTTGATTTGAAAGTTCCTGCCATTCGAGTGGGATCAGTCACGTATGTGGCGCCACGTAGGTTGTTCCAGATTCGTTCCCGAAGTCTGATACTGACGTGGATAACTATTGTCATTGTGAAGAAGCCATACGTCAAGCTCGAGCGTTAGCATTCATTCTTCAGGTCGGCTTCAGGTGTTGAATACTATATAGCCTGCCAGTGAGAAGCTAGATAAGCAATCATTAGGAAATGAGCCAGACTGAGCCAGACAATAACTACGAGAGTGAAAGGTTTTGGCAATGGTATTAGGTGACTGTTGAAGCAAGTATGTACTTGCATCAAAGTTCGTTAGCAGGTCTTTATACCGACATCATGATTATATGGCTACGTTCCCGATGTTGCTCAATATCCTGTTTCTGGACAAAAACTGGCATACAAGGGGCAAGTGACAAAATCGGTGAGTCAGTAATTTCTATAAACGACTCATTGGGATGAAAGTTATGCTATCTCATCCAGCTGTTTTGACGCGGATACCACACGGGAACCATATTGACAGCAGTGGATTCTGGAATATGGTCTCATTTCAGGTCACTGGCAGAATAACGTCGACAGAAAGTAGACCTCTACCGGATTTGATAAGCTCCGGATATTTGAGTATCTCGAATTGCCAGCAGTAATTTGTACGAGTTAGGATGGTGCAGCCGTGAAGGTTGTCCAAATTTCGAAGGCTTTTGAAGGGGAGCACCCAGACTAACACGACATTTTACCCGTTAGATGGTTTTTTTTTGTGGGTTTGCTGCGAGTTTGTTTTGGTTACTGCTCTGTTCAAGAATTGGAAGGTAGAAAGCTGCCTGATGGAATTATGTATAATAAGTACACAATAAGCTAAGACTGCACCCGGAGTATACCGAGGAGTCAGCTATTTTAGCAGGCGATCTGGCGCATTTGACTCGACAGCAAAGATAGATAGGTATACATATGCATGACATGCTTATTCTGAGTATTAATTAGAACAATGGCAGTGGCATAGCCGCAAAGATCCTGCAGAGATAAGATAACAACCCCATCAGACGCTCATGAGCGCTACTCCACCCAACCTGCTCTTTCTGAAAGGCAAAACAACGATGTCGCCCCTTTCCCTCAAGCTTCCTTCATCCCACAATGTCACATTACCACAACGTGTCGACCAGGCCTGAGGAGCTCGAGTTGAGTCCTTCTCCTCAGCCCCAAGATTTCTCAGAGCATCTAGTTGACTCGGTGGTCAGTTCCTTTATTTTTCTCTTTTTTTCTTCATTGTTAATTCCAACACGTTCAGTATCGAGATCATCCTTCTACCGCTCATTTCGACAACTTTTCTAAGGAACGATTATCTAGTCAAGGATTTAGCGCCAAATTCACGTCTCAGACTTCACGAACAAAGAAACTCATCGTGACATCTATCGTAGCCCTTGTCGTGATTATTGTCGCTGTCACGGTTCCTGTTTATCTGGTTACTACTCGCCATAGCTCATCCTCAACTGGATCACAAAGCCCTGGTTCTAGCTCCCAAGTTGCAACTTCTGGAATATCCGGTAGCTTGATAGAAATGGAAGACGGAACCAATTTCACGTACATGAATAGTCTTGGTGGTGACTGGGCCGCTGATCCGACTCAGCCTTTTCTTCCTGGCGGAAAGGCCCAGAGTTGGAGTCCGCGCGTAGGTGCGGACGAATGGATATGGGGCGAAAATGTTGCGCGAGGAGTGAACCTTGGGTATGTCACACCATTTTCGATTCCCATCTTCGAACTTTACTAATAATCGCTCAGAGGCTGGTTAGGTTTGTCTTTTGTGCCACCGAAATCTTGCTATCAAGTCTAAATCGCGGTAGTTACGGAACCTTTCATCGTCCCCAGCCTGTACGAAAAATACGTCAACAACAGCCAGAACATCACTGTGTTAGATGAATGGACACTATCTCTTGCCATGGGCTTAGATTTGGCCTCGGAGATGGGACATCACTATGAGACTTTTATCGTGAGTTGTATAGTATATCATGTCAAGTTAACATAGTCGAACCTGTATGTCCACAGACTGAACAAGATTTTGCGGAAATCGCAGCAGCCGGTCTCAATTGGGTACGAATACCGATTGGATTCTGGGTGAGTCTTAAGCCGTCACGCTATCAATTATATCTTTGTCTGACGACTTTGGCAGGCAATCGAGGCTATCAACGATGAACCCTTCTTGGTCGGTACCTCTTGGACATACTTCCTCAAAGCGTCAGTTCTGGAACTTGCTATATCTGAACTACCTTCTTGCTAAGCCTTGAACGCAGAATTCAATGGGCGAGAAAGTATGGCATTAGGATTTATCTTGATCTTCACGCCCTTCCAGGAAGTCAGAACGGCTGGGTGAGCATCGTTTAAATGGGCCTTTCGTGTGTGTGTGTTGACATCTCTTTGACCTCCAGAACCACTCGGGTAAAAGTGGGGACCTTTTTGGAGTTCCGCGAAACTGTTACTGACCAGAGATATGATCAACAGGCGGTTCTGTGAATTTGTAAGACCTAAAGTTGGTTGTTATCTACGGTGTTTTTAACTCACTTGAACGTCCGTGACCTTCTAGCATGGTAAATCACATCTTCTCATGAAGTCCGTTCGTCGAACTCTAAATCTCTTTCTCTCCCTTCAGAACGGAGTCATGGGAATTGCGAACGCTCAAAGGACCCTCACCTATCTCCGAATCCTGGTTGAATTCATCAGTCAAGATCAGTATCGAGATGTGGTTCCCGTGTATGTAGACTGACTCTCCTATAGAAGTATACTGTGTTAATTCGGTCTCCATGCGATGCAGCCTAGGTATTGTAAACGAGATTCTTTGGGGCACGATCGGAGAAACCTCCGTGCAAAGCTTTTATTATGCTGCGTACGACACAATCAGGCAATCTACGTATGTCGTTCACCTCCTCTCCAATTGAGGCTCTAATGCTTACAATCGACTTGCCGTGCCTCTCATTCTACTAAGAGGAATCGGTTCGGGGGCTGGTCCATACATTGCCATACATGAAGGGTTTCAAGGAGTAAGTTCGGGGGTTACTTTTTCGAGTGTGCGCTAACTGATGTGCCAACAGCCTGCGATATGGGAAGGGTTCGTTTCACCGTTTCATTTAGTCAATACCTTCTTACGGAACATGAAGATTTTTATCTGGTGCCGATCGTCTTGCTCTGGACCAGCATCCCGTGAATTATCCTAATCTCGCTTTAGTTGAATTCTTGATCTAATAGTTTACTTCCCAGTATTTGGCTTTCATGGGTGACACCAGCTCGTAAGAACGTTTTGTCATCTCGCAGGTTTCATCTAATCATTGTTCCATCAGAGTCGATGCCATGGCCACTAAGCCCTGGTTCGTGGCTCGAGCTCCGATCGAAGATGGTGTGTCTGACACATGTGGATTATTTGTCAGTGAGTGGGCCATTGCGACCAACCAATCCTCAAAGGCTTTCGGAATTACACTCGGGGGTGAATTTTCTACTGCTATCAACGACTGCGGTCTATGGTATGTCTAATAACACCTATTATTTCACTCGAATCAAGAAAATCTTCATTATTTTGCAGGCTCAACGGTATAGGACCCGGATCTTCAAATCCCGAATGCCCTATGTGGGACGACTGGGCGGTACCTATACAAATGCTTGTATTCTGAATATTTTCGAGGGCTCAGTTTTCCCCTATAGTCCTATAACGCGTCAACCATTGCTAGCCTTAAACAGGTTACGCTAGCCACCATGGATGCGCTTCAAAACTTCTTCTTCTGGACATGGAAGATAGGGAATTCCACCGTGCTTGGCACATCTTCAAGTCCACTGTGGCACTACAAATTGGGATTGCAACAAGGATGGGTTCCGTCAGGTCAAGTAGCACGACGCGCACCCCAAATTTATCTTGTACTCATTTCTTCAAACATAGATCCCCGTGAGGCTGTTGGACACTGCGAGTCTGTTTTGAGTTCATCGGAAATATTTGACGGAAGTTATCCAGTCACGGCTACTGGTGGTGTACGTACTGAAGATTCATTCATTAAATGATAGGTTTTGACTAGTGTACGGTATATAGGCCGGAGCAGGAACTGTCCTTCCCGCACAAACCTCTTCGCATGTGTTTCCACCTCCATCCTTGGCCCCCTCATTCGCTGAGACTCAAATGACATTACTACCAACATACACCCCTACAGGAACGGTTAAGACCCTTTTTGCTCCTATTTTTACCTCTGCGCCATCAGCAAACGTTGGAACAGGATGGAATAACACTGCTGATACCTCTTCTGCATATGTGTATGAAACTTCTTCTTTCATCCGTATAGCCCTGCCCTCTGATCATGACTTCTCAAAGGCCTGTCGCAGGATGTTCGTATCCAGAGTACGTGCATATACTCTTCGCTCAGCCAAGTTTGTTGACCATCTGAAAACTTCTCTACAGCTCATGGGACGCCGTTAATACTTCTCTTCCAGCGACACCTTGCACAGGTTGACATCTACAAATATCACGCTTCTGTATTTTTTTCAAGCCTTGAAGTTACAATATCATTGCACACAACTGACCATCCATATTCCTGAGCTCTTTCGATTCTGTCGTGTTCCGCACATAGATTTCCACACATAAATTTCCACTATTTTTTATAGCTTACAGTTATATTGTTATGCTGCGTAAAGTACAGCAAATCAACCACCGTCCTTCAGATCTTTTAGTAAGATGCATGTAAAACGTTAGGATAGCCCAGAGCTGGCCTAGAGCAACTTGCACGTCATTGAAGAGTTATGGGTTATTGATTTGCTTCTTGAGTTATTGGTATTTGGGATGAGGTCACGATGGTTAGGGTACGACTGATCACATTCTGAAGAGAGGGTAAGTAAAGGATCAACAGTACGAATACTTTGAAAAGAATCAGAGACTTGAATGGTTCCCGAAGGAAAGCCAACCCAGGGTATACCAAGGTACACGTCGAAATGAATTTTGCAGATGATTTTCTATCATTTGTGACGGTGAATAATATAAACAGAACTCACCATCGGTATTTTGACTAATTGCTCTGAGACGGAAGGAAGCAGGAAGGAAGGAGTAAACGTGCTCAAAAAAACCTTTTGAATTTTTCTCATATTTGCCAATGTGTTGCTACGGCTTCGAGTCCACGTGGTATCGGGACGCCTTCTGGAACGACAGGGACTCAACGACGAACCAAGACGAATCCATAATACACAGGGCGGTTCCCAACCAGCTCCACTTTTGTTCAAGAGCTCCCATATTTAATGTTCGTGTCCTCCCTAATGCTCAGCTGATGGACTATCTATATCCAACCTGAGGTCATAAGGCCTCCTACTTCCGTCACGATGGAAGGCGGATTTTTTCGTGCCGATGTATATAGGTGTGTTGCAAACTGGAAAGTATTTTCTTTAGAAGCACCCTTCCTTCCGAGTTCAACATGGCCTCTGGTTCCCCAAGTCTTGAGAAGACGGATATCGTGCTGGAGGAGCAAGCGAATTCTGCCCCCTTCAGTGAGGAAGATCCTCTTCCACCTGAAGGATCCGATGAACGTATCCTTGCTGAGCGAAGGCTGGTGCGAAAACTAGACATGCGAGTCTTGCCTACCATCGTCCTGATCTTCATCATGAACTACATCGATGTAAATTTTACTCGACTATCAGCCTTCACTGCGATATTCACTGAATCCTGCGGTAGCGAAATGCTGTGACAACCGCAAGATTGAAGGGTTTGGAACAAGACCTTCATTTGTCAGGTGTGTGTATATCTATCTGCGTCTCGGTAGTGATCGATTTTATGAATTCTCACAGATCTACAATACAACGTCGTTCTGTCTATTCTCTATGTATCGTATTGTCCGGCACAAATACCTTCAAACATGGTATGTTCTCTTTTATCTTCAACTCCCTTCGTTCAACTTCGTTACACCAGGCTTTGAACTGGATTACAAGGTCCGTTTTTCCCCCCGTTTGTGTACGAGAGGGTAACACCAATCAATTGCTCGTAGACCCTCATTGTACATTGGAACGTGTGTTGTTATATGGGGTCTGATTAGTACGCTAACTGGAGTGCGTTATTGTTGCCGTGTTTTCGCACACTACCTCACACCCTTGCTATAGATAACTCAATCGTACGGGGGTATCCTCGCTATTCGCCTATGCATTGGTATTCCCGAGGTAACTCTGTTCAACTAATATGCGCATCTTCTATGTCAATCTATCTTTATCAGAGCGCGTTTTATCCTGGTGGTGAGTTATATCTCAAAATTCGAAACTTATAAGCCGTCTCAAATGAAGGAAAAGCCATCTACCTGTTGTCACGCTGGTACACCAAAAAGGTTGACATGACCATGAAAAATACCCTTTATATAAGCTCAATATCATTCAGGAGCTTGCTTTTAGATCTGCCATTCTCTATGGCGGCCTTCTTATTTCGAACGCCTTTGGAGCGGTAAATCTCAGCGCAAGAAATTTTTCTCCCAAGCTGAATGTTTCGGTAGCTCATGGCCGCAGGTATCCTTGCCAATATGGAGGGGAAACTTGGCATTCGTGCTTGGAGATGGTTTGTACCTACACCTCATGTCAAAAATCGTGAGCTTATCCATCTTCATTAGGGTGTTCTTCATTGAGGTGAGCGAATTGGCCTTCTCATTCATTCATATGTTCAAATGGTTTTAGGGCTCGATTACAATGTTCATCGGGTTGAACGCCATGTACGCGAAGTCGACCTAGATAAATTTACGGTTTCTGACCTTTTTCAAAGGTGGTTATTGCCAGATTATGTATGTGTAGTCTTACTGTGTAGGTGATTCTGCCGCATTGTGACGCCTTCTTATGTCCTAGCCTATAAACACACGATGGGTCTCTCCGAAGGATCGGCGACTGGCTCAAGCACGTCTTGCAGACGATGCAGGTGAAGCAGACAAAGACAGTGCTGGCGATTCGTGAATGATTATTACTACGTCGTTGATGATGATGAACCTAAGCCTTACTTGCAGACCCCTCAAAGGCCTTTTGATGGCCATTCAAGATCCCAAAGTCTGGGTTTTTGCAATCATGAACACAGCACAGCTCCTCGGGTTGAGTTTCGTGAATTTCTTCCCCACGTAGATTTGTTTTATATCTCAACTTCATTCGAGGTCTAATCGTTGCATCTAGATTGACCTCCACTCTCGGATTCAGTACTACCGTTTCATTGTTGCTTGCAGCGTATGTTCCTTTTACCCGGATCTCATGTTCAGTTGGCGCAGTGCTTAGTACTAGTGTACTTTAGGCCCCCATGGATCTTGTCGACCATAACATGCTGTCTCAATGCCTGGCATGCTGGTATGTATATCTGACACTGTTCAGGTTGGTTGGTATCTTATTATCATAGATCGTACTGGCGGGAGGTTCTTCCACCAAAGTGCGTGGTGGTGGGGAGTCATGGTTGGTTTTATTATCTCTCTCGCTACTAACAATAATGGAGCGCGATACTTCTCCATGTTCCTCATGGCTTGTGGATATGGTGGTGAGTATATTGTCTCAGGCATGCATGCGGGTTTATATATTCAATTATAGGGTTCGCAATGACCCTTGTCTGGGTATCTAGCACCTTTCCTCGTCCACCGGCGTCAGTTTCTCCCTGTCATCACTCGCGTCATGTATCTCTAACCACATGTACAGGAAGCGAGCTGCTATCATCGGTATCGTGAATGGCGTTGGGAATATAGGCAACCTGTACGCAAAATCTCTTCCCTGATTTTACCTGTCATGAATCTATCTTTCAGAATGGGATCTTATACCTGGAAAGCTGAATGGGGGCCCGATTACCATCAATCTATGATTATTTCGTTCGTTGCTTTGGTCATTTCCACCATCCTCTCTCTGAGTAAGATTTGAATTTGAACTGAAAACCGCTGTCTCATATCTTCTGTCGTAGTACTTCGACAATGGGTCATTCGAGATAACAAGAAACTAGACGAAGACGAAAAGAGGAGTCTGAACGACGCAAATCGCGCCCGGGTTGAAGAAGCAGCTCGCCTTGAGGGTATAACATTCGATCAAGCAATGCAACGAAGGAAAGGATTCCGTTATTTGTACTGAATTCATACACAATTCTCTACTGCGCGAAGCAGATGTAATATTATTGAATAGTACAGTGTCATTGTACACGATTGATACCATTCTTTAGGCCATAAGTGGAATCTCACCTAGTCGAAGCCGAGCCGCAGCAAATGGCACAAGATTGGCTTTGAACTTATCCCCGACACAGGTATTAGGACTAGCAGGGGGAGGGGCAGCAGTACCGTTAACGAGATTCCATTCAATTTGGCAAGCTGTCACTGGAGAGGGGGACGATTATGACAACACAACGAGCAGTAGGCCAGAAGCACTGACCGGTCATCAAAACGGGCTGAGAATCGGGGGCCCAAATATATTGTGGCAGAATTGTTGTTACATTAGTCTTGTCCACAAATCTAATGGTCGAGGGATCAATCGCCAGACGCCACTCACTAGTGGGCAGAAGTGTATTGTCCAAAGTGTGGTTGTCGGTCTGAAACGATCGCGCCATTAGTCGGATATTTCAGGATCATCGGTTCGTCTTACCGAAGTAAAGAATGAGGTGGGTGCATCGGGGAACAAGGTTTCGGCATCAGAAAGAGCCTGCTGACTCCTCAAGCCAGGAGCAGAAGTTTTGTTGAAGGTTATCTCAAGCGCATAGTTGAGAGGTCCTTTCGTGATAGCGACAGAGCCATTGTAGCGAGGGATCACTTGAATTTGGTCATCTAGGAACAGCTGCAACTTGGTGACACCGGGCGAGACCTAGAGAGCAAGCTGGATGAGTATGAATATTTATTCTAGACAAGTTTCATGTACAGTGATTGTATGAAGATTCATAGAATCTGGCTCCAGCAAAATAGGTTCGCTGCCAGCTATGCTGATCGTGCTAGAATTACTGAGAGCCCAGTCGGGAACCCGGATATGGAAATCAAACGATTTCAACGCAGAGATTGTGTAATCTAAGGTGGTACTAAATGGATATAATGTATCTACCGCAACTTGATTGAGGAAAAACTTCAGTAGAATGCCATTTTGAAGAACTCGTAGGAACATACCAGTGACGTTGTTACTACCCGCTAAAGTTCCAGTATAGGTAGAGGGACCAAGGAGAGCGTGGACTAAGGATGTGCTATTCTGTCTGGTGAAGAAGCTGTGCATCCAGAATTTCGGATATGCCGCAGGGTGGTTGACCGTACAACAAGGGTAATTCCTGAGACTATTGTAAACCAACATTGACATCAACGATTAAAACACGCACGGTTCAAACCCGAAGACATTTGAATTCGGGCCATTATTAACCCAAGGAAAGGGATCCATATTTTGCGCCCACACTTGGTTCACTATGAGTTCTCAGTCAGTGACGTGGCTGGGATCCGAAAGATGGCTGGAATGCCTTGTTGATCATATTGATGCGCTATATCGAATGCAGATCATTTCGTTTACTTACTTAAAGACAAAAGCAAAAGAGAGCTTACACCACCAATCGTAGAATATTCCCGCAGGAAGTGCATTGTATGCTAGAGAAAGAGTTCAACTTTTCTCATGTGCTTTGAGATACCAAAGGGCCTACCTAACTTCTCAACCCGGTCAGCAACGGAATTATTACCGAGAATTCCATAGACCGTTGCAAGCGAGAAGATTTGTTCACTAAACAAGGTTCCTTAGAATACACGAACAAACAGGCAGCTTTGAAAAAAGCGAACCTACACAATGGCACAGAGTTCGGTCCTGACGGTATAAGCTAGCTTCAGCACTTTGATTCTCATGAGCGAGTTTTCAATTTACCCCCGCGAAGGATCGAGTCCAGCAATATGTTCATCGGCCGAGAAGGTCCCTGATTCTCGACCATGATAAGTGTAGACCAAGTCCATGCGTTCCCAAGTACTATCGATATCTGAAGGATCAAATGTGAACCGATAGGCAAGAGCCTCCGATTTGAGTGCTAAAGAGGAATTCGTTAGTGCGTTAACTTGCTTCGAAATAGATGTCTGACCCTCTGCAGTGTTAACACCATGGCTGAAAAAAAACATCAGATCATAAGTGAGTGAAATGACCAGCTTTCATTGTGAGCAAATTTACTAACGTCTGCATATTCAGATCAGCCAGACCGGGTGCAGTCTTTGGAAAGATATCAGCTGTAAACCAGTCATCCTTCCATGAGAAACCTGCATTGCGAACAAGTTTCATGGTCTCAATTAATTGCGACTCTTGACCTAGAGCATATGCTAGTTTGTCTCTACGCTTTCATCCGTAGAAGTTTTATTTACCTTCAGGATAATTATCATATAGCCATTGCAATGAATAGAGCATTTCTTCCCAGCGAACGTATTGATAATCATACTGGAAACCAAGAGAGGGATCGCCTTGTGTATTATTAGCAAAGATATCGTGCACCGCGGCGGTAAATTTGTGCATGGCGTTGACGATACGGCCAGTTTGAGTAGGGTCTGCTTCGGCGTATTGCTACGCAAAAAAAATGAGCTCCACCTGTTCAAACGACACATCATAGGCAAGGCACTCACCACTAGACCCAGTAGTAGAAGGTACCGAGGCCATACGAGGCGAGGCTCAGAAGCATTGTCAACAAATGGTTCAGGGCCAAGCCAGCCGTCATCTTGCTGATTGTCCAAAGTCCAGTCAAGAAACTTTTGAACTTGGTCAATAAGGCGATCGTCTTGCAGTTGAAATGCTAGGGCAACCATCCCATTACTGAGCAACGGGCAAGTCACGGATTGTCGCAAATATTCAATGATGATACTTACAACCAGTAAGGAGCCGATTCATGCATCTCGCTATACTCGATAGATCCACCTTCCATCCAGATTGAGCCATTGACACTATGGTGAAGCATTTGCGCTGAGAGTAAAATTTCATTGAGAATCAACGTACTAGCTGTCAAAATCACGAAGATGTCCAGCTAGACCGTTGGCTTGAACATTGGCCTGATCTAACGCCCAGCCCGTCGGTTTGATTAACCCGGTCGGGACTCTCGTGAATAGCGGAGATACCACTATTTGAACATGTTCAGATGCAATTATCGCTTTGCAAGATTAGGATACATACGAGCGGCTGATGACAGTTGTAGCTGTAGACACGATGCAAGCAAAACAAGTTTCAACTGGGCAAGGGCAGAAAATCAGCAAAGAATGTGCTACAAGGAGGAGCTTGAGACTTGCCATTTTCACAAAAATTCCCCACTCCTCTCGACAGCTTCGCCCTATATATGCCCTATGCTACGTTCGATGCAGCGCCAATTGAATTTGGAGGAAGAAAAAGCATATGGACCATATCCAAGAGCATCAAAAATATTAGTGGTGGCCCGTGGAAGAAAGGTCAACTGATGCATCAGTTGACTGAGCGAGAGATTGGAGCCCGGGGGGCCGTGGTAGAGGGCAGAGAACATAATGAGATGGAATGAGTTGAATGCTTTAATCGTTCAACATGCATGATAGTTGCGGGCCGGATTCGGAAGCACCGGCGACGGGGCGTCTCATTATTTCTTTTGTAATGACAGCAACCCGTGCGATGCACGATGAGCAGCTCAGTTCCGCTCGGGGCGTCCCTCTCGCTCTCTTCGCCCGTGCAATGAGAAATCTGAAAGAGCAAGAATTATTAATGTAAGTGCTCAGCCAATCAAAAGATCCGGTCAATTCAGCGACGAATCCGAGTCGTTTGTAGTATAGACTAGCAGCGACCCTTGCGACGCACGATGAGAAGCTCAGTTCCGCCCACTCGCTCCGTTCGCCCGTGCAGTGAGAAATGGGAGCAACCAATCAGAATATCCTACCAATCATATGTCGAGGACAAGAGGCCTTCGTTTGTATTATAGATTTGTCTTTGTCTTGAGACAACTTTTGTTACAAAAGATTACTGCTCGTACACAAACATATTTATCAGTCCCTCAATAAGCTGATCTCTTAGCAGATCAACTGCTTCTAGTCCTTCCAGAGAACAGTCCATACAGATTGACGATGTGCTCGCCGTTAATTTCCGTAACTGCAACATCATTATCTTCAGCAGACCAAGAACATCTGCAGAGCTGCCGACATGAGTATTCTTCGCACTGCTGCCTTTGAGGGCGGCCCCGCTGTAATGAATGAATGAACGACTCTCAGCTTGGTGAGATGCAGTCCGCCATAAGTATCTCCAGGATTCTTGGCAAGAAGTGTGTTGTAGAGCCTTTCGACTTGAATTGTGGTATCGCCCTGGCGAACTAGAAGAATGTAGTACTGGAGGAGAGGAGCTGATATTCCTCCAAGCTTGTGTTAGCCTGTGGTGAGCAGCGAGAAATTGCATCCGTCTCTCGACATTTATTGTCGGAGGAAATATTGGTTGGGGTTCTGGAATATAGTCTCCGTCATTATCAGAGGTCTGCGGCATATCGATCAAGATACGGTAGTAGACTACTCCGAGCAGAGTAGCTAGGGCTGGATGGCGCCTATGTTGCTCCAGCATGCGAACGAGAAAAACGCCAGGTACGTGATTGTACCATAGTATTTTGGTGACTAGTTTCTGGACTAAATAATGCAGTAATGAAGGATGATCGCAAGTCAAAGCGATCAATAATAGTCTTGAATATAATTCGTCGGTTTCGTCCGATATTTCGAGAGGTTCCTCGAGCAAGGAGGGTGAATCAAGGTCTGGCTTATTGTTACCAGACATGGGAATGAGTGTGGCGGATGAAGCAGCAGATGAAGTGCCGCCTTTTTCTGATTTCCGTGGAGTAGGGAACCGAAGGGTGCGACATATTTGGTGTATAGCCCAGCATTCGAATGAGCGGAAGGAATATTTATGCGCCATTTCTGCGATGTTCAAAAGACGATAGAAAGAAAGTGAACGAAAGTCGACATAGCAGTCTGTGTAAGACTCATCAAAGTCATCTTCGGGATTAAGATAGAAATCTGGAGGACTGCAAGAAGGCGGTGAGAAGGCGCGGGTTATTTGAAGAAATACCGACTCACAACGCATGTAGCACCCAGAGAAGATCTTTGAATTTCTCTGGGTGAGAGCGAATAATCAGTGGGTTTGCATCACTAGCTCCTAGAGAGATGCCAGAACGTCGAAACCAAAGTTTTCTTTCAAAAGCCGAGCCGTCTCTACAAATCACGAGCTTGTGAACCTATAATCGATGATTTTCAGCATCGTTGAACAACATGTCCAGACTTTGAAAACACTTTCGTACCTTAAACAGAGTGTCTTCTGCTCTCAAGATACAGCAGGTATCATCATTCGACGCTGAACTGTAGTAGTCGCCATCACGAACAGCCAAGTTATCATGCTCACTCCTCGTGGTATTATTAGAGATCGTACCGCGAGTGCGACGTCTCTGTAAGATTTTCCTAGTCTGTGGCTTGCCAGTGCTACGGGACAATTTTTCATCCGCAATATTGCTTTGATTACGGATGGTGCTCCTGGATTCCCGATGGAAGTGCCCCAGAAAAAGCGCAATCCTGCTATGGAGAGGATTGAGGATCCTGGAGATATCGAACATTGGTCCTCAATGTCGTGGATACTGGTACTCTGGCTTCCAGTGTGCACGATTAGCACTGATCGTGACGAGCGCTGACGCGACAAGTTCGAGTCAAGATGTGGTCGGTGTAAGAGAATGAACTTTGTACATCCAAGAACGTTGGATCCCAGCCTCTAGTAAGTAGGCTCAACATGTCATGTACACGTGTAGGGGCGACGGTCTTCTAACGGTTGGTTTCAACGTGTACAAAAAGGAGAAAACGTTGAAGAAACTGATAAACTCCTGGCGTATGTTCCAGGAACTTTCTATATTTAAAAGAGTCTTCCTGCAAATATGACGATTATTGTCCCTCCTGAGCAGTCTTAACTGATTGTAGAAGACTGACTATGATGTAAAGTGACATCGTCAGGAGTCGGACGCCTATTATCAGTACATTAACTTACACATACATTAACGACGCAAGAGGCGTACAATACAATACCGGACAACGGTACATCACAGATCGAAGTGATGGTGGACCGTCTTGAGGAGGTGCTCCCTCCGCTTTAGCAACTCCTGCAGTGCACTGTGCCTACATGTTTCCGGCATGTTCTTGATAAGGAACAAATCAGCAGCGAGGAACTTGTGTATTTCCTGCAATCGTCGAATCCCATCTACCTTCGGGAACGGAATCTTATCCTTCTCAGCCAACCATTTAAACCTTATCCGCCAAACATAGGTGCATCGTTCTGGGTACATGCATCGCGGAGAATGCGTGTAAACAGGTGGTTTGGAGGCTATCTGGTCCCACCAGGATCGGAGCGAGTGATACCCGCAATGTACATGAACTATTTCAGCCTGTGTCAGATGGGAGTTGAGGTCAATACGCTGGCCGCTAGAAAGTTTCGACTCCAACTCCATCATGACTGCGTAGAAGGCGTGTCCGAGGAGCTTCAGAAACGGTTGTGGATCGTAATCCCAACGCGAGGGCTGCGCTACCCTGATAGCAATTGTACGGTCAAGTTCTTTTGAATGCAATCTATTGATCCGACTAGTAAGACTCGTGTCATTGCAGGAATTTGAATGGGATTCACCTCCAGGTCCACATTTGCATTAAAAATGCGAACAGAGTGTTATTATGGACGCGGATGGTAATTCTCAACATCCGAACGAGTGAATCGGTTTTGCAAGACAGAACAGCAGAATTTGTTCCTTCTGCGATGACGGCAACGACAGTTGATTCAGCTCTCATTTGAAGGTAGTGAATCGAATAGTGTCTTGAAAGTTCTTCCACGTCGAGTAGACATTCAAGGTCTTCTTCGTCGCGGGGTTGCGGCAATGAACTAGGTACGAGGTAAAAGTCAACAAAGCGGCGCCACAAAGACATTGGACATACCACTTACTCAACACCTAAGCCCCAGAGAAGGTGATCAAATTGCCGAGCTGTAGGACCATGCAGCATAATAGGCGTGTCAGCGTCTCTGTTTTCCAAAACAAGCCTCCTGAACGTGGTCGAATTTTCACATAAAACCGCGACGTTAACCTATAGTAAAACCGCCTCAATGGCCGAGTAGGGAACAGAGCTTGACTAGTACGTACCCTGCGCAATACTGATTCTACTCCGAACGTACGAAACTTGAGGCTATCGCATTTTCTGTGAGCAAGCGAAGGGTCCATTAGCGGAGACTGAGTAATAGTCATAGCGAGATGAGAAGGGCGTCAAAAACATGATAACGCATTCAAAGGCGCGCTTTTAAAGATCGGAGCTGATGCTCGGATAGTCAGAAAGGCGATTAACAAAGGACTAAGCAATGCCATTGGACCTCATTGGACCATTATCTGAAGGCAAAGGTAGATCAGTCCTGAGTACTGGTCAAAGCATTATCAACGCGTCATTGTATGAACGGGCGGAAGGAGCAGCTGAAGTCAGCTGTGAGACCCAACCACAAGTCTTCAATAATCAAATGCAATCGCAGTTGCGAAACAAAGAATTCCAAACGTTGAATTTGCCTTGTCATTCACCATAATCACGTGGCGTGACGTCGTCACGCAACTATTCAGAAATATAAAGATAACATTTGCTGAACAACAAGCAAAAGTACATAAGTTGTACATAGTGTAAACTCGTAAAGATATGATAGGAATATGGTCGGGAGCTAGAGTATAGAATGAATGCTTAGTATCATGAACCCAAATGTGGAAGTTATCTATCGCTCCTTGGCTACTTTGAAGAAAGCCTGTAGACGCGGAAGGTTATATTAAATCGAATTCGAGAGCCCTTGGAAAAAGAACATTAAAGCTTCGCCGCCTGACTTTCGGCAGCCTCAGCTACCTTCCGTATTCGCTGGCTCCTGCTTACTACATCGCGCAGGGTCTGTTTGTGGTTCGGTCGCCACATCGTTGTTTTTTGTGATTTCGAGGGAGTCGTGGTACCATCTGATACCTCTGTTTCCGCCTCCGTGTTTGAGGATGAAACCGGCACCTCAGGTAAGCGTTCCTCCGATAGCCATTGTAATAGCCAGGGAAGAGGTATACCCTGCTTTTCCCCATTTCCATTCGAATTCCGCTTCCCTTTGTGTTTCGGCTGATATTGTGAGTTCCACACCCCTAGGATGATTGACATCTCCCCTCTAGCTATCTCTGCATGGAGCCCATCGAGTTGTTTCGGTAAGATGTCATGTTGTCGACGGGCGCGCATGCGACCTACGTCAGCCTCATCGACAAGGGTGGATAGGTATTCGGGCGAGTTGATGAAAGTTTTGGTTGAAGAAGATGAGGAAGATTCGGATGACGATGACACAGCGGAGGGATCTCGTTTATGGTCTGGGGTAACATCAAGATTGTCCGTATCACTATACTCCGGAGAATACCCGTCCACCCTCGGTTCAATATCGCCTACTAGCTTTGGCACCCATTCCTCTTTAATCTTGATAGGACCATACTTCTCACCATCCGGAGTGTTCCGGTGAACCAAGCTCGCGTCATGCTCGACTCGACCGTGTAGTCCGATGAGATACAGGTCGATTACACCGCTAGGGCTTATGCTACCGTCAGGGTTTTGAACACGAAATAAGGATAGGTCGGATATGAAGGGAATGCGGATGGGGGATCGTCCGATAGCGAGGAAACCTCCAGTGACGAGAACCGTAGCGAGAGTAGAAGAGAGACCGTAACAGGCTTTTAGGCCGCGGAAGAGGATAGAGAAGGTGAGGTTACGTCCGTCACGGGGGCTGTATAGAAACTTGAGTATACATGCATGGATATTAATTGGGATGAAGAAGATGCGCACATAAATCCGTGATTGGCCATCGTATTTAATGCAGGGCACACAGAGCGTATATCACCTTTCTGAGGTGGACAGTATGCGTGAGTCTTTCCAGTAACGGGGCAGGTCCCACCAGAATGTTCGTGCATTGGAGGATGGTCTGCAGGCAGTGGGAAAACCGTCGATGTTGCAGAGACTATCGGAGAGGAAGCTGAAAGGGAATTTGCGAAATTGTCGATTGTGAGAGTGTCCGAAGGCATGATTGCTGGGGCTTGAGATTAGAATGGGGGTAGATAGATATAGGTGATTGGATAGGGCTTCCCCTAAGAATAGATTAAAGATGTTTATAATGAAGTAATTTAAAGAGAAGTGGGTAGAACCTACCAGATGACCGACGTGTGAATGACCTCGGGAGTAGACGCGGAGTAGAAGAGAGGCTTGAGAAGGGCTGAAGGGAGTACTTTTCTCGAGGAACGCGACAGGAACTGGACGAAGTTTTTGAACTAGTTTGAAGCGAGTAAGAAAGGTTGAATATCTTTTGGACAGGTCTTTAAGTGTTTTTTTGGCACAGGGCGCGAGCGCTCGGTCCTGCTCGCCTAAAAAGAATAAGCATGTCCGCTCTGACAAGATCTGAAGAAGATCACCTGAATTTCGGATGTCAGAATATAGTGGATCAATACGAATTTCTTGATGGAAATCTGCATGATTATTGATGAGTTGAGAACTCAAGTACTCACCGCTCACTTGGTTTGAAAGGAACCTCTAACAAAGGATAGCCACTACCTTTGTATATCCCAGGTATATCCTTCCTTCCGGTTACCGGTTCCAATCTGCGCTAAGGGCCTAAGGGCGATAAGAAACAAAACAACGCGAGTATGTTTGATTGAAAAGCGGCGTTGAAAACCCTGAAAAACCGGGTTGAAACCAATCGGTTTTTCCAAATTTCCGTGTATAGTTCCACTTGGGCCGCGTCAATATGGGGTCGGCCAATTTCTGTCGGGAACCTGAAGTCTGGCCAGATGTAATGGGAGCCATATGATACAGAAGATTATTGGAACTTGAACGTGATGATAGATGTGCAGAAGTGAGCAGCACTGCATTAATCATTTGGATCTCCTGCCGGCAGCCCGGCAATCGTGATTGCCATATGGCATGGGAAGGCCGTGCGCGGCCGTTGCCCTCAGTCTCTGCCCTTCTCTATCTGCCTCATCAATAATCTGAACGTTGGCCTGAGCGTCTTAATGTGCGCACGAAAAGGGTCATTGTAACCTTGGGGGATGGTTCAGAACTCTAATACATATGCCAAACTTTTCCGTCTTCAACATCAAGATCAATTATAATGGGCATGCTCGTATCCAAATATCAGATGTGCGGTTTCCTGTCATTCATCATTCTTCAAGTGAGGGTGCTAGAGGCACTGATATTCAGGAGAGAAACTGTTTGGAGTTCTATCATTACGGAAAAGTGCACCGGTGTTTGACTAACGCACAAGCTCAGTGTTTAAGGCAGTGCGTTTCAATAAATCCTGGTGATGCATACTAGTCCTTATACAACTTCAATAGAGTAAATGACTCGAGCTAGAACAACCAAGGCCCACGTATCTCTCCAGTAAAATTACGACTATGAAACGACCAAAACCGTTACAGATTTTCCATGGAACGCTCGAAAACCTTGACGTCCACAGCTATTCTGTAAACTCACTCAAGCGTACACCTTTTCCTTCCACCCTGGTAAAATCTGCGCCGTTTTATGCTCTGGCTTATCATATCCAGTCCTCTGCCATTTCTGTTTCGCAAATGTCCATTCTGTTTTCCAAAAAAAACAGTCACTCAGTCAATCCTCTGGGACGTCCAAAAAACGTTAGAATGATATGAAGATTTCGAGACAGACCTTCCATAGTGGGAACCGGGTGCCCACTAACCTCAAAGTCGTTCCCGGTGTACCCTTCTCGTTGAAGCAAAGGGGAGTCCTTGATAGTCGCTAGCGGGATGTCGTTGTGTGGCCTAAACATAGCGAAAGAAAAACAACATTTTAGTACTTCTGGCGAAACGCAAACACAGCAACAATCTCGAACACGACGCACCGGGAGAAATACAACAACCCCAAACGGTCGACATGCTGTTGATCAATGGGCGGGACGGCAACTCTACATAGATCATAAAGAAGCACAAATGGAGAAAATCATATCAGTGGACTTTTCGTTCGGGCGAATCAAGATCGCAAGTTATATCGGCTCAATGACGGTAACATACCGATGAATAGTACTCTTCACATAACCCCCAGTCAAGAATTGCAATGCATCGCAAGCGTTCACAGTCAGTGTCGCGTCTTGTGGCTTGACCCATTTCCACTCGTTCGTCGAGGGATAACGGATTTGTAAAGCCGCCACGGGTTGACGGAAGAGGAGGGTGAAAGATCCTAAATCTATTTCCCGGAATTCACCCTTAAACCATTCCTCTACATAAGCATATGAAGAAGCAGCTTACCGGTATGTCCTTGGACCCAATTATCTATCAACTTGTTTTCCTCAGGTGTGTATTTGCCGTATTTCATATATCGAAGGTGATCCTAGGATCAGTGAACTTTCAGTTTTGACGCGTTCGGGAGTAGAATATTTATGTTACCTCGCTTTTCACAGGATATTGATGAATTTTAGTGAAATAATCCTCCGGCAACTCCAATGCTAGAGCAAGAAGGACAAACAGAGGATCGAGGACTTCGGAGTGGAGGGACTGCATAAAGTTAAAACAAAAACGAACCGTGTGGGCCGCTTTAATTATCGGAAAGACACAAACTCAACTTAGGAATCGGACTCACCCTTGCGAATTCCTCGATTTCTTCAATGTGTTCCTCGATCATGGCAGGATGGTGGTGCTCGAAATCGCCGTTGAACTCTATACAAGATGAATTGTCAAAGAAATTCAAGTTCATGACAATGGACCGGACTTACTTGGTATGTTATACACTTCCACTCTACTTCGCAGACCTGACTTCTCATTGACACTATGTCATAAAATTCAGGAAATGCCACCAGAGCAATGAAAGAGCAAACTACGAACACGCGCTGTCTATTTCCTACATATCCATTATAATTCCCTTGTTCTATCAGCCCATCGGAAGGGGTCAGCCGTTGCTTTAAAGACCCTCTTCAGCATGAACGGTTACTCACCTACCCCCTTCACAGCAAACTCGTCCTTTTCCTCCTGTGGAAGATCATAGAACGCTTTGCCCAACGCAAACTGCCTGTTTACTCGTTCTTGGGAAATATTAAAGTTCTTTACATAGAAGAACCCTTTTTCCTTCAATGCAGAAAGGAGGATGTCTGCTTGCGCGCGTTTGCCTTCAGGGGTCGAGATTTCACCTAGGTCCACTGTGACTAGGTCTGCCCAGTCGAGGTTTGCCTGAAATGACGGAATGAGGATTGTATAAGTGAGCTTTTTCTTCCAAGTTCGCTATTCATTGTCAGATGGGATTGGCTAACCTTGGTCTCAGCGACATAGTTGTAAGACCCGAGTTCTGGGACGGGGACGGGGACAGGCATACTGGAAGTTCGAAGTCAAGGTGAGCTCGGAGGTTCACTGGATAAGAATACGAGATTCTGCTGAGATACGCTCACAGGTCCTATTTAAGCACGAATATGGTGGGAGCTGGACAGTTATTGAGTTGCTGAGTGATGCTCTTCGGTCGACTGGAGTCAACTGATCTTAAACTTGTGGTATTTCAAGTTTGGGTGCAAATACATCATCTGTAAGATAGATTGCGTACGAATCACAACAAGGATAACTGCGCTAGGGAATCACTTTTGACGTTGTCTGATTATCTTGGAGATGAGAGAATATTCCTTCGATATGGCGTGCGAGGGTGGCACATACGCTACTAGTTGTTTAGTGGCGGACGATAGTGAAGACTGGACGTAGATTCGAATCATATACATACTTATCTATGACCCCCGCAGATCCTTTTGGCTTGTAGGTTGAACTGCTTGCCGGAAATACAATAAATACATACATAGGAGACCGCTGAACTGACGGCGTAGTACTTGCCTCCATAACGGGTTGTAATTCTGCCATTATGTTGTACAATGGGACTTGGACTTGCTAGTAGAAGAGAAACTTCTTAAGGCTCACAGAGCCACACAATTCATGGCCGAGTTGAACGTTTTCACAGCTCAATATATTCCACATATTACAACACACTTCGCACTTGGACGAGACTGTCTGGAGTGCGAACTGTGTCTGTTCATGTCAGTACTAGAATCCATTTGTTTCCCAAGCTGATGACCATCCGACTCAGGTCATGAATTATCATCCTAGATTGCGATTGCGGAACTGAGGGTTGAGCATTGTATTGTTTATCAATATCCGTGATTTGAGCAAATTGAATGTATTTGGGAACCGCGTACTACTGCGTAGAGGAAGAAAAGACTTCAAGGAAGGAAATACTCATAATACATATAGGCTCGCGGCCTCTACTTTCGTGGACCACACCTTGCTTAGTGTATTGTAGATTGAAACGCGGCGCGCACAGGGCGCGCGGCGAGTGGATATATATAGGGCCTTCAGATGCTATGTAGGTGAAGGATGGTGAGCTGTGGAACTTTTAAAAGAAAGCAAGTTTAAAGTGTACCTGCACATAAAAAATGGTCCAATTCCGGGGTAAATTAGACCCAGAATAGACCTTCCAAGCAATATACACGGTCCTTGTGGAAAAGCGCCGAGTCCGGTGTGCACACACGATGCAGCACTTGCTGTCCTTCTACTTTTATGTTATTTTCGGGGATGCTGAATCGAGAACTATCGAGAATGATTCAATGTTAAATTTGAGCGTCAGTTACAGATGATGTATATAAGGGGAGCGCAATATTCTGAGCAACCCAAGTTACTGCTGGCCAGTTACCTCCCTAGAACTTTTTTTTGTAGATACTCGGCGAGACTCTCGCCCGTAGCTTCTGCTCTCGAACCCATTCCTCACAACCCTTGATCTTTTCTACACTCGAACGTTCTACACCAAATCGAGGTCCCTCCCCGTTCACCAACACAACAACGACTGAAATCATGATGTGTTTGCACCTCGCATCTGTCCTCCTTGCTATCGTCGCCATGACGCATCTTAGCTTTGGAATTCCTATCACTGTGAGCAGCCTTTCTTTCTTCTCTTAACGATGTTACATTTTATACAGTCTTCTGGGGTGGACGAGCCCTCTCAAATCCTGTCCCGGGCGGGATCGGACGTGCAAACGGTTCTCATCTCCTTCAACAAACCTGGACCGGAAGGGACAAAAGAGGAGGAAGCGGTAACAAACACAATTCAGATGTTATTCGATGATGCACACAGTGATACTAAAGGGGTCATTCCGCCCGTGAAGCTTACATTCAAGAACCATCTCGCGACAGGGCGGAAAACCATTGCTTTAATCCCGATTACCTTCACTGGCTTGGATATATATGCCGAGGAGAATGTAAGGCGCAGGCGGATGTCTTCCAGAAGGTCTCCTGGATTGAGGATTCAACTGGGAAGCGAGTTTACGAGCAGGTAATGGGGCATTGACCAGTCATTCTACCACAAGGCGAGTGACCATTACCGACTATTCCATATTGTAGTAAACTCTGATTGTCGAGTACATCTTTATGATTATGTAGGCAGTACGGAAAAGGTGGAACAGCCTGAGGTTGAGTAAATGCATTCAGGAATATATATGTTGCCATTTGGGTGGTTGCCTGATTTCATAACGGAAACTTTAAGCCACGTAGTCGGAGAGAACGGGAAACAAGAAGAATATCCGTACGGACGCCCTGGTCCTTTTCCGACCACCTGTAGAGGAATTTGATGCAGGCTTGCGCTACATGGTGGTTGATTTTGAAGACGGGTTTCCTGCTTTAGAGTTTTGTTCCTCGGAGGTTGACATCACGAACTTCCCTCGCTCATTCGAATTGTGGGTTGTTATAGCTTCGTATAGTGATCGTTGAACAACGGTAAAAGTTCTCTGGAGTCTCGGGTAAGAGGTCACTGAATAAGCACAGACAGAGAGAATGCATCCTTGGAATCTGGATGCATTTGAAAGAGTTTGAATGGTAGTTACGTGGGCCATCGCGCCATTGTTGCCCTTGGGTCATGGATGCTTGCAAATATCAGTCCCAAAAAGGAAATTCAATGACGAAGCGTGTTTGGTCGGATCATGCGATTGTGAAATGATTCGTAATCTCGCCCAAGTATCGCGGAGAGTCAGACAGCGAAGCTTGAATGAAGAACTATAAAACCGTCGACATTCCCCTCTTTCTCATACCACTATCCTTTAGCGCCGCAAATGCGGCAATCCCCGACTCTGAAAGGGTTCAACATTTTGAACTTGTAAAATGGACAATTGATAGGTTGAGAATGAAGTACAGAAAGAAAAGTCATTTTGTAAGATATATTCTAGTGGTATAATGTATACAGTGATCTTGGAGTCCTTGATACAAAACATCAAGTTTTGCTTGTGACTCTTTCTTATTTTACAATGTCTCAAATTTAAGTATCTAGAATCAAAGTATAGTATATTAAGATAAGCTCACTATAATCAATGCTAAAGGACAAATTTTGATTAATTACGAATCAAATTGTATTAAGGGTAATTGTCATGGTTTTGGAGTCTGTTAAGATCATGTACACTGTGAAGCCGTGCCAGAGGCCACAAGGTGTCTAAGAGCAGAAGGTTGAGTGGGACAGTAGTGAAGTTATTAACAACACCGCCGTTACGCCGCTAGTCCCCAGAGATTGAGAGTAAAGAAGGAAGAGAGTCAGAAGCAGCCAAGCTGGAGTGGCGGTGTTGCCAACAATGAGGAGCAAAGGGAGAGCCTAATAGAAAGGGAATGTGTAGCAAGAAAGAACAATAAGGATGAGATTACAATCAACAGTAGATCTCGGAACACCAAGCGGCAGAGCGGGGCACCGAGGCATGGACTTGGCAGAGTCCTTGATACATCTGTGGTGTTATGTAATACTAACCAAGATCTGTGCTAGTGGCCCATGTCCCTGAATTTTGTCACACCAAATGATAGAGGACTAGGTCTTATACATGCGATTGCAGGCCATTGCACCGCTGATCCTTTGTGGCCATAGTAACTAAAGAAACAGAGTGCAGCATAGTGGAATGCAGGATTATCAAAGGCTATTTGTAACTTTGTCATGTTGGAACATACTCTGTACATACTGATATAGCTGTAATCCCACTTGGGGACCCACATAACTGAGAGACAGTGTTATTACTTGATACTATGCAGTTCTACATAGATCACACTGTTTAGAGTACTCAACTCCCTCAGTTGCTAACTGAGGTAAACTTGAAGTATATTCATATAGATTAATTGCAGTAGATTAACTTGACTTAGCAGGTACCCACAGCTGCCACACCACCAACTGAGATTAAGTTGACTTAACACCTCAGATAAAATATATGCAAAAATGAAAGACATGGACTATTTATTGCCAGCTTCAGCTTCAACAATGCATTGTGAATTGTACCATTTTCATCTTAATTGATAGTTATATATTGTGTAAATTATTCAATATAACAATCTCACCAGAATAAAAATGACAAAGACTGAAATCAATCTTGTGCATACTCTGACATACCCACTGTGAGCTTGTCCTACAAACAAGTGATTCAAACCCAAATCCCAAATACTTGCCAAAGCAGTACTGTACATTCTCAATCAGGGAAAATACATTGAACATTAAACTTGTCAATATTCTTTACTGCCTTAGGCATATAATATAGGGATATATCATTGATAAAAGGTGATAATGACAGAATCTCCAGAACCTGCAACAAATTTCTGCATGAAGACACTGTAGAATGGAACTTTTTGTAACACTCCTGTCTCTTGGCATCTGCAAAACATGGATATTTGGCTAAGGGCCGAGGACAGATCCCAGCCAATCCCAGTACTGAAAGCACTGAGAGCAGGTTGCTCTGAGTGCTTTCACTGCTGGGAAATGCTCTCAACTGCTTTCAGACCCTTAGCCAAAATACAGGTTTTGCAGATGTGGCAACAAGTCTGTCTTGGATAAAATGAGTGACCTAACAAAAATGCTGGCTGTTGCTGATACCAAAATAGACTCTGAGTATATGTTACTCCAATGCAAACAAATGAAGAACTGGAAACTGATTTATACCATTAACCATAAACCAATGTCCAGATCCTTTTTAAAACCAGAGCCACAACTGCATTTTCTTTGAGAAGTCCCAATGACTACAGAAACAGCTCTGGGGATAGTGATACATCATGAGCAGAGCTTGCCTCTAAACTATGACTGAAGACATTATTGTACAATAGATTACACTCTGATGAAGCTATATATACTCACCCTATCAATATCACAGATTGACTCAAGACATTGAATGACAATATCAACTGTGAATTAAGTGCAGTAAAAATGACTTTCAACAAACCTGCATATTGGATATTTCAAGATATATTAGTGATATTACTCTTTCCTTCAAAGACTCAAAATGACTCATTACATCAGTTGCACTGACTCAACATACATGTTTCTCTGCACAGCCATACTCCATTACATATCTTATGGCAGCAAAATTCTATTCAAAATATTACTCGGTCATCAATGACTTGCAGTAAGTCAAATCTTGTTTTACATGATCATATATTCTTGAAAACTCATAATATGACTCTTAATACTGCTTTACAACAACATTTAATCTCAAACTTAGTTCATGCTGGCCAAATGAATGGAGTCATGCCTAGTCATGCCAATGCATTTTACCCCCCAAAAACACACCCTTGATATAACTAAAGCTGTGTTTCTACAGCTTTGCATTCCGATCTACAGACCCGATTTTAATACATCCAAAAAAGGAAATTTCCTGCCAGATTACCGATCGCTACCTACAAGGACCTCCTCTTTCAGAGTCGGTGATCTCTTTCCGCCCCGACTGATCCATAGAAGAAACAGACAATTTGTCTCCAGCCCATTTTCCTCGAAGACTTCTGGCGATGACTCCTTCTATCAATGGCTTTACTAACGGTCATACATTTTCGAATGGCCTCCATGGACACTCTGTACACAAACCTTCACCTATCGAAGGCTTTGGCACGCGCGCAATCCACGTCGGATCTGAGGCTAATCGCGAGACAGGCGCAGTCATTCCTCCAATAAGTCTGAGCACGACATACAAGCAGGATGGAGTTGGAAACCACAAAGTGTGTTTCTCAATTCAACAACCAATTGAATTCAACCTTATCTCAGTCTATAGGGTTTCGAATATTCTCGCTCAGGTAACCCGAATCGCGATGCTCTTGAAAGGGCATTGGCATCAGTTGAGTCTGGCGGTGCACACGCTCTCGCGTTTGCTTCAGGATCTGCAACGACTGCAACGATGATTCAATCCCTTGGTCCTGGTGCTCATGTAATTTCTGTCAACGATGTCTACGGAGGCACTTTTAGATATATGGCAAGAGTCAGTGATTTCTGGTCTTGTCCTACACATCCGTAGTCTTATCTATGCTATAGGTCGCAGCAGATACACAAGGCGTTGAAACCACTTTCCTCAATCTTGAGGACCTCGCTGAAGGCAGTGAAGGCCATCTGACGCTCCTTAATGCCCTTAGACCAAATACCAAACTAATTTGGGTCGAAAGCCCAACGAATCCTACTCTGAGGTTAATTGACATCAGTCGGCTCGCCTCCATATTTGATACCCATTTCGCATCATCACCAACGTCTAGACCCTTACTTCTCGTAGATAACACATTCGCATCTCCCTTCTACACGTCACCTCTTCTTCTCGGTGCCGACATTGTTTTACATTCTCTCACCAAATATGTCAACGGCCACTCCGATGTTGTCATGGGGGCTTTAATACTTCCTCCTCAACATACCATAGTTTTGGAGCGTTTGCGCTTTTTGCAAAATGCTATTGGCGCTGTGCCTTCTCCATACGATTGTTGGCTCGCTCAGCGCGGACTGAAGACTCTCCATCTACGGATGAAGGCTCATGGAGAGAACGCGCTTAAGGCTGCGAGAGCGTTGGAGCAGAGTCCATTTGTAGAGGAAGTCATTTATCCGGGCTACGTACCTCTGAAACGAGGTGGAAACGACAAGGCGGTAGAACGCGCCAAGAGGAGGTATGAGATTGCCAAGCTCAATCTGAGTCCGCATGCGAGAAGGTGGATAGAGAACAATCCCTCTCCTGCATATACATCTCCTTCGACAAACTCTGATTTCGAGCCTACACATCCGCCGTTTCCCTACTCTGGTATGATCTCGTTCCGTCTTCGTGCACCATCACTATCTACTACTCCTGCCCAACTTGCTTCACTTTCGTCGGAACTTCTCTCATCCCTCCACCTCTTCACGCTCGCAGAATCACTCGGTGGAGTCGAGTCTCTGTGTGAACTGCCGGCATTGATGACGCATGCGTCGATACCGCAGGAGGAGAGGGAAAACTTAGGTATTACAGAAGGTTTGATTAGGCTGAGCGTGGGCGTTGAGGAGGGAGACGATTTGGTCGATGATCTAAGGAGGGGATTGGAGATCACTTTCGGAAAGGCCTGAATCCAGGCTCATTGTTTATGCGTTAAACGTCATTTTATCTCGGCGGATACCCTGACTTCAACGCAGGATCTTGTCCGCGTAGATTGTAGAAAGATATCGATTCCGACTCAGCTAAGTACTGTAATTCATAGCAATTTAATTTGGATTTTGTAGATTAAGAGTCCTCAATTCGTACAGGAGAAAAGCAGCAGCAACGCATATCACTGAATTTTATCAGGACTGTCCGCTCGTGATTACATACCTGTCCTCGAACATGGAAGATTAGGGATGAAATGTTCCAAAATTTGCTAGTGGTATACTTATGGCTAAGCGTCTACCGCATTGAGTCTCTTCATTGTCAGTGTCATGCATATGACGAGAGCAGTCGAGGAATCAGTCGAGCCGGCGGCAAACTATTTCCGGCCATTGAGCCTTCTTTCGTATTATTATTCCCTCGAAGAAACTTAGGCTTTGCTTCACTTCTATTGGATGTATGTATAATCCGGGCAACCGTTCTCTTACGGGTGTTCTTCCTTCCCTTTAAAGTTGCCACTACTACGATAAGCGATGACCCCAGATGACTCCAAGAGAACTGCAGTCGCTGAACCAGATTCCGTTCAACCTTCAATGGCGCCTACTCTACGGGAATCCAAATCCATAGACAACTGTTCTCCCAGTTTGATTGCAAAGCTAGCTTCTGGAATAGTACTCGACATACGAGCAAGGGCTCCTTACTATGTCAGGGACTGGACGGACGCTTGGAATTACCGCGTAGTGCCAGCTACATCACTGATATTCTTCGCAAAGTAAGTCGAGGCGCCCTTATTTGCATTATGTCAATCCTAATGAGTCTTACATAGTGTGCTTCCAGGCATAGCATTCTCCTTAGACTTGATCGAGACGACTGAGCAATATGGTGTTGCAGAAGTGCTTTTGTCCTCGTTCATGGCTGCATTCGTATTCTCAGTCTTTGGTGCTCAGCCGCTCACAATTGCGGGCGTCACAGGTCAGCATCTTGTGCTTCAAATCTTGCAATATTATAATCTCGAAGTAAAAAGGACCTATCACGGTATTCAATAAAACGATCTTTCGAATCACTCAAAGCCAACCAGATGCCCCGAACTACCTTCAATTTGTCGGATGGGTCTACCTTTGGGCTGCGATCATTCACTGGGTCACGGCTATCCTGAACTGTGCGTACTCTTGTCATGGTTCTAAGTATTGACAAAAAAACTGATGAAATTTCACTTAAAGGGTGCAACTTCCTTAAATACGTGACACTGTTCTCCTGTGATACGTTCGGCTTCTATGTATCTTGGGTTTATCTTCAATACGGAGTCCAAGTCGTGACCCGACAGCTTGATTCTTCATCATTGCCCGGCGCCCTAGTTTCAATCATTCTCGCTATCTTGATGCTTGCACTATCCTTCCTATTCCAAAGTATTTCGCAGAAGAAGCTGTTCCATCGGCATGTCCGCAGATTTCTAGCCGATTATGGAATGCCCATCTCCCTCATTGCCACTTCAGGAATGGCTTACTGGGGGAGATTCGATGCGACCAACCCAGAAACTCTTCCAATCAGTGGCGCTTTTCAACCCGCAAATGGCAGAGCATGGCTTGTGCCCTTCTGGCAATTAGAAGGAAAATGGGTAGGGATTGCCTTGCCATTTGGCATCATACTCTGGATCCTCTTCTTCTTTGATCACAATGTCTCCGTACGTTGCTCTACGTTGTCTAGGATCTATGCAGATTACCAACTTATGTTCTCAGTCATTAATGGCCCAAGGATCTGAGTTTCCTCTACGAAAACCACCGGGGTTCCATTACGATTTCTTTCTCCTTGGTATCACCACCCTCATTGCAGGTTTACTCGGGATACCTGCACCCAATGGGCTTATCCCACAAGCTCCTATACATACCACGTCACTCCTAGTAATGGGTCGAGTGTCGAAGAAGGACGAGGAGGAGATTCAGAGCTCGGGCTCGGACGAAAATATACTGGGCAATATCCCAGAGTATCGCGAGCAACCCATAGCTGTCGTTGAACAACGCGTGTCAAACCTTGCGCAAGGTTCTTTGTGTTTAGTGCTGCTATCTGGGCCCTTCCTTCACGTTTTAAATCTTATACCTCGAGGTATCAAAGTTCATGAATCTCATCTGTCTGCTTTCTGACGCATGAGTTAGGTGTTCTCGCCGGGTTATTGTAAGTCCGCCCGCATCCCGCGTGATTGTCATTTTATTGAACTCAGGAACAACGTTCCAGTTGGTTTATGGGCGCAGACGCACTTCAAGGAAACGGAATTACGCAAAAAATACTGTATTTCTTCCGCGACAAAAATTTGACTTCTAAAGAAGAGCCCTTGAGGCGAGTTCGCAAGTCCCGCATCATGTTGTTCTTAGCCATCCAGGTAATCGCCTTCGGAGCCACTTTTGCTATTACACAAACCATCGGTGCGCTACTTGTTCCCTTTTTTTGTGGATGGCACCAATATCTTTCTCCCTTTGACATTCCGTCAGCTGCTATTGGATTTCCCATTATCATAATGGGCCTTATTCCTCTCCGGATCTTACTCATTCCCCGTCTTCCCTTCACTACCGATGAGCTCGCAATACTTGATGGACCCACTGCGTCACCTTTCGTGCGTTCTCGTTGTACGCTTGATTCCTTTCCGCTAACAATTTTTTGTGCAGACTATGGAAAGTGTCGGTGGTTCTTTGTAATCGCGAATTTACGAACACAGTCAACTAGCTACCAATGCTGTATCTACATGCTCGAACCCAACTATTATCTTACTTTTGACAGGTTACCTTTTCATGTCAGAAACTTCCGCTTGCTGTATACGCAGTTTATACCAATTTCATGACATTGACAAGATATACCATTACGAGGCTACCGCAGGGGCATTTCGTGAGACTCTTTGCCTTCCTCTACACAAACCTGCCGGTTCGTACCCGGAAATCTATTGCGTTAACGTTCAGAGACGACAGCTGGTCTACAGGAGAGTTATCTACTGACGATCCACATGGCAATGCTGAAAGAGGGAATCTCCTGTCTGATGGAGGTTCCAAAATTCCATAAGAACCGCAGAAGCCTCGTAGGAATTCTTTGCTCGCAACCTTGTTCTCGATCCTACCACGATGAGCAACTCTGACAGTACAGTAATCGGTGTCATCTTTCTCATCCGTCACGGCGATCGCCAAGGTGGGTAGTCCACTCTTTCCTCGTGGGTGTAAGGTTCATCTATGCCATCTTACTGCTAGGTTTCTATCAGAACCCGACGAACTACAATCCTGCGAACACCGTCATTACTCCCCTCGGACTTGTGCGTTCGTTCGTATGCACAGATACGACAGGACGGCTGACTGTTCGGATAGAGAGAGGAATTTATTACCGGCGAATATCTTCGCAACGTTTATCTGAATGCATCCTCTCCATCCTTCATCCAGGGCATCAACAGCACCATTGCGGACCCTAATCAGATCACAGGTGTGTTATTCGGTCTTCATGTGATCTCTAGTGTAGGATTAAAGATCATTATAGTTGTCGCCGATGCTGCAGGAGAGGGAGGTGTGATCATGGTGAGTTTTTTTCTGAAGGCAAAAGGCCCTCACAACAACACATTCATTTATAGAACTCCGCCGAGGCTCTTCTTCAAGGGTTTTTCCCTCCTAATGCAAATTATTCTACTACGTTGGCCAACGGGACGATCGTCGAAGCTCCTTTGGGTGGATACCAAGTAAGCTGTCGATGCATGTACATTTCGTCCCTTTGTTTAATTAAGCATACTACGTTCAACAGTATGTCGAAAGTGTGTTTTAGAATTTGCCTTAGTGATCCTTTTTAATCCTTGGTAATCCTTGGACCCATACTTTCGCAGTCGAATCGGCCTTGGCAGAAAATGATGTTTCGCTGGAGGGATGGACCTCGTGTGCTGTGAGTTCCCAGTCTTATCCGCTTACTTGTTGTATTATTCTGATCGGATCGTGATAGCCCTTCGACAAGGCTACCTCGGAGTTCTACCAATCTGCTGAATTCAACCAAACTGCACAAGATAATGCGGATTTTTTCACCAACCTTCCGCAATATTTGGACGGGAGAAGTGATGTTAACCTAGAGAATATGGTGCGTTTACTTTGAGCTCGCAATGCTATAGTTTTGCTCATTCAAAAAAACTCCCCAAAGTGGAACGTAAGTTCGATCACAGCAAAGCCCGATACCAATCCGTCTATGTGACTCCGCAGATTTTTGATTACATGAACGTGAACTACATTCACAACGCTACGTTCCGAAGCAAACTCCCACCAACCCTGCTCCCTCAAGCTCGTAATTTGGCTGCTTTCCATGAATACGGGGTGTTCACTTCGCCCCAGTTGGATGGTATCGGGAATAGTGCGTCGTTAGTCGGAATAACTCCGACTACTGACAATCTGAAATGTCCACAGTTGGTTTCCGTACTATGCTTCCCGGAATTTTTCAAGGCCTGTCAAGTATCACGAACAGCTCGGACCCGCTCAAGATCTACTACAATGCAATCGCATACAAGTCCTTCTTCACTTTGTTCAGAATGACTGGCGCAGTTGATCAGAGCCCACAGCTGACAGGACTTGGTTAGTTCCTTGGCTTTTACGCTTTGAAATGCTCAGCCATATTGATAAATCATCTCAAGTCAATTACGCCGCATCTGTCAGTATTGAAGTCCGACAGCCTTCGTCTGGCGGCGAGCCCGTCTTGCGATTGCAGTTCAAAAACGGGACTGAAGAGGACGCTCAAACAACATTCAACTGGTTCAATACTTCTGGAGATATCCCTGTGTCTACTTTCACAAATTACTTGGCAGTACGTGGTTAATTGCTTTGAGTACATGAAGCTGGAATGTCTAATTGATGTACCATATACAGCCTGTAGCAATAAACTCCACTGCTGACTGGTGTACCGTTTGCTCAAACACCCAAGACCGAGGCTGTGGAGCAATTTCCGCAGCTGCTTCACAGGCAGCGATCGCAGACCAGGTACACCAGCCAATCAGCCCTGTTGGCGCTGGTTTCCTTGGTGCAGGGCTTGCACTGTTTGTGGCTCTGTGCATGCTCGGGACGTTATTCTTCATTGGTGTGCTGAGCCTAGGCCAACGCAAAGGACGAACCCGTCACAACCAACGCAGCAGTACTCAGAGTTCGGATGTGCGTGCATAGCCCATAATATAACTTATCATAACTTATTGGCCATGCAGTCAAACTCGGTCGAGAAGGCTCATGCCTGAAGTTCCTTGGTCCAATGATATGAATACACAATGATACAAGTAATGCTGGGTTTGATGCATGTAAAGTCTGTATATACAGATGCGCAAAATATCGAAATGGGATACTATCGCCATTCATGTTCACTATCACTATCTATGGTATCTTCGTGAAATTCATCTGCATTGAAAACCATGAGCCGATATACATTGTAACAAAAATGAAAGTTGAACGAACCATTATCGTCGTCCTGGGACAAGTCAGATTCTTCTTCCTCAGGATAATCGTTCGTGTACCATTCTTCGGCTACAAAAAGGAGGCGTGGTAAGGTACGGGTAAGGATGAAGCCGGGATTATTTACCGTTTGAATCTTCATCAGCTTCATCCTCTTCCTCCGAATATGAATCCGAGTCAGAATCTCCAGAGCCCAGCGGTGGAAGACCAGACCTGCAGATCGTCAGATACATTGAATTCCGGGATCTATGCGTGTAGGCCTTACACCGTGCCGACCGCTACAGCATCCATCAACGTTTGAGTATAGGTCCTCGGGCGGTGGTAGAAGATGTCCCAAACATAATCTTCATTCTCGGCAGTCGCAGGTATAGAAGCAGAAGGTGTTTGAACTATTAAGCACATGAACCTCTATCGGCAGCTCGTTGTCAAGACACATACGTTTCAAATAATCTTGCAACAAAATCTCCAATGCAGGGTCTATCTGTTCCTGAGCTGGAGGGTTTTCAAGTACCGCGTCATACATCTTAAAGTCTGAATTGGCTCGCTGGGTAGCTAGTTCCTTTGACGATACAATTTGTGGACTATGCATGTTGAGATATGATAGCCACTTCTCAAAAAGAACGGAGGCAGGGCTTACGGGCTAGCGGGCTTCCGAAGTGGTAAATGGGCCGTCGGCAGTGAGCGCTCGACAATAGTATATCGACGATTATCAATTGTTTGATGTGACTTCGATGGAGGTGTTGAAGCTACAGCAGCTTCTGATGGGGGTACAGGAGCTTTTGCTTCTTGCGAAATAGGCTGTTGGGCTAACATGGACAATTGGAGCTACTTGGTATCTGTCAGATAGTTTCGGAGACGGTAACCGATGAACACACCTGGATTGCCTTTTTCTGTTCTTCATCCTCCCAAACACCTTCCTCTATGGTTTTTGCAAACTTGAATACACCACTTCCTCCTTTTGATTTTTTCCTGCGAGCTCCAGATTCCACGACTAATGATAGAATATTAGATACTGTGGCGCTAACAAAATCAGAGGCAGGGTTCACCCAGGGCATCGAGGGGCTCTTCATTTCTTTTACGCTTGATACGAAGAAAGGTATATGGCTGATCAGGAATTTGGTTGTTCATGACGGTACTTAGAAAAGAGAAAGAGCCAAGGCTGACCTAGGCTGACCGACGCGACAAGCTTATTCCACGTGACTTCATTGGCGTCACACGATAATAGTAAATACCGCCTGGACGCTGTACAGTCTTGTACAGTGGATTTGAAGGTATATCAACATCTTCAATTTGCGATCAGCTTTATAGACAACTTCCTGTGTCCCTAGCTTCCTGTAGCAGATGCGAGCGTTCGCCAGTGCATCAGTGAGAATGATAGGATAGGATAGGATAGGATATGAATTATACTGGCGAGGTCCGATTCCCGAACAACCAGTTTACCATGTACTGTACAATATTACATGATGTTGTACAATAATGGAACACACATATCTAATACAGGGGGGCGATTATGATCATCCATGTCCTGGTTATTGAGGGGAAAAGCGGAAAAAAACCCCTCCCATGGTATCATGAATTACACGGTCTTCCCTGCCTCAATATGCATGCAGTGCGTCACTCCAGCCGATATATTTCAACTGCATAGAATACTTCCAACACCTCATGCACATACTTTGCCAGCAACCCCACAACCCTCTTATCTGCCAGTAACTCCCTAAAGAGCTCCCATCCATCCCCATAGTGCCTTGCAAAATGGGGTATCTCCTGTATTACCCTTTGCATAAAGGCTTTCCTCAGCTGTATGACCTTGCAGCTGTTGCTGCATTCAAACAAAACATGTGCCCCATCTTCCACTTTTTCCCCCTATAGTATCCACTTGCACAGTCTTTCCAAAAGGTTTCTGATTTTTTGAGAAGATCCGCCATATCAAGCAAGTTCCCGAAATATTCAAACATCTATAAGTAGTTTCTTAACCTTCCAACGCTATCAACGATCTCCATTTTTCACGAATTGTAAACGACACACCTCTCAGCTTCGATGTGGAATGGCCTGGAATATGCCCTTTTCGTCCTTCTTGTCATGGTTATGATCATTATGAACATCTCAAGGGCCATTCACTGGCATCGTGTAAGCTTGCGTTGCTGAGCTTCGAGTTGGAGAAGTAGTAGGTCTTGCACTCTTTGATATCATTCGAGAACTCAATCCTTCGCTTACAGCGATATCGATCATGACGACTGATGGTGAGATGCTCCTAAGCATGGAACGTGAACCACACAATGTTCAACAATGGTCTATACAGGTGATAACGTTTTTACGCAAAAAACGAACACCTATGTTCTATTTTATGTTGCGATGACATTCATGATAAACGGGTCACTTACTTTTACAATTTCCTAATATAATTACACTTATTACATCGTTTTAATCCGCCTGGATTGCAGTACATTCACTCTTCATCTCCTACCGGCATTGCCTTGCCTGGACTGCCAGCCGTACGCCAAGCAGCCAAAATCAATGACACCACATCGTCGACGCCCTTGCCCTGCTTGACACTGGTGAAAATAGTAGGACCATCGCCTCGCATGAGCTTGGAATCTCTGTCCATAACCTCAAGGGATGCGCCGACGTAAGGAGCAAGATCAGTCTAGAACGATGAATAGGCAGAGTTTTAGTCTTGCATCAAAGCGTGGATGATTCGTGCCCAACAATACCTTGTTGATGACCAGTAGATCAGATTGGGAAATACCAGGTCCACCTTTTCTTGGAATCTTGTCTCCTCCCTTTGTCGATGCTTCGTAAACACAGATATGCCACTGAGAGGTAGAGGAAATCTCACAGAAACATCAATCACATAGATGATATAATCTGCCAACTCCCTCGAATAGTTTGCAGCAAGATTGTCTCCTCCGCTCTCTACTAACAGCAACTGACATTCAAATTTTGCTTGAAGAGTCTCGAGAGCGCCCATATTCGCGCTGATGTCTTCTCGAATAGCAGCATGAGGACATCCTCCTGTTTCAATTGCGAGGATTCTGTTTTCGGGAAGAGCCCGGTTCTTGATTAGGAATTCTTGATCTTCCCGGGTAAAGATGTCGTTCGTGACTGTCGCTAATACAGCCAGAACATTGAATTAGCCTTGGTGAAATGCAAAGACTAAGAAGTAAAACGCACCGATATTATATTCTTTCCTAAGTTTCTGACACAATGCAAGCGTTAAAGCAGTCTTTCCTGATCCAACGGGTCTATTCAACAGTCAAAATCTCGAAGACGAGGATGCTTGGGTAGTATAGATTGCGGCATACCCTCCAATTCCGATTGTGAATCCTCTTTCTTCAAAATCACGTCCAGAATAATCGGGCATATCGCGCTCAGCATATTTACCTGTTCATATATATCAGTATCAATCATGGTATTTTCGGCGAACAAAGGAGAGCTTACCTGCATCGTTGTAATGTTCATGAGTATGTCCATGATCGTCTGATCCGTGCGTATGAGATGCCCCGCCGTTATGTGAATGAGTATGTTCAGGAGCCGAGGATCCCGAAAGATTATTGATGAATGGAACGTTCATGAAGACTGATTTGATATAAGAAAGGAAGTAAGAAAGCAAAATTCACTTCGAAGTCGAAGGCGTGATCAATGTACAAATAACGAGCGCGGGAAGCCTGAATAAGTAGGGCTCGACGGTCGTCTTTAGAAAGATCTATTCCGTATACGTACTATACGATCTACTAATTATTTGAAGAAAGAGCGTATAAATCCATACCCAATGCTGCCCAGATGCTATCGATAAAGTCATGAAGCCTCGAGTATGCGGGCAAAGAACAGCGGTATAGTAAGTAGGGAATTGGGAGATGTGATTGAAGATATAAACCCCGTAGACAGGCAGGGTCCGTTTCCTCTAACTCCAAACATCCAACAAAAGCCTTGAACGTTCCTTGAGCATCTTCACCTCCGCCGCACCCTCCACTTCCGCCGAGCCACCCTTGGCTTCTCCAAGTACTTTAGCTAGCACTTCCTCTACAGCCTTACTCATGTTCTTCGCGTCTCCGCAGATATACACGTATCCCTTGCCGTTCAATATTGAATCAGCAACGCTGTCTCTTTGCTCCCATATCAAGTCCTGCACATAGATCTTGCTTCCGTCAGGTTTATAAGGAGGCTCGCGAGATAATGCAGTGTGCATGACAAATTTGCCTTTGAGTTCAGATATGTATGAAGGCCATTCGTCTTGGTACAGAAAGTCTTCTGTGGATTTGCGGCAACCGTAGAAAAGAGTTATGCGACCCCAATCGGCAAGAGCGTCTGGTCCATTCTTTTCGATAGAGCGGCGGGCAAGGGCAACGCGTTCTTGGACAAAACCTCGAAAGGGGGCGACACCCTGAGAAATGGACATAAGATAATGGGCATGGATCATAAACAGAAACTTACAGTTCCAGGACCAACCATGATTACGGGGCTCTTGGGATTAGTGGGCAAACGGAATGTGGACCGCCTGACATGAATTGGAGCCTTGTAGATGTTTTCTTGCTTATAAGCTCCACGGGGACCTTCAATGGCATAACTAGGCACGACCGCACCAGCCACGCCGGTACTGCCAAGTAGAGGTGCCTCTTCACCATTAGCAGCATACTTGAGGTTAAGCAGGAAGTTTGATCCAACACCGTAAACGGATCTTTCCGGAACGCGTTCGTTGGGAGTTGACTGGTATTTGAGTACAACGCAAGTGACATGAATAGAATTAGGGTGAAGTTTCGGGCTGGATGAAATGGAGTAATAACGAGGTTGCAAGCGAGGAATAGAAGATACAATCATATCAAAAGGAATAGGCCATGCTGTGGTATTCTCGGGCGTAGGTATAGCCTGAATGTCGTTTCCAGCAGCCAACTGGAGAACCTCTCCAGCTTTTAAACAGCCATTGGCGACGATTTCGTGGTAGACTTCCTTGTTGGTGTTCAATTCCTTGATAGCGGCCTCAGCTTCGGGATTTGGGGCAAATTTGGCGAACGTCCCAAGCATTTGACGACCAGCGAGAGCGCTGATATCGATGTAGTGGCGAAGGACTGTGGCGTAGGTAGTGGGGACTGGGAAAGGAACTTTCGCGAGAGCAGGGTCCAAAGAGTCAATGTTGATGACCTTGTCCTTTTTATCGTAGAGGCCGAGAGCGAGGAGAAGACGATCAACCTCGAGTTCAGAATTGGATGGCCAGACACCGACGTGGTCTCCATGCTGGTAGGTGATTCCAGAACCCTCGATATTGAGTTCGACGTGAACACAGTTTCGGTCTTTGGTATCTTGGAAAAGTTCGCGGGCGACGGTCAGAGGAGCCGGATAAGGATTTTTAGCGTCATGGATTCCCTTGGTCTTCGTAAGTGCACGGGCAGAAAGTTCACCTGAAGAATAGATTAGCATCGGATCGAACACCGAAGTTAAGCTTTCACATACCAAGATAAACCTTTTCTTCTGGGTGGGACTCAAGTTCACGAACAGCGAAGTCGGCGGTATCACCACCCTGGCCCTCTTCAACACCCATGGCGGTAGCGAAAGCCTCCCACATTCCGTCCTTCCATTCCAAGTAGTCTTCTTCCATACTCTTATCGTCGTCACCCTCGCCACGAATACCCATTCGAATAGCCCCCATCTTTTCGAGCGCAGTGTCCACGTATTGTGAGATAACGTTGTAGTGCTCGTAGGTCTTGTTCCCGAGTCCGAAGACGACATATTTAAGACCGGAAAGATCGTGAGCGCCTTTACTGAACTCGAAGGACTCGTCTTGGAGGTTCTGCATGAGCTGGACAGCGTTGTCGGTTGGTTCACCTTCCCCGTAGGTGGCCATGACAAAGAAAACGGCGCAGTCCTCCGGAACAGTATCTAGTGTTTCGAAGTCGTATTCTTCAGGATCGCACACAAGCGAAGTGAGGCCAAATTTTGCCTTGGCTTCCTTAGCCAGACGAATGGCGTATTCCTCTGCTGTACCTGTTTGTGAGCCATAGAAAATGGCTAGCCTTTTGTTCTGTTAAGGTGAAGAGGTGTGTAAGTGTAGATGGTGGACGAACTTGACGACTTACGCCGGCCTTCATCTTTGCTACGAAATCCCGAGGGTTACCATCTGTATCATCAAGAGACCTGGTAGTTGAAGGTGCTACTTTGGGTTTGGAAGCGGCGAATAGTGAATCTCTGAAGAGGTATAAGGCAGCGAGGGCAACACCGAGGGCAAGAATGAGAACATCTGAGGAAGACGTGGACGCCATGGTCGAAGCAGACAAGGCGAAAGGGAGCACTGGTGAGGAAGTATTAGGATTGGCGTCAGCCATGGAAAATATAACGGAGAGAAATGGAAACGGACCAGGGCTTTAAACAACTTCTACGTATATAAGAAAAAAAGAGTAAAGAGATGAAGTCGCGAAAGCCGAGACCCGAGCAGTTAAATTCTAATTTTCTCACACCTACTACGCGTGTCACTTTGAGAATGGCTCCCGTTTCAAACGGAGGTGTACTTCAAATATTGATTTCTTCCCGACATAGATAAGCTCCCCCTTGTACTGGCCTTGCTCTGTTCCATCTCGCCCATTTTTCTTGGTAGTCCCACAGTCCTCAAGACGTAGTGGTTTCCCTAATATTACCCATCTTTCTCGAAGCTCACGGTGCTCACATCCGCTGACCAGTCAGTTCTCGCGTAAGTAAACGAATTGCTATTTAGTACCCCGTTCCGAAACGGGCGTTTTCAGTCCCGAGAACTCAAGGTGAATGGACAGCATGGGAGGATTTGAAAATATTTGCACGTCTTAGGCAGTGTACTTACAGAGCTCAAAGCGATCCGCACAACCCACGATGAGCATGGCAGGAATTGCTATCACGATCTCCTCTTCTCTCCACGGGAGTTTAATGCACATTGAACAAGACCAAGCGTCGAACATAGTTAAAGACGCGGAACGGGTATCCGCATCGCCTGTCGACTTGCTCAAGCTAAACGTCCTCCAGACTGTTCATTTCCAGCACCTGCTCGGTGTCCACACCTACCTCAGACTTTCCGCCGCTTTTGCCTAATCATTCGTATTTGATAACCAAAATCGACACGCCACGTTCTTGGCCATTCTTCCTCGCTCCCTCAAATCCCCTCTAACTATCTATTTCCCAGATCCAGGCCTGAGTCCCTGCCAAAAAACCATCCAATGAGCACCAAAAGCAACAAATCTGCCCCCAAAATTCCCTGGATTGGATATAATTTCAAAAATCCCTGGATTCAGGAATTTTGCCCTGAATTTGTCCAATTAACAGACATTCCTCTTAATTGGGCGCCCAATTAGCAGACATCCCTCTTAATTGAGTGCCTCAATTAGCAGACAATCCTCTTAATTGGGCGCCCAATTAACAGGCAATCCTCTTAATTGAGTGCTTCAATTAACAGGCAATCCTCTTAATTGAGTGCCTCAATTAACAGGCAATCCTCTTAATTGGGCGCCCAATTAACATACATTACTAACTATCTATTTCCCAGATCCAGGCCTGAGTCCCTGCCAAAAAACCATCCAAGGGGTTATATACAAGTTTCGAAAACGGCGGTAGGGGGTCGACCCCTAACTATCTATTTCCCAGATCCAGGCCTGAGTCCCTGCCAAAAAACCATCCAATGAGCACCAAAAGCAACAAATCTGCCCCCAAAATTCCCTGGATTGGATATAATTTCAAAAATCCCTAACTATATTACACCCGGAAAGGGCATGCCCTTTCCCTTAGCGTTTTGGGCCTTTCATGCCCTTTTTCTCATGGAAAGGCAAACCAGCCGGAAACCCAGTCTTCCTAAATCACTCCAAAACCTCTGTTTATGTCTCGTTTTCACTGGTTTGGTCAATATTGATATCATTTTGAGCTCCCATCCATAGCAAAAACCTCTTTTCACACCTTTGGATCTATGGAAAGGCAGTTCTGGTGGAAAGGCAGGTCATGTTCTAAATTCTCATTTACCTCCCTTTCCGGCTGTATATTGCCTTGAAAGCCCTCATTCTCCATTTTGATATGCATTGTAACTCAATTTCATATCCAATCCTCCTTATTTTGTTAATTTATGTCAATTTTGGCAGGCTTTTGAGGATTTGAACCACAATATCACTGGAAAGGCAGGTCATGTTCAAAATTCCCTTTTACCTCCCTTTCCGGCTGTATCCTCTGTTCTAAATTCTCATTGACCTCCCTTTCCGACTGTATATTGCCTTGAAAGCCCTCATTCTCCATTTTGATATGCATTGTAACTCAATTTCATATCCAATCCTCCTTATTTTGTTAATTCAACTCAATTTTGGCAAGCTTTTGAGGATTTGAACCACAATATCACTGGAAAGGCAGGTCATGTTCAAAATTCCCATTTACCTCCCTTTCCGGTGGTCCAGTCTATTCTAAATTCTCAATGACCTCCCTTTCTGGCTGTGTATTCTCTTTACCCCACTTGTGCTCAATATTGATATGCATTCCCACTCCATTTCATATCCAATCCTTCATATTTTCTTAATTCAGGTCTCTTTTGGAAGGCTTTTGAGATTTTGAACAACAATATCACTGGAAAGGCAGGTCATGTTCAAAATTCCCATTTACCTCCCTTTCCGGTGGTCCAGTCTATTCTAAATTCTCAATGACCTCCCTTTCCGACTGCATGTTGCCTTGAAAGCCCTCATTGTTGATTTTGATATGCATTCTGACTCAACTTCATATCCAATCCAGAACCATTCTCAAGGCCTGTGACATGTTAAACAACTGCTTATTACAAAATCGGAAATTGATGCGAGTGCTTGTACTCTGGTTGATTGTGTTGTACGCATTGGATATATGGCCTACATTGATATGACCCACCTGCACCACTGACTATACATGCACGTGCATTGGATCAATGGCAAAGTCGAAAGCCCCGGAATACGTTTGAGTGCCAATGCACAAGTCGATTGTTGACAATGATGTATTGTATGCCTTGGAGCTATGGCCTCTGTTTCTGTGCACAACCTTTCCATAAAATCAATGCCACTTTATTGGATGTGTTCATATTAGACTATGAAGAATATATTTGCAACTAGTGGGCAACTTCTGTCTCTGTAAACAACCTGTCCGTGACATTCTTGTGGCCTTATCATCTGTGTTCCTCAACAGTTTTTTCATTGGATATACAACTTTTTCAACAAGTACCACTGTTTTTCATTCACTAGGTGTTGCAGTTGCCTGTCCCATTATCTTTAGACGCGCGTATTCCACTCTTGCCTCCGATCCCGCTCACTCACCTTGTCTCACTACTCATATTGGTCTTCATCGAGTCCTCCTCAATGTCTCGAGACCCCACTAAAATGGAGGTGTACTTGAATACACTGCTCAATACCATAGCCAGCTCAATGCTACATCTCGAGTTATCGTTGTGGACTTCACTATATTACACCCAGAAAGGCCATGCCCTTTTCCTCCTCTATCTCTCAGAAACATTCTTTCATGTCTGGTTTTCAGTAGTTTGGCCGATATTGATATTATTCTTAGCTCCAATCCATAGCAAAAACCTCTTTCCACACCTTGGGATCTATGCAAAGGCAGTCCTGGCTGGAAGGCATGACCTCTTTAAAATGCCCATTGACCTCCCTTTCTGGTGGTACAGTCTATTCTAAATTCTCTTGATAGCACTCATGCTCAATATTGATATGCATTTTGACTTGTTTTCATATCCAATCCAGAACATTTCTCAAGGCCTGTGACATGTTGAATAACAATCCTGGTAGAAGTATGAGCAGCCATTTGCCTGTTAAAAACTTGGAAATCAATCCAAGTGCTTGTACCCTGGTTGAATATTGCTCTGTTTCAGTGCACAGCAGATTATGATGAATATAATTACAAATAGTTTGTACCTTCTGTTTCTGTGCACAACTTTTTCATGAAATCTTTGCAACTTTGTCACATGTGCATCAACAGTTTTATCATTTGATCTACAACTTTTTTCAACAAGTACCACTGTTTTTCATTCACTAGGTGTTGCACTTGCCTGTCCCATTATCTTTAGACGCGCGTATTCCACTCTTGCCTCCGATCCAGCTCACTCACCTTGTCTCACTAGTCCTCCTCAATGTCTCGAGACCCCACTAAAATGGAGGTGTACTTGAATACACTGCTCAATACCATAGCCAGCTCAATGCTACATCTCGAGTTATTGTTGTGGACTCCACTATATTACACCCAGAAAGGCCATGCCCTTTTCCTCCTCTATCTCTCAGAAACATTCTTTCATGTCTGGTTTTCAGTAGTTTGGCCGATATTGATATTATTCTTAGCTCCAATCCATAGCAAAAACCTCTTTCCACACCTTGGGATCTATGCAAAGGCAGTCCTGGTGGGAAGGCAAGTCCTATTCCAAAATCCCAAATACCTCCCTTTCTGGCTGTGTATTGCATTTAGAGCACTCATTGTCAATATTGATATGCATTCTGACTTGATTTCATATCCAATCTACACTATTTACCACATTTCTGAAGGCCTTTGACATTACTCCAATATAATTATCATTTGTACCCTCTAGAGGTGAATTGTTACCAGCACGAGTGGGCATCTAATTAATTCCCACACTTTCACCTTTTTCAGTAACATCTACAATTTTTGGATTTCAACATGCATAGCCTCAATAGCTCAGAGGTAGAGCGTTTAGTGAAAATCGGTATCACTCAAAGGCTAGGGTTCGAATCCCTATTGAGACTTTCGTTCAGCTTGTTGTCAAATATTTTTTGACACTAAAACTAGTCAAATATGTTCACTATTATGCCTCAATAACTCAGTGGTAGAGTGTTTGATAAATTTGTATGGCCACGAGTAACCTGATATATATTATCAAAATGCCAGGGTTCAAATCCCTGTTGAGGCTCTATGTCAGTTTCTTGTTGGTGAAATATTTTTTTGCACTCTGACACTCCATGTAGTCAAGTACATTCACAAATATTGCCTCAATAGCTTAGTGGTAGAGCATTTGATAGATATTTGTTTGTTTGAAGTTGTCATATTTCTTATGAAAAGGCCAGGGTTCGAATCCCTGTTGAGGCTCTCTGCTTTTCTAATTACTCTTTTTATTTTTTTCTATCAATGGGACTATGTCTCAGTCTTCCTGTATATATCCAGGTAGTCCAACCATTGAGCTACAGCAGCAGGTTCCTTCAACCTTGACTTTGACTTTGCGCCCTATCTACACTTGTTTCGGGCCCTTCCTGCCCTCTTTTGTCTGGAAAGACATATCTTTTCAAATATGTCCTTTTCTGTCTGTTTTGCAGTAGTTTAGTCACTCAGTGGACCCTTTGCTAGCCTCTCTGTATGCCTTGCCATATTCAATCTATGGCAAGGCACTCCTGGTTTGAACAGAAGCTTCTTTCTAAATTCTCAAAATCCTTCCTTTCCAACCCTATATTGCACTTACAGCCCCCTCATTCTCAATCTTGATATGCATTCTGACCTGATTTCATATCCAATGCTCCATATTTTACTGATTCAACACTACTTTTGAATGCTCCGGAATGCATGCCCTTCCACATCTCTGCATATTGATATCATTTCTGATTTACTTTTATAGCAAAATCCCTCTTGTGCACCTTTTTGCCCTTTGTCCAAACAATTGCCCCTACCAAATTTACTTTCTGAGCTTGACCTACTCTCACTGCTATGTGCACCTTCAAAGCCTACGAGTGTACATTCTACCACACACATTGTCGATTTTGAGATGCTCAAATCTCTCTGTAATCATATCCTCACCACTTATTGTCAGTTATCCTATCTAATCTGCACATCCATTTATTTGACTTTTATCATACATGATATGTATAAGAGCATTGGGAGTATCAGCTTGGAAATCAACTCCAGCTCTTCCCAGTAAGACTTCTTGAACCACCAGTATCTATTCATTTCAGTATTGATATATACTTTCCTTTGTTCCCATTGCAAATCCTCAACCCATGTATATTTAATCCAATTCAATTTTTATTGAATTAGACCTGTACTATGAATACATGAAACTGAACATGGTGAGAATAATCTAGACTTTGCCATTCTTTCATTCTATTTTTAGAACTCAATTATATCCCAGGTCTATATAAGTGACACCTGTCAAAGGTTTTTTTTTCCCCCCACCTCCCCATAATCATGGCCACTGCTTTTTACACTGTTGAATGGATTGCTCCTATGGAACCCAAGTCAGTTGTTTCTTTTGCTTTTGTTTTGATGAAACTCAACTTTGGTTTCTTTCCACAGCCCTAGGACATCTCCCTTTGATCCTGATCTATTGAAACTATTATATGCTTATTCTCCTCCTGCTGTCCGATACTTCCACGTGCCCACCATGGGTGGTATCAGATTGAGTTGGAAAGCAAAGGAAGATGAGCATGATGCTGAACAAGTCACCCTCCGTCTTGAACAATATTCCTCTGCTGCCTTGTGAGTCTTTCTCTTTTGTTTGTGTGTTTTTTTTTTTTTTTTTTGATTAACTTTGTTGTTCTTATTTAGCCAAGCTGCTGGATTTGATTTAACTGCCAGGAATTTGCTTTTCCTTAAAAACCAGAACATACGGAACTATATCATTAGTCTGCTTCAAGTTGCTCATAATGAAGGGGTTGAAGAAGATGTTGACAGTGATACAGGCACTGAAAATAGTCCTATTATAATTTCTTCTGATTCAGAGTATGAAGACTCTTGACCATATATTATCTTCACTTTGATATTGATATACATTCCTACCAATTGCTGTATCCAAATCTCCTTCTTTCTTGTTGACACTCTCAGTTCTATCTTTGGTTATAGTTCTATTTTTGAAATCAATTCATATCCTTTTTATATATAAAGAGACCTAATGTCAAGTGCTCTTTACTTTCCTCCCCCCATCATGTCAACTGTTTGTTACACTAGACAATGGATTGCTCCTTTGGATGTTCAGTGTGTTTTTTTTTTTTCTTGCCCTTGCATTGCTTTTTTAGCTGTTCTAATCAACTTTTTTTTTTTAGACAACCCAAACCTCCTTATAATCCTCAGATTTTAGCTTTACTTTATGCTTTTCCACCCCCTACTGTCGAACTGTTACTGCTTTGTCCCAAAGGTGGAATCAGATTGAGATGGGTCAAGGCCCACAAGAATAACCAAGACCAAGTTATCCTTTATCATGAATATTTCATCAATCATGACTTGTAAGTTTCTTTTTTTTCCACTCCCTTTCTGTGTTTTACCTCAACCCTACACTTATATTGACTCTCTCTCTGCAGCCTCTTGGTTGGCTTTGAGGAATATCTCCAAGATATTTTTTCTGTTCAACTTTTCAACTTCCCTTTATGGTTCCTTGAACTTTTTCAACAATTGGATGATGAAGAAAACCAGGTTGATGTTCTTCCATTCCCCAGGGTTATATACAAGTTTCGAAAACGGCGGTAGGGGGTCGACCCCTGGTGGCTGTGATTACCATATAAGGCAACTCCATCCAAGTCACTGCTTATTGCAACAACACAAGAATGACAGATATTGACGGTCCCCCGTGGGGGGGGGTGGAGGGGGAACGTCAATATCTGTCATTCTTGTGTTGTTGCAATAAGCGTAAAGAATACCCTGAAGGCAACAATGCGTGGCGGTAAATTCTCGCTGGGACTAACCATGTATTCTTTCAACAGTATTTAAAAATATTGTTTCAGTGACCATGAAGTACACAAGATTTAGGGGTGATCAATTGTCGCCGGATTGTTAAGTGGAACAACCGCAAACAGATCTTCGCGGGATGAAGACAGGAAAAAGGGCAGGTGAAGTTGGGGAAGCGCGCGGCAGTAAATTCTCGCCGGAGGGCTTTACATAGAGGTTAGTGAAACCGAAATACTAGTTTGCGAGCCCGAACAGGAGAAAATTCTGTGTTGATTCTGCTCACGAGAGCGAGATGTGAATGGTCCGCAGACAGGGTGACGTAAGAGAGGCGAGAAATTCTCGCCACTTCTGGAAACGAGATCAAGAAAATTGAGAGAGGAAGTATCTTTGGAATGTTTCAATTTTGAAATGCAAGTTTTGGTAGAGGGTAGAGGAGGCGAGAAATTATCGCCAGTTGCTTAGGTGTGTTCTTAAAGAAACTTAGGACATGACATAACTTAGCAAGGTGTTCAATTGCATGAGAGTGAGGTAAGAACTGAGTGGACAGAGCTGGTCAGTGCGCGGCGAGAAAACATCGCCAGATTGTGTGTGAGATGCGCATAAAATTTTGAGGTAATACTCTCTTGCCTGGAGGGTTATGAAGTAGCGACGTTGAATTCTTACCGAGGAAAACACACGAATATTATAAGGTAGTACAGAAGTTTCGATAGCCGTGGTCGAAACTTCTGGAGTCGGTCAGTGCAGGACGGCTGGGTGAAGATGTTTTGGGGGTTGCAGTGAGCGGCGGGAAAATATCGCCACCATTTTGAGAAAAACGATGGGATCGAGAATTGGTAATACAGGGTGCACGAGGAACTGACGTGACCGTGTGAAACTACCGTGGGAACCAACTGTACAGTAGGTAAACAACAGTAATTACAGGTCAATTCGGCTAAACCACTCTTGAACTCGAACTTCTACCATCTCTTATAGTGCGAAATTTAGCTTGTCCTTAAGACTTGAGCGTAGTCGTAACCATAACCGTGAACATCGCCGAAAAATTAAATTTTAGCTGGTACGTATGTCCCCTGTCACGGGGCGTAAGCAAAGAAGAGGTACTCAGTGAGCGGCGATATTTTCTAGCCAGAATCGTAAAATGTCGCAAAATACGGGAAACAAGGGTTCGAAGGAGTCGAAAGTTAGAAGTTCAGACACGAACCGCAAATATGCGTTGTTAATGCACTTCGTACTCGACACGCCCTCTCTCTTGGAACCCGAGGAACTCTGCGATCCCGAGGGCAACATCCTCTACAACGACTCACCCGCGATGCACTATCTCAAGCTGTCGAAAGTGGTGCCGTTTTGGGAAGAGGAATGTCCTAAGGAACACCGAACAAAATGGGGAGCCCGCTGGGCTGCTATAAAAAAGGGTTTAGGAGAACTCGCATTTGCGAACCGGACGACCTGTGAACGCTTCAATTTTAGAGAGAACAAGTTGTTGGATGTGCTTGACGCAGCGAGGGAAGGTCATTGGGGAGCTTGTTTCGACGTACCAGTAAGTTTCGTTGTTTCTATTAGTGCTAAACTAATGAAATCAGTTGAAAGCGTCACTTGCGAGAAAAGAAATGTCTATTCAGAGTCGTTATCACCGTTGGGTTATTAATCAAACGAAAAAAGCAGGCGGGGAACCCTTGAGAGGTTTTGTCTCTCTGAATGACTGGAGTACGATGGCGGACGATATTCTTCAAGACATTTTTGGGGATGGTGTGAGAGGGGGGGATGTGACTTGTACTGAGGGGGCGAAGACGTGGTTCACAGGGAACATACAAACTCTCCTGGATGCTGCTTCAAAGGAGGTGATTCGCGCGGAGAAATCGATTGTCCGGTGTCAGCGTGATCTAGAAAACGTTCTTGGCGAGGATTTTTGGGAGAAGATGGAGATTCCTCAAGGTTTTGATCTCCGTAAAGCGCGGTCTGTGTTCAAGAAGCTGCGTAACTGGAAAGGCCTTCTCTCTTGGCAGGTTCCGAGTCCGAACGATGAAAAGCGGAGGGCGGAAGACATCGATATCGAGGATCCAGATGCAGCGGCGAAAATCCAAGCGCGGTGGACGGATCTTAGTGACACCGCCAAAAAATTGGACTACTGTCAGCTTGTCATCGGCTGGCTTATAGGTCTTATTGAGGCGAAGACGTCGAAAACTTTGGAGCTCGGATTTGAACCCGGGAGTTACGACGAAAAAATAGGTGTGGAATATCTTCTGAGTTTGACATTTTCTAATCAATTCTTAGTGTCATACGGGAAAGTGCTTGCCCGAAAGATTCCGCGGAAGCATATTGATAACATGCCGGCACCGAGTGCCTCTGAGTTTCGTGCGTTTGCCGCTGAGCTCTCTGACTTCGCGGACGCCTGGGTGGGAAGAGACGACACTCAGTTAAGTACGGCGATCTCGATGTGGGAAAATCCGGAGTTCGACAGCGCGTTGAGGATGTAGGGGTTAGGGGTGGGTGGTCGAAACGTCGAGCGAGCGAAGCGAGCGTTGACGTTGAAGACTGACGTAAGAGGCTCTGGTGCTGTAAGATGGTAAAGGAGGCGAGACAAGCCAACGGGTACCGATAACTTATCAGTACCAACCCGTTTCGCCTTTTATATGGCTCATCAGGGCTTGTTCACATGGTCACGATAGATACAGACGATGGTCCACAGCATTGGTGTGGGATCGTAGTGCCTTATCTTGTGATTATACGTTAGTAAACAGAATATTCCGATTTGCTGTTACCTGACAGCATGGGAAGTATTTGTTACCTGGGTCCTCGGGCATCAGTCAGCGGCAAGCCCGAGAACCGATCGCATCGGTTTATGTCATTGCTAATTAGTCACCGGACCGAAGGCGAACCGCACAGCGGTCCGGTGATGAACTGTACAGCACTTCCTTGGAGTGCCCAGGGTCACGTGAGACGCGGCCCGTCGGTACCGACCGAGCGCCTATATTAATAGGGGCAAGGTTTACAGTTCGTTAGGGGTTAGGTTAGGTTAGCGGGTTAGGCTACGATGTGATATATTAGCGTATAAACTGGTTTATTAGACCAAGTACTTACGGTTAGAGTTAGCGGTTAGGGGTTGGGTGTCCTGAAACTCTCGGTTAATACCGTCTGTCGTGTGAACAGTATACCAAAGTACCTACAAGATATGTATCATAGAGTTTAACGTCATGAACTTGTATGGGGTGTATGCATAGACTGGAGAGTGCCTGTCGAGAAACGCGAAACGTAACTCCATGAGTACTTCACCTCAATCCAGAAGGCCCCGAAGTCCCATCGGTTCAAAGAACACTCAAAACGGGAGACGGAGCCCTCCAGGAGAGGCGATTTCGTCACGTAGCAAGGATCGAGCGTCCCTGCAGGTCTTATGACTCCATAGCATGGCCATAATGGATGTATTCTAAATCGCCTGGCACGGGTCGATCTCCTTTAGTCTGAATATCTTCCATCTCGACATCGTCGAGGTAATTATCAGAGGGGATTCCCTGGGCGATGTTAGTAGCAGTGTCTACATCCATGCGCTGAAATACTTCTTTTTTCCAAAGATTTGCAAGATCGAAAAGGTTTCGTGTACGCTTTCGCGACACTAGCCATCGAGCATCCGCAAGACCGGTAAGGCGAATATCGGGAACGGTTACCGGAGCCGTCAAGACACCTGCCGGAGCGCCCGAGTCGATAACCGACCGGAGCGATCCAACTGTATCTTTGAGGCTATCCTCACCGAACCGATATTTCGGATATTTGGAGCTATAATCTCCTTTTTCAGCGTGTATCAGCCACTCCTTCCAGTAGCGAGTAATTCGTTTGCCAAGTTCTGACGCAGAGAAGTAATCCCATGCAGAATTGAATGTGGACTTAAGGACAAGAACGTCTTCAGTCGCGCTGAGACCGTCGTGTTGGTTATTAAGGGACAGTCTATTATCCCAACGTTCTTTTTTGTTATTATTAAGCCAGTGATAAACTGCTTTTGACGGGTAGCCTCGTTTAACATAAAGGGAAGCTAGATCCTTTATGGCAACCAAGTAGTGTGACTGGGTACTACTTAACGTGGCTAACCGGGACATTTCGCCGATGAAAGATCCTCGTTTAACGTCGAGGGGGTGGTGAGATATCCAGGGAATACGTTCCTGATGGGACATAGCTTTCCGAAATGGCATATGTTGGAGGTCACCTTTTTCGTCTAAGTAAAGGGTCATATCCAAGAAATGCTGAAAGTGTTCGCTAACGTTCCATTCAATAGTGCAGCCATCGAAGTTGATATTGTTTTCGCATAATGCTAGAGCTTCATCTGCTGAGTGAGCATAAACTAGCGCTAGACAATCATCGATGTAACGACCGTAGAAACCAAATTCGGGTCGCTTCCATATTTGTTTACGAGACTCGAACCAGAACCCAAACAAGTTAGCCAAGTCTGGAGAACAGGCTACGCCCATGGCGAGTCCACGTTTCTGTTTAAAGTATATGAAATCTTTGATAGTACTATCAAAGAACTGCGTGACGAGATCCGAACAACCATACATCATGGCTCGTTCTAGAAGCAGTACCTTATGCTTCCATTCGTCCGATATAGGCACTCCTAAATCATCTACTTCGATGTGATAAAATTCGCAAAATAATTCATCAACAACATCAAAACATCGTTGCAATGGGATGTTAGGATAAAATGCCACGACGTCTCCGGTTACTATGAACAAACGTCGTCTGGGATCTCGTTTAAATTTGCTAAGCTTGATCGCCAAGTCTTTGGATCCATGAATAATGGATGGCGCAGCCTCTATAAGGGGCTTAAGCTTTTTGCTAACGTACTTAGCTGCCGGGTTCTGTATCGCACTATGACAAGGAATAATAGGTCTGCCTTTTACCGGTTCTTTATGTATCTTAGGGATACAGTAAAAGGTAGGTATATGGTGCGACCCGGAGGGAGAAGTTACTTTGTGTCGGAAAAACCGCTTTAACTGCTTCTCGAGGGCCGGTTCAGCTTCATCGACGAGCGTGCATAATAGCTCCATCTGAGTACATTGTTTATCCAAGATTCGCTTACATTCGGCGGGCGTGAGACGCTCGTAATCCGAAGGATTATTTAGTAATGCAAGTGATTTTTCTTCAATCCAGGTGCGCTGAGACACCGCGATGCCTAAGTTCTTATCGGTATTAGTAACAACGTAATCGTTGTCGATAAGATACTGTCGAATACGTTTGGGATCGGGAGCCAGCGACTTAAAGGCACTCCCTTCCTGGTCTTTCGGCATGAGGGCCATCATTTTAGTGATGTAAACCTGGCCGATATTGAGACCGTATTCGATATATTGCGGTAATTGAGGTACCTTGCTAGTTCTCTCACGTGGTACTTCATAATCTGGATCGTAATTGTCGGCGTCTTGGCGCCCATCCTTAAACGTAAAGAATATACGCCACTTAATGCGATATTCAAAATCTTTCCAGGCTTCAATAAGAAGCCGCGAATTGCGGGGAGAGTGGAACATGTAATTTTGTCCTACGCTAAGGTCCTATCTATATTACACCTCTATTACCGGTCTAGTTCCTTTGCACCTATACTGGCCTACGTAGTGAGTAGAACACTCTACACAGTGAGGACTAACAGATACTCTACACAGTGAGTAGAATACTCTACACAGTGAGCAGAACACTCTACAGAGTGAGTAGAATACTCTACACAGTGAGCTCACCACCACTGTTGCCCACAGTGACCTCCACACTGTGCTCAATGCTGCTGCTCATTGCCATACACAGTGAGCTCAACACTGTATACAGTGTCCTCAATGTTGTCTCAGACAGTGACCTTAATGCTGTCCACAACAAGCTCTATGCTGTCCTACACAGTGAGCTCAGCACTGTATACAATGAGCTGGTCATTGTCTTGGACAGTGAGCTAGTCATTGTCCTCCACAGTGAGCTCAACACTGTATGCAATGAGCTGGTCATCATCTCCCACAGTGAACTCAACATTGTCAGACACAGTGAGCTTGTTGTTGCTGTTGTAGACAGTGAGCTCGATGTTGTCATAGACAGTGAGTTTGTTGTCATCGTTGTAGACAGTGAGCTCGACGTTGTCAGACACAGTGAGCTTGTCATCGCTGTTGTAGACAGTGAGCTCGACGTCATCATAGACAGTGAGCTCATTGTCATCATTGTAAACAGTGAGCTCGATATTGTCATAGACAGTGAGCTTGTTGTCATCGTCGTAGACTGTGAGCTCAACGTTGTCAGACACAGTGAGCTTGTCATCGCTGTTGTAGACAGTGAGCTCGACGTCGTCATAGACAGTGAGCTTGTCATTGCTGTTGTACACAGTGAGCTTGACGTCGTCGTAGACAGTGAGCTCATTGTCATCGTCATAGACAGTGAGCTCATTGTCATCGTCATAGACAGTGAGCTCATCGTCATCATCATAGACAGTGAGCTCGACATCGTCATAGACAGTGAGCTCGTCGTCATCGTCGTAGACAGTGAGCTCGACGTCGTCATAGACAGTGAGCTTGTCATTGCTGTTGTACACAGTGAGCTTGACGTCGTCATAGACAGTGAGCTTGACGTCGTCATAGACAGTGAGCTCGTCGTCATCGTCGTAGACAGTGAGCTCGACGTCGTCATAGACAGTGAGCTCAATACTGTCCACTGTCAGCCCAGATGTCCATTTTACGTATAGAATTGAAAGTGATTCTATACGTAAACGTCTCTGAGATTTTACGTACAGAATTTTGAAAATTCCATACGTAAAATTTTTGGCTTGTTCGATTCTTGACCAAGTTTTTCCCACGGGGGTCCAAAAAAGCGCACTTTTATAGCCTTCTGACATAGCTTTGCACATCAACTCAAGTGCTCAGCACTGTACACAGGGAGCTCAACACTGTATACAGATAGCTGAACACTGTACACAGGGAGCTCAACACGCTGCTCTACACAGTGGGCCATGGAAAGCTCCTTTCCCATTGCTGTGCTATACATCACTGTGTATAGCAAGCTCAACACTATGTACATTGAGAGACATCTTTACATTAGTGGAGAATATACTCCGATTCTGGTCACGCACTTGTCACCATTAGACTCGCAGTACAAAAAAACCTAGGGTCACCCACCAGTATCATTGAAATTGGAGCACTGGTTGACCCGCAAGTTGCAATACTAGTTTGTTACTTGTTGTTTTGTTTTGTTTATAGCACCGTGAGGATTCCGCCGCATAAGGTCGCAGTTACATCATCAGACTCGCCTCTCTCCGCTCTTCATTTTCAATTTTTCAAGTTTTCCATGTAGCGTGGGAACTAATTTCCGTATTCTTTCCCCCCTCCGAGATTTCCTCAGAGGCGCTTTTTTTGCCTGCTTTTTATTTCCTCTTTGAGTAACTCCTGCGCTTTTCTACCATACTTGGCAATTCCTGCTGGCAGAGTTTTCTACCATACTGGGCAATTCTGTCTTGTACTGCCTATAGAGGGCG